GGATTGCGGCAGGCAAGGCAGAATCCAGTTGTGGATCGGTTCACCCGCAGGATCAGCGCATCTCACTATGCGGGCGGGGATGGAACTAGCTTGAGCGATCGAAGGTAGGTGGTGACGCCGAATTCTGCCTCACTCCCCGTTTCATACCCGGACTGGACACAGAGCGACCTTCTTGCTATGATGTGCGGAACATATCCATGCCAACGCCAGGCCCGAGGCGCCTACACCGCGCAGCCCAACCCCGTGTTCGGCTGTTTAGCGTGATAGAAATTGACAACGCAGCCACGCGTTCTGCACGTCTCCTTCGTCATCCCGTCGCACATTCGTACAGGGTTGCAGAAGTGGCCGGGCCACATTGAACCTGAGGATTTATTGAGGACTCGCCGTGGTACTCATCGGCATTGTGGTCCATAGCGTGGGTGCTGCAGAACTGAGGCATCTTAAATTCAATCTTGGGACACAGGGCAATGTCGGAGGACGACCAGCGTACGTAGTAGGGGCGGAAAAGTGCCCATCACACCAAGGAGGATGCCAGCTTGACGGAGGGCGAAACTCGAACGCCGCGAAGGATGTAGGAAGGGAGGCCTATCCACAGCAGGTCCACTATCCTACCGACGGACAGCGCGCCGGTGAATCCAAAACGATGGACCGGGTGAGTTGGGGTGTCCCAGGGCGACAGGGACAAGGAATGCCCCTCGAGGACCGCTCTGACCTGCATGAAATTGGGCGGTGGACGGCGTTACCTCCTGAAGAAGGCACGCCGTGCGAGACGGCAGTGGGTTCGTGCACGGCCGAGAAGCCCCGCATGGAGTCGTGAAGGACGTGGGAGTGTTGAGTGAACTCGAAAAACAGCGAGGGACGAGGGTCTTTTATAGATCTGTGGTTTGAGAGGTCGGAGGAAAAGCGGCGAGTGCCCGAATAGTCAGCGCTAAACTCGAACGGGCCACCCGTTTCCCCAATGGGCCACGCCAAACCGCATCCGGCCGCCTTCAAGCGGCGCCAGACCCGACTACGCCAGACCGAGTCCCTTTCACCAGGACGAAAATTATTTATTATATAAATACTATAATATCTTACTTATTGATAATAGACTAAAAATTATTTTCTCTAGGGGTTACTACGGTATAGAATCTAGTTAGTAAATATAAGTAGTAGAGGCGCAAAGTATCGTAGTGCGTAGGTTACGTGCTAGTTACGTGCTAGTTACGTGCTAGTTACGTGGTACTTCTGCTCTTGGCACTGAGGAAGTTAAGCCACCACCATGACATGACGAGATGGGGGAAAATGCACGGGTGTTAAGGATAGACAGTTAACTTCAATTGGGAATGGAAGTATAAATCGAATTCAGCTAGCAACGGCCTGCACAAGATCTGGATGCACACCCCTTGCCGTGATACACGGTATCTCATGTCAACATCAATACATCATCCAGCTCATGATCAGGATGAAAACGCCTTGCACCACTTGTACCAAGGGAAATCTTATGAATCAACAGCACTTGTTGCCCTTTGCATCTGGCGTTCCTGAAGGGGTCATGTCAATCTTGACCCCTCCGCTTGGGGCCTGAGCAGCATCTCCACTATCAAGGGCTTTGCTGGAGACAATGCGATAGATTTCTGGCATGGGTTAGAATGGGCAGAATGAGGAAGGATGGGGTGCACGTACCAGTCAAGATGTTCTGGAATGCCAACTCGACGTTGCTAGCATCAAGAGCGGATGTCTCGATGAACGACAGGTTGTTCTCACCTGCAACCAGAGTCAGAGACTAGGGGCTGGACACGAGGATTAATGACTCACTGGCGAACTGCTTGGCTTCTTCTGTAGGGACAGCACGTAGGTGTCGCAAATCGCTCTTGTTTCCGACCAGCATGATGACAATGTTGGCATCCGCATGATCCCGAAGCTCTTTCAACCACCGAGTAACATTATCGTATGTTTGATGTTTGCTGATGTCGTAGACGAGCAAAGCCCCGACGGCGCCTCGGTAGTAGGCTGATGTGATTGCACGGTATCTTTCCTGGCCTGCGGTATCCCAGATTTGAGCCTTGATTGTCTTGGTGTCGACTTGGATGGATCTCGTAGCGAATTCGACCCCGATGGTGGACTTTGAGTCGAGGTTGAACTCGTTTCTTGTGAATCTGCTCAGAAGATTGGACTTTCCGACACCGCTGTCTCCGATGAGAACAACTGGAGGCAACAGGTTAGCAGCAGAACGAGCAACTGGGGAGACAGTCGATGGCAAGGGCGAGTCAAATTCCCCTTGGAGCCCGCATGCGAAGAGAGGGAAGGGAAGGCATACCTTTGAAGAGGAAATCATACTCGTCCCCAGACATGGTGAGACGAATTTTACAGGAACAAGGGCAAGGAAGATGAGGGTAGAGGAGCAACGGATTGGCCGGGATGGGAATAGGCTGAGTAAAGGCTGAGAGACGACCGTTGAGCAGAACCGAAGTACCGTGGGTGATTTGAGTAGGTGAAGTAGTATGGAGTTATCGCAGAGGTAGTGGTTTGAAAGGAGAATCCGAATCTGTAGACAAGGGTGAGGACGCCTGGTGATTCAAGGTGTTCAAAATCGACTACAGCATCAAGTAAGGCAGTGAGTGGCAGCGGCAGCGATGGTGGCAGTGGAACCGCGGGCAATCGCGATGGTTGAGTGGTGATTTCAGAACAGGCCTCAGGATAACCTCCTGCCAGTGCCTGCCACTGCACTTGCACTACAACACGGGCAAGAGCGAAGGAGACATCATCTTGGCATACGCTAACCCTATTTGGCACTATCGGACTGTTTCTAATTCAGCTCAGTATACGTTGAGGAGCACTTAAAGGTGATCATCAAATCCTGTCCTTTTCTCTCTCTCTAGAGGCCCATCCAAGCAATTTCGCCGTTGGGTCTTCAGAGCCATGGGCACCAATTCCCCCAAATATTCCCAGACCACGCACTGGTCGGCTACACTTACCAACGTTTGACCCTCTTCTCGTTGCTTGCTTACCCAGGTAATGATACTCATGAGACGTGCCCGTGATCTGTCTAACAGTGATGAAACTGTGGACAGAAACCAACTTATACGTGACCTCGCTCTTTCCTGCTCGTTGAACAAACGCGTCGTCTGAGTCCAACAACTGCGACACTCATAGCTATGGCATCCGACCAGCATGATTCCCCTGCATCAGACGGATCGGAGTCGTCCATTTATTACGACATTGAGAGAGTCTTGGCCCAGAGGTTCACTGATGGCTAGATGCTCTATCTTGTCAAATGGCAAGGCTATGGTGAGGAGCAGTGTACGTGGGAGCCATCTGAACATTTCAGTAACCCCCAGACGTTGAAGGAATGGCACGAAAGACTTGCTATTGGAGATACTTTGGATGAAGACGAAGTCACCACTCTTGAGAAGCGCATGGCCGTATTTAGTGAACAACAGGACGGGATTGAAAGACGGGATGAGGATGAACAACAACTAGTGGAAGATGAACCGCCCCGAGCCTCAAAGCGTCGACGCCTTATCAATGGTCAAAAACCGCATGAGTTATCGTCATCGTTTTCAGTATCCTCGTCATCATCTGACTCTGACACTCCATTGTCACTACGAATCACCAAAGCTTCGAGTACTTCAGGTGTCAGACCCATTCTAGGGGTTCATGGGCTCGACGCCTCTGCGCCAGAAACGATGTCAGTCCCGACTACCAGCTCCACGGGTTCCATTACCGGGTCAGCGTTCATTCAAGAGCCTCGTAGCTTCAAGTCTTCTTCTTCCAAGCTGTTACCCAAGCATGAGACTCACAAAGGCAAACACCCAGAGAATCGAGCATTACCACCACCCTCCAAAGCTCAAATAACTCTGAAGTCCCGTCTAACGACGTCTAAACCACAAGGAGACGGCACTACCACATCAACAGCAGCACCTAAAGGAGACGCCATATCCCGGAGACCTAGCTTGGGCCGCCTGGCAGAAAGCCGGGCAGGCGAAAGATTCAAGAACTTGAGGCACCAAAACAATTATATGAAGAAAAACCGCCGAGAAGGTATTCCAGACGTCTCTAAAATGCAGTTGATGGCTCCTGAAGACTGGAATCAGTTGCCGCTAAAGCCTCAACCACCGATTGCACCCACATCGACCACTGATTCCTGGCTTTTTCTTCCAGACGATGGAAATGCCGCAGTTGCCTCTCCTATTTCGATGGGAGGCTCAAGCGATCAGGCTATGTCAATGGACGAACAGAATCCAGCTAGCCCGCTACCAAAGGTCCTCGAGAAGGCACCAGCCGATAATCCCGAGTGTGGACACTTCCCCAACGTCCAAGGCACCGTAGCCAACCCCGCTGTGTTTGACAAAAAGGACGTCCAACCAGAGCACAGATCGAGCTTTTCTGTGAACCCGAGTGTTACGCTAGACAAACCAAAAAAAGTCCCACAAGTGCCTTCACTTCTACAACAGGGCAATACATCGAACGCGCCTTCGCTCCAAACGAAGCAGAAGGCGGGCTTCTCGACGGATGCGACTGTCATGCTTGATAAGAGGAGGATCTTAGAACCCTCTCAAAGGCAGGGCCAAGGCAGTGCCTCAAATCCAGATCTTTCGGACCCAAGTCTAGAACAACGGAACCGTAGAGTGAGCTTTTCAGCAAACCCAACTACCTTGCTAGACGCGGGAAAAGACTTACAACCAACAGTGGTCAATCCCTTTCAACCATTGCTTAGAAATCTAAGCCTATCCACGATGAGCGCAAATACCGGGCTTTACGGGCCCCTTGAAGTTACCCCTAGAAGCGGTCGCTTATTCACTAGGGGCGTAGAAGTGCTCGTTCACCTCTCTCTCAATGGATATTCAGTGGGTGATGTAAAGCTACTTCGAATTCCGCATTGGCTCATCAAGAAGCTTGTCGTGTTGAAACATCCTGGGGAAAAAGTCTTGAGAGTTGATTTCCCACAACTAGGGGTTAGGACGTGGGCTGACTACTCTGACCTAGAGCTAGCCGGGATGAAATCAGTTATTGTGGTCGGAGAGATCCAGCCATACGAGGACACAGCGGCGCCCTTGAATTTATTGGCCGACTACTTGGAAAAGGAAAGTGTGTGCGCTCTGTGGATCTACCCAGAACCTGTCGAACCTGTGGTGATGATCCTATATCCGCATGCCGCGCCTCAATGGAGCCACCTCGGAAAGGGCATAGCACCTGCATTCCACAATAGCAGGCTACACCTTTTGATTCGCAATACGACAACTTCGCTCTATCCCAGACTCCGGCCACACGAGCAAGCTCTGTTACGACAAAGTTCTGGGTTCATCACAAACACGGGGCCGGAATATAATGCCGAGGTGAACAGAATTGATGCCGATCTTGAACGCACGACTAGCCGGAGTCGAAGATCGTCAATGGAACTACCATCGGAGAAGATCTCAGATCCTCATTACCGTGGCACATTTTCACGAGATGAGATGGCCGGTCGGGATGCTACCAGAATAAGTTCCAATGACAAAAATCACGACCCACGCCGCACGTCCACCACTGATCCCAGCGGGAGTCGAAGATCGTCGATGAACCTATCGTTAGAGAAGATAACCGACGCTCGTTTCCGTGGCACACTGACACGAGACGACACGTGTCCGCAAGATGGCGCGGTCAAGACAAACTCTGGAGACAAGAAGTGGGATCCACAGCCCCTTTCAACTGCCGATTTCCAATTCTTGATCACAGCCTCAGCCCGCCTCAAAATAGAACCGAGGCATGCGAGGGTCTTCGTTGCGTTTGATAGGACACACCCATATGAGGCAAGAACAGTACTGCAGTGGCTCGGTGAACACATAAGCAGTCGCAACATATTTTCTGCCACCGAGAGGAATGGATGGGAAGAGTTCTGTGAAGCATTTGAAGGCAAGGTCGGCGTTGCCCTATTCCATGATCAGGTGCCCCATTACACGTCCCTACCGAAACTGAGCTCATGGTTGAAGCGGGATGGGTTGGCATGTTTTAACGTCACGTTCGATGAGTTGACGGGCAAGATTTCTTTCTCGCGGATTTTCCCACGTGGAACAGTGTTGGCCTTGACGGAAGGATGCATGACCGGATGCTTAGAACAGTCGCTGACCATAGTCAATTGGTTTGAAGAGCGCTCGCGAGGGAAGTCCTCGAGTTGGAAACTGCTTTTATTTCCCAATGCGATTGAACATTGCTTCCACAGATTAACTGTGCCTGGCGTGGGCTCGGATAGCAAAAGAACACTTGGAGAGGTACTAGCGATCATACTCCGACTGAAGAAAGGGTCAGACCGTACAAATCCAACCATGGATCCCGACGATTATATCATAGGCGAAAATCTCGACCGCCAGCATGGCATTGATGATAGTTTCATCGTGTCACCGAACCTACCGTCCGATCAAAGTGGCACAACGATATCATCTGACGGGCCAGCGCTTCGTGCTCGGGATCGGCGATTCATGGAGTTTATACTCGGTTGGGCGTCGATGAATTGCGTCCAATACAGAAGATTTGTTGCGATCGACGACATTGTGCGAAACCACGCAGAGCCACACTCTTGCCACGTGGGCATGACGCATCCAGATAAGTTTCTTCAAGCGGAACAGCTAACACGAAAATGAGAACGAGTGGTATCCGGTAGTTCTGCTGGTGGGCGAACTTTGCGGGGTGTCGAGGGTGGGGTGACATTGGGTTTCGGAGGAACCAGAAAATATGTACTGTACGAGTGGGAGAGCGGGGGAGGGGTGTCTGAGTTATGAATATCATTATGTTTTCCTGGTCATAAGTGATACTGATACGTCCCACTATGAGAACCACATATCCAGCTAGATAGATTAAGTCTCATCTGCTGGACAGTGTCCTGCAGCATAGACCATTCCACGCTTTGCATAGATCATACATAAGATCCACCATGGGCAGCCCATGGATTTGTACGCAGTTACCGTACAAGTCGCTCTTGATTTGACATCATGATCTCCATGACGAAAGCTCAGGGAAGGCACTGGCCCTGGCTCTGGCTCGTCTCGGACGTGGTTCGAAGAATGGGTCTACACGGGACATCAATTTCGAGCATGATCTGTGGCTCATGCCTGACATCGTGCCACTAGTGTGCAAGTCTTGGTCTCGCTTGGAGTGTTTGTACTTCAATGGTAGCCAGTGCTGAGGCCGACCTCGGGATTATGTGTCAAGCTCGTATTGAGAATTCCGCCCAATGAGAGACTTGTAGTAGTCGGAGAGGACCTCGGGTTTTGGAACAATGCGCCATTCCATCTTGGTCAAAAACTCGAGTTCCAAAAGCGCCAGCTCCTTCATACTGACTCCACCGACCTTCGCATAGGTCTTGTTGGTCCAGAACGAGTCACTCAATCCTTTGCTGGCCACCGTAGCACTGGTGATGAGAAAGCGGTGGACAGTCAGGCTCGTAATGGTGAAGGCCGGATAAAGAGTGCAGAGTCTGTCGATATAATATACCATACTCAAGAGGATTGGTGGAGGTAAGGTAGCATGAGTTGTCAAGCGCTGTAGGTAATCAAGGACCGAGATGGCGGGAGGTGCCCGGGAGTGAAAGCGAGTCAGATGGCCTTCTCGTAGAGGGATGGCGTCGTTATAGCGGATGAGCTCCATGAGCATGGAGGAGATCAAAACCACCAGGTCTCGAGTGTTGCAGAGTTCATATAGGCGCGGCATTTTGCGGGCGGGAGGGGCATCGGGGCGGGGTTTCTTGATAGGAGAATGATCTTGGGAGTCTTGTTCTACATGGCTACCGTTGATAGGGAGTGGAGCCGTAAGGGCCGAATCCGCAGCGTGCCTCTTGGCTTGTGGATGTGGGTGAGCAACGTCAGATTTGAGCGCCACGGGGTGAGGTGATGAGGGCTCGGCCGAGTCGTCATCATCATCTTCGTCGTCGTCGTCGTCGTCGTCATTATTATCGCGATGGTCGTCAGTCTCGGAGATCTGTAAGGCGGCAATGGTGGAAGTGGGAGTCTGGGATGGGCCTGTGGGTGCGGTGGTGGCCGATAGGGATGCGGGTTCTCTCGGTTGGGGAGGCGAATACTGTGTTGAGGCGTCGACCATGGTCGTACGTGGAGGAACGGGGACTGGTTGGGTACAGCGGTCGAGTGATCTGGTGCTGAAAGATCTATATGTAGATTGAACCGAATCTGGTTGAGGGTAATTCAAGGAGGACCGAGTAGGCTTAGTAGGTTGAACATTCTGCGGAGGTGGCGAAAAGGTATAGGAGGTGTCAAGGTGCCTTGAAGGGAAATTGGGAGAAGGAGAAGTGGCCAGCATATCGCGCGCGGGTCAACATGAGTGATTGTAACAAGGCCGCGCGAGGATGGGACGAAGTGCCGTTGGTGAGGCACAGCTTTGCGGCCAAGATGCCACTAACAGATGGGACGATATGCGGGGAGTATGGAGGGAAGAATAGAGAGTGGCAGGAGAAGCTGACAACGATGCCAGCGGGACGCTAACATAGCAACAATGAGAGGGGAGGACAGGAACGATCTTCGGATGTGGTGTCAGTGGAACTTGAGGTTGGGGGGGGGGGAGGAGGAGGAGGAGGTGCAGCAGGAGAATGAAGGTACGGAGAGTGGAATATTAAGAGAATTCGAGTGCCAGTGGAGTGGTGCTCGGTTGTACTAAGGCTGATAGCAACTTGCTAAAGGGAAGAAATGTCATTTTAGTCGCTACTAGCGAGTTTTGGTGGGCATTTTGTATCCCGTGTTCCATCTCAGCCATATTATTTGTCGAGCGGGATCGGTGGCGGAAATCTTCTCCAGAGTCTAGAGAACTCCACCTCCACCCAGCATGACCGGCACTGGCCACCGACCGACTATCGGTTGATGGAAATGATCTGTTATAGATACCTACCTAGGTACTACCTAACTTCGGGATTCCCAGTGATAGAAATGCAACCGTGCCGCCACTGCAGAATCCGATCTCGGCTCATGAGCTTATGTAAGTCGTCTGTGCACGTGATCCAGCGTCTGCTTGGCACCGGCGGCGGGCAGCCGCAGCCAGAGCCTGAGCCTGAACCAACCTCGACCACCTTCCCTACCTTTTTTCACTGCGAGCCATATCCGTTGGTATGCGCCTACGCCAACCTCTACGCCTACCCCTCGAGCCTCATCCAGATCATCATATCATGTCTTACTGTACTTAGGGTCTACCAGTGTACGATATCAAGAGTTCCATGTTGACAACGGTCATCTCGAATCTCCCATCACCCACAAACTCAGCCCTAACCTTTCACCTTCCACTTCATCTTCACATCGTATGGCCTCGATGAAGCGCCCAACCTCAACCTTTCTCCTCTTACTCACTGACAACCCCTCTCGAATCGCCCATTTGAAAAAGATCAAGCATGATCTTACCGGCCATGTCTCTCGCAAGGCCGATGCCCTCAATAACGGCCTGATCCCTCTGATTGCCGACTTGTTACAATCTTCACAGAACAATGATCAAGTCTATTCTCATGCAGCTCAAATTCTCGCCCTTCTCGCTCACGAAGGCCTGCACTTTGCTTATCCACTCCTCGACACCAACATACTCCTCATCCTCATTTCCTATCTGCACACTTCCCCCCCTTTGAAAACGACCCTTACAGTCTTGAGGGCTCTAGTCGCCATTGCCCAGCATATTCCCCTTCACCTGGCGACTCTGCTCTATGCCGATGCACACATCCACTGCTTCACCAGCATCCTCGATGCCGCCAGTACCGAGCTGGTCTCCCATCAGGCTTGCGATGCCGCCCTGACACTACTATGCAAAACGCTTACACTCGAACAACATAAGCGCGCCTTGGTCGACTCCGGTCTCCTGGCTTCAATCTGCACCCGCCTTGCATCCTTCGTTGTGGCCCAGGGCCTGGTCCCTCCGCCTCCGAGTCCCGAGGCCATCCATCACCAGATCCAGTCATCTCAAGACCTACCCGAACCGGCTCCCAGCTTCGCACATCTATCTCCTGTTCTCGAATCTCTGTCCATCTTGATTCAGGGCTCCAAGTCCCGCGCAAAGTTATTTCTCGCAAACCCCGCTTTCGAGCTCGCTTTGCCCATCCTCAGAGACGATTTTTCCCCCTCGGATATTCGTCGCGGTCCATGGGGCATCAATTATTTCTCGGGCACCGCCGTACCTCAAGTGCTTGTTACAAGCCCCTTCGATTCCCTGTTACCCTTCGTTCCTGTCTCTAACAAGAATAACCACGCTGGATTTCCTCCTCTCAGCTCCGTCCAGCCTGTACCCAAGCGGCGAACCTCATTTATCCCCGCATCGACCCCAGAACTCCCTCAGCTCCCACTAGGTCAAGTTGTGTCTGAGGACGAGCAAGAGCCCTCCCTTATCCCCTGGCTTCTGTACACGCTTCGTGAATCTCGCGGCAAGCGACGTCTCTTGGCTGCCAAATTACTGGTGCACCTTTACAGCCTGAATCTGGTCAAGCAGTTCCGTACAGCAACATTTGCTTCTCTCGTCGTCCCTTTGCTGGTTCGAATGCTGGAAGCGGGTTACGCAAGAATGGACGACTCTCCTCACTCGACCGGCTCTCTGCTCTGCAGTGGCTTGCATTACACAAGAGCTGTCCCGGCCGTCCTCGCCATGCTGATCATGGATGACCCTGAAATGCAACGTGTTGCTGTCGAAGGCAAGGCTATTGCAAGTCTTGCCACCGGTTTGAGACTCTCATTCGAGACTCTCACCACCGACACAGCCGGCCATTGGCATCCTCGCCAATCACACACGGCCGACACAAAGCCTCCTCAATGGCCGGGGAAGACGGTCCGTCTCAACGATTTAGCATCGTGCGTGATGAGGCAGGAAATGGAGTTCCGGACAGGATGCTTACAGGCGATCGGCGCTATCGCGCCATTCAATGATGATTATCGCAAGGAGATATGTGATCAAGGTGCGCTGAAATACATCATGTCTGCACTCGAGCCCTATGAGGTTCAAACTGCGTCGGATGGTAAATTCGCATTGTATGGCAACTCCGCCGCCGTTGTCTTGGCCGCTTGTGGCGCCGTACGCGTGTTGACCCGGTCGGTCCAGGCTTTGCGGACGAAATTAGTGGAAGCCGAAGTCGCCAAACCCATCATCCAGTTGATGAGCTCGTCGGATCCCGAAGTTCGCATTGCTGCTACCATGGTCCTTGCTAACCTTGCCATTGATTTCAGTCCCATGAAAGACGGTGTCAGCGAATCCACTGTCGTGAAGAAACTATGTGAACAAGCCCACTCTGCCAGCGCCCGTCTACGCCTCGAGTCATTGTGGGCTCTGAAGCAACTGGTTCTCAATGCCAATAAAAAGCTCAAGCAAGAGGTCGTGGATGAGCTTGGATCTAGCTGGATGAAATTGCTCATCAAGACCGATCCTGTTGACATACCAGATGGTGAAGTAATTGGACTTGTCGAGCGAGATTATCCTCCCTTAAATGTTTACAGAACCCCAACGGCACAGAGGTCGACGAATTCTTCTGACATCATTATGGGGCATGACTCTGATACCGAACCGGATGTGGCGATAGAGTCGGATCATTCAAGCTCCGACTTGATTGGCAGCCTGAGTGTTAGACATACTGTGGAAGACGACCTCGAAATTCAGGCACAGCTGCTGGATCTTTTAAGAAATCTTTTTTGTGGAGAAAATGCTTCGGACCTCGTCAGATACATCTTGGATGAGATGGGCTCGGAAGATTTCTTCAAGATTATGCTAGATCGTCTGAGGCCTCGGACGCAACCGGGCCCAACTCGCAAGGAGAACTACACTGCACCGGCACCAACTGTGATCGTCACGCGGGTTCTTTATATCATTGTCCACGTAGCGGCCTGCGAGCCCCGCTGGCGTAACGTGATAGCATACAACCATGCGTTGATGAAGCAGATCCTGACCTTTACGAGCCATACCGATCGCGAAATCCGAGCGCAGTGCTGCTGGATAGCCATCAATCTGACATATGAAGACGATGCTAGTGATGGGTTAGCATGCAGACACCGAGCTTTGGAACTGCAAAAGGTTGGATTTGTCCTGTCATTAAGAAAACTAGAGGGCGATCCGGACTTGAATGTTCGAGAAAGAGCCAAGTCGGCAATCCACCTCATGACCAAGTTGATAGCATCATGATATCTCCAGTACATGTTTCAATATATCAAGCTACCTATATAGATACTTAGTACCTAGTCATGCTTCTCTTTGCGCATATAATACAAAGACTCATCCGCGCGAATTATCACAGCGCAAGCACGGGAAATGGGTAAGTGCACGAATGATATGAATTGAATTCGGGTATGAAGAGCACTAACTAATGATGGTTGGCTGCGAGATGGGCTGCGACTGTGACACGAATGAACTTACCTGGCAGGTTGAACACCAGAACGACGACTTTAGCAAGTTGTGGCAACTTCAATGTGATCTGCACCCGGGCAGTGTTACGAAGGATTAAGTTGTCATTCGAAGTCCTACGGAGAGAATCGTAACTATATATACTACCTAGTAGGCAGTACAGGCCTTGGCGGTTTTAGGTACCGCCAAGGTATTCGGTCGTAATCGGAGCTTGTCGAAGCCTCACGTCATTAGAAATGAAAAGACAAAAGAAATCACATCAAGTCAGAGAGAGGTCACGTGTGCCAAACCTATGTCGGTAACCAGGGATATGACATCATTGTTTGTTTGGTTGCTTTCTCTTCGGACTAGTCAGCTGTATATCGACCGCAGCGGCAATTGTGAATCTCTAGCAACCACTCTTCCCATCCCAACCCCGTCCGCGCCCAGGCCAGCATACAACAAGTCAATTTACTTCGTAATGGCTGCCGCTACAAGAAGATATCCGAGATCGACGGTTCGAAAGATTCTGAAGGGATATACAAGAAAGAATATAAGCAAAGCAACAGTCTCACTAGTTTTCCTCAACTACACGTTGTTCATGGAAGAGTAGGCTAGTCTTCACACTGTTAGCCAAGAACTCCTACTGATCGATGTCCCCTAGGCTCCTCCAAAACGCAACTCGCAAAGCCCGAGATTGTGGCGAGAAGAGAATTGCAGCCAAGGATATTAGGACAGTTACCAATGTAGGTCGGATCCAAGCAAACTCGAAGAGGATGAAAATGTGCAATGTGTTAACATCACTGCAAAGACGACCCTGCGGCGATTCAAAGGATGACAGCTTTCCTCCTTTATTGCATCAAACGCTCCCCCCACCAAGCATCAGCAACAGAGCTTCAAATCACGGACTGCTGAATCAATGCTTCCACTCCACCAATCATACCAGTGATACCACATACGTTATTCTACTGTACTGTCTTCGACGACGCCCCGTAGTCGCAAAGATTATAAAGATTCACTTCCCATGGCTTCTTGAACAACCAGGCATTCAGGACCCTCACATGGGTCCCGGGATGTTCAAACTGAGGTTGGGAACATGACTGTCACTTCCATAACACATCCGTGGTCGATAGTAATCGCAATCCGCCAGTTGGGTGTAGGCGACGGGGAATGGGCATTATTATTAACGATGGTAGCCTAGAGCTGTGTCAACCACTTGGAAGAAGGGGTTGGCGTGGAGGCTGGACGTTGAATTGTGGCGTCTGCACATCACTGATACCTTACGGTGTGCTTATTGGGGATGTAAAGGACAAGAGTACATACATGACTAGTTGAACGGAGGACTGACTCAATGATGATTACATCCGTCGTTATGCTCAATATACACGACTTCTCCCCGTGTCCAACGACTTCAATGCCACTCGGTCTCAAAATTACATCATTCCATCAAACTTCTGGGCGCCTTCGACACCGCTAAACCAACTGACACGTTCTTTGACAAACAGTTCGGCCTGAGGTCTCAATTTGGTCTCATGCAGGGTGAAATCATCGATAGTTCCAACGCGGGGAAAGCTAAGTCCATCAAATGCGTCACCCTTACGGTACATCTATTGACATGATATTATTAGCCCTGTGAATTGGGAGAGGAGGATTGGAGAGCCACAAGACACTCTTCAGCTCGATTAGAGGTTAGGAATGGTGAGTACTGACCAGAGTTCCGCAGGTTTTACAAAAGAAATTTGTCATCTTCTTTCGCGAGGCAGGAGTCTCTGCCTGACCCCATGAACTCAGGTTTTCTTTTCCCCGAGCGTACTTTATATACGAGTCCTTGACGGTGAAATTGGATGCGAACATGGAAGCGGTGACTTTGCGACAATCGCTGCAATTGCAGACGAAGGTCCCAACAAATCCGGGCTCCTGGAGAGGCTGCGATGGAATACACATCAGTTCAAACTCCAAACACCCTTTCGCTGGCACTCCAGGCACAGATAAGAAGCATTCAATGCTAATGCGCCTCAGAGTTATGGGAGCTTACGAAAATCATTTGCACAGCGCCACAGAAGCAAGTCGCTGTCGCCTCTTCTTCAGTGGACCAGCCGTCACCAGCAACCCCAGCCAGTGGAAAGTATTGCTTGGATTTATCTGCGGAGGCCGACATGGTAAGGGGAATTATTCTGTTGGGAACGTTCTTGTTTGTTTTTCTTCGAACACACGGCTTTGGTTTCTGTAAAATTGTCCACTGGCCGTAATTAGTTGATCGTCTTGGATGTAAGTGAGGATGGAAATTACTGTGAAATGTGGTGGACTTGAGACATGATTATATCCCCATTCTGGTCCGTCGGTCCCACCAGACTTGCAGTTCATGTTCTCCAGATATCACTCTTTTCTCGAACCATGAGGTGCGGGTGACATCATGGAGCACTGTCAAGGTTACGGAGATCTAGTCCTCATTGCGTAGAAAACTGTCGAGATAGGAAAGTTTGGACTTTTCGTTGTCATTTTGTCTATTGGAAACCAATGATCCACAACATACCTAGGTACCTAGGTAGGACAAATAAAGCAATACTGAGTATCGGGGTTGTAATAGAAATGAAATAGTCCATCGCTTCACTCGCTTAGGTTGGCTATTATCTAAGCAACGTCAATAAGGCCCGCCCACCCAGGGACCAGAACCCCAGGTCTTCGGCTAGCATTAATGACTAAAAGCCGCCGATCCTTTTTTGACGACGGGATGTATACGATTTGAGATATGTGATAGATATTGTGAGAGACACCAAACCACTTCTGGTGGTATCTTGCTGAAAATGGGCATATGGATTTTGTTAAACTTTCCGGGGTTCTTGTCCCAGAGTAGAGTCGCAATGTGTGCGAGTTCTCGCCTTCATCGTGGATCACGATCTGGATCGCGAGGGTCAAAGGGCACCACAACCACTAAATCTCATCAGGCAATCCCTTTTGGCCGTCTTTTATAGCTTCAGTTGTTAGCCAGTTTGCTTACCCTGCCATTTGAAGAGGTTAGAAGCCCAGGGGTATGTCAATGCTGGATCCTCATAGTCGATGATGCCCACTCGGAGAAACACGCGTGGACTTCGACCCCAAACTAAAATTCTTAGGTGGACTCTGAGATAGAGATACTTGTAGCTAAATCTCGAGTACCTGAGACAGCACCCCGTACTCAGCAGCTTCCAGGTTAATATCGGGATGGAGATGCCGTGCACATTCAAGTTCAATTCATTCCCGCCATGGAGGGCGGTGTGTGATCTTGGCAGAATGTTTGATTCTGCCAGTCACTTCAGTGGTCTGGAAACTTCTCTGAACCTGAGCGAGAGCTGGTAAACACTGTACTCCAGCCTAGCACACGAGCATCTCACAGCCATTGACTCAATTCAATCACTCTGTTACCACTCTCCCCTCGCGTCCCAAGTTCTCCTCTACAGCCTCCTCAGTTCTACAATAGTCTTGACCTGAACGTCCAACCCCCAGCCTCATTCGTGCTGCTCCAACTTCTTTCCGTTGGACCAATCCCAATTCCGCACCTTACAGTCATCTCGCCCACCACCACAAATGTCTTCATCCGGTGTTGTCCCAGTGGACTCCAAGTCTGCAAAGAAACGCAAGACCAAAACCGAAGCTCCCGTTTCTAGCGGCGTTGCTACTCCCTCGGTTGAGGCTGCTGCAGACTCTCACACCAATGGAGCTGACTCACAACCGGAAAGCCCCTACATTAAAGAATTGACAAAGTACGTATCCCCACACGGTGTGCCAACCACTGGCCGCAAAGAAGAATCGTCCACTGACACTAGCACTCAGAAACATTCGTAACATCCACAAGAAACTCGCCGCCTCCTCCAAGGCCGACAGTGTCATTGCTGAGAACCCCAATGTCCCTCTTGACGACCTGGTGGCGTCCAAGAAACTCAACGCAGACCAGAAAGCCCAGATCTTGAAGAAGCCCGCCCTCCAAGCCCAGCTCGCCCAGTTCGAGGAGCAGCTAACTGCCTTCAAAGCCTTCGCTCACGACCTTGACGACAAATTCACAAAGGAAAAGTCGTCCTTGACTGAAGCACACGAGGCTGAGATTGCAGCAGCCAAGGAAAAGGCAGCTCAAGAGGCGGAGAAGATCAAGACCGATGCAGTCGAGGACGGCTTGCGAGTCATCAATCACTTTTTGCATGCTGCAGCATCCAAACGTCAATCGGAAGACGTCGATTCTGCCGAGTCTCGTGCGTTTGAGGGGACTTTGTTGCTAGTCTATCAGGGTAACGATGCCTCCTTGGAAACCTTGAAAAGTTTGATCTACGGCACAGATGACAAGGTTCCAGATGTCAATGGTGAACTGCTTGATTACACATACGCCCAGGTCAAGCAGTCGGCAATTCAAGGAGGGGAACATGCATCTCAGGATACCAAACAAGGCGAGATTGACAATCAGCCAACCGAGTCCAGTCCCCCACCATCCTACATCGAAACCGACCCAACAATTGCCAATGCCGGACTCACTGAACTTGACGATACCACCACCATCCCAACCAACAACGCCAGCGAGCACCAAGTCGACAACATTATCGTTCCTGAACAAGCCACCACTGGGGCTGACGCTGCCAATGCAGTAGCCGAATCCGCCTGGGATCCTCAGGCTTCCATCGTCACCGACGCAAGCACGACCAACGAAGAATGGGTCCAAGTGCCTCGTGATCCTGCCGAGACCGAAAGCGGTGTTGCTGCAACTCCCGCCACTGTCGGCAGCACTGCAAACTGGGCTGAGGAAGTGGGTGCCGCTGCCGAAGAAAAGGCCGCTTCAGAGAACGACGGGTTTGAACAAGTCAAGCGTGACCGAGGCCGAGGTCGAGGTGGCCGGGGTAGTCGGGGCGATTTCCGAGGTCGTGGACGAGGTGGTGGTGGCCGCGGAGACCGGGGTGGAAGAGGCGGAGGAGGACCAAGAGGTGCACGTGGTGGACCGCGAGGAGATAAGAGCTGATCTCGCCGAACCTTGCTTGTTTCTTTTGGCTTGCGCATCACCTTGAAGTGTGTACGTCTGCCTGCATCTCTTGGTCCTATGTTAGCCAGTCATCTCAGCTTGAGCAACCCACATTCAGCGGCCAGCCTTGCTCTTTCTACTTCGGTTCGAGTCCTTCAGCATTGCGTCCAGGTCCAGAAAAGAAAACGGTCAACCTAGGAAATGGAAAACGGGTTTGAGCGCCAATGGCGATTCTATTTATGTAACCACCATCAGAGGAAGGAGTCATGAGCAATGGTTGCCTGCTACTCGGGAATGTAATCTAAGAGGGCTGCCGAAGAAGAGTGAACCTTGGCCACAAAAGGAATCTAGGTCAGATAGCTCTTTTGGCCAGATTTCGGCAGAATGCAATCATAAATGATGCAAGTCAACTTACCTTCCAGCATTCTATCTGGCGGCCATTGAACAGTGCATGTTGGATCATGAGTTCCTGTGGCAGGGATTTTGCGAGCATATCATGCACACAGAAGTCGGTGTTGCCACAAGATTCGCAACCCGCACGTCCTGCTCGCGCAGATGACGTGTGTTGTGTTAGAGATCACGGTTGCGGGTATCATGACTACTCCAGATCATGGGCAAGATCTTGGACTCGCAAAAGACCACTCCCCCACCCAAGTGCAACAAGTCCCGCACAGTGTCGATTCACGTTCCATTCCATGACGGTGACGGCCTGCTCATCCTCGAAAGTCGCCTCGGCAGCTCCCAGTTCTTGTAGCTTGGCCAACTCCTTCCTCGTGCCCGTAGGATGTCCCACATGGATTCTCTCGGGCTTGAAGCCTTCGCTGAATCTCGATGCGCCAGGTCGTACGTCGCGGCCGTGGTACAGGTTTTGAGGTGGCCCGTCAAACTTCGCTCTGTCTGCATGGGAGAGTTCAATCCCGACCTCTCTCAACTCATCCTCAGTCAATGGCCGCCAATCATACTCACAGATTTTCTGCAGATATGCTCCGGTAGTGCTCTTGGCTTTCGGCAAGTCTTTTCGTGTCTGTGGAAGGACCTTGCGCAGAAAGTTGGTCGCCACGACAGTCCCTCGCGCATTGCTCGCCAGGATACATGGGTGCCATGGCGATGCGGCCAGGGCTGTGGCGGTGCCCCCGTAGTCAGGCATCTTCGCAACTCGATGACTGACGTGGAATTGGCGCAGGTGATAGCACATGATGTATGTCGATGTACCGGAATCGATGTGTGTGTTTCCAGCTCTATCCAGGGCTGTGATGAAGGACCGGGTCAGAGGGGAGTAGACTAGATCGCGATTGGGAAAGCATGATCGATGTATTGATATTTGATCTTGTTCTGGGCTGCGGAGGTCGACTAGAACCAAATCGCCCGATGCGGAAACACTCGAGACAAAGTGGGCCAGTGGGCTTGGTGACGCTGCCCTCACGGCAATGACATAGGTGCTGTGCAGGGCATAGCTCAGGAAACTAGCGGGCGGCTCGTTGTGGTGGGTCGATTCAGTCAAGTCAAAGAGATGAATGGAGCCGTCAGTAGCCCCCAGAATGATATCTGAAGGCGTGGCGAATGAAAAAGTGGTGAATATTGTGCCCTTGGGTGGAGGTATCTCGTAACCAGCTCCCAGTGCCCGAACGTTGACCGGCTGGCTTCTACTTGCGTCACTTAGAATCGAGATAGATATTAGTCTGGCGCATCCATCGCTCGACAGGATTCCGAGTATACCACAAAACTCAGCGCCGTTGACATGGGCATGTTCTTGCAGATTGGTAAGATTCTCACGTGGGTGCCAAATTATTTGGTGATTCTCTCCCCAATCGGTTGCAATCACCATAGCGAGAGTAGGCCGCTGCGTCATGTCAAGAGTATACAGTCCTGGAAAACGGGTTTCCTTTGTAGTGAACTTCCAGATTTGGATATTGGAAGGGTAGGGAGATGATGCAGAGAATGCAGGTGCGCCAGGATTCTGCTCGGGCGAAGATCCTCGTTGGGTAGATGTGCTTCTACACGCGACAGCGAGGTATTGGTCTGGCGTATTGGATGGTGCCCAAGAGACACTTTGCACCTTTTCACCGAGATTGAGAATCCATCCATTGTGATATGACTGTGGATCTCCAACCTGCTTTCTCCAAACCTTTCCAAAGTCAAAGGAGGCACCATGTGCAAGGTCAAACTTCTGTTCCTCTCCATACGGACCCATGAAAGCTAGATGGGGTCTTTGCTCATTCGCCAAATACCTGTTTTGCAAGTATTCATTGCTGATGTTTTGTAAGCTCTGCCTGTCTGTGAGGGACTTGAAAATATGGTCATCGAGGAACGGTGCCTCTACATCCGACGATGACAAGTCGGAATTCTGGGCGGAAAACCGCGCCGCTTCCGACAATGTCTTTCGGCTAGGAATGGTGATATCCCGTCCTTTCAGCCACGTATCTCTTGCTTGAAGAACATGTGCAAGATCATCCATACAGGGGCCATATGTGTCGTGGTACACGCTTTCTTTCGGAGCGGACTTTGGAATATCGCGCGCCACTCCTCTGGAATGAGCCGTGCTAGCATTATCATTCGTGATCAGTGGGTCCGTCGCACGCGTTCGTGGGGGTTTCGATCGACTTTTGATTTGGGTGTTGTGCTCATCGTCATCGCCGCTGCTGTTGTGGTCATCGTCATTGTCGAAATCTTCATTAGAAACCGCCGCCTCGGAAGTTTGTGAGGATGCAGACCTTGTGGAGAAGGCGTCATCCTCCGACACTGCAAAATGGTCATTCTCTTGAATGATCTCCGCGCTGTCGCCTTCCTCTGCAACGAAGTCTTGTTCTGGACTTGATCCAGATGATTCTGATGATGCTCTCAGAGTCCTTATGGTATCTTTATCCCATGCAACTGTGGCGTATTTAGGGTTGCGCTTACGCTCACGCGCTGAGCGACGAGCAGGAATCGACATCAGGCCTGGTCCCTGACGGGAAAGTTGATTGCGACGAGCAGGGAGTGTCTTCCCAGGAGTTGGGTTGGATAAGAAACGAGTAATTCGCACGTAGTCAAATTTTGAACAGAATCACTAGCACGCGCAACGCAACGCTCTGGTCGGGTACCTACCTACCTAGGTACCTAGATGCGAATATTGAGCTGCACCCTGGGCGTCTCCCAGAGGCTGATTACAGGCGGTTGCTTGCAATGGCGGGCGCCAAGCTTGTTGTATTTGGGACGAGAGTCAATTAGGGAGCACATATAGAATGTGCTGAACTCTTCTTCCTCTCGACTATATTCATCATATTGCGGACATAATCTCTAAATTAAACAGTGACTGAACAGAGATCTCAAGTCCTGAAAAGATAAATCAGAAATCAGCGTTCAATTCATGTTCAGTCAGACAAGTGAAAAGAGGCTGTTCAGGTAGAGAAACTCAGTCATTACATTAATATATGAGGAGGCTGATCGGCATTCATACCCAAAGATACTACCTAGGTAAGGTCAGGTGAAGAGAGGTCGTTAGCGTTACTCGATATTGCATCCAGATTATGTATCATAAGGTTTGCGTGAATCGTCTCACTGCCTTACTGGCATTTCGCGCTATTGGTTGGTTCGGATGCTGTTGAAACTGTTCAGACAAGGTAAGTTGATGGGCGGCGGATTTCTTTGATAATTCTGTGTTCTTTCTCCTCGTTGTTGGGACCCCAACTAACTCAGTAGGGGTTGACCATGAGGACGGATCTTTATCGGTGGTTAGCCTAATGCGAAATCCCGAGTTTTCGAGAGTTCCATCTGCACCGCTATAAGGCTACCTCAATTATGACGCGGCCAGATATTCACAAGTGCGATTCGGTAGAGAATGATACGCGGCAATGCTAGGTACGCAGTTGATCGATGATTTGGTATTCATATGCCCAAGAGTCTTGGGAAACTCAAGATGAACGGATTTGGTAGCTGAGAGTTGTATACAAGATGTGGTGATAGGTTGGAACCACGGCCTTTTCAGAAACCAAGTCCCGAGTTCCGACACGATTGTCAAATCACAGAGCGCCAGATAACGAGGCCGGGGTCTCTTGAACAACCGCCAATATCTTAGGCCGCGTGTCTCTCTGGTGCTGGCCAATTACAGCTCATGCGATACTCGTTTGCAAAGGCCCCCGAGTACCACGGACCGTTAATGGTATGACCCTGCCATCATGTTCGTGCTCCGCCGTGGTGGGCACAGCCTACACCCCTGTCGCAGATCACGGACTCTGGAGCACCGCCTAGTGGTAACTGCATCCTTTAATGAACCATGTCTCACCCAACGTTGAGAGGTGTTGGTCTGTTTCTTTCTTTCCTTTCCTCTCTCTCTCATTGACTATTTCTGCACCTGGCATCATCCAACAACAGATTCAAACAAGAGCTTCACAGTCAAAATGGCTCGGCGTTCAACCGCGGTTGTCCTCTCGGTCGCCTTGCTCAACTCCGTTGCTCAGGCTGGATATCCAGGCTGGAGTGGCAGTGGAGGTGGTTATGGTGGGAGTAGACCTCCATGGTGGGATGGTGATGACGGCGGTAATGGCGACGACGGTAACGGTAACAATGGCTCGAACAATAATGGAAATATCAATCAAGGCGCACTGTTCTCCTCCGAGGCCGAGTTCAACAAGGCTACTCGCATCCTCATTGCTCATGCAGTCTTGGCTTCGCTGGTCTGGGTCCTTTTCATTCCATCTCTTGCCATCTTGGTGAGATTGAATCTGAAAGCCCCAATCATCCTCAAACTCCATGCCATTGGGCAGGTCGCCAGCTACATCATCTACATTGTGGCGACAGGCACGGGTATATGGCTTGCACAACAATCCGCTGCATACGGCGTTTGGAACGACCCCCATCCAAGGTTAGGCCTCGCTATTTTGGCAATTGCTTTCTTTCAACCAATCTTCGGCGCGGTCCACCATCGTATCTACAAAAGCCGATCACAAAACGTCGCTGCGGGTAACCCGACAAACCCACCGGGCCGAACTCCGGTTGGAAGGGCTCACCTCTGGTTGGGCCGTGTTCTAATCGCTCTGGGAATCATCAACGGCGGACTGGGGATCAGGCTGGCATCCTACAGCCCATTCCAGACCGATGCAACTTCACAAAAGGCTAGCATTGGTTATGGCGTTGTTGCTGGTGTAATGTTCCTTTTGTACTTGGTCTCTGTCATCGCCTTTGAGATCCGAAGGGCTCGCTTGCAGCTGGCCGAAGAAGAAGAGCGCGAGCGGACTATGGTTCCCAAGGCAGCGTTGCCGACATATGATGAGAGTCAAGAGTGCGTGGGTCGACCAACACGTTACCAATAGGCGCAGAATTGCGGTTGATATGTTTAATACGATCAATGTCATCATCCGCCTTGTAATCTGTGCAACTCCCGCGACAAAGTAATCCACTAGGAGATGTGGGAACCGAGCTATTCTCGCTCGATGTCCTTGGTCGTTTAGCTAGTCCAGCGTGAGTGTAGGTACTCTCCTGTAACGTTACCAAATTCCTGGTATCAACGCATATGGCACCTCCTGTTTGGTCTGAGCCCATTGCTTGCCGTGCTTTTGTGTCATGTAGCTATCCATGACCGGAATGGCTCTTGTCGCAAAATCATAGATGAAAAATGACGCGCCACCTGCACCGAGAGCATAACCCGTGCGCCAGAGAGTGTAGCCGAAGTATGAAACGTTGCGGACGACAGAATACAAGCCGCTCTTGCAGATCTTCCCTTTATTGTCTGGTTTTTCCTTGAATCCTTTGCGTTGAATCTCGCCAACGGTTTCAGTGATGATGCCCACCAGATACCAAGCGGTTCCAAAGTGGATATCGTAATGCGAACAAGAGGGATTGTGTGAGGCAAGTGTAAAGACCAACGAGTTGACAGTGTTGAACACAGTATTGAACACTCCAATTGCAATCGCTGCCGAAGGATACAGGGGGTTCTTGACATGTTCCCAGAATCCAAAATATATGTTTCACCGCGGAACCGACTGAAAAGCCCCAGATCAGACTTTGAAAGGGGTTTAGACCAGTGAAAGAGAGGATTGGACCTCCACTGGGTGGGTTACCAGGTGCTGAGAAACCCAAGCGAGGTGCTATAGCAGATAATGGAGATTTGGAAAGAATGTATCTTTGTAGCAATGGATCAAGCAATCGGAGAAAAGCGCGGTACCGAGCGGAACACTACCCCGTTCGCCGCGCGCGACCAACTCGCGACGTTGACTAGGCATGCTGAGGGAGAACAGTACAAGAACCTGGGGAAACCGTCAAAGACTGTAGTTTACCTGTGCTTCTTCGTCCATGAAGCCGAGTAGAGTATCGTGCAGTCCTGCGCCTGATAGTACGTGCTCTTGATCCTGGGCAGCGGATATCAAGAAAGGTGAGACGCTCGCTGGATCGTCGGAGGTTTCCCGTGATGACCTGATCAAGTCGAGTATATGAAAACCGAACTGGTTTCGTTCAAGATGCGTCATTCAAGCTGGCACGTTGCGGGCGTCGGTGCGGGGTATTCACAACGGCCTGTGACAGTGAGGGAGGTGGCAGAAGATATAAAGTGTGATGCAATGCAAGTGGACGGGTAGAAGATCAACAAAGGCTGCCAGACACTCCGCATCCGCTCAGGGTTTGTCTCACCGAGTTACCGAGTCCTGTGCTGACTGACGATAGGATGAGCTGAGCAGTCAAGGCACGAACTCGACATCCGTCCAGACAGTGTATTAAGCTACAATAGATGCCGTCTGTCTGCACAGATCGGATAGTGCGAATGGCAAGGCCGTTCAAAGCCCACAGCGTGGTGCCAGACATGAAATTAGGTGGAGCGGTTTGTCTGTAATGTGGTTTGAGGAGGCCGCCGAAATGATTGATGGAAGTACTCCGCACTGTAAAGGCAGTAATCGGGCTGCATTAAATTGCCCATATAGTGTTGAATCGTAGGAGAATAGAGGGTGGCATCGGTGGCATTGGTGGTAGGGATGGTCGGTTGGCGGAATGGCAGAATGGGGCTTTGAAAAGCGAGTACATATCTGTACCATGAGACAGACAATTGTAGGGACATGGCGACACCGGATTCAAGGGGGAGGCAGTCATCAACCCGGAAAGGCCAGATATCCAAATCTTCAAGAGATCATAGCCATGGATTTTTTGAGATTCAAGCAGGCATGAGGTGCAAGGGAAAGGTGGCGAAATTCAAGAGGCTAACGTTTAATCCCTACCTCACAGGTTGGACAATAACGACATCAGGTTCTAATGGCTCCAAAGTTGACTTTATAGTATGTCTCTTGCTCGTCGGTAGACCTGGGGTGACCTCTCACCCCACCATGGAGAAGAGCTGAACGACCAACGAAGCCCAACATTGAAAAGATGGGATGGAGTGCTGCTGAACATTGGTGACTTGGCCGTTGAAAATGCTGGGAAGTTGGAGCCTTGGTCGTAGGCCATCGGCAAAACCCTGGGTGCAGCTAACGAATTCATCCGAAAGTGGCGCCATAGCATTCAATCAGGATGCCAGGTCGATAGTCGGTATGCTCGTTGGAGAGGGGACAGTTGAAGTTGCCATCCTTTGGACGTTTTAATGTCGCACGGGTTTTGTTTTGGCGAGGAGTCTCGCCGACGGAATGCATTACATGCAATGCTGAATCCAACACTTTTCCTGCTACCTGGGTGGTACGGATACTGTTTGTGACACTACATCAAACTCTGGGGGATCCAAACTTACTCCCTACTACCATTGCACTCTTTGACGTAGGCAGATTCTTCCGGGCGGCCCGCCGCCTATGACTTGGAATAGGCAGGCCAGGAACCGGCAGGGATTGAAGAGGCAGAGTGAAGTCCAACTGGAAAGGTTTAACTGGAAGTTGGTGGGTTAAAGTTTCTGGTTGCAATTTGCAAGTGCAGTGGCCAGTGGCTGCACCTGCCCTCTCTGCCCACTGCACACTGTCCACCCTGCCTGCCTGCCTGCCCTGCCCGTGCCTGCCCTGCACTGGCCCTGCCCTCGAGCGGTTGCCAAGCCCAGTCCTGGCCAGCTCGCTGCACTGGCATTCACTCTCACTCCTCCTCCGTACTGCACCTGCATTTCCCTCTCCACAACAGAAATCGTACTCCGTACTTCGTAAGACTTGCCACGGCCACACTGACAGCCACTGCACGGCACGGCACTCCAGAGTTCTGAGTAGTAGCGCTCGCGCTCCAACTGGGAACAGCTTGCCGACGTACCTCTACCACCACCAACATTACCCTCTCTGACACTGGTCGAGTCTGTCACCTTCAAATTCGAATTCGAGTCCGAGTTCAAGTTCGAGTTCGATTCGAGCTCAGTAGGTCTTCTTACTCAATATTATTGATTGCTTGCACGACTCATCATTTCTCCACCCACCACTGCAGTCCACCCTCCAACCATCTTCACAACTTGAACGACACCCATCACCAACCCATTTACCACCATCACCACCACACTGCGCCCTGTCGCCTTGCTCATTTCGCGCCGTCTCCTAATTTCCACAGACATCTATCCGTACTCCCGACACTTCAAAGTGAGCCAAACGCCATCCGCCATCATCACCTTCCAGATCCACCTCCACTTCATCTGTCATACCTTCATCTTTCCGCCGCAGTCTTCTTAACCCTGTTCGACGCACGCCCTTACCATTCCTCTCCCACGGCGCACATCCTAACAACCTCATTGTCGTCATTTCGTGGAGCTGCATATACCATGGCTTAGTCTATATCCGACCTTGGCGAGCTTCTCCCTCCGCTCTGACTGGAACAAGCGTTGAAATGGCTTCAATGCAGGACGATGATATGTACCTCTTTCAGGGCGGCCTGGATCAGTCCCAGTCTTTTGCCGGCCAGGACTTCGATACCTTCTTGACCTCTCCCACCCCCGACACCAATCTACAAAACGGCAGCCCTGTTTTCCTCAACCCGAACGACCTGTCCATCAAGCGCGAGACTGATGACTCTACTACCTTTTCCACGACCTCGGCCTTCTCGCGCTCCCCAAGAGACTCCGGTTCCGGGTCGAGCAGCTCTTCCTCAGACTCGCCAAATTACTGGGCGAATCATACCAAAGAATCCACCGCTTCGCCTCGTGCTCAGAACAATGCCCAGCCCACCTGGGGAAGTGGCATCAACGGCTTCTCTATGCCCTCTAATGAGCAAATGTTCGACGACACATCAATGGCTGGCATGGACCCCGACTATGAAACAAGCAATCAGCAGATGGCTTCAGACTTTGACTTTGACACTGCCGCCAGCACTCCGAGTGGTTTCGATCCCTTAGCACCAAACAATCTCAGGCCTGCCATGGCTCCTCAGCATTTTGTGCGACAGTCAAACTACAACGCCTTCGCAAAACAGCCTCCGGCAAAGCCCTATCCAAATGCTGGCCAGCCCCAGTTTTTCTTCCCTGGCTCGCGGGAAGCCTCCCCTCTAGCTGCGATGCTCCCCTCCAACCAAGGCCAGTCGCCTTGGAACAAGCATTCGCCCTCCTCGGGCCTTGAAGAGACTTTCAATCATATCACTATGAATGGTGACTCTCCAGGAAATGCCACCTTTTCTCCCAATCTGCAGTTCTCGGCCACTGGCTTTACCTTTGATCCCGAGTCAAGCACCACCCCGTCCACTTTCAATAAAGACACTTCTTCTCCACCCTCCACCATCAATTCCACAGAGGGCGGCCCCTTGCTCACCGTGCAGCCAACATCTCTCAAATCACGGGTCGAGACCCAGATTCCCATCAAATTGACCTTGTCACAGCTACCCGCAACCATCAAGAAGATTAGGCTCCCAAGACATACAGTGTCTAAACCAAAATTCCTTGCAAAGCCACCACCAGAGCGATCGTCCGAGATCTATGAGTTACATACCTCTCTCGTCTGTACGAGTGCGATGCAGGACCCCGTCAAACTACAGCGGGCCTGGGCTCGAGCTAGAGGTGAAGACCTCAGTCCATATACTCGCCCGAGCCCCGCTTCTTCCTCCGACTCCCAGACATCCAAAGATGACGAAGACAAGCCATTGGACGGCGGGGAAGTGAGAATTTGTACTGGTTGTATACAGAGAGAGAGGAAACGGGCGTCCAGGAAGAAACAAAAGAAGCCTGAAGAGGAAGAGATGTTTCAACGGGACGAAGAACGAAGAGTTGTCGTCTTCAACACCAACGAGATCAAGGAATGGGTTGAAGCTACTCAGGACAACCCGACAGGGAAGGGATCAGAGTCTCAGACCTCAAGTGCAGTGCAGGTCGAACTGCCCATGCGCATAGCTTGCTATTGCCGACACCAAAACGAGAAGATGGGCTTCCAAGTCATCTTTACCATCAAGGATTATCGAGAAAAGGTCATCGCCCAAGCCATGACCAATCCTATTATGATCACGGACGACCACAAAACACACAATACGCCTGCGGTTGCCACCAACGTGCCAAACACCTTGTCCAACCCCGGACCTCAACTTCCTGGCTCGGGCGTCTTTTCCTCCACTGGTCTCGACCAGCCTTCTGCGGTTGCACAATTGAACCCCAAGTCATTCAAACAGTCATTTTCCACGACGGATTTGCATGGTCTGCAACATAATTTCAACCCCAATTTTCCCATGGCGACATCAAGCAATCCCTTTGCCATTCCGTCCACTATGTCGAACCAGACATCGGCAACGCTTACGCCAAGAAACCTGTCTCGTCCGGCCTCTCCCAGCGGGCCTTCTGGACCGAACACCAAAAGAAGGAAACAGAGTGGCTCGGGCAAACTGCCGTCTGGCTTGATGATGACCCGGTTGGACACGTCGCAAGCGCCTGGTGCCTCTGCAACAATGCCCAATACGGCCGCGTCATCCCCATACGCTCCAAACATGTCCGCTTACATGGGTCACACAGAGAGGCCATTTGCCGTGCCTCACAGGAATGCTCCTTTTGGTACGAGCCCTCCCACTCCCAATGGACATGACACCTCGTTGCTTTCAAACGTCAATCGTTCTTTCAGCTTGGAAAATCTTCCCCGTCAGGTGTTGATTTCTGCACCACCCTCTCGTCAACCTAGTCGCCCCAGTAGTCCAGGATCAGCACGTAATAGCTTTGGAGCAGCCGACGCCGCGTTCGGACAAGCTGTAACAACTTCGTTGATGGGACAAACACAACCTGCCCGCCGTCCTCCTCCTCTGATACACAAACTTGTTCCTGCGGAAGGCTCCGTTACTGGTGGGACGGAAGTGACGGTACTTGGAAATGGCTTCTATCAAGGCTTGGAAGTCATGTTTGGTGACACCGAGGCTACCACGACGACTTTTTGGGGAGAAAAGTGCCTGAATTGCATTGCCCCTCCAGCACTACAGCCAGGTGTTGTTGCTGTGGTATTCAAACACGATCGCAGCCAATATACTGGCCTACAGCAACAAACTCAAGCACGCCCCTCACTATTCACCTACGTGGACGACCGGGAATTGGAGACTTATCGATTGGCTCTGACCACTGTGGGAAAACAGATGGCACACCCCACCGAAGACCCTTGGACGACGGCACAACAGATTATTCAACAAGGTCAGGCCCATTCCATGTGGTCCACACATGGCAACTATGGCATGGGAAATGGACATCAGCGAGGATCTGGGACAAACGGGGGTCTTCCCTTTGATGCTCTCGAGCTCGAGGGTGCTATGCTCCGTGTGTTGGAGCATATGGACGACGCGCGAAGCGTCAGGTCTCCAAACTTCAACCTTCGCAGGCCTTCCGGGCTAACCTTACTGCACCTGGCCAGCTCCCTCGGCCTAACTCGTTTTGTGGCCGGACTGCTCGCCCGGGGAGCCAGTCCACATCTCACTGATAACAATGGGCATACACCCATGCACCATGCCGCGATGAATGGTCACACCCATGTCATCCATCGTCTTCGAATGGCAGGTGCTGATCATAACGTGCGCAGCATTCGAAACTTCACACCTGCCGACCTCGCCACCTCGCTGCTCGCATACCAGGCTACCATGAGTGCCACAGGGCACTATCGATCCCGCAGCGCTGGAACTACACCTCTGAGGCTGCATAGTCGCAGTACATCATCACTACGGTCATTCTGGGACAACGCATCCAACGTTCAAACGTCCACAGACTTGGAGGTGTCGGATGACTCGGATGAGTCCAACAGTAGCGATGACGAAACGCCCATCATGGTTTCTTCCAGGGAACTGGACCTTGGCAATTCCATGGGTCGCACGGGTGTTCGCAAAGCTGCACTCAGTGTATCACAGTCCAGAAGGAATAGTGGGCAGTACTCTGTCCCACCGGCCACGACCTTCCCACCAAAAGAGGCAGGCACAGCACCTGCTGTGGCCGTCTCTGCCTTTATGTTGGCTTGGCGTGATCACCTTGTGGCTCAGCTACAACAGTTCAATGAGAGTGCCCAGTCCGTTATGCCCAATCTTGGGAGTGTCAATGGACCTCTGGCCACACTTCAGGAATATCAGGCGAATCCCATGGTGCGTCGAGTCAGCTCACTTTGGCCTCAGCGTCCAAACTCGAGGCAGCAAGGAGGTTCCCGTGAAGGATGGTGGGAGACTTTGACCGGCGGCGCATCTCCAACACCATCGTCACCACCCGCTTATGGCGACCTATTTCCCGACAAGGATTCGCCAACTGATGATTGGAGCATTAAGAAATCCTCCACTCTGCAGGCTGCTGCCGATGCCGCCGCAGATATGCATTTCGCACCGCGTGAAGACAAAGCAGGACCCTCAACGGCCGTGTCTCGGCCATCACAAAATCCACCGATTCAAAGAATCGAGCTCAGTCGCGATAGAAAATTGTTCTTTTTCTGGGTGAGTAATCCCAGGCTTGAAGAAAGCTCCTTCCTCCCTCTGACATTGATTCACAGATTCCTGTACTTGCCATTGTTCTGGCTTTGATGATTAGAAGCTCAGGCATTCTCAATGTATTTGCCACCTCCGCGAACACGATCCCAGCCGCCTTTGGGAAGGAAACCGTCGAGGTGATGTAGATTTGGACTATGGGGGTTTGAGGAAATGGAAATACGTCTCAGTAGTGGACATGAATCAACCCAGGTTTGGCTTTTGGCAGCTAATGATCGACTCGAGGCTATTTATTTGTAGATGCGCACTTCTATTTGGTTGATAGATATGACTTAATTACGATTCCACAATTATACCCGTCTTGTCCTTGTTTGCCAACGTTTGATTATGCTCGCGGTTGTCGTGATCATCCCGTTCCAACCTCAAGCCCCAACTGACAGCTGGTCAATTTTGTCGGATATACTAATCCGGGATTTTTCTCGGAGTCGGAGCTGCACTTGGGCTGCAGATGGAGAACGGCCCGCAGATCGACTAACCTGATGTGGACAGCGCCGATCCCTTGGACGCTCAGGCTTTTGCTTCGACTTGAACTTGAACTTGAAGTTGAAGTTTGAGTCAAACCTGAACTCACGGACCTGCTCTCCATATATCCACTCGGATGCGAACACGATTTTCTCAAGTTTACGTTTTAAGCTTAATCCACTGCACACACATCCCCGACCCAAAGGGTAATGTAACGACTTGACTGGTCATGTCCAGAGATATGAGCGTGAATAATTCGGATTATGAGAGTCAGCATGTCCACGACGTTTACGAGAAGATTGCGGCACACTTTTCATCGACTAGATTCAAGGTTGGTTTGCCCACGCGTGTCCTCTTGATCTTGATCTTTTGTGATTCGACGGCTTTGCAAAGATGAAACGCCAGGGTTGACGAGTGCGATTTGACTCTTGCTGTAGCCGTGGCCAGTGGTGGATGAATTTTTGAAAACGCTCCCACCAGGATCTGTGGGGTTGGATGTTGGATGTGGGAACGGGAAATACTTGGCCGTCAACAACAGCGTGTTCATCGTAGCCTCGGATAGGTATGGTCCCCTCTATCATCAATGCGCCCTTGTGCCACCCTGAAAGCCATTGGTGTTACTGATCACTCCTCGCCAGGTCGCGAGCCCTGGTTCAAATTGCTAGACAGCACGAGCCGCATAGTGCCATCCTCGCCGACACACTCAGCCTGCCACATCCGACATCGAGATTTGACTTCGCCATCTCGATCGCTGTAATTCACCATCTTTCATCTCCTGCACGGCGAATCGAGGCCATCAGATCAATCCTACGCACGTTGAGACCCTCGACCGACCGATCGCGAGGGGGCCAGGCATTGCTGTTTGTGTGGGCGTTGGAACAAAAAACCAGCCGTCGGGGCTGGGACCAAGGCGACGATCAAGATGTCCTGGTTCCTTGGGTGCTCAAGCCCGATCCGGCGGGTGATCCCACCCAGGCTCCGGTAACCTACCAGCGCTACTACCATCTCTACCGTGAGGGCGAGATTCAGAAGGACGCGATCGCTGCCGGAGGCCACGTCGTCAAATATGGCTATGACCGGGACAACTGGTGGGTGATCGTCGAAAAGAGAGAGGTGAAAGTCTAGCATATCTTGTCAAATCTCGTATCCAGCCTCGTGGACCAAGTATAATTGACTGGATGTTCATGATGGTTCTTTATTTGCTACATTACAACAAAATCCAGTGGTCCTAATTCCGCCAACTCAAATATGTATTATGTTCCGAAAGTGCATCATTGCATTGCGCCCGCTCCTCAACCCCGCGTTCCATACATGTCGCTGAAGGAGAAAGAGTCATAAGCTGGACCGTGTTCACCGAAAGGGTGCGTTGCGTCCTTTGGCGTGGTTGTACAGGTGGTGGTGAAAAGGATCCGAAGATTGGTATGGTGGCGCGGCTGCATACGCAGGCAATCCCGCGGTCAGCTCGGCGAGCGACGGCAGTTGCGGAGGCCCCTGGTATGATACATCCGGCGGCAAGGACTCGCGTCGTAGACGTGGTCCGGGTCCAATATGTCGCAAATGCGAACGGGGTCCCAGATTGCCTGATTCGTAGTGGTTGGAAGAGTTGTTGAGGGAAAACGGTGTGACTCCAGCGCGTTTGGCCATCTCGTGTTCACCCATTTGCCAATGCATTGCTTCGACTGCTCTCCACGGCATGGCCATTTCTTCAGCAACTCTGGCCCACATGTCGGCACGGAATCTAGGTAGGAGGACGAGTCCCATCAGCAAAAGCGATTCAGGCAACGCGGGTATAAGGTTTTTGACTTGATAGTTGGGCAATGTTCGGTGCGACGTTTCTCAACATACCGTTCGTACAACCTGGCGAGCTTATTCTTGCGGTCTTCGTCCCATTCACTCCTCCGCTCCAGGTAGTTTTGGTAGTGCAATCGACAACTGATGGCACTACGACCTGGCAGATGTTTGCTGATATCCTCCCACTTCATGCCATCCTGGCGAAGTTGGATGATTTTCGAGTCCTCGTCTGGGGACCATTTGGACTGCTTCTTTGCAGGAGACGTGGTGTTGTATTCCAGGCTCGAGGCAAGTCTCTTGGCTGGCACCACCGAGCGAGCCGTGGGCGGCACGGGAGCCACGCTGGTGGCGATGCTGGATGTGGCCGATTCTGACAATGTTACGGAGGCGGGGGAACTGGTTGAGTGGCGGTCGGCGTCTTCCTCGGACTTGATGAGCGATGAGATATCCACGTTGAATACTGGGTGGTAGACAGAGTTGGGAGGGGAGTCCGAGAGGTTACAGGAGCACCGTGGAGCTGTGCTGCCATATACTCTGGGGATGCTAGATATAATGAGGAGAATGGATGTGATTTGGCATCAGGCTGAAGAAGCAACCAAGTCTCTACTAATACCAGACACTATTGCCCGGAGATGCTGGGACAGGGCGGGTTGTGGATTGTGGCGAGACAAACTATGCGCCGGCGTTTCCACCAGCCGTTCCAAGCAAATGGATCAACGGCGGTCAGAAACGTGATGGTGTTGATGCCAGGATTTTCAGAACAACACAGCCAAGGCGGTCAGTAGTTGTCAGGGATGGGACTGTGAAGACACGACGATATTGGTGTTGGTTCTGGTGCTATGTTCTAGTTGGATTTCCGTGGGATACGAGTAATAGTATAAACTCAAGAGATGGATGGGATGGATGGATGGCTCCTCGAACAAATTGCGGTCTGGAAAGCGGGCCAGTTTGGCCACGACTGATGCTTGGTGGTTAGTATCTTTGGTTTTCTGCAGGAGAGTAGACAACTCGTAATGGCCCTTGCTTCTCGATTTGGCACTGGCACTGGCACCTGTTGGCAGCCTCAGGGCTCATGGTCAGGTCGGCTCAGATCAGACCAGGTCATGCTGGATGGGATCGGGGTTCACTGGCAGGGCAAACGTGCTCGAACCGGTTTAAACCAAAGCCTGTCCCAAATCCCCAGCGTTCCTCACTAAGGCACTTCGCCTCCAGGTTCTCAAAGTCTGAGACTGAGCACTCGGTACGGATCACTCCAGACAATTTAGATCCCACTGCCACAGCGGTTACCGGCGTGGACGCCATGGTGTTCCGGCGTTCGTGTTGAGAAACTTGAGATGGATCCCTCGACCGCCTCTGGGTCACGCCTGACATCGTGGCTGTCTTTCTCGCACTGGGGAACGCGGAAGGGATCCATTTTTCTTCGTCCCAGTCGGTGTTGAATTTTGGACTTTTTTGGATTGAGGGTCGATGAGCTACAAAGTCCCAGGTCGGTCGGTCCACTATCAACCCAACGCTACCCGTTGCGCATGACCGGGGTGCGCACAGGGAGGCTTGCAGCGGATGCAGCGCTACGAGGTTCCTGGTCCAGCGGAGCAAACTCGCGTCAAACAGTAGTGCACTTACGGAGGACTTGGTAGGCGAAGACGGCCCCCCTCGGCCTGACAGTTTGGACAGAACGATGCGATAGGGTTCATGAGATTTCATTGTGATGTTCGTCTTGACGTTGGTGGCAGAAGTCTAACTGTGGCCTTAGTGGCTCGTTCAAAACACCCATCATCTCGCCAATGCTGTAACCCTGCAAGAAGCAGGTTCACAGCCTACTCGCACCTAAGGCGTTGGGTCTTGATGCTCTGACAATTCCCTTTTCAACCCAAATTCTATCCACACACAACGGCGGATTTAATGTGATTTTCCCCTTTCTGGAATCACCATTTCCCCCCACAGTCCCACCGCCTACGAGTGTGCACGAAGTATGAACTTGCTTGTCCTGCCTTCTGAAGTCGAGGCCAAGTCTCCGTATCTACCTACGAGTACGAGTAGGTAGGGATGGATCCAGCGAACACCCACCCCTAGCGGGACCGCCCGTATCGAGCCATCTTGACGACTCGGTACTCCACCTCAAATTTCTGTGGCAGTGAAATTTGCAGGCATCTTGCCTCCTTTAGTCTTCTCGATTCAATCACCACCGTTGCCCTTCAGTCTGTTGATCACTCCTGAATCCTGAGTGATCCGAAAACAGCACAACGAGAGTTTAGCCACCTCGAGCAAACACCCGTCAGATACTCGGAAAAGGCTAGCCGGTTGCGGGAACGGACGCAGCAGACCTCAGTTGGGTTCACTTCCCTGCCAAGTCACAGCACGAACCACTAGTTAGATCAGGGTGAGCCAGGGCGCGGGCCGATCTGGCCCAGATTTCAGCACGGTCGTGCTGGATTTGATGGTATTTTCGAACTATCATTCGTCTCACGATCAAACGAGTTTAGCCTACTCGAATGAGGAGAGTGCCCTTTTCGTCTTTACTGCTTTCCATCTCTGCTGGCCATGCCTCGAAGAACTTGAACGGGCTAGAAGTTTTCAGGAGTGAGGCGGATTAAAACTTTGGACCGGAGGACGCCAGGGCCCAGGGATCCACTGGAAAAGCTGACAGCCTCAGACACGGCGAGACGGTCAATCACCCGCAGGAGGGAGAAGCCAAAACACTAAACCCAGCCCCATCAGCAAACAGCAAACAGCATGCAGGTTCCTGACTTCCATGGCCAGAGACCATCCCTGACTGGCATTGGGATCGGGATTGGGTCCTCCATCATTGTCTGCAAGTAGTTAACCGCACAATGTCGATAAGGCCTGGTGTGGAACATCTTGCACTTTGTAGCACCTCAAGTTACCGAGTAGATTACGCAGCTAGGACTGTAATCGCGAGCAGGAGCAGCAAGACGCAGCGTCATCGTTAACAAGTGCCTCGGAAACTTACACCAGGCAGTGCAGTGACGCTCGATCCTTGACCAGAACAATTCATCCAGGTCGTGGCTTGTCGACGGTTATTCCAACCAGGGTTGGCAAAAGACGGTGTCTAGACCGCCATTTCTCCAACGACCAACGGCCCATTATTCATTCAACCATGATGCTATCATCACGACAAGACCGTCCATATCTACCTCATAGCTACGTAGTATACGACGGAGACGGAGCTAAGCCATGGGCCCGCTTGGGCAGCTGCTGCCCATGAACCTGCGATGATCCTAGTGGTGTCAAAATCATAATATCGAAACCGACCTGGGGCAGGTTAATCACGTATGCACGACCCACGCCACAGCCTACGAAGTACGATTTAATCCTCACATCACGCGGACCGTTGAACCGCGATTTAGATGGAGAACAATAGAAGTCATGTGCTTCGTCATAAAAACGATGATGCGGTTGACCGTTAAACAGGTAAACGTCGAGGTCAAACGCAGGCGCCCTCGTCAGACATCATCGACGCAGATCACGGCTGGTCCAGTTATGGACAGAATTTGACGGTTCATGATAGCATGGAGACTATGTCATCGACTCAAGGTGATTATCTCTGTCTGGGACAGAATTCAAAAACTCGAAGATATGTAACCATATACAAGTCCGCAGGGCAACATTGCTTGAAACACCTCGAGTTTGGTGGTGGCCAATGAAGCACTACTACTTATCTTATTTTCTGCGAAGATATTTTGAATACTGCCAGTGGCCCGCATTGGTTCCAGTGGTTGCCAATCGAGACCTTCTAGGAGACTCCTTGACTCCAGAATCATTGCTGAGTCGTACCCATGAGCATTTCTGCAACTGCGTCATCTATCTCAACCTGATCCCTTCTGGAATCCGATCATCGATGAAATTAATGTGTCGTTCGATTCGCTTCCAAGGATGGGTACTCTAAAGAATACTCCTTACGGCGGTGGTACTATTTACTATTGGGATTGAACCGGTTCTGTTCCCTCTAACAAACATGCACATTCTACGCCGTCCTTGTACCTGTTTCTGTTTCTGTTTCGCCTGGCTTGGTTGACTGAAGACGAGTAAGGCTCAGCCAACACGGCAATGATTGATGAGACCTTGGACATTCAACAATGGTATATAGCTTGTTCGAACTCTTGTTGTAAGTGTATCACTGCCAGTATGGGCCGCGTCAAGGTTGGTTACAAACCACTTGGAGTATCCGCTATGATGTATTCGATAACCCCGGGTCAGAGCAAGGTTCTTTTTCTCCAATTTATACTTTTTCGGATAGGATTGTTCTCCCACGCTAGCTAGCGGTCCTTGGCGGTCGTCGACCTGCTTGCACTTGTGAGAGACTGGAACAAACCCCCAGCCTTGTCGTCTCCCGAACCCCTATCCTTATTAGAGTACTGAATACCCTCATACGAACTAGTTTGCCAGGAGTGCAAGGTATGGAAGCCTCCGGATACTGCACTGTTGGACAGGATGATGAGCAGGCCATCATAAACCAATTAGACTTTCGCAAGATGATTATTCTCCTTGTCGGCGATTTCCAGGGTGGCTTCGCGGAAGGATGTCCCTGTGCTGTCAACCTTAGGTTGGTGGCCGCTACTTAGAACGGGGACATATGGTGTGTTCCGATTTGTTGGAAGCGTCAGGATTCAGCAAATGCGGCATCCAGATCTTGCTGTATTACGAGTATTGTTTGCGTTCTTGTATCCGCTCAGGCGAGGATATTACCCGCATTCAAGTTTCAGCTCGCTTCGACCAGAAAATGCATTCCCGTCTTGGGTCCAACGGGGAAACTCCTGATCGGCTGTTTGCCTGTCGAGAACAGTAGTTGCTCTCATTCATCTCGACCTATCCAAGAACACGGTGTTCCATTGATCATTTCTCCTGCCGCCGTCATGGAAAAAGGCCCGTGTAACCATGAAGTGAGGTATCTAGGTAATCAACCGAGATCACCAGGACTGTCTGGTAGCCCCGAGTCTAGGTGTGTTGCTGTCTGCACAAAGCATGAAGGGAAAACCATGGACAGACCCGAAATTCATAGCTGGTTGGTGCTGATGTCTGTCATTGCTGTCAATCGTGTCACTATCGCGTTCAGGCATGACATCTCCAGTGGCCCAGTTTGGCATGCAGCCTGGCACGGATTGCGTTTCCCTGCTGTCAAATCACTGTCTACTCGGTATAGGTATTATTGACAAGCAGTGCTGCTCTCGATCACCAGTCCCATCCCAGCTACATGCCGATCACGTGTAATGGAACGCGTTCGATCACTATGGACGTTCTCTTGTGGCTGTCCGAGTGTTACTCCGTACGTGATTTCAATATGCCCATGCTTGAATCGGAAGAGTCCCCTGACTACAAGCGAAAGTGTCTCAATGAGGAGTTGGGTCGGTGGGTAAGCTGAACCACACATCCCTCTTTGAGACGTCGCATCATCGTATCCCCTGCTATGCGCCACGCTAAAAACGATGGAGGATGGAGGACAGGAACGAGCCATTTTCGGCCAAACACATTCTTGACTTGGCTCCAAATGTTGTGGCATACTTCGTTGATATCAACCTTTTCTGTCCCTTTCTTTCCGATTTTCAATTCTATCGAGTGCTTCGTGTGCCTGTCGGTCGAGTTGCCGTTGACTGTGAACCTGCGACCGACTGATCCAAGCCTCACCTGCAGAATGGCCAAAGTTTCTTGAATGTCTAAATCTCCTTCGCAGGATGGCCATGTCATGCTGCCAGATCCGTCGAAGGCCTTGTAAATCACTAGTAGTAGCTTGAATGGGACACTGTGGCGTCGAATGCTGTGAGGCCTCTGGGCAAGTGGAAGGCTGGAATTTCAGGCAAAGACACGGCTGAAGAAACGAGCACTGCAATTTCGCTTGTTGGCGAACCATCCCCGGAACTCCGGAGTGGAAGGGTTCAGCTTGGTCAATGTCAGAGGTGCAGATGTTACCTCGTACTGGATAAAACTCGACACAGACTACACCAGTATACGTACTCGGTATGGTTCACCAAACGTCGTGGGGTTGAAAGGATTCCAGCGAAGCCACCGGTTCCACACGACTACTTCACACTGTCGTCAACAGTCGACCACTTTCGATAGTTGCTGGATTTTCCCATCCAAAGTCTCCTGCTTTGACCTTAGTCCATGGGTTGGGCTGGAACTTTCAATTCGGGATGCCGACTAGCTGTGAGCCTAAGCCAGGACGAGATATTCGTACTTGGAATCTGTCTGGCGCAGTGTATATTCGTATCCGCATCGAACTATCTTGGCTGCAGAGAAACAGGGTCGTACTGTGCCACAAGAGGATGGTTTTGGATGGTGGACACCCGAATGATGATCGTCACTATTAGCACGTAATGTTAACATTTCCCTGCCGTGTTCATTGACCATGATTGAGTTGGTCAAACGCCTGGGAGACGGTGCATCATGATATTGTGATTATGTTTCTTTGATGCAGTCTCCAAGTCCAAAGTCCGCTTCTGCCTTCTCTCGCAGATAGTTGGCGAATTTGCCTTGTTCCCTCTCCTGGCTTGCCTTTGCTGCCTGGTTCTGCCAAGTCTTTTCGTAGAAGCCATCGGCAAGATTAGTCTTGAATTTGGCCACAGCGCTTCTGAAATATGGGTCCTCGAGCAGGAACTCGGGAGAAATGGGACAGAGGAGGTGGCCGGAGTTGTCGGAGTGGTACTTTCGGTACTTCTCCGGCAGGCTGTCGATGATGACCTTTTTCTGAGTTTCGTCGTAGTCTGAGTTCCAACCTGAGATGCAGGTGACGAGGAAGGGCAGAATCTCCTTTGAAGCCAAGGGCGAGGATGAATTGAGGATTCGTGAGCATGACCACGGGCCTGAGTTTCTGGTGGGAGCATTCTTTCTTGCGGGTGGCATGCTTGTGGGGAGGGCTCTTGTCCGCGGTGGTGGGTGGATTTTGATGAGTGGTTGATATGGTTGATATATCGATCTTGAAGCAGCTCGACTTTGAAATGCCCTCCTGTATATGGATTCCAGATTCACTTGGGCTGGGCAGAAACAGAATTGAATGTGAATCTCTCGGAAAGGCCGAACAGTTGATCCGATGCCGAAAGACACCTGCGTCGTAGGAAGTTACCTGATGCTGTAGCCAGGCAGTTGGCCAGTTCCTACCGTAAGTTGGTGGCAATACTTTAGGTATGTGTCTACCTACCCAAGGTACCCAAGGTCACAGCCATATCCAATACTCAATCTTGAACGTGTGACCAAGAACAGGAATCGGATTCAAATGCTGCCCATCTTTTCACATCACTTGGGTTGTTTCATCACAATAAAAGCCAAAATCTGGGTTTAATTTCAAGCCCGTCTGTTCACACGCACCCGGAAGGACTGTCCAACATTCGTTGTTCAAACCGTTGGTTCTGGTGTTGGTGTCCAATGTCACGGGCGGCGGTGGCTGGGCTGGGCGGATCTTGCGTGAGCCTCGGCATCCTAATCCTGACGACTTCAACCATCCATCTCATCATCTCTCCCACCACCATCTGCATCCAATCTTGCACTCATTCTTTATCCTAATCATCAAGCCGCTCCTTTCCTTTCATCCCTCAGGAGGCCCAAACCTTCCCGGAGTTTCTTTCAGTCTGTCCACACCCGCTGGATGGGACGGTCCCAACTCCAAACATGGGTTCCTCAACCCTGCGCCAGACCGTTCACGCGACCGTGAGTTCACTCGCCTTCGCCTCCTCCGAACTCTCAAAGGTCGCTCGCAATCTACCATCCACTTATTCAAGCTATGTCGCTTCCAACTCCTCTTCCGTATCCACCATCGAGAGCAGCCTTCGCTCTTTGACATATCTACTGCCTGGTGCTCGCCTCTCCGACACCGAAATTGCTTCCGAATCAGTTCATACATTCGTCCAGTTACTATCTATCTATCACGATCATCTCCTCAAGAATCGTTCGGCACTGTTGGCTTTGTCGCCGACTGTCCTGAAAGCCCAGAATTTGAAAATCCAGAGACCCAAGCCCTCCCTTCATGCCCGCTATACCACCTTTTGGTCCACCTCCTCCTCTCTCTACACCAAGATCGCGACTTTACTGAAAATTGCACAATACACAGAACTTCTATGGGAAATGATGGCGCGCCGGCGAGGCGGCGAAAGACTGCGATGGCGTGTTGTCATTCTTTTGGAATCATTCAAGGCCATCTGCCGCTTTTTATTGATGAAGCTCACCAGTGTCCGACCACTTGTACAGTCACCACTTCCGCTGAGAGAGGACTTTGCTCCCGTTGAAGAGGAGAATCAGGACCAAGATCTCTTGGAAGACGAGTTGCTCATGGCTCGTGGCGCCGATTTCGATGTCAAGGATGCTCTGGGAGTTGCAGGTGTACCCACACCACCACGCTCCGATTCAGGAAAGCCATCTTCTCTCTCGACCAGCGAGGCATTCAATATGCCCAGAACTGGCTACACCCTCCCAACCCTTCCTACTCCAGAAAGTGTTTCTGCGTATCTGTTAAACCATGTCCTCACGGCCGATGACGTGAAACCAGCAAAGCAGCTTCTGCACCAGCTGACAACAATGGGCGGCCAGGCAGCCGAAATCTTGTATATCGTCCGACCCGTAATATATGCCTTACTCATGCAACGGGTTGCTCGGTCTTATGGCTATGAAGGCACCAAATGGAGGCGACACTGGACACCTTGGCTTACTGGCATCTCAATCGAGTTCCTGGCACGGCAGCTAGCTAAGCGAGACCTTGCAGCTCGTGTTCCTGGTGGCGCGAGAAATGGTTTGTCGGCTTTGGAACGAGACGAGCTTAAGAAACGCGGCTGGAATCTCGCCTGGTGGGGTATGAGAGGAGCCTTTTACGAAACTATCACCAAGAAATGGATCCATGGCGCATCTAATGCTTTGAAAGGCAAGCCGCTTCTGGATCTAGCCGGCGGCGTAATAGAAGATTATGAGTTCTTATGGGGTAGTTATTATTTCAGCACGTCAACAATGTAATTTCATGGGCATGGTTTCATGCTTACGTTCCACTTTGTATTCGAATGATTGCAAATCATTCTCAGGAAAGAGTTGGTCTGATTCCCTCCACGAAAGCATTGTGGACCGCCATCCTCGAGTGGTCATGTTCATGTCCCTATTCAGACCAATAAGAGGCCTGGATGATGCTATCACCGTCTACCAGGCCATAAATTCACGAATTCCACGCATCAAACTTCATTGTCCACTTCCAGAGCTTGCCAACTAATACATTCTACGAAGGCTCGTCGTCATTCTCCCGTTTCCGACGCCGAGCCTCACCCAGCCAACTTGTTGAGTGAATACATCCACCCGCCGAGAAAGATATCTCAAGTTTACTACATTCACTGTGCCGTTATTCACAGAACAATGCTACCAGTGCTTAACACAAACCCCTCTTTGCCGAGCCCTGGCTCACACAAAGATCAATTGAGAAATGTCTGGCTTGCTTTGATCATCCTCAAATCTCTACTCTCCTGTCACCGTCATTCTGAACCTTGAGCCACCTCAAACCCATATTTCAGCACACCCTTCCAAAGATCAGAAGCATGGCATATGTCTTGATGCCTTCAACAGCTGCTGCTCCAGGCGGGGTCCCTTCCAAGCGAAAGAGCGGCGACGCTGACAACCCAGTCTACCTTGACGACTCCGACCTCGACTCTGGTTGTGACTCCAGTCTTGTGGGCACTTTGCCAACCACGAAGCGGCTCAAGGCTGAGCCCTCAACTGCTACGCTTCTGACACCACCTCCTAGTGCCGAATCTTCGTCTCGGCGTGGCGCGCGCCGTGAGAGCGACCCACCAGCTCCTCTAGGCTTTCCAGATATCGCCTACGAATCCGACAGCGAGTCCGACACAGATTCCGACATCACAGTTGCGTACGTCGTCGAGGCCATGACCAACGCGCACGGCGAAGTGGATTTGAACCGCCTCGTCAAGGTCCTAGATGGAATGTCGAGAAACACTCACATGGAAGAGCTCCGGGAAGAATTGCAGAGGAAACGTAATCAGCTCGAAGAGTTCAAAGAATATGTCGAGGAGTGCGAAGAAGAGTACGTCGAAGCAGGAGTCAACCATGATCACCATCTCCAAGTCTACGAGTCTCTCAAGGCCCTTGGCAACGCGTCCCGCTATGTTCTGAGGGCCGCACGTAACAACCTGCGCATTGCGAGGCTTGAACTGGAGCAAGAGCGAGCAGACTTCGAGTGTGTGTGCGAAGGCCAACGTGCTCATTTCGATCTTGTGGCAGCGGCTTCGGAGCTAAAGGATATCTTTACGCAGTTGTGGGATATGTACGAAACAGTGAACACACCTGGTACCAGCACTGCGGTCGCCGACCTCGGCTCGCTTTTCACTGAGTGTGCATATGGCTTTCAACTCCGAGTCGCCATCACCGCCGCCCGTGACAAGGCTGCCTTGGCCGGGGTGGTTCTCGCAGGTGCATTGGAGTACCTGAGGCTTGACATTGATCAGGATGAAGACCGGGATGTCTGAGTGGAGGACGGTCTCTGGTGAGAGTACCAGCGTGAACAACGCAGGTGGTTGACAGGGCTATGTTGGTATAAGATGACTGTTGAATGGTGTGCGATGGCTACGATGATCTGGTTTACAAGGACAGGGATGTGGACTGTACGATACCCAAGTCGAAGGTATTCTTACTCATAGTCCAATTATCAACCTGCCACAGAAGTCCACGACAACACATCGCGAAGACGCTCATGTTGGATAAGAAAGTGGATTCTCTCAAGCGACTTATCTTGTGCTGAAGTGCCAATGGATTCAACTGGTCTCAACGTCATGTCTCGCGCTAGGCAGAGAAGATGGATTCATATCGCCAAGATAATCAATCGTGGAGTAGCAAACGAGAATGAGAAGAGTTCAATTCAAACAAACCAAGAGCCACCATAGCATCGAGCATTGACGCAATGTTTGTATTGTTCCACTGTGTCTCAATAGACGACGGATAGAAACCCTGGATATTTCTTCGCGCAGTGGTTGATACTGCCAGTCAGAAAAGAGATTCGAGACAGATTCTAGAAACAGTCAGGACAAGAATCGAAGGGATGTTCATGATTTGCATTGCTTTGGTCGACACCAGCTGTGTCTGTAAAGATTCTGCTTCATTTGCAGAAACTCCCTTCCAATGAGGTTATCGTAGGTCGTGACGCTCGCTGATATCATGCAGAACGAGTTACTGGAAAACTCGGTCCACGCAATACTTTTTTTTTTGGCATGGACAGCCGCGCTGTCTGAATGAATGGAAATGCTGAGTAGGCACAGATGGAGTCATCCGGCTCTGCTCAAGTCTGTTTGATACATTGATTGGCATGGCATCCTTGGATCCCATATGATCTCGGGTCACCGACGAAAACTCGTGCGAAATTCGCCTGCTCATCCATCCTCCACTCCACCATTTGTCCTGCATCGCAAAGACCTCCGAGTCTCTCTCGCCTGGAATCCCTTCGCCTTCAAGCAGATTCCTTTCCACCAAATCACATATGGTCCCCAGGAGAATATCCGCGCTGTCGTGAGAAATTTCGGGAAATCGTCGTTAATTTTGCTCGAAATGCACTTTTTAAGTCATGTCATCATGAATGACTCTCGTACAGCTTGGATCTTCACACCGCCGAGTGTCCATGGGACCATGTTTTTGTGAATTGGAAACGAAAGAAAGGGGAATATGGCTCGTCGCTTGGAGAGCCCGAGTCACTTAGTTGGGGCAAGCGGACTGCAAATGTCCTGGTTGCTTGCCTTTGATATGGTTAGTGGCCATGCGAGGATGCGATAGTAGGATAGAAACATACACTTGTAACAGATGCGCTCTTGGCTGGGCTCAGATGGACAATCACGCGACAAGTGGCCTTGTTCGCCGCAATTCTAGACCGAGTTAGTGGGGCATGGAAAATGCGTGTCTGGACGGACAAGACTTACGTAGCATTTCTGAGAACGACCTTGGGTGCAATCACTGAGGCATGGATTAGTTAGGTGTCGTCGACAAAGAAAACGCAAGTCCATACCGTGACATATGGCCGATCCCGCCGCAAGACTGTCCCGGGTTAGCAAACGTGAGACACTTGATAGGATTGAATGACTTACATAGCAAGTTTGGCCACCACCACCACGGCCACCGCCGAATCCGCTACCACCCCCGCCGTAGCCGCTCTGACCACCTCCTTGGGTGCAATCCCTGTATAATCAGTAAGAATGTCAGGTTATATATTGCTTCTTCGAGCCTACCGCGCAATGTGACCAGTGCCGCCGCAGCGATAGCACTCTCGAGACTGGCCGCCATAGCCACCGCCACCGCCGCCGCCTGAGCCCCAACCAGCACCTGAGCCGGATCCAGCAGGAGCACCAGCAGCTTGAGGACACTCGCGTGCCATGTGACCGGCTTCACCACCTGTTGGGAATGTCAGAAAGGGTATGATGTATGTTGTATGGCATGGTTGCGGGAAGACCAACATTTGTAGCACGTAAGAGTCTTAGGCTTAGCGGGTGCAGGGCACTCTCGGCTGACATGTCCTTCGCCTGAGCGAGGAGTCAGTGGTGCTATCAAAGATGAATCAGGACAGTTGAGGACAAACCTCCGCAGTTGTAGCTAAAGAGAAAAAATTAGCGTGGATTCTTTTGATAGTGGGAGTCAAGAATCAAGAGCAAATACCACACAGGGGTGCCGCGCTTGGGACAGTCGCGAGCTTGGTGAGAAGAATCACCGCAGTTGTAGCAGCCGCGATCCATGGTGAACAAGATTGGTGATGTCGTAGAGGGAAAGAGATGAAGACGAGAAGGAGGGGAAGAGGGTTTTGCGCGGGAGACGAGAGGGTGGCAAAAGTTGTACGGTAGAGTGATGGAAGGTAGAGAGTAGGATTCTTGCGGCCTTGGAACTGGATTACAGTATAGAAGCTAGCAGGATGTGGAAAGGAAGACGAGGAATGAGACTGGATCTGAGAATGAGCCCCGAGTGTGAGTGAATTGGTGTGAAGTTGGGTTGAAGGAAAAAAGTGTCAACTAGTCGACTAGTTGGTTAGGCGTGTGCGGAGGTCGCAGCACAAACCCAGTCTGTGTGAACAAAAATGCAGTCCTGGAAGTCTGGTGGAGCAAGAGACGGCGGCGAGAATGTGGAGGCGGATTGAAAGGTACGCGGTACGTCACAACCGATCCTCTAGCGTGCTCCCAGGCAGTCCAGAGGCATTTCTAGGTGCAAGGATACCAACCTTAGGTAGGTATCTACGAAGCCTGAAGCCCCAAGCACCTGGAGCTCGAGTATCTATCATGTAGGTCAACCCCTCGGCTTACCCAGCCCCTATAGGCTAGGATAAGTGAACCCCCCTCTCTCATGCTCGTTCCAACCACGGCGAGACGCTTCCGGCTTCAGCGCCCAAGACCCGGAAATGCTTCGTTTGGCGACAGAGTGGACTTGCAAGGTCGTGGTCAAACACGCTTGGAGAAAATGCGGTCCATACGGAAGGCTGCTTGTCTTGACTTGCATATGTAACGCCTCCACTCTCATGTTCTAGACATCCGATAACATGGTCGTTGCGTGGTCACTGTTTCGCCAGCTTCAAGTGCGTTGTTTTAAGCCCATGGAGGCTGAAGGTCAACTATCTTTCATTATTCGTGTCATGTTTCGTTTCCAACTCAGTAGTTCGTGCGCCACCTCTATGTAAAATCGTACACGGCCATGATTTGCGCCTGGTCTCTATTTCCCAGTATCACCACTTGCTCGTCGTCAAATCCCACCCATCTTCGAGTCAAGCTTTGCTCTCTTCTCAACTCATCCAGCGCAAGCCCCAATCCAGAACCCCGTTGCGCTAGGGCTGCCACCACCCCTGCCAGCCCAGCAACACCTTTGATCGCCGTGCTTGTTCGTCGAGGCAGTACTGCGGTCATGACATCCTCAAGTTCCCATGCTCGAATCTCTTCGCCTTTGGAGCTGATCGAAACTGCTTTTCCACGCCCGTTGACCTGAACACCAGAGACTGCCGATGTGTGGCCCCATAATCTCCTTCCCGTGCGGATCTCGAGCTTGTCGCTAGTCGAGGTCACGAGATATGACATCAATGTATTGTCCGAAAGTGAGCAGACCACAAATGGGTGTTCGTATGAAAGTGATGTCGGAGCACTCATGAGTTGTGGATACAGAGCCAAGGGTAATGTACTTGTCGAACGACTTGTTACCTCCCAGGTGTTTCCTCCTTTCGGTGCTGGATCGATCGGAGTGTCGATGGTCGACGTCAGTCGGCTAGTCGTGATTTCACCACTGTGGGACAAACAGATCTCCTGCAGTCCCAAGCACCATCCACTCTGTAGTCGGTTAAATGCATATGCTACACTTCCAATGATTCCTGCTCCTGGAGTCTTTCGTAGCGCCACCGAGACGGGCGAGAACGAAGCGTCTGACTGGAGGCGCATAATTGACGTCAATGTTCTCTCCAAGCCCTTAGCCTGTGGCTTCGACTGTATATGATAAATAGACAGAAATTGGGTTTTAGATATTGTCATCACGTGAGACTCCATCAATGCCACGGCCATCAGAGGGCCATCCAAAGATTGGTAGCTGCACTCCAGGGAAAAGTCTTGCGTCGTCCGAAGTAGGTAAAGCGAAAAGCTTCCGTCGTCGAAACCAAGGAGAACCCCCACGCCGCCATCAATGTCCGCGACCGCCATGCACAGCGTCTCAGCCGTAGATTCGATATCGATTTGTGATCGCAACGCTCTTGCACTATCCTTCTGCAGCCATGCGCGCAGTCCAGCCTCTCTATCGGCCGTGAACACCATGTTTTGGTGGACTTTGGCAATTGCTGGGGGTGATGGCGGCTGCGCAATCTCGATTTCTCGCACTCTGGCGGTTCCGATATCCCAATTGCTTCGAATTTTGTATTGGCGCTTCCAATCGGCGCTTTTTCCGAACTTGAATCTCTGACCGGCCTCAAGCCATTGCGCTGCCTTGGCTATGTTCGTTGTTTTATCCGGTCGTTGTGTGAGAGGTGGCCGTCGGCGCAGGCGAGATTTGACCCAGGCATCATAATATCGGGCTTTCCAGATTTCGCGATCGGTGGCCAATGCTCGAAATCGGGAGGAGACACTGCGACTATCAGATTTACTCTAAACAAGGTGGGAGGGGTGCTGACCGTTCGGTGACGAGAAGATCTCTAAAAGTTAAGAAGGACAGGACTCGGAGCAGGATCTCGTCGCTGAGGGCGGAAAGACTGCGTTTCGGACCAAGCCGACCTCTCTTGACCAAAGTTTGGTCGACATCATCGTCCAGGTCAGATCTGTCCCTCTTGGGCATTGCGCGTGATGCGCTGTAGGCTCTGAGAGACGGTAGTGGATTGAGGACGACGACTCGACGGCTTATGGCATGAGCATTGGAAGGACGTGATGTACGAGTCTGTTTCGCCGCAAGATATCCCGAGGCTTAACCGAGATGTTGCATGAACTACGCCTAGAGTAGTAAAGCGCTTGCAGCCTTGTCGCCTGCCACCAAAGGCTTAGGCTTCGCGTTTATTCGGCGCATCCCGTGTGTTCGGTCATCTCTCTCCACCACTGCACGCGTATCAATCAACGTCTGTTATGAATGGCCACCACCGATGATAATCTCTCTGATGGAGAGTCCTTGTTGAGGTCACTTACCACAGGGTTGAACAAAAGTTATCGGCTCCGAGATAGGCTTAAAGCCTTGAGACGTGAAAATGGCAATCTCAGGGAGGAAATCGAGAAACTACAGGAGAACTCGCCAGGGCCAGCACAACAAGGCCATGATGTTGTTCTTGAGAAACTACGGCTAGAAAATCAAAATCTCAAGGCCGAGCTCTCCAGTGCCAACAGAGCCTCTCAGCCGCCGGGCCAAGTTGCCCACCTATTCAAGCAAAATGCAGAAAAGCAGGCCGAGATTGATAGTCTAAAGTCCAAGCTGCGTGCTTTGCAGTCTCAGAAGCGTAAATGGCGATTGCTGCATCCAGACTTTTCGTCCCCTGTCGTCTCGTCTGATGAAGTCGATCGAATTCCTTCAATGGCGCCAGCAAGTCCGATTGCCACCAGTTCTACCCACACGCCAACACCAGAGCAGGACCAAAGTGCCCGAAAACGCCATCGCACTCAGAGTCCCGCTCCAAAGTCCCCTCTTCGCGAAATCTCGCTCAACCTACCGAATGGCAATACAGATGCCCAAGCTCAGTCCAAGTTCAGAGTAAGAAGGCGTGGCTCGCATGGTTCCCACGCTATCGACACGGTAGCGGAGGATGGGGAAGATCATAATGCTCCCAAAGGTCCACCAGAAAAAGGTGCCGTCTCTCCAAAGCTAGAGTCGTCTGCCCATCGACGGTTGCACAATTTGCTGTCTGCCCCACCACCGGCTGTTCAATTCTTGTCTCGCCCAAGCAGCGTCAGTAAAGAGTCATCGGTACGGCCAGGGCTTCAATTCTTACCTGTCAAAATAGCAATCACGACAGGCCCAGAAGATGCAGAACCATTCCGCTCCCGACCACTCAACCGACAAGCATTGTCACATTTCAAGCTGAATCCCCAGTACAATGATGGCCTGGATTTTGCATTCAACGAGACTGTTCGCAATCAAGAGGCTCGAAAATGTCTTGCCGGGTGCACGAAACCTGGATGTTGTGGGGATAAATTCAAGGCAATCGCGGCGACCCTGCCACGGAGCGCGATGGGTCTCTCTGATCATGAGCTTCTACTTGAGTACCTTGGTCAAGGATCGGAGGCGAAGATTCAAGGCATGACACCTCTAGCGAAAAAGAATCTAGTACATGAGGCTCGAGCAAAGAAGATGGCCAACGCCTTTGGTAAAATGCATAGAGGTTCTTCGGATCGACCTAAGACACCACCAGAGTTTTGGGGAGTAGATGTGCTTGGGTCACAAGAAGAACGTAATTCTCATCAACAGGCTAACTTGCTCGAGAGGGGAGAAGTGGAGAAACGATATCAAGAGGCTCTGAAAGAAAATGGTCGATGGGTGTTTGCAGATGAATGAAAGCTGGACATTGTACTGTTTGGATTTGTACAAGTTGAACGACAAGGCCAGTTCCAGGTCGAAATCGAACACCTGGTCCCCAGAATATCTGAAAGACGACCATGGATAGTCTAAGTAACTGGACAATTGATCCTCCGGACGTTGATGCAGAACTATCATTTCCCCTCTAACACAACTTCTCTGATCTTCTTCCATGCGCACTAATTCGGAAAATATCAGAGTAAGGTACCTTGGTATCAGGTCCCGACAGCCAGAAAGTGAAGAGAACGCGACTATCTACTCAAAGCAGGTACTCAAGTCATACTGATCTTGCCCTCTGTCTCTCGGCCAAAACTCTTCACCAGTCTGACACGCGTCGACATAACTTCCTCTTCCTCCCCCTCTCACACTCCTTCTATCATCACCACCCTCGTCTCCGTCATCATCATCACCACAACGTCGTTACTGTCATCCATGATCATCGACAGCGTGATCGCCTAATGGTTCAGGATCGACTCGAGCATCTTTTCCACGAGTCAGTCTCTTGTCTGCGTTGGTCACGGCACCTCGAGGTTCTCTTCTAGTTCTTTTCCCTCGTCACCTATCTCGCTCAACCATACTGCATTACCTTACCACTAACTGTTACTTTGCCTTCTCAGCTCTGTTCACCACCTGACTGACCGCGGAATCGTCGCCATCCAGGACAAAAGCCGACACCTTAACAACTCACATCTGCTGTCACTCCCTGTGGTCTTACCTACATCCAAAGGAATCTCAGTCTTGCCTTGTAAGACACAGCACACGAACGTCTAATACCATTCTGGCGAAAATGGCGCCCTCCAAAGGTATATATCATGTTTCTCAACCTTTTGTTCACTGTACTAACATTGTGGCTCAAGAAAACATTCATAAAAATCTCCCCGTGCCAGCACACAGCAGCAGCGTTGCGACATCAGCGCCTAGTTCTGTGCCACATGGAGAAGCTACGGTCGACACTGGTTTTGCCAGCCGTGATCGGTTTGATCACGAGCACCCAAGATTGCCTCGAATTCTTGCTACGCTGCATAAGACAGCAGATCCTGGTCCTGGCTATGCCGTGGATGTCATGCGTCTGGTACAGGCCGAGATCAAAGATCATCCGTGCCGTGAGCAGCTTCCCTGGAATCCCACGCCGCCATCAGGAAAACATCGAGAGCTGCGCCGATTGTGCTTTGCCATCTGCCAAAACATACCACCGCATTATTTCCCTCATATGCCAAGTCGCATCCATCGTGAGGAAAAGTGGAAAGTCCACCAGGATCACTTTTTGCACGGCATATTGAACTTTTTGAGATCTGAACGTGTACAAGCAGTCCTCTCTCCACCCACACCACATGTAGACCCGTCCCCGGAACTACACGAGGGACGATCCTTGCCTAGTCGTCCTCGGATCAAAAAGGAGATTGTCGATGTCTCGTGGCTCAACCATGACGAGACTTCATCTGATTCGGCTTCTCGCTTGATTAACACCCCTTCTCGTACTGGTCATCCTAAGGACCACCAGAAACAGATCTCGTTGGCTCGCCATCACGCTGAGGAATTAGGTTCAGAGGCCGAGCCATCGATGCCAACACCAATGGGAAAGAAAGGGAAACAGAGAGCAGTTTCTCCTCACGTCCACGAAAGGATGGAACAACTCGACCTAGGCGCGACTGAAAGACGCCCTGTCATCAGCAATACAAATGCGCCGCTACCGACAAGAACCTCCTCCGGGACTACCAAGACCAAAGGCATGAAGGAGACCACCAAGCTGAAATCGGTGCAGAAAAAGAAGCGGCTTGCAGCGGCCATGACAGAGCCCGAACCTGAATCACGGCCAGCCAAACGCCAAGCAGTACGACCTTCCAACCTTGCAGAACAGGATGACTCTTCATCTGAAATTGAAGAAGTCAAAATTGTATTGCCTCGACCTGGACGTCGGGACCCCAAAGACATCATTATCACGGATCTTCAAGAGCAAAATACATTTCTTAAGAACATGTTTCTCTATGGGGCCGGTGTCAGCGAGGTGGATATTTTAACGTACAGAGCACGCGTCAAAGACCTCAACCAAGATCATCGTACCGCGTGGAAGACGTTGTATGCGTCCATAGTTGCACGTGCGAATGCCGACAGAGCGAATGATTAGAAACATGACTTGGTTGGTCACTTGCAAGCTTGCATTGATAATGCATCAAGTATTTCGACATTTTTTTGCGCAAAACTGCCGCGGCGTTTGTTCAGGCTTCAGCATACTAAAATGGCGGGCTTTCGGATCTGAGTTCCAGCGAGCACTATGGATTTTGAGATGCAGCACCAGAGAGGGCAGCGCATGTCGTGGAAAGTTCCGTCATGGGAGGGGATTTTCATGGGAGATTTCGCAAGATTGTGTCTTCGTTCTTCACAGTTGCAGTGGTTGCTCGTGTGTTTTTTCATTGGCTCGGCAATGCCAGAGCTATGGGCCTAATAATGTATGATGTTATGACCTTCTGAGGGAGGGAGGGAGGACAGATGCGAAAGTAATGTAAGCTTGAATGGCACGCAACATCGATATCAACCAGCAATGTTCTTCAATGTTTCCCCCAATGATTCGCCCACAAGTTCAAGTGGAGATGGACTCAGAAGCAAGTACCAAGAACAGAAGAGCTAGAGCTATGTCAGAGCAAGAGTACCTATCCGAATCATTGAAATCGTGTCTCGCAGCCTTCGTGTTCTTTCAGTTTCCACACCGCTGCCGGCGGTATCTACTCGTTTGGAGATGAGAACGCTCGGAACCATTAGCTCCATGTCTTGTCATTTCACTAGCAACTGGGCATCATGCTCGCAGCGTCAGTCTGTAGCGTCTCATTTCTGTTTCGACAACAGCCTACCTTGCCCTTGAGTCATTCAAAGTCATGGACGTGGCAGGATCTCAATGGAAGCTGGGTTGCAAAGAGGAGCCACGGTTTCCTCATGTATGATACAGGGTGCTCTCTATGCACATAGGCTATTCCTCTTTTCCAAAGAAAAAATGTACAGCACAGCATGTTTGAGATGCAGTTGTCCTATTTATTTTGCTAAAACCGAAACCTTGTTGGTTGAAGAATGCCCATCATCCACACCCCACCCATACAAGGATTGACGGAGCTTATTTTAACTACCGGAATCAACGTAAGAGATGAAACAATTCCGGAATGGACCCGAATTTATAGGAGCTCAGGGGATGATTCAAACCATCAAGCATGCCAGCTCCCGCTCTTTCTGTAGTGAATTCCACCCGTCTTGACACCCTTTAGGAATCGAAAATGGGGGCAAAGATTGGGACACCTCGAGACTCTAGGCCGTACACCACGGTTCGGGTCACCCTCGGATTGGAAATGACAAAAATGGCTTCGGCCCCTGAATTGACATACAGCTCATATGCCTGATTCACGAGGTCAGGCCGTCCAGATACTGAGGTATTGATGATGATGGCAGCTGGATCAGCAAGACAGACATTATCTATGACGTTTGCAGAGTATGTGGCCTCGGGATTAGGGGTCGACCAGAGGATTCGACAGTTAATCTTGACCTTGGTGAGCAAGGAGAGGACAGGGCCAATGCCAGACCCAGTGGCGACGAGGACCACCTTCTTAAAAATCGGAGCAATGTGCAGGACACCCATGGTCGGGATACCACGGACCCAAAGCTTGGTTGGTGGAGATCTGATCAGCTTGGTGGTCCAGTCACCAGCCTTGGAGACCAGAATGGAGAAACCTTGGCCATCTTCTTCTGGAATGCCTGCAAAGGCGTGCCATTCAAGGAGCGGGCTGTCCGAGACTCGAGGAGCTGCACACAGGGGCAGATTTGTGTAAGTGAAATGGAGACGGACGGCGTGGTCCGAAAGATGTTCGGCATGGACTGGAACCTTTCTCAGCCAGAACCAAGGTGAGGCAACGGAGATGGTGGAAACGAGTAGGGTCCAGAAAATGGGGTTGGCACCAACGGCGGATTGAACCGTCAGGGTGTTTCCATGGTCCCGCATTTTTGCATCGACCAGGAGGGCGAAAAGAGCCCAGAAGAGACCGAGTGCGGTCCAGCCAGCGAAGCGGTGGACCAGCTCGAAGGTGTTGTGGATGCGTGCACGTATAGCTGGATGAGCCACGACGACGATTGAGATGAGCAAGACGTCGAGGATGGCGGTGACGGACGGGATTGCCTCTCGATTCTTGGTCAGGAGATTGGATCGATAGGCGTTGACAATGGAGAGATTGAAGATTGCGAACCAGATTGTGGCACTCATTGCAGCCCCACTGTGCATGCCACCAAGATGGTAAATCTTTGCGGCGAGTCTGCGGAGGCGGAGAGGAAAGGACTGGGGACATTTGCCAAAGATCCAGAACAGAGTATTGACGACAAGCTCCTGACGGATGAGAACGGCGACGCTCAGATTGACCGAGACGGCCGTGGCGGTCGAATCAGGGGTCATGGAGGACAGTTTGCCTTGAGTGGCCAGGACGATGATTGTGATGACATTGGCGGTGACGACCAAGATGTTGAGTCGACGATATACGGACAAGACGGTCCAGCGAATGTTGCGCATAATGCGATTGTACCTCTTTTCAGGAAGGGTGATTGTGAGCTCTGGGGGAGGGCTGATTCGTTTGTCGTCTGCAAGGGTTGAAAAGGACTTTGCAGAGGCTGCTTCATGCGGGGGGTTCTCTTGGGTCAAAGGAGAGTTGTGGCCGTCCAAGGAGTAGTTGGTGGTGGCCGAGGTCTTGGGTTCTTCTGATTTGGAGTGGAAATTGCCTGCTGGATGTTTGATGATGATAGGTGAGGTTGACTCGAGACTAAAGCGAACATGTTCCGGTTGAGGGGAGCGGTATGATGCTGATATGGAGGGGTGGGCCTCGAGACAGCTAAGGAACATTATCAGCCAACATCTACTACCCAAGATGGACGAGAGGAGAGGGTATGGATGGTGAGAACAAGATCTAGGTGTATGTGCAGATGAAGTTGAAGACGGAGTCAGAAGCACAGCACGTGACGGAGTTGAAGTTGATATCAGCAGACTATGATGTCACGGGGATAGAAGGAAACCGAGACTGGGAGGTGACTTACATGTCCCTTGTAGTAGGATGCATGGTGGTGAGCAGGGGCGGTGATGAACTGGGTGAGCGCCGGAACAAGAAAGCCAGTAGAGGGGACGATGTCCTTTTAAAGAGGGAGTGGCAAGCCAGAGGGAGTGCATATCATATTCCAGAAGGATGGACCGAGATTGAAAGCGACCAAGTCGAGTTGACGAGTCCCTGGGCCAGAAGGGGAACCAGGGATTGGGAGGGAGGAGCGTGCAAGTTGAGGTGGTTTGGAGTGGTTTGGAACGAGAAGCTGACGGTGCGGGTGACTCGAAAACGTGGAAATTGAAAATCATGGAGCCGGAGGGATGTACAGAGGGAGAGGGAAAACAAGATACCAGATGAGGCTCTGACTGTCGAGGCAGTTGGTGAAGATACCTAGGTAAGGTACCTAGGTAACTACCTGTTCTCAACGACCTGAGTCACTGGAGAGAATGCTTTGTCCTCAGGCGTTGTTGATTCACGCTTCACGCTTCACGCTTTCCGCTTCCGCTTCCACGTCGGCTTTCGTGACAGCCACGGTGTTCAAGTGGTTTTCAATTCTTCGGGCGGCGTTCCATGGTATTGGGTCAGATGGATCTTTTGTTGGATCTTGATTCCAACGGATCAATGGAACTCGACAACCCACCGAGTGCAGAACTCGGATCCAAGAATAACGCCAACCTCAGGCTCGAGTCAGTAGTATTGAAAACAATGCCTCAGCTCACTGGCAGTTGAGTTGATACCTTTCCAGTGACCTTGATCTGACCTACCTTGGGTCCTTGGGTATCGACCTCGTAGGCAGTTCAGTTGAATTCAAGTTGGACCTGCCGTACCGACTCTCAAGCCATCAGCACTCAATAGCCCTGGAGGTCTTCACTTTCAGGGTGTCGTGGCCATGCTTCATTCACACTGACTTCCTCCCATTCCTCGTTCCATGACTGCAACTCCGAGTCATCTCTCATCCTCGTCTCTTATCTCTCACAACCTCGTTCCTTACCCTCATTCTTACCTAGCCACTCCCTCTCTGCTTTTACCCGTCTCGCATCCCACCTCCGACTGCATCTCCTGCTCCAGAGAAGCGTGTGCTAGATCAATCCTTCGTGTAACATCCCACTGCCATAATCGCTCCTGGTCCCGCCACATCTTGTCACACCTCTTCGACCTGCAAGCCATCGTTACACAATGACCTCCTCTCATCCAGAACACGTCTGGGCCGCCGCCGACCTGCTCCACATTCCAGACTCCGACATCCTGTCCTTCACCTTCTATCAGATCAATCACCTGGATCCCCACCGTCCGGTAACTTGCCCACTCCACTTGACACAGCCTTCACCACTCACCTCTTGCTCCCCAGATCTTCTTGGAGGCAAAAGATCCACATCTTTCCTATTCCGCTCTTCAAGTTCGTCAACGCGTCCGTCAGCTGGCCAAAGGTCTCAGACATCATGGCCTGAACCCCGGCGATTGCGTCTGCCTGCATTCCTACAACAATGTAAGTCTCTCCACATGTAACCTGATCCAAGCCTTCCATCTCAATCTCAAACATTCTTCCTGTCGCTGACCGTCGAGACAGATCCATTATCCCGTCCTCTGGTTGGGAATCATCGCCGCCGGCGGTATTGTTTCGGGCTCAAATCCTGCCTACACGGCTTCAGAGCTGACCCGCCATTTTCACTTGACCCGGCCAAAATTCATCATCACCCAATCCGACGCCTTACCACCAATTCTCCAGGCCACCGCAGCTTCGGGAATCCCTTCATCCAACGTCTTCTGCCTCGGCTCCCGAGATGATCAACTTTCACCCGACAATGATTGCAAAAGCTGGATCTCCCTCTTGAACTTTGGCGAGTATGACTGGCAACAGGATCAACCCGGTGATAGACCCACCCAAAGTCGAATTGCGGTGTATGCCATGACCAGTGGCACCACTGGTCTTCCAAAAGCTGCTCTGATCCCCCATCGGTATCTTGTCGCACAGACGGCAATGCTCGAGGCTCGAGTGGGTCGATCTGCTTACCAGGTACCCTTCCTTCTCCAAATGTCCATTCCAATGTCGACCGGCTGTGCTGACCTGCTGACCTGCTATAGCCCTCACAACTCATATGCCTACCTGTCTTTCATGCATTTGCGTCACCTTTGGCTCTTGTCATTCCCCTGCGCTTAGGCATACCCACCTATTTTCTCCCTAGGTTCAACCTGGCTGATTTCACAGCCGCCATTCACAGATTCTCCATCACCGACTGCCCTGTCGTCCCACCCATCATCGCCGCCATGAACCGTCTGTCAACTGAAGACCAATATCTTGTCAAATCCCTGCGATATGTCGTTTGTGCCGGCGCACCCATGACCGCTAGTGTTCAAACTCAATTGTACAGTCTCCTCAGTCCCGACGCCGTCATTGCGCAGTGTCTGGGTACGACAGAAACTGGATGGCTGACTCTTTTCGACCCAGGCGAAAAGGACACTTCCGGAAGCGTTGGTCGATTGATGCCAAATGTCGAGCTGAAACTGGTGGATGAGAACGGCAACGTCATCTCCAAGGACGACGTCCCAGGTGAAGGCTTTGTCCGTACCCCAGTCCTCTTTTCTGGTTATCTCGGTAATGCTCAAGAGACTGCCGCTTCCCTCGACCCCCAGGGTTTCTATGGCACCGGCGACCTTCTGTATGTGCACAACAACAAAGTGTTCCACGACGGCAGAATCAAGGAAATCATGAAAGTCAATGGGTGGCAGGTATCACCGTCCGAGCTTGAGGGTGTCTTGTTACAGCATCCTCGAATCATGGATGTTGGGGTGGTGGGCCGTAGCAGCTTAAACCCCTCGGGCATTCCAGAAACCCTGCCTCGTGCCTATGTCGTTCGAAGACCTTTTCGGCCGTCTGACACATCTCCATTGTCCGAGGATGAGGTCAAGACCTTCCTCGCCTCCAAAGTCATCTCGTACAAACAGCTTAAAGGTGGGGTTGCGTTTGTCAAAGCCATTCCACGATCTAACACGGGCAAGATCCTTCGGCGACTCCTGGAACAGGCAGAGATTGATGACAGCGATAATTTGTCAAGGTCGGAGCAACCCAAAAAGTTGCAAGTTGTCCTGAGAGGGGTCTACCGACCGTAGGCGTTTGCTTTTGCCGGCGGGATGATGGATGGGTTGGGGACAAACGTGTGATGGCTCTGTTACCCTGGCAATGTGATAGCAATCACAAGATATATCGGCGCACCAAATGCATGAAGCCTGAAGCTCTGCGATGCCGGTTGCCCATGGTACAAATTGATTGTGGTTTTGATGGATGTAGCTGTACACAATGCAATTGTTTGACCCTTCGTTGTTGACGATGCCAACTACAGGACTGGGACGGGTTCGACACGCGACAAAGTCACAGAATGGTAATGAAGCATCTAGTTATGTTCAACTCAAGTATATCAATGCCCACTTGATGCTGGACAAACTTGATGCAGATCAATCATCCTTTGATGACATTACAGTTAAATGGCCATTTTTATCGGACTTGAAGAATGACAGTCGTGCCAAGGTCTTTTCAATTCCACAGTTTCAACTTCAGCTTCATGTTGAGTTCAACCTGAAACCCTTGATGCCCGCCAAAGGCGTTGAGGTTGCTTCACTCGATACCTGGTTCCACTATTGAACTTTTGAAGTTGAATCTTACTTGCAAGATCAATTCATAACTCTCCGCTGACAGTCTGTAAGACGTCTAGAATATTCCATCAGGTTGATTATCTCCATCAATTCTCCCTCCAGTATTCCTATATAACTACGAACACCCACTCCAGGATCATTGCATGTCTAAATCATCAACATGTCGCTAACAACACAACCGGACATTTCAGTCCAAATCATTGTTCCAAACGACATAAGTCCCGGATCAGCCCCATTACTCTCAGCTGAGCGACGCATCACACCCTCATGGACGATCTCGCAACTCAAAGACAAACTCGTGCCCGTCACAGGCATCCCATCCACAAGCCAATCACTACGCACCAGTGGCCTCTCCGGCACGTGGATTGCCATTTCCGATGAGTCCTCTCTGGTCGGAGACGCCCGCTACGCACTGCACAAAGGCTCCGAAATTGAGATCACCGACACACGGCCGCCCGGCGTGCGCCAGACATTCAACTTCCAGGATCTCAGTGCCATCGAAAAGTACCAGATGCCAGAGGAGCAATATGCGCAGCTCGACGACTCCGTCCTCGCCTGGAAGCGCAAGCAGAAATTGGGGCGTTTCGATCCAAACGCCAAGTCGGCCCAGGAGCTGGCCGTCGAGCGATTGCGGCACGATCAGGAAATGGTCACGAGTAGAGGTATCGAGGCCGGGCAGAGGTGTCGGGTTGGAAATGACGATTCGAGAAGGGGCACGGTGAGATTCACCGGTGAGATTCCTGGCCTCGGTGGCGCCCGAGAGGCGGGCTGTGTCTGGATTGGCGTCGAACTTGACGAGCCGGTCGGGAGGAACGACGGTACCGTCAATGTCGAAACGGAAGATGGCGGCCAGCAGACCAGGCGCGTCTTTGAATGTCGGGACAAATATGGTGTTTTGGCGCGCCCAGAGAAAATCCAGGTGGGCGATTTCCCGCCTTTAGACGATCTGCTCGACGAGGATATGGAGGAGATTTGAGCCGGCCAAATTCTCACCAGGTCGACCTTGACGTTTCGCTTTCTAGTCGACACGATATGTATGCAATGGACCATTGATTACTTTCTCGAAAGACCACGACCAAAGACGGCCGACCAAAGCCTGACGCCACCTCGGGAACTGTGCAACACGGAAACTCCAAGTTACCCGCTCCAGCACTCACTACTGAAAAGCAGCAGATCCATACGATTCGCTGGGAGACAGGGCGAGGCCAACAGCTGAGCAAAATACTGTGTGACCCGGCTATGGTCTCGGCTGAGAGCCTTCTTATTAAGAAGCAGGAGTTTGGGCAGTCACTGTCTATCAGGAATACTCGCGTATCACATTGACACTCCGTCTCTTGACAGGAAGAAAGACTCTTGAAGAATTAGTTATGAAGAGATTAGGCGGCTTGATTCCGCCAAGACATTGGTGGGTAGCCGACTACGAATATGTACATCATGGCAGCCAACCCAATCACCTTGGTAGTTTCATACAGGCTCAATACTTCGTAAAATCGTCAGAACCGGGGATCCGATATGTCTCCTATATCAGACTACCACAGATGATTGTATCAAGAAGCAACAGCTTCTTCCAAGTCAAACGCACCCCCCAAATTACGTCTCGGGACATTGGACTAATGGCTGCCCAGAAGAGGCTTTCATTCCGCATCTTCGTAATCATAGTGGACCGGCTCACGTTCGCAAGCCTGACTGAAGAATATCCGTGCCGGTTTGTCAAGTTCGTTCTCAATCGAATATTGGTTGCCTACACAAAACTTGGTCAATATGATTTCCCTCGGGCGTTCGATAGACATCTTACCTCTCGGGACCTGCCAGAACCCTCCTTTGCCAATGCTGAAGCGATTCCAGCTTTCTGTGTCTTCACTGCCGGCAGGCCCAACATTGACAGTCACCCGTCCCTTGATCACATAGAAGCCCATGTGCATCTTTCGACTGTTCTTGGGTCGTTTGCTACCACCAGGCGGAAGAATGACAAGCCCTGTCCCAAAGAAGTCGGTACTGAGCAATTTCGCATACTGAAATGTAGTTCCTTCATGTAGCGCCGAGCGCTTAATTTCGCGCGTGATGATGGCCCCCGGGGCATGTGCAATTTCAATCTGCTGCTCTTGTTCCGTAGCAGCTTGCTCTTCTGAATCCCAAACCGCTACCGTGCCCACAAGTGTTCCCTTTTCAGTCTCCCATGGTTCGGCATCTGGATCCTCCTCTGGTGAATTCTCATTCTCAGATTCCGAGCTTTCCGAAACGTCGACTGGAGATGTACGAGACTTCGATTTCGATTTGGTTGCTATCTTTCCAGTTTTCTTGCCTTTCTTGGCTCGTCGCACGTCGATCTCCTCGGTGCGTACAATCTCTTTGATGCTGTTCAGTGGAAATCGAGCACCTTTCTCGACACTCGCCCCTCCTGGACTTCCCCCATAAACACACCTCTCATTGCGCCAATATGCCAGTGGCTTCACACTTACCCGGCCGCTTCTCGTGTGGGTTACCCCTTCGTCGGCAGGCGTTTCACGCCGCAATATGTAGAGTGACCTCGCAGGACCAGGCCTCGCTTTGACCTTTTCAATGATGTCGTCCAGCTCTTCTTCCTGGCGAGCCGACATCTTGGTGTTGGTATCCTTGTGTTTCAGTGGTTGTTTACCTTTCGCTCTGGGTGAGATTGTTTTCTCAATAAGCCTGGACTTCATGGCGGGTTTGGACTGCTGATTGCTCTTGGGATTCGTTTTACGAATCTTGCTTGTTGCCGGGGAGCCTGTGACTGACGATTCGCGATCGAGAACATCGGACTTTCTCTTCCTTCGCGAATTTGCCTCATGAGCAGGTGGTAGTGAAGGATTTCTAGAGCCAGGCTCGATTATAGGGCGGTCAATTTCAGGCTCACTTTGTCGAAGTGGAGTTCCAAGTTCTTCGGATGGCCGTCTTCCACTTTCTTCCAAGTCCTCTTCACTCGCGACTGATTTGGGAGGGACAGGATCGTTATCATTGTCATCATCAGCAAGGGGAACAAAATCATGGCCGGAAAGCGGCGTTGCATGTGTCTCTTTTATCGGATCCGGATATACATATTGGTCATCTTCCACCGAGGGTGCGATCTCACTGGAGAGCTGTTCAACATCTTGGGGACTGAACGTCCTCTTTGTGTCGGTGTGATTAATATTAGGCGTTATGTCACGTAGAGGAGATTTCTCAGGACTTGAACTGAACCTGGTTGGTTGAAGGCTGCGCGTAGGTGTGATAATAGGCGTGTTTTCACGATCCTCTATATCTTCCGAAGGGGGTAGTAGGCTTTTGCGCGTAAAAATGTCTACCCCATTACTCTTCCTCGCTGTTCCCGAAATTCCACTTTTCTTGGGTGAAGACGATCGAGGAGGGGGGATGGAGATGCGCCTGGTTGATCTTCGTGAGGAGGGTTGCTTGATGGGTGAGTGAACAGAATCTGTATCGTGATTAGCCGCCGTCTTCCAACCCTGCCTGAGCTACCTACCGCTTTCTTCAATGCTCTGCATCAAAATCACATGTTTTAGTGGAGACGGTTTGCGCGGAGAAGAAAATATGCCGGTGATTTCTTCCATTCCGTTCAGATCCAAGGGGCGTTGATCCAGTGTGACACCAGTACGCCTGGAGATGATGAGTATTACTGGTCGTCGACAGAACAACATCTACATACCTTCCATGCTTTCCAATGGCTGAGTAGTCGACATTGTCGCGATCAGGCCGAACCGCCAGCCGAGGCGCCATGATGGGAAAAATTCGGGTGATGTAAAGGGCGAACCAGTATGTTGGGAGCGATGTAGAAAATATGCTGTCGACAAAAGCACAGGATTGTTGTTTTCCAAGAGTTGACAAAAATGTATCACGAGAAGTTGAAGGTGGGTGATTCCGGCGCAATCTGGAGTTCACTCTGGTGAGTGTTGTTGTAGGCAATCCGAATTAGGAAACGCGGCGGACCACTAGGGTCTGACTAAGTAGGCTAGAGCGCTCGGCAGCAAAAGCAGCATGGAGATAAATGTGCTTTACGCGTTGGCGAACCAAGACGCGTCCAAGTAATTTGAATGTGCCTATTCAAAGACAAAGGATACACACCTCAACGTTGAACGCTGCACAGAGAATATTTGCAAAAAAATAACTACAGAACAACTAAATCCGCCAAGATGGCAGAGATAACCACCTCCGTAGTATTCATTCCACCATCCGTGCGAGACAACTACAGCCACCTGTTGTCTGGAGAATCCTATGCACACTACAGCGCCATTCCTAGCAGCATCAGCATCAACACATCATCAACACAGTCGTCAGAACCAGGTACACCGTGCGTTCTCGGCGTGGACGAAGCAGGACGTGGGCCCGTGATAGGTCCCATGATTTATGGAGTCTACTATCTGCCAGTCGAGCAAGAGCACCCGTTACTTGCAACAACTCATCACTTCGACGACTCCAAGGTCTTGACTCCCACAGTGAGAGCCACTTTGATGGAAGCTGTGTGCACCGATGGTTCCGATCTCTTCGAGTGTTCTGGCTGGGCAGTCAAATCACTCAGTGCCCGAGATATCGGGGCTGGAATGCTGAAGAACGGTGGCTCTTACAACCTGAATGCTCAGGCAATGGATGCAACGATTGAACTCATCAGGGGGGTTTTCGAGCGGGGTGTCAACGTAACGGAAATCTATGTCGATACGATTGGAAGTCCAATCGTCTATCAGAGGAAATTGCAATTGATATTTCCAACCGTCAAAGTCACTGTCGAGAAGAAGGCCGACAGTCTGTACCCCTGTGTCAGTGCCGCAAGTGTGGTGGCCAAGGTAACTCGTGATGTTAGCTGCGAGAAACTCTTAGAGGCCTACGTCCAACTGGAGGGGCTATCACCGGAAGACGAAAGGGTGGACTGGGGATCTGGCTATCCCTCTGATGCTAGGTGTGTCAGCTGGCTCAAAACAGCCATTGACCCTGTTTGGGGTTTTGGAAGTGAATGCAGATTCAGCTGGGGAACTGTCAAAGACATGATTGAACAGAAACATGGGCCCACCACCAAGACGGAATGGCCAGCGGACGGCGATGACGAGAACATGCGGTTGTCGCATTATTTCAACAGTGATGGATCATCGGGGCCAAAGACCGAAGCTGATGAATTACGAAGTTGGTTCGGATCATCTATCGGTCAGGAGGCATTTTGAAGCAATGACGGTGGGCAACTGCTGCTTGACCTCATTACAATCTTAAGCCACATCACACTCAACTAGATCTCCAGAGTACATGCCACTCTATGCCACCAACGCCTCGCTATGCAAAACAAAGGTCAACAGACTGGACTTTATAACTTGGACTTGGTCCACAAGCCCCCCGAGGCTGCCGGCAAATCGCCTGGGCCATCATAAATGTCTCTCTCCACTGCTCTGGTGTTGACATGGATTGGTCCCAAATCTGTGACTCTAGCAGCGCCGAGCAGTCTGGTGGCAGTTGCGGTCTCATCTCTGAGAATCTCCAAAACTCTTTCCACGCCTGCAATACCGCCAGCGCCTAGTCCGAAAAGCGCTGCTCGACCGATTCCGACAGCCTTGGCTCCTAGAGCCAATGCCTTGACCACATCTGTTCCTCTCTTAACACCGCCGTCAACAACAACATCAAGGCGTTTCAGGACCTCAGGACAATATTTTCGGATCTCTAAAAGGGTGTGAATTGCCGGTGGGGCAGTATCCAGTGCTCTCCCACCATGGTTCGATAGGATGATGCCACGAACTTGGGGCGCATACTGAGAGGCGAGATACGCATCCTCATGACACTGTAAGCCTTTCAAAATGATTGACTTATTGGTGTGTTTCTTAAGCCAAGGCAGAGTCTTGGTCCAGGTCAAGGTTGGATCGGTGCCGAAGAACAATGACTGTCCGATGCCACCACCACCTTTCAACTCCGCACCTCCCGCATCTTTGATAGCCTGACTGGCGTCCTCAACTTCATATTTGCCTCTTTCGTCGTGTTCTCGTTTGCCTGGTACAGGAGCATCGAGCGTCAAACAGATGAATTTGATGGCGTCCAACTTGTTGATCCTTGCCAACATGTCCTCCGACTTTTTGCGATCGGTCTGAACATATAATTGCCACCCGAAAACCTGGTTCGAACCTGCGTCTTTCACAATCTGTTCCGGAGTCATACTCGCATTGTTGGAGATCATCTGTATGGTACCAAAGCTGTTGCAAGCCTGGGCAATACCCCACTCGCCATCGGGATGAGCCAAGCGTGCCATAGCAGCGGGCGATACGAAGACAGGAAGATCGAGCTTGTACCCCAAAAAGGTAGTGGAGAGGTCGCACTTCTCACAGTCCACAAAGACACGGGGGCGCAACAGGATCTGTCGGTAGACTGTGTTGTTAAACTCTTTACTAAAGAGGTCATCTCCAGCAGAATAATAATACGCCCAGCCTTTCTTGGACAGTTTCTTTGTGGCGGCTGCCTCAATCTCATCCAAGTTCAGTAGGGCTGCAAGTGGCAGCTCTCTCTCCGTATCCGGCGCAGGTCCGACGTTGGTGGCAGCTTTCACCGGTTCGGGAAGGGATTTTGGATCGACAGGACCAATTCGAGCGGATTCGGGGAGGTTCTCTTCAAGAGTACCAGGGGGGTGAATGGGATCGTACTCTTCGGTGGCATCTTTACCGGCGAGTTTGAGGATGATGGAGGAACCGCCAGGATGCTCGGGGAGAAAATCGGTGACGTCCCAGACATTGCCATACAGAATTACCCAGCAAGAGTCCTTGGACTTATGCTTCAATACTATGGAACTGTCAGTTGAGTTGGAGCGCAGAGTGTGGATGGGACACGGAGATCACCTTCAGCATAATCAATGAGTTTAGACATGACTGACATTCGCTGATCCAGAATGTGACAACAGCAGTACTAGTATCAAGCTCAGAGATTCCCGTCAGCGTGTACAAGAATCCGGTCGAAGTACTCTACAACACGAGGCAGTGATAAGGATAGTTGTTCGAAATGAGAATTGCACAGATTCCCCAACCCCAAGTCTCTGAAGATTAAATGTCGCAGCGGAAGTAAATGAATACCACTGAGGGGGGCAGCACCCCACGGTCGGCCTTGTCGCAGAGACAGCCGGTGTGGGTGAGCCCGGGCAGTGGTCAGGGCAATCTCGGCTATGGTCAGGTTGAGTATCAAGCTTGACACCAGTGGCCAAACTTTGAGCTCGCTGCACAATGCCCCGAGCCTGATTGCAGGCTCCCCGGACAGAAAGGCGATGTACAAATGACGATGTTTTGGAAAGAATCCAGTCGGATACATTTTGGTGTGTCTCGGAGCTACAGGATCATTATCTCACACATCAACAGCCTGTGCACATGGTGATTTGAAATCTGCACTTTCTGAACCTTATGACAGCTGAGGTGGCCAGTATCGCCCTACCGCTGTGCTGAAAAACAAAGGGCAGACGCATGTTCCACTCCATCATCACAGTTTGAGGGCTCAACCTCGCCTTACAGCTTGATTAGCCATGCTTTCTCAGAGCCCACGAACGTGACAATCTGATGCATAAGCTCGTTCAGCAGATGTTGATAATCGACTGGCTTCTAAAGAAATTCATGCGAAATGTCTGCGGATCTGTGTCTACCCATTCCTGTCCAACTTGACGAGTGCCTGGTCTAGAGGCTGGGTAAGCTCAGATCCAGAATATCAGCAGTCCGGTTCGCAATTCCACCAATCCCAGTGTGTCATGGCTATTTCAGACCGCACATCCAAACAGTATTGAGTCTTTAACACGGTCCCGAGCTTGAGTCTTACAATACTCATGCAGTTGTTGAGGAGTCTTCTCTCCATCCTCACCGCATTGCGTAGATGCATTGCACCCGATTGCAATATCCATGACCTATCTCATCCGCAAGAGTCAAACGATTCCCGATGGTGGTCGGATAAGCTCGACTGATGAGCCTGAGACATTTCAATTACGAACAGTCACCGAGCATGGATATGGCGAGGCAAAACGGGACAAGTCCTGTACCGGACAAGGTACGTATGAAAGCCCAGGCACGCTACAAAAGTTCGAGTTCTGTGACATGACAGGTCGCGAAAGGCTGATCCTCTGCTTTATGGTTGAACTATTCGATCGCTATATCATGATTTCAAAAAGGTGTCTAGAACGGAAGCAGACAAACAAGCGTCACTTGTATATGTCGATGGAATGCCATGCGCATACAAGATGTTTGCACAGGGTGGATCAAGCATTACATTCATATCTGAGAGGCCGGGCCGGGCCATCTTGTTAAGTGCGAATTTATATATCTAACTATCTACCAAGTTCGTGATTCTGCTACATAATGACGAACCTTCCGAATTTCCCCGCATTTTAGTTGAATAAATATATTCGATGGGCGATGGCTCAACTTCCCGAGTCAATCACCTCGGCCCTCTCAACTACGCAGCCTTCCCATTTTCAAGTTCACCAACCTTTCTAATGGCACGACACTGTGAGGGATAAGCCGACACAATGTTCACGGTAAGTCCGGCGCAAACCCTTGCCCTATTAGCACGTACATATCCTCGACCACCATATTGCTATAGCCTAACGTCCACACTCTCTCACACCACAGCCACGCCATGCACAAGACCAATACCGGCTGCGCATGCACCGCGCGCGGTCCGTTGACCTGACCAACGACGAACTGGTCGAAGTGCGCGCCGCCCAACGGACCTTTGAAGGCGCCTACATCCGCACCTCCCTCTCACAGTTCTCCTTTGCCCTCGTGGTCCTCAAGATCTTCACCTCGGAATTCTACTCCATCGGCGCCCTGTTCGCCGTCTACGGCGCCGGCGTCCTGCTCGTGAGTGCCTACCGCCGACAGCAGGGTAATAAACAGTTCTTCAATGAGTTGGGCGATGATGGCTTGGGGAGGAAGCGGTTTCGGACCAGTGGCAATGTGGTCGTCGTGCTCACGGCTTTGAGTATTGCGGCCTATATCAGTTTGCTGGTTTTGACGCTGAAGTTGGAGACTTGATCTCTTGGACGATCCCTAGTTTTGTGGGAATGCGGCGGATCATGAAAAGAGATGAGAATGCCCGCATGATATCGGAAATGGCTCATGTTCCAATGGCGGTGGGACAGACAAGCTGCAGTGGTCTGCAAGGACCCAGCATGATCGGACAACACGACATGATCAGCACTTGCGCCCACCACTCTGCCCTCTACGATACGGTACCGGTACTCGGCCGCTACAGTACTCAGAAATCTGATGGCACGGATGTGGGACGATCCTCGAGAATCCTCCATGTTTCCAGGCCTCCAACTACAACATATTCATACCAATATCGGTTACTATCATCCATATCGGCTACACTATTGTCCCGGATGATATGTCCTATCGTCAGTCCATGGTATAGATCACTCTGAGGTGCACTTCTCACACTCGATGTAAATACTCTGGGCTGAAACAAGGAAATGGAGCGAGCAAGATACACACCGCGTGTACCACATTGCCGCCAACTCGATGAGAGCAGCAACAATGGATGGAGTCAGCCATTTGCGGAGGATTTCTAACAGGTTGTTCATTCGGGGTATCTCTATGGTGGAACACTCTAAGAGTAGTTCTTGGGTATCTTTGGTTTTGGAACATGGCAGAGCCTTGCCACTCGCTCTCTGTAGTCCATACTATTCAGCGAACAAGATCTTGCGCATGTTCGTTGAACAACAAGGACAAGGACAGAATATTTGTTGTTGTCTCTCACTGCCATCCCCCAGATTCATCGCATACTGAATCATTTGAACTCGTCCTCACTGTCGTTGGCAATTGCTTGCTCCATATCCTCCCAAGCACGTCTTGACTCAATATCCATCCCATTACCACCACCATCATCACTTTCTTGACCAGGATGGGTTCCATTTCGCCGATTGATCTTTTCCCCACCAGCTTCATCAACATCGTGCGACAAACCCCTCCCCGAAAGAGAACCTTGGACGGCCAACTTATCTGCCTCGATGTTTCCCGCATTGTTGGAATGTCCTTTGACCCACACAAAGATGGTTTTCTTGTTCAGTGATTCTCTCTCTTCAATCTTCTCCCGAATATCCATCACCAGGTCCTTGTTCTCCACCGGTTTCCGACTTGAGTTGACATATCCATTCCTCTCCCAATTTCGATACCACTCGGTCACCGAGTTGATGGAATACATGCTGTCTGTATAGATGGTCACATCCCTATGTCGAGGTGCAATATCTAGAGCTCTAGAGATGGCGGTGAGTTCAGCTCGCTGATTGGTTTGTTTGCTGCCCTTGAGAGCCTCGGAAACATTTCTATAACGCCAATTGGTTAGCTTTTCATGATCTTCTTCCTCTTGTATTTCGCTCTCTCGGCTTTTATTCTTTTTGTTCTTGTGAGTTGGCGAAGCCGAGGCTGAAGGTGATGACGGTGTCGTGCCGTTGGCCTGTAAGCCTCTTGCTCGCGCCGCCCAGTCGATATAATATACACGATGGGAATTGGGAGAAGAGGGTGAGGTGGGATGTGGAGAGTCATACTTTGGGTCCTGTGGTCCGAAATACACTCCTACTCCTGCTCGAGCTCCGGCCTGGCCATTTCGAAGACTGGAACCATCGGTGTAGATGCGAAGCATGCCCGGTGGCTCTCTGTCTGTTGGTATGACCTTGGTTCGGGTTTTCTCTTCGTCTGTTCGATTGACGATGACTCCGTCAGTATTCAGCTGCAGGTTGGGATCAAAGCCATCTTCCGCACCTGGTGGAAGTGGTCCACGGCCAACCTCGTATGCATTGCCGTCCTTGTCTATGGGGGTGTATGTACCATTGATTTGTAGACCAGGAGCAGAATTGCGAACAATCAAACGACGGATTTCCTCCTCGGGACTGATGAGTTGAGAGGGACTAGATCCTGGCGGTTTCTTTCCTGCAGCCACAAACTCTTCCGCCTCGGCTCTGGTGTTGAACTTTTTGTGTTTGGGGACTTTGACGCCACGAATTTGAGCCTGGGCCTCTGTCCACTCGGTATAGACACCAGGAACTCGTCCGTTCTGAACAGCATAGAATTTCTGGTCGGCGGCGGCGTTGGAGGATTTTAGCAGTTTGCCTTCCATAAAAGCCTGAGCCTCGTGGCGTGACAGGAATGCCTTGACTGCGCGAAGGTCAGTAATTATTCTTCCCAGGGTGAATTCTCGGTAACCCATACATATTGCACCCTTGTGCCCTCTCACTTGAGCGAGGCATTCATCCCAAGAATCGTAGATGCCTGTTTTCTTGCCTTGTTGGACAGCATAGAACTTGCGTTCCGCAGTCCTCTTCCTCTTGGTGCCGGCTGTGGTGTTGGTACTGGGAAGGCCAGGGCTTGTGCGAGGTACGTCTTCCAAGCGCGACGAGGCAGTAGCCTGAGCCATGACTCTGGTGTAAGGGGATATGCGGAAGGCCAGAACCCGACCGAGACAGAGAAGGCGAGGCAGGTTGAACTTTTGTATGGAGAGATGGGTGGGGTTTGCAGAGGTGGTTTCAAGGTCTTCCCATGAAAGAGGATCAGGTCATATCAAGAGTGCTGGAAGGAGACGTTATTTTCAGCATCTGAGACGAAGGATTTCATCACGCATGAGACAGGGCGTCAGGCGATAGGTAGATTCATTAGTTGTGCGTAGAAGGTTGGTTGAGGCAGTTTGAGGAGAGGTTGCGGAAATGGGAGTAGCTTGGAAGAGACGGTGAAGTGAAGTGAAGTGAAGTGAGGCCTGCGAGGCCGGCCAGTGGTCTGGCTGTTACAGACCCGTTGAGCCGTGTGTGCGGAAACAGACATGCAAGGGGATGGGCAAGAGATGTCGGTTGGGGGGAGGGGGGGAATGAATACCTCCTGGGTGCCTCTTCAACTCACCGATGAGTTCAAGAGCGCTGGACTGCATCAAGGTGCGCGGGGGTATTGTTGTATTGCTACTGGTAGTGGTTGACAAGGAAGTTGTGGTGACGGTGGAGGAGCAAGTGGAATGGTTCATGGAAAGCCGCTGGCAGATGGGTGGCAGAACAGCAAACAGATGCCAATTAATGGGCATCCTGGCTGCATCTTGGCCCTCGGCCTGCCTACTACAGGTAGCGGAGGAGACCAAGGGGGGTGAGGGGGATGCATAGAGCGGGGAGGGTGCCAGTTCACTAACTAGGGGTGGGTGCTGCAGGGGGGTTCAAGCACTGGCAGAAGCAGAATTCACTAGGGCCCCGCCCCCAAGAATACTACCCAGGTAGTTAACCACTCCCACCATCATGGTCCGTATTGTATAGAGAAGTCAACATTAGGTCCTCTACTAGGTGACTAACTAGGTAGGTACACAAGCCCAACACTCACATCGAGAGTGCCTCTCATATGTAATGAAAACTACCCAAGTAGAGAGCACCATCAACCTCCCTCTTTGTTCCGTACGAGGCCGGAATATACAAAACGCCACCTCACTACCTCCCTATCCACTCGAGCTTCTCTGATAAACACACGTCAATCTCGGACTGGTCACTCTCTGCTTACACCATTCGCATATCTCACCCCACAAGGCTGTTGCCCCTTTAATCCGAACTTGATCCAACCTTGTCCCCTGCTTCATCCTTCACTTCCTCCACTGGAGTCTGGCTACCCGTTGGAGGTCCACTGTCGATGAATCGGACTGGTCGACTTGGCTCCTCCGAGCTTGACATTTCAATGCCATCTTCTTCTCCAGAGCCTGCTGCCAATGTTGGCCGCCCAATGCGAAACACTTCAGCCCTTGGAGTTTGTTCGGGGTCTTGATTGCCATGTCCCCTCCGACGCCGTACTAGGTATCCACGACCACCAGTTGCCTGTCCCTGTCCCAGGCCGGTCGACCTTGATTCGCTTTCTCGCTCAATGCTCAGCGCTTGTGACATGGTCCTCCCCGTGTAGAATCCCATCTTACCAAGAGGAATCGACAATCCGTGTGCCACAATGCTACAAATGGCCAGGAACCAAATCACCACTCTCATCACTTCTTCCAGTCGCACCAAATCTTCTCGCAACTCACCCTCCGCATGGATCTGGCGTAGAAAGTCAATGCTAACATAGAGATAGAACACCGCCGAGACCCCAATCGGACCAAAGTAGCCCACGAACGCCGCTTGGTGCAGTTGCTCGATTTCGGGTATCTTTTTGTGGAAGGCAAACACCATTGGCATTCGTCGGAATAGCAGTACCAAAATTCCCAAGAAAACCAGTCGGTATAGTGGTATGACGTCGTTGGTTCGAAACAATGCCCATGGACATATAGCACCATACCACGCGAAAACAGAGATATTTAGCAGCATATCAATTGTCGGTTGAAGTGAATCGTCCGCTGTCTCCAATCGGAACCTATGATGCAAGTCAGGCGGGTATCAAGGATTCATCGATATCTTGGCCTACCAATCATCCCATGTAAAGACATTTCCAGCCACAAAACAGGCCAGCACATCGTCGCTGCCAATCATACCACAGCTCCCGATCAAGAAGAGGGCGAGGGAGATTGCAAAAACAAGAAAAGACTCTCGATCGACAAACCTCTTCTCTTCGGCATAATGGAGCATTTCTTTAGCCAGCCATCCGACTGCAATCCCATAGCCGACGCTCAACAAGATGGTGTAACACCATGTCTCGCCAAACCACAACCCTATCGCCTTTCCGGCACCACCCTCTTGACCAGCCCCACCTATCTCGGTGTATTTGATCAGATACAAGGCCAGGAACAAGAAAGGATATCCAAGCCCATCATTCGCCCCGGACTCGGCAACAATGATCTTTTGGAGCGGCTTGGGAACATTCGCGTCGGCGAATTTCCCCTTGACGATGGAGTTGGACAGCACGGGATCGGTGGGAGTGATACACGCGCCGACCGCCAAAGCGTGTAGGAAGGGGAAGTCGGGAACCATGGCCCAGATCAAGAGGCTGCCGGAAAGCCACATGATGACCATTCCGGGGCCCAAAAGCAGAGCCAATGATTTCCATTCCGTGTACAGATATCGGCTCGGGAGCTGCACGCCGGCAATGACGAGCTGAACGCCGAGCACCAGTCGGGAGAAGTACAACGTGATGTAGTCGAGATTCTCCTGTAGCTCGCCCGCGTATTCGAGCGGTCGGATGAAATTTGTAGCATGCGGAGAAAATATGATTCCCGCCACCATGGAAATCACTGTATCTCGATGAAGCGAGTCAGCCATTTGACGGGACCACCACCGGCGCCGCCACCGACCGATTACTGGAAATACAGGTCTGGACTTACAAGCTTCGGAGAGGTAGAATCTCTCTTTGAACAGATAACTGACCAGCCCGAACAACGATATAAATCCACCTAGCACAGCGCACACGATATTGAAGTTTGTCACAACCAATGTCGGCATCTTGACGGTGCCGTAATGATACAGATCAGATCTGATCCGGACAGTAGTTCCACACAACTAGCCCTCGGGCACCTCGGGACCTACACAGCTTCTATCCAAACCAAGTTGACGCGACCGTGACTCCGTCTTCGCATAAAAGACCAATCACTGCCCGCAATAAATGTTATTGTCGCATGTGACTCGTCATCTGTCGAGATAAGGAAATGGCACGGGCGGAGAGAAGAGTCATACACTCAACCATGCGGGCGGGAGTGTGGATCATTAGTCTATGAGCTCAAGGTTGGGTTCAATTGGTGGTGGAATATTGTAGATAGGATACCCAGTTGAGATCAGTCGTTTAGGATTTCTCTGGAGAAAAAGACGAGATGGAATATTGGGTGGACTTTGATCACAGATGTTAGTTAGTCTACCACTAAGTGTGCTAGTGGATTCTTTAGTGCAATACTACCAACGAGTCTCCTCGGCGGAAAAGCCTCCTCTGGCTGGCGGCCCATACAGCCCTGAAAGGTAATTAAGTAGGTATTCTTTGAGCAGTTCTGGAAGTAGGTAGCCACAGAATAGCTACACTGGACGCCGGTCACATCCATGGAAGCCACCCGTCAGATTTACTCCCCGACAAAGTCGCACAACGACTCCCCCATCATTGCAGGCCCAAACACCGACGCTAAAACAAACCATCTTCGCAAGATTTATCACCAGTCCACCCATGAATGAATCCGAGAACCTAAGCCTGGTCGTTGATCCTAACAACTGTCTTGCCTGCCAAACTCCTTGATGTATTAGTCCAATCGTAAGCATGTAGAGTGAGTGGAATAAAATGGTACGCCAAAATGACGCAGAAACAAGCAGACAGACACTATATGTTCATCCAAAGGGATGTGTGTGAGAGGTTTGTATATATACAGCAGTTCAATGTGCAATAAGTAGATTCGCGATGAACGATGCAACAAAAACAACAATGGGGTATCGTATAAACAATCATGTGTGTGGGTAGATGGCTCGCCTCATTCGATAGTTTGGTTCATATCGAAATTCATCCGTGGCTGGATCCCAGCGATAGGCTTTGAATTCGACGCCATATGGTCGCTATGTACTCCAGTCAGTATTCGTTCAGGTTAGGAAATTGCAAAAGGCCGCGACCACTTACCGGCTCCAACATGTAAGCCACACCCAACGGGACATCAAGGTCACTAATATCTTCTTGTTTCAAACCCATGAAATAAGCAAGGAGGACGCGAGAAATGCTTCGATGGCCAATGATGAGCGCGTGGTCCGTCATACGTTCAATCTCAAGAATGACTTTGCCGAGACGGTTGATAATGTCGAGATATCCTTCCCCACCCGGACCTGGATAGCGATAATGCAACTTGTCGCGTTTTCGAAGCTCGTATTCATGTTCAAAGGTGTCACGGATTTCGGTATAGGTCATTCCCTCCATTGAGCCGGCGTGCAATTCATCCAACATTTTCATCTGCTTCAAGTCGTAGTCTTCGTCGTTGAAAAACTGGCTGGTCTCAATGCTCCGCTTCAGCATACTGGTCCAGACACAGAAGTTTCGGTCCTGCTCGGTTTGTGCCGTGTATTCCGGGTTGGGAGGAGTGGTGTCGCCCGGAAGTGGTGGAAAGTGGGCGTTGGCTTGCTTTTCGGCATGTCGTTCTTCCCACAGCTGCCACTGCTCGCCGATAAACTTGGAAAGTGCCTGTCCGTAACGACGACCACCCGCACTCAAAGAACTGTCACCTCCAATTTTCCCATTGACGTTGTCCATCGACTCTCCGTGGCGGGTGATCCAAATCATTCTTGGAGCCAAGTTGAAATTCATCAAGTAAGTAACGGTCTGAATGGATAAAAATCCTTTAACTTGATAGCTGACCATTTTTCGGCCAACATCAATCATGGAACAGTATGGCATGTCGTGCTGCTCCTCGAACTCGTCAAGCTTCTGATAAGACTTCTCGTACTGCTCGACTCGTTGTTTGAAGTCCTTGAGAGATTGATGAGGGTCTTTACCCTTGTAGTCTGGACCCGAAAGTTTCAAGCGGATATTTGCCTCGAGCAAATTGGGGTCTTGACAGCGAGACTCGAGGAACAAAACATTGATGTTTGGATCTCGTTCTTTGATGTGTTTGATCAAAGACATACGGCGCTCTTGGGTATGGTTTGTGGCATCCAGGATGCCCACAGAACCACCATCTTCCAAAACATACTTCATCAACTCATCCAGCGCTTCGTGCGCCACTTGTTCTCTGAGTTGTTTGGCCTTTACATTCTGAGGGTCGAAGAACTGGGCGGATTGATCCATAGGTTCGGTGCCTGGTGTCAGGACGGGCTCGAGTTTGTCTTCAAACTCGGCATGTGCACTTCCGTTCATCTGCAAGGGGCTGATTGGAGAAGCTGAAGTGATCTCGCCGTTCTGGAACAATTCGGTGCGGATAGCAGGTGGGGGAAGAAGTTCAGTATGGTCAATGGAACCACGAGAGCCCGTGTTTTTGCTGCTCATTCGTCGTACCGATTCCCGCAGTTCGGCGTGCGTTTTGTCGGAGATGGGGGTACCTTTTCCAGCAGCAACTCTTCTTCGATCGCCGACATTGAATATGCGTGTTGGATGTTGGAGCCAGTTTAGGTATCTTGCTATCTTCTTGACAATGTAACTCTTGCCGCGAGCGGGCAAGCCAACCATGACGATGATCAGCTTTGCGCCAACGTCTCTTTCAGATATGCGACCATCGGGAGAAACTTTGGAGCGGGTAAGGCCTGGGATATCGAGAGTGGTGGCACGGAGTTTTGGGGTGCCTGAGCCGGAGATGTGAGGGCTTCCACGGGCAAATCTAGAGGACAGGATGTTAGAGTGTCAACGTAGAGAATGGTAGAACATGATAGATCGTGTCTTACATCTGTGGGCTCGTCGGCGCGCTGGGGCACGGGGTGTCTGTCAAAGCCTGTCCCATGGAGTTGGCTGGATAGGGGATAGGTTTGGTGGTGGAATGGGAATTAGGCGTCCTTCCAAAGGCGTTCTTTGTGGGTGGCATGAGACTGGAATGGTAGGCATGGTTGAGTGAGTGTTCGACTTCGTGATGGGGAATTGATGGGGTTGAAGTGGCATTGGTCATGATGGCTATCCTCGCCAGGTCTGAATACTGTTCACTGAGATGTCGAGTAAATGTCGAGCGGGTGGTAGGACTTGTTGAACTAGTGCCCGAGGTTAGGCTCTCAGAGGGCGAGGCCTGCCTCGAGACTTCTATCAGAGGCATTCAGTCAGGTTTGGGAAGAAAGGATAAATTAGAAATGATAGGGAATGTGAGCGGAAGTTGGAGACGGAGGAGGAGGGACTGGGTCCCGGGGGAGGAAAAGGGTCGAAAGAGAGTGAGTCACAGAGAGAACGTTGTGTATGCAAAGGTAGTTGCGAATGTTGAATTAGAATTAGAATTCGAATTGGATACGAACCGACGTTGAAAGTTTTTGTGACTGCGCTTGAGGATGATTCGAGTGTAGAGTAGCACCGAATCTTTTTTGGCAGCGCACTGGCCGGGCAGTGGTAGTGGTACTCGGTACGCTGGACGGATACTGCGCTGGAGGAGCCGTGGACCTGGTTGAGGTTGTCAGCATAAGTGTGACGTAGAGTGGACGTTATCCGTGGCGGACTTGGTTGGGGTGCACTGCAGGGGGACCGAGCAGCACCTGGCAGCGGAGGTCACAGGCCGTGTACGCCTCGAATTGATGGGCTGCGATGGGAGCCTGAGACTCAGGGTCTACTCTGGTCTGTAGAGTCTAGATAGTCGTAGTAGTGCCGCAGAATACCTAGTCCGTAGCCAGTCCGTGAACCGTAATCGCGGACAAGATCCGAGAAGGATGGGAGAAAGTTTGGATGATGGAAGAGGGAGTGGAACTTTGAAGAGTGGAAGTGGATGCAGAGGTGCAGGGCAGGCCGGCTATTGATTCCACGAGGCGGCAAAAAGTAGCGATGAGAGGGAAAAGTAAAATCAATTATCCGCGGCCAGGTGCCAGTAATCAGGAGAGTCGAATGGGATTGATGCCTACTAGTAGGTAGAGAAGATAGAGATCAGTCACCCTACCAAGATACTTAAGTCTGCACTTACTCTTACAGCCCTTTAGGACCTACAGTTATACACTTGTTGTCAGCTCGACATCTTTTATCAGGCGGCCCGTTGTTTGAGTTTCCGGTCGGACGTTCAAGTTCCACATGGGTGGCTGTTTCGAGTTCATCCTCCGACTCCGGCACTTCGACCTCGTGATCGAACGGTCAACAATAATGGAGTAATAATCTCGAGTACTTATTTCTCAGCCGCATGTTACCCAAACTTCCACCTTCACTGCCAGTGGTACCGAGTACTCTAGGCGCTGTTGACCCCGATGCCGTAGTACATGGCTGAAGGACCCAAGCTGTTTAGTTCCAGGCGGGGATCCGTGCCAAGTCTCTACAGAAGTCCCCCAAAGCCCTTGGAGATCTGGGTTTTGGGTTTCACCAGTCCAACCAACCGCTGGGTTCCAGGGATGTGATCCCCGGCATTAGCGAACCTGCACCCGCACTCGGGCACCGAGAGCGCCAATGGAAACGGGGCCTAAATGCACGGGGCTGGGTGTTGCAGCCTCACTCCTCACTCCTAGAGTCCTCACTCGAATCACTCATGAAAATACGAGTTTACGAGGTTCAACAAATCAGAGTCTTACGCTGTGCACCAACTGCTAAAGCTTGGTGTTCCAAATTGCCAGTGTCCATTGCAATGCAAGTCGCCGCGAGGACACACACGCTCAGTGCCTCGCTCACATATTGCCCAGCCCTAATAAGCGAGGCTACCCGAACGCCTTGCTGTTGGACCTGATCAAATATAATATCAGTCGATACCCAAATACAACAAATACCGCAATCATGAGCTTCACCAACCCAAACGCTAATTCCAATGCCCATCCAACCCACGTCAAGGCGGCGACTCCTGTCTCTCTCGTGCCTCCGCTTCTCGCTCTCGTTGTTGTCGGTTCATCGCGGCTCGTGCTATGATTTCACGTCGGCTGAGGCCAGCCTCGCTTGGACTGTCCTTGGAGCGTCCCAGCACAAAATCGCCTCCTCTCCACCCACCGTCGTCCGCGTGTTCTGCAACATCATACGTGTCATTCGGGTCGTAGAACTCTTCGTTGGACAACCGATGTCCACCATGGAGAGTGTCGTTGCGCTCCACCTCCTGTTCAATTTCTTTGGTGAGGTTCCAAAAATTGCGATCGTGGTCTCCCCAGACGTTATGTGACAGCTCATGGCAAAGCGTCTTCCTGATCACCTTGTAGTCCCGGTAACCGTCGTATCGATCAGTTCGTAGCCGTAGTTCAATCACCTCACCCGCGTTCCTGTTCAACCCCAGCGTCTTGGATTCATGTGTCGTGTGTTCTGCAGGGTTCATCTCGGTCAGGAGCCCAACACTGAATTTATGCTTGCGCATCGAAGCCTTGATGCCCGGATCATTGGCTAATCTCTCGAGAAATCGTTTGCTCTTCTCGGGGTTCGGTAGGTAGTTTAGGGGCTCAATGGCATGAAATGTATACATGCTTTCCTCTCGCACCTTCTTCCAGTCTCGGTTCTTGTTGGCCGCGACTGTTTTAACCGTACTGGGTCTACCGCGCCGCTGACTGGCCGCCCCTATGTCATCCATCTTCTTGACTTCACTATTGGGTGCCCCGACCAATTTGATTCGGGTGGTGGGAGTCATAAAATCCTTCAACTGGCGGTCCGGGAATGGAAACTTGACGAGGCCTGGTTTGGGAAGGAAGAATAGTGAAACCCGCTCGACATCGGCGGCGATGTGCTCGGCGCATCTGGTGGCCAGGCCAAGAATGTTTTCATCGGGCTCATCCTCAAGATCAAGTGATGTATCCCGATATTGGATCTTCATTATGATCGGCTATTCAGAGATGGTTGCGTGGTTGGGATGATGTGGTGGGTGAGCTTGTGAAGGCGATCGGTGACTGGTTGAGAGGAGAGGTGTGTTCAGGTAGGGTATACATCAGAAGTGCGGACGATGGACAGATCCATGGGAGTGTCAATATGGAAGCAGTGGCCACTGCATGCCTGGTTACTTACAAGTGATTCTTTATTATTCCAAAGACACGGCAGATTAATCAGCTAAAAGTGACCACAACTGCTGCAGCGGCGACTGAAAGGCAGGCAGAATTTCTCGACGTCATTCAAGTTCAAGATACCAGCGGGTCGGGCCGAGGTCTGATTTTCTCCGTAACCGACAAAGCGTGTGCTTTGCTGATTGTTGTCCTCACATGTACGAGGTACTCGGTATGGCTTGCAGCTTTAAATGGCAATATATAACGACACGGATGGAGGTTTGTCGGGACTAGTCATGAGTGACCTACGTACCTACGTACCCACGACGACAACGCAAGAGTTAGTTAGGCGACGGTCCCATATCCCCCTTCACCATTTCCAGTCTGTCACAACCTTTGTGGATATATACTAGCAATTGAGATTAAAATAATCATAGCTTTTGGACCGTAGCAGTCGGTCCGTGGCCATTGGGTGAGTCAACTAGACAAGAAGAAAAGCCGAGCTTTGTTTCAGACTGAAGCGTTGATCATCGAAGCACGACGCACGATCTGCTAGATTCCATGGCGCGTAGAATCAACAATCGTCGTTGAATGAGGATGTACAGAGAACTCTGGCCGAGGCCATTGAAAGCAACCGGAACTTTCGCCGTCGCTGATCTCATTTTCTTCTCGATGAATATGAGAGCCCCAGAAAATACCCAAACTTGAACGTCCTGTAATTTGCCAAGACTAGTACTAAGCCAGATGGAGCCGAGAGCGAGATCATCCACATCACGTGAGACCGGCTTTCGGCGGTCTCAGAGTTTAGATCTACCACCAAATCGTCGTGGGCATATCTCTTTCCTTCTCACGCTGGGTACATGATATATGTCAAGAGTAATCATTAACTCGAGATGCGAACGGTGTCTAGGTACCTAAGATAGATCAGTATCGGTATTGTCGCATTGACATTTTTGGTTTCAAGCAACCCTATGCCCTCCAGAAGTACCTGGCTATCATAGCGTGACCAGGGCAACCAAGTTATCTTCCACGATGGACTGCCAATATTTGTGGTGACGTGGCTTTCGCTGCCCTCAGGCTCTTTGTCAGTCCGTCTCGTATCGTGCCAGTGAGGCTCACACGAGCCGACCACTCCACCACTGGCAGGGCCTTACTCCTGCTGTTGACCACAAGCCGGCTCGAACGGAAGTCAGCATGATACACTCGTGTTATTTGCAGGTGTCCGCCCGGGCCCCTACCTCCAGTTCGGAAATACCATGATAGCCTGCAGCCCAGACAGAACGACCCTGGAAAATGGGTCCTCGTGATGTGATCTCGTCGTGTTTGATTTGTTCACCGTCTCGTTCCATCCTCTGCTCGTGTGTCTTGTTACCCATTCAAGAAGATTTGGGATCCTCCAAACGTCACCATCTCACAGAGTCACAACAATTCTGCATCATGCTGCATCCTCGCTCCGTGCTACTTCCAAGACCCCGACGAGACTGACTAGTAGCATCAAGGCATCCCAGACAAGGCTGGGCTTTTTCATTACTCCCACACTGCCGCTACATCTCCGGGCGGGTACAATGATCGTCTGCACACATGGGCCCAAAATACATCGTATTAGAGGGATTCTTTGATTCCACTGCCGCTGAGACCTAACAATGCCACTGCCACTGCCAATACCGGCACTGGTAAATTGGTAATCCTTGTCTCGTCTGGAGGAAGGCGCCGCGGTGACTGCCCTGCACTGGCAGTGCATTACCAGTCATGGTACCTTCCTCAGTTCAAGTGCCCATGACTGCCTATTCTCTTCAAGTCCACTGCGTCTCCTTGTGCTCTGTTCACTCTTTTCTTTTCAATGCTCGCTGCTCACTGCTAGTACTTTCAAAGGTTTGGCTCCTGTCTGCACAAGTTCTCGCCATCCCGCTGTTCGCACGATCATGGCTTGCGCTGCTTTTCTTTTCTCGCTCTACAACCATGGTTTCCTCTAGATGGCGACTTTACCTACTGTTCGCCTTCATCTCCTTCCAGTCCCTGACGTGTTGCGACCCAGTCCCGACATCTAACCCAGGTCCGCGCCCTTCCGAATCCCTGTCTCGGCCTCACTCAGGCACTGGGACTGCCACCATTGAACCCGTCAAATCCACCGAGACCGCGAAGCCCCCAAATCCCGATGATAACAAATACTTCCACGAGCCTGGTGGAGATGATCTTCTGCACCATTATGATATTCGCTTTTTCCAGAAAATCGTCACCGATGAAGAAAGACAAGACACTCTAAGACACCTGATTCGTGCATACCTTCTGACCTTTGAATATCTCGGTCTGGAAACTTGGATCGCGCATGGTACATTGTTGGCGTGGTACTGGAATGCCAAAATCCTGCCATGGGACTGGGATCTTGACACCCAGGTAATTTCTTTCCTCTGTTCCCCCAGCGCTCAAACCTCATCTACTAATAAGTGCCAGGTGACTGACGAAGGCCTGAAAGTATTGGGTAAAAATTACAATCAAACTTTCTACGACTACGACCAAGGTAACGGTACCCCACCACGCCGCTATTTCCTCGATGTCAACTCTTGGGCATGGCAAAGGGATCATGGTGATGGCGCAAATGTACGCGGTTACCTGACTAAACCCGACGAGCACGGTAGCTAATCCATCTTTTCAGATCATCGATGCTCGATTTATCAGTGTTGAGAATGGTCTGTTCATTGACATCACCGGCTTGTCCGAGGTCAACCCGGACACAGAGCCGGGAGTCATCATGTGCAAGAATGACCACAAGTATAGATTAAGAGATATGTTTCCCCTACGAGACACTCACTTCGAGGGAGTCAAGGCCAAGGTGCCTTATTCATACGTGCCAATCCTGATTGAGGAGTACACGGAGCTTGCACTGGTTCAAACTGAATTTCACGAGTATGTCCATTTCAATCTTGGTGAGTGAAAGTATACTAACATGAGACAGCCATCGATGGGATCCGGACATGAGACAGTGGTTCCGAATTCCTGAGACACAGAAGCCTGTCGAAGACACAGCACAGATAAGGAAACGGAGCCTTCCTTAGGGAACGAACATGCAAAGACGTGAACAGAATTTGGCAAGTACGAACGAGCTACTCCAATACCACCACCAGAAGTCTCTGGTGCTCAATCACTTATCCAGCTTGGGCCAAATATTTTCGAAACCAAGCATATCGGCGGGCTTCAATGTCGCTCAATGTACTTCCCTGGACAAAAATGTGGCCTTCGCCATCATAGACCTTGATATTGACATCAGTTCCGGCGGCCCCTATCAACTTGGCAAGCAGATATGCCTGATTTGGGGGCACTATGGCATCATCCGCCCCACTCAGAATGAGAATCGGAGACGTGATGTTTGATGCATGTGTGAGAGGACTGCGCTCTTTCAGGATGGCATCCTGCTCTTGTTCGGTCAGACCTGGAGAAAAACATAATGGTCCCAGGTATTGGGACTCAAACTTGTGTGTCTCCTTCAGCAACAGGGCCATATCTGAGATACCGCTCTCGGCGACTCCACACGTCCACACGGATGGATTGATTGCTAAACCTTGCATGGTCGCATATCCACCTGCCGAATGACCGGTTAATCCAACGCGGGTCTTGTCGATCATGCCTTGCTTGGATAAATATTCAACTCCCGAAACCGCATCAGCAAGATCGCTCACCCCCCATTGTGCTGCCAACAATCCACGATAAGGTCGACCATAGCCGGTACTCCCGACGTAGTTGACCTGTAAAATTGCATATCCGCGAGTGGTGAGAGCGTGATCACGGAGGTAAAAGCCGGAGCCCGTTTGAAAGGTGGGCCCACCATGCATTGCGACGATCAAGGGAGGCAGAGTGCCTTCAGGTCCTCGATATCGCGGGTTGCGTGGTGGAAGGAACAGGCCAAAGGCATTTCCGCCTCCCGGACCATGAACTCTGGGAAATGTGACATTCTGTGGGGACGAGATATAATCGTCTGGCAGAGAAGAACTGCTCGACTTTCGCAAGATTGTACCGAGCCCAGGCTGCTTAATATCAACGAGGGTAGCCACATCAGGTAGACAAGGTGTTGACCCAATGACGGCAAATGTTGTGTCGTTTACAGCTTTTAATGCGTTGATGCCAATTTGAACAATGGGGGAGCCCAAATCCCGCCACTTGAGTGTGTCTGTGTCAACTTGAATGATTGCCCATCGGTTGTCTTTGTTGTAGCAGGCGACTAGCTTCACGGGACTCAGGAAAGCATACGAGGATCCTCCAAGGAACCAGTCCGGGAAGCCAAATTCTGCGGTGTCCAGCCCATCGAGGTGTACCCTTTGCACAATCTCATTTTGGCAGCGGTAGAGCTGCCAGTAATCGCTTTCGTCCGAGACAAAGTAAAGCTTGTCGTCTGGGCTCCAAGTCGGCTGGGTTATACTCGCGTTCGCATGGAATCCAGCAACCGGTTTAGAACTACGGAGACTGCCCGAGTCAAATTCTGCAACCCACAGCTGAGTGCTATCCCATGGCATGTTTGGATGATTCCACTGGATCCAGGCAAGCTTTGTACCATCCGGGCTGAAGCGTGGGAAGCTGTAGAAATCGGCACCTCGGGCCAGGACTTGGAGCTCCTTTGTCGACGAGTCAATCACAACCAACGTGTTTTCAATCTCGGAGATGGTCGCCGGGTGGTGATCTTCCTTGATGGCCACGATGTAGTGGTTGGCCACCGGGTGGATGTCGAAGTCTGCATAGTAGATTTTGGGATCCGCGTGGACGATTGGCACGACAGATCCACTCTGGGGATCCAGCTTGAAGACGCCTTTGGTGTCCCAATCTGTAAAGACGAGGTGACCGGTGAGTTGGTCGACGACGAAAGACGCTCCTCCGTATTCGTGGACCTGCGAGAGAGCATTGAACTGCTTGGGAAGGACCTCTCGGGATTCTCCATTGTGGTATTCAACTATCACGCCCCGGCCATTCTCATCGGGACGGATCTCGTTGATGTAGATCTTGCCATTCTCGCGGTTGACGTAGATTTGATCAAGGACCACTGATCCTGCTGCTGCAAAGTCCTCGGGCTGGATGGGGCTTTCCCATGTGCCATATGCGGCTACCTGCTGAGGGGTGGACATTGAAAGACGGTCGACCTACCTTGATATAATTGAACAAAAAGGAGGGATATCCTGGGGTTTCTCTTCGTACTTGTGTCCGGACCAAATCGTGCTCGAGTGGAAATGCATAGTGGCATACTTGGTATATAAAGGCTTAAAGTACAACTTATCTAAGGTGACTATTCTGGAGACAATGAGGGAAGGTGGTACTGATGGTTGTGGCAAGCTGTGACCTTCCTCTCTGGGCATGTCTATTGCCTGCAATGGGGTTATCCGTGATATGAAAGTTTTGATGAGGCTCTATACGAGCTGCAGCCTGCAGATAGCCCAGAAGCCTAAGGAGCCTATGCTGGACCGAGCTCCTCGGGCCCGGGGCAGCCCCTGGGCCTTGACCGAGTTAGGTGCTTGGTACCCTGGTGCCAGGGTGGGTGGCCACCATACCCCGCGATGGTAAAACATGGCTTACCTTGGCTGTATGGACGCCTGGAACCTCAGGCTGAGCTTGTTTGGAGGAATGGACATGAGATAGGTATTTTACGTTCCACACAGCTTCCTATTTTATTTCCTACATGGGATGAATGCTTACATGTATTTCAATCTTGAGTACTCATGAGTAAGATAAAAGACTTCTGTGGAAGGCACCGCACTGGGATAACATCGATGTCTCACTAGCGAAGGTTGAAGCGAATGTGATGACATTCACTGTTTCGTGCCTCGACTTCACTGTCGAACCCTAGTCAAGTTCAGGTTCACAACCGCCAACAAAGATTGTCTCTAAAGCCTCGCCTCACCTTTGGATGATGGCCATGTCGAGTCGGCCAACAAAAAACACCATTCTTCGTACCAATGTCCGACATCCTCGAAGTCCTCCCTGACTTCGATACCAAGCCCTACTCGCACCTATTTTACTCGCTACGCAAGAACAACATCGCCGTGGTTGATTTGGTGACTAGCGATCCCAAAGAGATTGCCAGAAGATGCCCACTTCCCTCGGCCGACGTCGCAAGACTCTGTGTAGACGTCATACGATCTCTACAATCTGATGTGCGGACGACTCTTCGGAAGATCCCCAGCTCCGCAACCTCAGTATCCAAGGAGAAGGAAGAGGCAGCAAGCAGCCAGGTCAAGAAGGAGGTTGATACAAAGAACATCAATAGCAGTGGTGACAGTGGTAACCGCCCCGATGATAGGCTCAAGACTCTCGATCAGGTCGTAGACAACGCACTCGGTGGTGGGTTTCGACCTGGTCACATCACGGAAATTGTGGGAGAGAGTGCTGTGGGAAAAACACAGTTTGTACTAGGACTCCTGCTCTCTGTTCAACTGGCTCCACCACGTGGCCTTGGTAAATCAGCCATGTACGTGTCCACCGAGGGCAACCTGAACACGAAACGACTATGCGAGATATTGAACTCGCATCCCGAATACCAAAAGCTGTCGCCTTCTGAACGACCCTCGATGGACCGTGTGCACACAACGACGACTAACAGCCTCGAAACACAAGAGAACATCTTGCGCTATCAATTACCCATCGCTGTGAGGAGGTACGACGTGGGTTTGATTGTGTTGGACTCGGTGGCTGCCAATTTCCGGGCCGAACACGGTAACTATACTCCAGCAGCATTACGTGAGAGAGCCTCGGAATTGCGGCAGTTGGGAAAAATGCTACGTCAAGTGGCTGTCCAGAGCAATGCGGTCGTGATTGTCACCAACCAGGTGTCGGATCGGTTTGACCATGCTAGTGCTAAGAGCACTTCATTTCTGCTTCGGTCTCAATCTTCTGCAATATCTTCTTCGCCTGCTGTGCCGGGGTCAGAGGCGGCGGCGGTTAGTCAGCTTCGGACAGAGACACAGAGTCTCGTTCATCAACAACGTTTCTTCACGGGTTGGGGTGGGAGGAACGATACAAGCAATGAGTCGCTGAAGAATCCGGCGCTAGGACTGACATGGGCAAATCAAATTTCAGCTCGAGTTGCCCTCAAGCTGGAGAGTGAACGTCAGAGCTATACCGGGGGCAACATTTGGAAAGACCAAAAGAAGAAGAGGTCGCTCGCGGTGGTGTTTGCACCATGGACTCGGGCCACCAATTCACCGATAGAATATGAGATTACTACACAAGGGGTTGTTTCTCTGAGTGAAAAGGAAGATGCCGAATCAGCCGCTTTGGCCAAGGAGCATCCGGAGTTGGAAAATCCTGAGTTCTGGGCGACTGATGACTTTGATCTCGAGTGAGAGTGTGCATGCAAACGTCAGACTACAGATGACTCATTGGAAGGAACATGTTCTCTAGGGAGGATTTGGATATCTGGGAATCAAGGGCACTGCTGGAAGGACATGATGATTTCAAGGAGAAAGAGCTACTATTGATTGATGGATGTTGGACGTTGGATCGAGGAGAAAGATAATGATGATAATGACAATGACAATGGCTGAAGCCCACATGGTGAGGTCCTCGTATTCAAAATGCTTGCCCACCGCAGCTTGGGTCTACTTGGGTGACACAGGCGAATCAAAAAGACGATTTCCCGGATTTGACTCTCAGATCGGAGGATTCTTACTCGTATGATCCTTTGAAATGCCATGCAGTGAGGGTTGTTGGTTATCAAAGTTGCAATCCACCGTCAATGTTAGAAACAGGCATGTCCATGCGAGAGGAGATCATTATTTGTCCATGAGTGGCGATCAATCCATCTCGCTTCTCCGCTCTCGATCGTTTCTCTCTTGCCTCTTTGATGCTCTTGAACTTCCAACAGTTCGAAGGGAAGGCGCGGAAGGCGCCCAAGCGGAATCATCTTCAATTGGATCTTGGAACGTCCTTCCAGATTGCACTCATGGCGCTTTCTTCTTAGGACAACTCCGTTCAACGTCTGATCCCGTCTTACTGGTAGGCTTCTGTCCTTGGTGCTCCATCGAACACTATCAATATCGCTCTTATTCATATTCTTCTGTCTGTATATCTTTCCCTCTTCTCTTGCCATTCTCAATTCCCCATTCCATCCACCTCTCCTTCTATCTCTTCGCCAGCCGCCCAAATCCCCCATTCTCTTCAACACAATGCCGTCTTTGAATGGGGCGGCCACCGTGCCCAAAGTCGCCACTCGACATCCCTTGGAACAACTGAGCGTCGACGAGGTCGAGATAGCTCGTCAGGCCGTTCTTGACGCCCGCAAAACTTTCGGTGTCCTGTTTCGTAACATCTATGCGGTTGAACCCGCAAAGGCCCAGCTGGTCAAATTTCTGAACGCCGAGCACGCTGGTACTCTCTCACCAGACACTCCTCGACCACCACGTCAGGCTCGTGTACAGTATGATACAATCTCCGAGGATAGAAGCCACGAATTACTAGAGTCCATCGTTGATCTGACCTCGGGCAAGGAGGTCGAACTTCGAAAGGCTCCCACCGTCGCCCAGACCGCCCTCATTAAGGATGAATTTGTCGAGTTCACCGAGGTCTGCGTCAAGTCCGAGAAATTCAAGCAAGCCATTCAGGAATTCAACCTCGATGACAAATATGAAATCGCTATCGACCCTTGGCCATGTGGCGGTCCCAATCCGGACGATGTTGAGCCTCGATACACCCAAGGCTTGATCTACGCCAAGTTAAAACACGAAAATCCAGATACCAACCACTACGGCTTCCCTCTGCCCATCATCCCAGTCATGGATACATTCAAAAAAGAAATCATTCGTATTGATCGCCTGGCTACTGGTGGCACTGAGGATGGCTTGGCATATGGCACAGGCCCCAAAGATATCCTGGGTCATTGCAAGCCCGTCGAATACGTTCCTGAATTACTTGATACTCCCCTCCGGACAGATCTCAAACCGTTGAATGTTTCCCAACCCGATGGCCCTTCGTTCACCGTCTCCGATGATTCACTCATCGAATGGCAGAAGTGGAGGTTCCGAGTCGGGTATGTCTAGTCCACATTTCTCTCGCTGTCGCTCTAACTAACTCGTCCTTTAGCTTTACACCCCGCGAGTGCGCCGTCCTTCATGATGTTCACTACGATGGAAGAAGTGTGCTGTACCGACTGAGTTTGTCTGAGATGACTGTCCCCTATGGCGATCCGCGTCCACCCTTCCACCGCAAGCAAGCTTTCGATTTTGGTGATGTCGGTGCTGGACGTGCCGCCAACAATCTCGAACTTGGTTGCGACTGCCTGGGCGTCATCAAGTATCTCGATGCGGTGCTGGTAGACTCTGAAGGCAAGCCTTCGGTATCCAAGAATGTGGTCTGCATTCATGAACAAGATAACGGTATTGGTTGGAAGCACACCAACTTCCGAACCAACAGAGCCGTGGTCACCAGATCAAGAGAATTGGTTGTGCAATTTATCATTACCCTCGCCAATTATGAATATATCTTCGCCTACAAATTGGATCAGGCTGGCGGGTAAGTGACGACTCCCTTCATCGGCATCTTCGGTGACTCACACACTCCAGTATTACGGTCGAGACTCGAGCGACTGGCATGGTCTCAGTCGTCAACATTGATCCAGGCAAAACCAGTCCCTGGGGCAATGTCGTGTCTCCCGGCGCATTGGCTCAAAACCATCAACACATTTTCGCAATCCGAGTTGATCCCGCCATCGACGGCCACGAGAACACGATCATCACGGAAGAGTCGCTCCCAATTCCCATGAATCCCAAGACCAATCCATGGGGCAACGGCTATGAAATCGTGCGTAAGCCAGTGACCAAGTCCACGGCAATTCATGCGTCTCCGTTCACGAACTTGAATGTCAAGATCGCAAATACGAACAAGATAAACCCGATTTCTCAACGACCAGTGGCTTACAAGTTCACCCCTATGCCCACTCAATTGATGTTGGCCGATCCTCAATCGATTGTCGCGAAACGAGCAGCCTTTGCCCAGCATCATGTCTGGGTCACCAAGTACAAAGATGAAGAACTCTTTGCAGCCGGCGAATTCACCAACCAGTCCCAACTCGAGATCGGCGGCGTGGCAGATGCCGTTGCGCGCAATGAGGATGTCGAGAACAACGACGTGGTGGTCTGGAATGTCTTTGGCCTCACACACAATCCTCGTGTCGAAGACTGGCCTGTCATGCCAGTGGAGATCCATCAATTCCACCTCAGGCCTGCAGACTTCTTTGATAGAAATCCTGCTCTCGACGTACCGGGTCAGAAGAACATTAGCAGTGTTGAAGTTGGCCGCAACGGAAGTGCTGCAGATTGCTGTCATAATGGTGCTACTAATGGCACGGAAAGTGCGAATGGGACGGTCCAGGGCGAACCGACATCACATCGACAAGGGTCCGTGGCTGTCCCCGTTGAACAGTTGAACGGCCATTAAAGTGAGTGTGCATGTAGAATTATGCTACTTATTGCAAGCATCAGGAATGCAAGACCGAGTTACCGTACATAGGTCGCGAGTGTGGTGTATCTATCTCAATTCGCATCATCTGGGTCCGTACGGAGTAGACTGTAACCAGTACAAGCACCTTGCTAGCCGTTCAAGAGGCAGTAGCTCTGGAAAGCTAGTTACTTGGAGGTTTAAGACTTCGTGGACTTCTTTAGAGAAGTTAGATTGATCACGGTCAATGTAGGGTTATCTGTGGTCGTGTTCACAACGCAAAGCAGGGCTGAGCCATGAACAATACTCAGTATTCGTACCGGACAATTTACTCGCCACTGATCAGTTGCTGAATGTGGGAAGATGAGACCATATGATATCCATATGTGTTCTATAGTTCAGCACTTCGTGAGGCCTGGTGAGTCCCTAGGTAGCCAGGCTCATACTGTAGTTAGACAAGCCGATCCCGATCCCACCAGCCACATCAGCATCAGCCTCAACCTCAGCCACCGGCACAGCCTGACTGGAGAGCTGTTTTTTTGTCCGCGGGCAGCAATATCACCCCCGAGCCCTCCTACCTTCAACTGCTTCTCATCAGCGACGGATTCACATCACCTTTGCTCCATTGAACGTGCAGCTATTTCCTCAAATATGGCATCCATAGCTCAACCATGGTTGATCTCCAAGTCAGTCTTCTCCATCCCACAAAGACTGCTATCTTCCTACAAAAATGGCTGACCTGAACTTCCCATAGATTCGTCGATCCCATCTTTGCTGTCTTCATCGGCTTATCTGCAGCCACTCTTCGCATTCGTCGTGAGCAGCTCGAAAAATATCCCAATGAGAACGCGACGCCTCTAGCCCTATGGCAGAAGGGTGTCAGGATGGGCACAAGCTATTACCGCCGTGGAATGGGAAAATGATCGGCTTGTATGTCACTGTCGCATCTACGATTTTCGGTGATGTCCATCGAGGTGATTTGAACAAGTCTACAACTACCCTAAGGCATGGCGACGTGTACGAATTAGGATTCGCACGAATGAGAACGCAACCCGGACATAGAACATCACAATTAACGAGGAACTCAAGAAGGGACTGCTGGTTTTCAATGTGCCGATTGATATCTTGCTTCCTACATGCACCAGGGGTAGTTTGGGCATTTCCAAGGAAACTCCATTTATGGCTCATATCTCGCTTGCCATCAACCAAAAGCTGGAATCTGCTGAGCGGTCTCCTGCGCCTTCTGGTACGACACTCGATCTTGAACATAGAACTCGACCTGCATTTCACCAACATCCGGCTGGTCCAAACTTCCCGCTCTGCGAACCGAAGTCAGTGATTTGACGTAACTCAACCAGGAATCTTACTTGATGGCTGTTTTGTCCCCCATAACCTCCAATTCACAATACAAGCTCGACCCACAGTCAGCACAGAAGAAGTGTTTGTTGATCTTGCCACTACCGCCGACAGTGTCAAAAGTCTTGGGTTCACCTAGGTTCGTCTTGTCAGCATGGCGGATCGTTCTGTGAAGCGCCGCCACAGTCGCTCGAACCTTTGGTAACCTGGAAAGTCTCCCGTGGAACCACGACATTCGCCATCCCAGGAGCACCGCCCCATTTCTGGCAGTCCTTGCAGTTGCAGAACGCTTTCAACGCAATATCCCCTGTCACCATCTCAGCTACGCGAAATCATACGTGGTTTTGGTAATACCAACCAGTGTATTCATAACGGACGTTTCCGCACAAGCAGCCTCCCTGAATAGCAGCCATACTGGATTGTGATGAAGTGTGAGATATGTGTTGAGAGTAAGAAAAGTCTATTGGTGGACAATGTAATATGCTCAGCGTAATCAAGGCCAGTGACTTCAGTGCGGAAGCAGCAAGTATTTATACTCGGCTATCTACAGTAGACAACCACCTGTTTGCGCTGCCTGCTATTACCATATCTCTCTCCCCAATCAGAACTACAATAATATGTGTTTCGGAGTGTTTGCCTACTGAGTACTGCCCATCTCCGATTGACCAGTTTGGTTCCCAGGAGAGGCTACCAGAGCGTCGACCATCCATCAAATACCACGTCAGGAATGTGTTTTGATGACTCGAGAAGCGACTACAATAAGCGAGTCTCTACCGTGAGTAACCAACTTGCATCATCTAGCAAAATTGTCCATATCCAACTCGCATCATCTAGCAGAATTCGGTTATTGTGCTGCCGCTAGTCTCCACAGTGTATCCCTGGTCTTCCCTTATGCTTCACGCTATAACATATCGGGTATGTGAAAGACCTGAGGCCAACTCGGCCAATTTGGCTGATTCTTGCATCCGAAATTCCCCATTGTCAGGAAACATTCAAAGGTCTGGTCAAATTATTGGATGTGGATGCCTGCATTTGCACTCGGAAGAAAGAGCTGGTCTTTTAAATTTTCATGTTTCATATTTACTACATGTCGGTCGATGTCGTGGCCACGGCTGACCGGGGAGTCCATCTTCTCCCACCAGGATCACACCCAGTCAAAAAGACTAAGCTCGATTTATCTCGACAGATGGCTAGCCCGCCTAGTGAACAGAGACCTTAGACTAACCCACATCCAGACGATGATGTTGATGCTTCCCAAGACAACAATGGGAATTGCAGACAGTACAATAAGTCCTATCAAGCGGTATTGTTAACATGAACGTACATTATCTTCATCGGGAATGTTCTCGGGGTAGAAAGAAGGCCGGATAGCATACCGAAAAAGCCACCCCGACGGGTGATGGTGGACCACAGCTCCGTCGTGATGATATCCCTAGCACCATCAAATGCCCACGGGCCGATGACACGGAACTTGGTGTTGAAGTTGGCTCCCAGCGCCCAGGTCAGGAACATACGAGGCCCGCACGACAACATGTAGGAGAACGAGGGAGCTGATTCCATGTCCAACGCCAACTGGTAGGCATAATTTTCGTGGTCCACGCCGTACTGGATGCGATTCTCACCGCTAACTTTCAACTTGTAGTGGTCGTTTGGGATCAAGCTATGGGGAAGAAGGTCGTGCAAGGCTAGAATCCAGAGTTGCGCCTGGAACTCGGCCAGAGGGGGAATCGCACCTGCAAAGGAATTGGAACTTGTTAGCTACGTGGCATTCATCCCCGAGGGCGATGGAAAGGGAAACCGTTACCAAAGCTAGGCCTCACAAAACCTATGAAGCCAACTGACTCGTCACCTCGCTTCCAAACACGTCTTATGTCTGCTTCTTCGGGTCGGGGATAGTGAGCATCCAGAAAAGGAAACCTCTGCGTGTATCCTGTTGCCATAACCAGGATGTCCACCTTGCGTTTGATCTGAGACATCCGTTGTGATTCGAGACGACCATTGTCAATGAAGTGAATAGTGCCATCCTTCTCGATGCGATCCGGCCACGGTGCCAGGTCTATGATCCTTCCATTCGTATCAGGAATAGGAGTCTGAGCAATACAACTTCGGATTCGATGCAGCCAGGACTGAGAGCGGTAGGGGACACTGATGTATGGTATGGCTTTGTCTGACTTCATAAATATCACTGCAGAGACTGTCAGTCATGCTAGATCTCCAAAACTTAGCTGCTCATGGATGTCCAATCACTCACACTCCGCTGTGCTGTAATGCTCGTCTGCAACTCCACCTACCCACTGATCGATGCCATATTTCGAACCCCCGACGAGCCACAACGTGCTCTTCACGAAAGTATTGTAATACGCCCAAGGAATCCAGGAGACCCTCATAAGAGGATGGACATACATAGATTCGAAGAGTGACGCGGTGCTGACATCCGTGGGAATGCTATTCCTGCTAGGCTGTATCATGCCAAACAAAACTGGATTCGGCACCCTGTAAGCGATGGTCAGCGTTTCGCGAGGAAATTGTGAGTTCATAAAAGGGTACTTATCTTGGGGCCACCAAGGAATCCTCGTCGATGGCACACAGTGACTGATTTCGGTTTTGGGGAGGTTACGGCCAGATGTGCAACATCCATACCAGTCTCACCAACTCCTAGAACAACGATGTTCTTATCGTAGCCAAAGTCTTCCCGTCCTTTGAACTGTGACGAATGCATCACACAGGGGACATTCTCAATGCCTTCGACATACGGCATATGTGGTTCAACGTGTAAGCCGGTGCAAATCGCCACGGCATCACACTCCCAATTTTCATCATCTTCTTTGGAACCACTGCCTTTCTTCTTCAGGCTGACAACATGTCGAGAGCCTTGTCGGCGCAGCTTTGTGACTCGAGTATCGAGTTCAATGTGTTTCCATAGATCAAAATGAGAACAATACTCGTCCAAGTATTGGAGATATCTTCCCATCGGGAGAAAATCGGGGTCACTCGCGAGTGGGCGGAAATCCGAGAAGGTCGTCAGATACTTCGAAGACACTTGCTATGAAGAATCATCAGTCCAAAGGAATTTGTGAAGGCAAGGAAGTAGGGCGTCCCTACTTCTCCATCTTCATATGTGCGTTTATAGAAAGTCCCTCCAATAGCATCATCGGCTTCAAAAAGACGGACCTGTACCTGCTCAACAGGTAGGAATAAATGTGCCTGGGTAAGATATTTCAGAGTCACTAGACCTCCAGGCCCTCCTCCGATGACTGCTATTCTCTTCATGTTGGCGGCTGATAAAAGTGATGAAGAGTGGCTGGACAGAGGTGACCATCTTCTTGCACAAGGGATACCCGTCCCTTAAACTAGATTTCTCATTTGACTGGCGACAAGCCGCTCGAGCTGACCAACTCATCCCTGACCCTTGGACAGACGACATTTTTTTTAGATATATGGAATTAAGCCGAAGGGCCCTATTGCAGAGGAGATCAGCCCCAGGCACCCCCAGGATATGTGAAGCGGTTGCCAGAAGGAGCAAGACAGATCGGCCTCGTCCGTCCGCATGGTTGAAAGTTCCATGTCAGATTTGCTGGACTCCCTCAACAGAGAACGGATTGTCGACCAGTGATGGAGAGTATTCAGGCTGCAGGAATGAAACTCTGTGAACACCTAGCCAAGTCGTGGACTAAAATACCTATGGAGATCGAGCTCGGGCACTTCCCGGCTCCTCAAATGCGGAGGCGATGTCAGCAGCACAAAAGTCCAATGGAGACTCGTTAAGCATCTTCGTATGTCGATATATTTGGTTTTTCCATGGGGGCAGTATCCTGTAGCCGGGGCAGAATCCCCTACACACGAACAAAAGGTCAAGAAAGATTGACAAATTCTGAACCTTCCTTTTCATATTTGCATGTCGATGCCAACTCAACACAAGCATGCTTGCGAGGCTGCGCATCACATAGCTCGTAGATGCACAATATTACTTTCGAATAAAGGTTGCTTTCCATCCCATCTCCTGCATTGCCTGGGAGAGAAGGAGAAGCCACCCATCGTCCCACTTGAGATAGCTCACATATGTTTGGATCTTATCGTCTTGGGGTTTCGAGCGCAGATAGTTAGATCTGCTGATGCTCTGAAAACGGGAAGGAATATACAGAGATGGCCGACCAGTAATCACTGTCGTTCGTTCATCTATTCTTAACAGGTAATCCAGCACAGCTTGAATGAATGGCGAAATTATGACGGAAACGAAGCTTATGGGAGAGCCCGGTGGCTGATAGGGCCGGAGAGTTGGTAGCCTTGGCATCAGTAAGAACAACTTGCATGGTGGGGGGCCATTCGACGTTTGATGATAAACGTTTTGGACTTTGTTCCAGTTTGTGTCTCCACGAACCTGTATTCCATGTCAGAAATCAACATGGGCCAATTCATCGTTTCCAGAAGCAATTGTCGAACAATAACCGATCATATGTGCGGCATGTATGTCGACCATTCGACATTCTAAAATGCGCTGGCTGGAAGCGCTCGCAGGCCAATAAGATCTTCCACCAATATATACAGCCTGTAGATAGCATATATGCTAACGATTGGTGCATCGAAAGGATGACATATGGCTCTAGGTCCATGTTGGGGTCCTTGTCAGGACTATCATTGAATTTGAAGTGCTTCCATCTCCCCCGCGAAGCCGCGATGGAGCTGACAGGTGCACGATATCTACGAGAAGTTCTGGATTCTCCCGTTTCTGCACGGGACAGAAATTTGGGCAGCCAGTGTCGAAGGTGTATAGGGTATAGCACCTCCACAAGTCCAACTCTCAGAGTGAGTGCCATGATTGTTGCAGACGAGACGCGCCACAATGTCTTTTCAATTTTGGTTGGGATTTCAAAATTCCAAGCCCACATGGAAGACTGCCGCATATGACAAGGCCATGACCAACGCGAGGAAACTGCCCGTCAATGATACCTGCGGGCAGGTGAAGGAAGAGATGTGCGGTATCGGCCGAAATGCCGGCCATCGGCAGCCAACATAAAACTTTGTCACAACATTGACGTACTATGCCCAAAGCCTAAAAAATATCCATCTTTCACGGCTCTCGAAGCCGAGAGGCGTCCGGCTGTACGGCTGGGATGCAGCCTCGCCGGCAGAAATAAGGATATCGCGGATGGTGTAGTCGGTATGGACAACAACAGTGGTTGAAATATCCATGGGGTTCTTTCTCCAACAGAAGGTCACCGCCAGTGTGCATACTATGAATCCCACAGTCGTGATCTCTAGCGTGGTGATAGCACGAGCCTGTGATGGTCTGGTGACGACATTGAGAGTGAACCATACGATTTGGCATGAGGTGATGACCGCTGGAAAGGTGTTCAGTCAAGTTCGGTTCCTAGGAGCAGTGTCTGTCTGATACGCTCACCTGGTCAATCCATCGGCCTTGTTCTTGGCATCCATCTCGCTCTCACTGATTTTCGGGTATGCAACATAACCCTCCTGGACTAAGTACAAGAGTTGTTTGGAGTCAATTGGGAAAGACTTCCATTTATAAGGTTGCAAGATAACTCCACCCATATCGGCGTGAAACGAGTGTTTGATTGTTTAGTCGTGGAACTCGGCCTCGTGGAAGAGCTTCTCACGCGTTCGAGCTTGGCCATACTGTCCCACAGCTATGACGAAGACGAATTCTGGTCCCAGCATCGCAAGCCAGAAGAAATGCCATTTGTCCCAGAATGTTTCCAAACGTGTGTGATGGGCTGGGGGAACGCTGATACAAATAGAGGTCCAGCCGCAAAGAAAAATAGTCATGCAATAGAAGAGGATGTCGAATGTACCACAACTGTTCGGTTGCTCAACCCATCCTCGAATCAGCTGAGTGGTGTTGTAGCCTGCAGCACTATAATTCATCATCTTGACCTTGAAACAAGCCAGAGCTTGGGTTGAAGCGGTTGGTCAAGGTGATGCTTGCGCACCCAAATGGATACTGTCTGGACGACATATCTTTGTGACCATCTGGAAGATTTGAAGACTCTTCATTTTGCGATTACGACCGAATGTATTTTCGAACTAGCACGGTACCAAGATGTCACATCATTTGATAGCGCCAGGCTCGTGGGGGAAATAGGAAGAGATAGGAACTGTTGATGCACATATCGTCGATATTTCGGGAGACCCGTGGTACAATACTGTAATATGCTAGAGGGAATGCTACTCGGATCCTAGCGAGAGTCTACCAATGTGCTTCGGGGTGCCAGTGTCTTACTAACCAGCTTGGTGAATATCAATGAAACCCATTGGCACTGGAGCTGATTGGCATGGTAACAACGATATGCAAGGCACCGCAAAAGAGTCGCGGCGATTGGGAGTTGGCGAGCTGATGCGTCTCCGTACTAGTCGTTGTCCATATTTAGAGACCTGGGCAGGCTGGGTATCAGTCTGTACGTGAAATTCTTTGATGAAGTACGGCCCTCGTTATTTGCCCCAGAGTTGTGTTGGAAATTTCTCTAGCTCGGCATTTTAAGTAACCCTGGGTCTGTTATCTCATGGTTTGCCTCAGACCATTCCACCTTCCTAAGACGATACACTGTGGCCCATACCTTAATTGACCTGGCTGACATGATGGGACCTGCTAATACATTCGGCCTTGATCTGGGTCCAGCCCATAGCCTTATATATGCCCAATAGGAGGACGCAGAGTCGAATCAACACTTTGACAAGTTTGGAGTTCTGCCAGCCTGTGCGAACCAATTCAACCAATCCAACCAATTCAGGTCACTGCTATTGAGTATTGGAACCATATTGGCAACCGGTGAGATTGCCGATCAACGTTTTGGAAAGCTCTGTTTCCCCTAAATTTCCCAAGTCTAAAACGAAGAAAAGTAGAAGTCCAAAATATATGTCTCGACTACTCAATGTAGTCCGCTGATTCTGGTCTCTGCCATATATTTTTGGCACTGTAGCATCATGTTCATCTGGTCTGTCACGTCGGCTAGCCGACCGAGGACCTTCTTATTTCCATCTGTAAAGTTGTATATCGAGTACTTGATCCCAGTCTCTTCGCAGAACTTCCGCACCAGTCTCTGAACGTTACGTAAATTGTGTCGTGGAATCTGTGGGAAAAGGTGATGAACGGCCTGATACTGCAACCCGCCATGAAGAAAATCCAGCCATTCGGGACAGTCAACATCCATGGTAGTGCGTAGCTGGCGTTGTGGGAACGACTCGGCATCCCCTAGATCCGCTGTTGGCATGGCCCAGTGTGAAAGGGTGATTTGAACATGTAGTGGCATTGTGATGATGTGTGAAATCAAGACGAACCCGATGCGAGTTGGCCAATTGGGTAGTGTGAGCCATACAATGCCGTAGCCAAACCAAAGCCAGTAGCAGAAAATGAATGCGATCTCGGTAGGCCGAATCCAAGAGGTTATGCGGCTCTTTGGTCGAGGTGAAGTGAATAGGTGGTGAATAGATAGCATGTAGAGGTTGAAACGTGCCACACCCATGACTGGATAATAGGTATACTGCTGGTAAGCGACGGCAAAGTCGGCGATCTTATCCCAGACAAAGGTGAAATCATAGTATGTGGAATGAAGGGATTTGAAGAATGACGGACATGTGGCGAAGAGGGGGACATTCTGAATGTCAGGATCATGCTCCTAGACGGAGGATTGGTGGTCAGTGGATTGACACGGGTTGCAACAGTGGTAGACAACATACCGGATGGTTCGTGATCAGGTGATGCACATTGTGACTAGACTTCCACCAGCCTATGGACAAGCCACAGCAGAAGTCCGCTATAAAGAGACCAATCAAGTTGTCCGCAATGAAATTGTGAGTGATGCCTCGATGACCGGCATCGTGTGCTGTAAACATGATTTGATGCTGCGAGACATGGTCAGCAAGAGCAGGCTGGGCAAAAGAAGTCGACTTACCCAAAACAAGCCTAAGAAGGCTGCAGAGGTAAAATACCAACCATGGCGTAGTGCGGTGGCGAAAAAGGCAAAGAGAACAAGATATCGAGTAACCTCCTTTGCATATTCCGAGTATCTGCACGTGTAGAAACCTTGGTCTTTGATCTGTTGATGAAGGTCTTGATATGCCGATGAGATGGCTCTCTGGGTGGCATCATCCAAGGAGGGATAATCTCTTAGGCTGTCTTCGATTTCACCTTTGATGGCTTTGGAGACATAAGCCTCGGGTGTGATCAAAAACGATGGTTTGGTCGAGTTTGGGGAAACGGCTTTCCGTCCCTCTGCTCCGGGGACTTGTAGGTGCACTGTGTACCCGTCTTTGGACGTTAATCTTTCCCGAAGGACATCTGCTTCGACATGGTTGATGTCCACGGAGGTGGTGCGGGTGCACAACGTTGATGCATCACTGAGGTCATCAATACTGGTATCGCTGGAGTTATCACTGGAGTTTGCCGTGGTCTCGGCCGAATCTAGGTTCGGATGATCGATCTCTTGATCCTCTGTCGCACTGGAGGAGTAGATACCACCTCTGATGGGTGGAGTCAGGTTTGTCCAATGGCCAGATATGGTGCCGATTCTGTATTTATGTAAGGTAGCGAGTGTAGAGGCTGAATGATAGCTGTTTTGGGAAAATGGTTCAATTTGTCAGCAAAGCCACCTTGCATAAAACGTATTCAGGATGGCCGGGAGGATTGTGCTCGGAAGTGTCGGATCGAATCAGTAGACTCTGCACACTCTGACATAAATAGGATACATGCTCGCTATTCTGACCCAGATCTCTCTCTTTGGACATACACGTTGATCTCGTTTGTTGCGTCTCTTCCAACCATGTGTTGAATCGCAAGCTTGCCGCCGGGATGTCTGTCGAGCCATCCGTCCAACTGCAATATGCTTCCTTCGTAAATGACGATGTGCTTCCCCGAAGCAATCAAGCGTCGGATGGCGGTCGCACTGAGTATTTGATCACGGTCCATGGTGGACTCGGTGGATGGAGAGGACTCCTTGGAAGTGCAGGGTCCTTTTAGGTAGGGGCAGGATCATCGATGGGAGGTGAGTGGCAGGACGTCTTGGACAACCTGAATGAAATCTCTATCTTGGTCGATGGTCTGGAGGAAGGCGCAGATGGGATTCGGCCCATTTATCTGAGCAACTGCCTCGCCTCCCTTTCTCGCGACGGTCTCAGTCGCAGGCAGCACAATTGAACTGCTATCCGGGATCAGCTAATAAGTTACGACTACTGCCTCCTGGGTGTGAAGGATCTACGAGTCAGGATATCCGGGAATGTCACCTGTGTGAACACAGTACTCGGTACCTGAGGGAGGAGCAGCTGAATTTTTGGAATGAGACAGACCCCTTTACTCCTCCGCTCTCCATCCAAGTTCCCGATCGACTCCTCTTTGGTGCCACTCAGCGTGGTTTTCAAAACGCCGCCACCTTGGCTGTCCATATTTTTTGCGAGCTAGTAACGGCCATCAGCTCCAGGCTCCGGAGCACTCCCACTGTTTGGTTCACGGATCGGGTTGGAAGTCCCAACTTGTGCAATCGATACCGATCGTTACAGGCCGTGAATCCCCCATCCCAAAGGGGATCGGTATCGATGGCACCTCATAGAGTATCGCTGGAAATGACCAAAGACGGCCTTTTTGCCTGGGCCATCTGGATTTTGCGAGACTGCATCGTACGGATATGCACCCGTGTATTTTTCCGGGGCCTCGGTCCAAAACACCACCTGGGCAGTCGACAATAATTATCCCTGCGGGGTCGTGGTGGAGGACATTTAACCGTCTTGGTATGCGTCTTGCGAGATCTTGAGGCGCAGGCACCAGATTCGCAAACAGACCCAGATTACAGTCTCAGAATGCCAGTCAGATTCTTCCAGAAATCACGCAAAACACGTGGTAGCCGATGCGCCGGGAATGGCTGTTTCCAGAGTACGCGTACTTGGTGCTCGCATGTCTTCAAATCTTGGGCCGTTTGAGTTCTTCGGCAACCGACATGAAACATCAGCTTCGCCATTTGCAAAAAGAAAACATCGGACAGGAGATATGAGAATTACTCCTCATGCCCGAGCAATTCTCCTCAACTGACACTACCATCGACCGACTGTCTTGGTTGGACTAAATTTTTGCGATCGGTCGTGTACTACCTAACTGAATCAATCAAAGCCGATCACTGGACACTAAGTTCGCCAGGGTTGTGTCAGGGTCGAGATGCGATTCGGGTGAGATGCGAATGTCGTGCGCCCGGTTGATTTGCAGAAAAGACTGCACGCGATTTTACGGAGAAGGGTCCCAGGAATTCCGTTCTCATTCCAAACTTGAACATCGAATCTGAACATTGTTTTGTAATGACTCGATTCGCAAACGAATACCTAACCTAGGTAGTCGTTGAACCTCCCCTCCGACAGATGACACACTGAGTGGATGCTGGGTAGGTATGACCCTTCACTGATACCTCTACGAGATCACCTCGCATCTACCTTGTAGAACATAGAAGATAATGAACATGTCCTATGAATGGGTGATGGTTGACCGAGTAATAATGACATTACCAGTCGATTTACATATCCGGCGACGCCTTAGAACATTTGCCAAAACTCTCCATCAAAACTTGACACTCTTGCTCGATGCCACACCAAACAGGAAACGGCTGAGAGAGTCATCTGAACGACGAATCTTTCTCGAAGCAAAGAATTCTTCAAATAGAGCTACTCGCATCGCACCCTTGCAGTAAGTAGATACCTATGAAGTACCCGGTAGTGTTGGGAGGTGGAGTGTACCAATACGTGCGGTTCTCCATTGTGGGTTAGATTTACACAGCCTCAATTTATAGCACATCCCGTATGGCATCCAATCGGTCCAAAACTCAACATTATTCCAGACTCAAGGTCCAGACAGCATGTCACACATGCTTTGAGCATGACGCCCCCAAGTTTGGAGACAAATTGCAGGACAGATTGGATTGACCTGGACCTCCTGGACCTCCTGGACCTCCTGTGTACTCCTGTACCACCTCAATCTGACTTTCTCGCCCAACAATCCCATCCTCATTACCAAAATCTTTGTTCCGTTCAGTGACTTACCAAACACCGCCCCATTCGTCAAACCTCATAACGGCGACATCCTTAAGTCCTAACCTCATCCTTGAGCTCATCAAACCCCTTTGCAAAAATGATCCCTACCATAATGTTACAGGCCATGGACTCCGAGTAGATGCTCACCTGCGACCAAGGCGTATCATATGGCCGTTCAGTACGCCCTTATCACCATCGACAAAGGCTTCAAGAAAAATGGATGCGGAACATCAATGTTTCGCTTGCTTGCATGATTATAATCTAGGTCCTACTGAAGCTATATCTAGGACTCTCTCCCGCTATTCCGATCTCAATTCGATATCACTCATACCTGAATTAATCTTATGATGCCGCGCATGCTTGCACCCCAGGTGTATAGCGCAATATTTATGCTTCACTTTCTCCATCGTTCTCTTGATCATTCTCTTGGTCATGATGATCAAGTGAGCATGGACCGGTCCCATGGTAGAGGTGAGTGACAGCAGGCTTCTGGGCCACGATCGGGCTGGAAGATTTCTCGTCACAATTGACGACTGGGTCTTGAGCATACGAGCAAGCATGATTCTGAGGATGCTGAGACGGCTTTGTCTCGACTATGATGGGCGTCGTCGTGTCGGTAGGTCAAAGATCAAACTCTTTGAGATATTTCTTGAATTTCGTACATGATACTTGTTCAGTGTCGCACCACTCGCAATCAGGCTACTACTACATTAGGGCTTCTTCAAACCAACATACCCTACGTTTACAGACTCTCAAATCTTTCAAAAGTCCTTCAACGCCTGGGGAGATGCTTGTAGCCACCATGGAATACTCATCCGCGGGACATGGAGACCTCGTCAATGGTTCACATTTCAAGTCATGAGTGAAACATTTCTGAAATATTTCCAGGACGTCTCCAAGTACGGCTATCTCTCCTTTCACTCTGTTATCAGTCGAACTCTTCGTATTGCTCTTCTGGTAGCCACTGATTAACGTGTCGGCGATATTCTACCTGACTCTCACAGCGCAAAAGTCACTAGAGTTCTATGCCAAACTTAGTGTTGTCCATCTATCTCTCTCCGGAGATAAGCCTGACGTAGCCAACGTCGAGGCCAAGGTCATCAGTCGATATGAGAAGAACAAAAAGTAAGTCTTGTTCCCCTTCTTTACCCCCCCCCCTCGCTTCCTCATCTAACATACGAGATCAACGGTGATCTCGAGACCAAGTTCTCATCTACCACGCCACCCACCTTAAGGGAGATCAAGAAGTCCTAATTATTTCCATCTATAGGTTGTCAGCAGAAAGTCGAGAGCGAACTATCACAACGTACCAAGATCCGCGACTTAATATAATGGACTTTATCCTTCTCCTCGTTGCCCATGGCCTACGACATGCCCTTTTCCAAGACAGAAGTACGCTTAAATAGGTTCTCTCTGCGGCTATGCGGCGCACAGATCGTCGCCTGCGTTCGAACGATGAGAAGCTTCCCCTCGTCCCAGCAGGCACGTCAAATTTCGGTACGTTCCTACAACTTGACAACTCGGCAACAGCAGATCTTGCACAGACAATATTCGGCACGATGGGCGAGCTTGCGGGCATTGTCCCAGAAGCGCTTACCCACGCCATTCGCCGTGGTGGCGCCAAGGATGGCGTACGACTCCAACCAGATACTCTCCACGCAGTAAACGCGGGAAGTAAACGCATGTTGGGACATGCTAGTTGGAAATAGCAGAACTTTACGCGGGTCACGAGGATGAACCTGTCAATTTACACAAGTCCAAGCTCCCTGATCTCCCGGTTAGTTCTCGAACTAGAGGGGCCCAATTTCCTGAATCACCACATCACAAGCTTACGGCAGTCGAACTTAATGAGCGCATCGACGAATACATTATGGCTCACACTGAGGAGGTTCCCTTAGTAAGAAGTGTTGACTTCTTCATTGGTCCTGGTCCGACTACGGCCACCGACCTTCAACAGTACCAGAACTTTGGAGCTCGCATTGGTTGCATTGTGTTTGAACTCCACAAGGCAGAATCCATCGAGGTTCAAGATGGTACGCTTTCTACAGAACCAACTAATGACCAATTTCTTCCACATGTTGATGAGACAACGCTTCCGGAGGAAGAAACTCTATCTCTGCAACATGCAGACACTCTTATTGATGATCATTTACAACTTGACACTGACGATTCCGATGACGACGCTCTCGATCTTGGGCTGTCCGCTTCACAGGACGAGAGACAGTTGCGAGCTGAGCATCAAAAGAAAGTGGCAGAGTGGGAAGAGGGTCGTCCTTGGCAAGTTCTCTTCGAGGAAGTCGAGAAGATCATCAATAGAGGCTCAGCGGGACAATCGAAAGATGTCTTCACGACTGATGAGATTGACGACTTCGTTACTGATGTCTTTGAACCTTCCGTTACTTCCTCCATCGACACAGAACATGAAGCATGTTTCAATTTAGCGCCATGGAGTTTCTTACCTTCTTCGCAAGCGACAAGGTCACAAACAACAGAAGCATCATAGGTGGAAGGAAGCCATTACTGTCTGCGTCCAAGGATCACGTTCCCATGGGCAACACCCGAGATCGACCAACTCGATTTCTCTTCCATTGCGAGCGGTGCGGCTTTAAAGACGTAGCATCTACCCAATTCAAGAGATATCTCAAAGAGGATCCATTTTAACCTATTGATACGCCCACGCCTCTTATCCTAATGACGAAGTAGTCTTATCGTCCTATCGTCTTATCGACTATGCTTTAATTACATATAAATAACCTCGCTATCAATTATAGTCAGCGTAAGGGAAGAAACGTCATTCCGAGTCGTTAGCAGCCTGAACCTTGTTCGTGAACACAAGGCTCGCAGCCTAGGATAAATCTCCGACGAAAGCGGCCTGGAGAGAAAGTCCACTTCCGTATCAGGCAGGTGAATAAGCAACGCCCGCCACACCCACCTTGACTAGACCGTATTCCCACTAGAACTTGACTTCCCGATTACAAGCTGAGGGTGTAGTGAAGCTCAGGATTGGATCATGGAGAATGACCACGTTTTTCTGTACCGAGGGCGGAGCTTGCAGGTGTCATCGTTGTGCCGTGATAGGGTACTGGTTCCTATCGAGGGGTGGTTTAGTTCGTTGCAGCGGCGCTCTTCTAGGCAGGTGAGATATCATTGTGATCAGATTGTACTTGAATGAAAAATGATCTCAGAAGTGGCTACAACTTTCTGTCACGTCAATGTCGCTTCAAAATCCAAGTGTCAGTAATCCAACGTCAAACTCAAGATCCTCAGTATCAGCAACGCGACCATGTCCGAGTCAACATCCAACCCGCAAGTCGTCGAAGGGACCGTCTCGTTCAAACACCCTTCGCTCCCAAAGCCGTGTGAGACATGGTACAAGGTCGTTGGCGACCTCAAGTCATCCGCCAGCGGACGCCCGCTGGTGACTGTCCATGGCGGACCAGGCATGGCGCACAACTATCTCCTGAATCTGACGGGTCTTCACACCAAGCACAACATCCCGGTCATCTTCTACGACCAAGTCGGCACGGGGCGGTCAACACACATCCGCGAGAAGCGGCTCGACACCTCATTCTGGACGCCTCAACTCTTCATCGCGGAGCTCGACAATCTGGTGGAACACCTCGGCATATCCTCCGACTTCGACCTGCTCGGCCAGTCATGGGGTGGAATGCTCGGCTCCATGTTTGCCATTCGTGGTCATCCGGGACTCAAGCGCCTCATCATCTCCAATTCACCGGCCAGCATGCCCCTGTGGATTGAGAGCTGCAACGCATGGCGCGCCGAACTTCCACGGGAGATTGACGACGCACTGCAGAAACACGAGGACAACAAAACCTACGATGACCCTGAATATCAAGCGGCCGTGGAATACTTTTACAAGAGGCACCTATGTCGAGTGTCTCCGTTTCCGAAAGACCTCACCGACACCATCGCTTGGGTCGAAAAGGACGACACGGTATACATGACCATGAATGGACCCAGTGAGTTCACGGTCGTGGGCAGTCTCAAGACATGGAGTGTCGTCGATGAGGTGCACAAGATAAATATACCGACGTTGGTCTTGAATGCCGAGTTTGACGAGGCGAGAGATAGGTGTGTAGATTCGTTTCCCCTCCCCATTGCGAAAAAATGACTGACGCCTACCAAGCTGCGTATACCCCTATTTCTCCAACATTCCAAAGGTCAAATGGTATACCTTCCCCGGCGCAAGTCATTGCACAAATCTGGAGATCCCAGAAAAATATATTGAGGTGGTTTCCGAGTTTCTCCTTTCGAAAGCAAAGTGATCAGGGGAATCGGGAACGGGTGTCATATGACCAGAATCACGTCGTTACTGCCGTGCTCACCCACAGGAGAACGACACATGTCCAATGACAGTATGAGATAGTTTGGCAACGGCTTTCTTGGGATGCACAACCACAGAACATTGGTATCAAGGCCAAAACGTAATGAAGTGAAGATTTATTTTGTTCATCCCTTCAAACCCCTTTTCGTCACTTGGTCTCCGCCAAAATTAACAGCCAATATACAATCGGGAGAATCATAACCAGAAGCCCAACCCATTTACACTTTTATCTAGTGGAATGCCAGAGCCAGACGCCGTGCTCGAAATAAAACAGAGTCAGAAGAGGCGCTTCTAATCAACCATCGCCTCATTTGGCGACTGTCTCCCATCAGAGCGCCAGAAGAAGACCTATAACCAGTGGTAGGGTATATCTAGAATCTGATGAAATATTCGCTGCCTGTGACCGATCGGAGGTAAATCGACAAATTTGCAGATGAGCAGGAGCTCTCACGATAGATCAGATGCACCGGTGACGTATTGCTCGAGTGTGATAGTGTCTTTGAAACTGCGTCACTAAAATGGTTTACACCATAGTTCCAAATAAGGGAATCAAGGTCTGGGCCAACCAGAAGCTGAAGACGAGTTTGGGGCCAGTCATGAGCATCTTGGGCGTCAAGCCCTTAAAGAAACTGGTGATGCCTTCATTCTTCATCATGCTTGACACGATTCGGAAACCGGACTCGGGATTCTCAAAGTTGCGGTTCTGGATTCGAGTTTTGATAACGTCAAGGGGTGCGGAGACAATCAAACTGGCAGATGCACCAGCAACGGAAGCGACAAAGTTCTGACCCCAGGTCGCCTTGTTATAGTCTTCGAGTTTGAATAACTTTTCCTTGGCCCACGCAGAGCCACCGAAGAGGGCAAAAGAACCGGGTGCGTTCCTGGCAGCTGTCCAGCCGGCTCCACGGTAGAGGCCGAAGCCTTCATCGGCGACGATACGGAGGAAACCTCGGGATCGGAAGGCTTCAGGGTTTGTCTGCCGTTTGATTTTGAGGACATCGAGAGGTAGCAGGATGATCTCACCAATACCGATGAGGGAGCCGGCTGTTGCGTTCAAGATGGCTTTGCCGGTACCCTTGCCAAATGCCTTGTCGAAGTCCTGGCCGTGATGTTGAGTGAGGTAGTCACGGACAAAGGGTTGGCCTCCATATTTGTAGATTCTTTGCAAGACTTTATAACCGGCCGCATACCCTAGACCCGGGAAAAGGGATGTGAACTTTGTGGTGACGGGCGCAGAAGCATATTCTTTGAAGATGACTGTCTTGAGAACTTCAGCGTTGGCGACCTGAGTGACAAATTAGCCAGCGATAGTGTTGGGATGTCGACGGGGACCGACTTTAGTGGAATTGCTCATCAAACGCTTTGCGATTGTGTCGACGGGATGGAAAACAAGGAGCTCTGCGATGCCCGCCGAACCTGGTGGGGGAAGTCAGTCAATGGATGTTTTGTGAACCAGGGGACTCTAGAAGTACCTGCGCCCAAGAGTCGTGCGGTGCCAGATTCGCGCTTGAATTCTTTGCCCGATGAACCCAAAGCGGGTGCGAGTGCAGGAGGAGACATGATATGGAAGTAATTCTAATCTCGGTGGGATGACGGGAGGTGCTGATCGATGTGGTGTCCCTGATATCAGACTCGAACAACTTGAAGACAAAGGCTAGGGTGGGAAAAAAAAGAAGGATAACCCGTTCACCAAAACCGCAGTTGAGTCGGCAAGAACGACTTTCAAGCACCACCAAAAAAAAGCTCACGGGGAAAGAACCGTGGACAAGAAGAGCAACTATGCCGGACACTAAGGGGCCACTAGTGAGTCACTAAGAATTAATAACTTCCAAGTCGAATGCCAATGCAGAGCTTGTTCGATATTTGTGCAAGCATAGAGTCTCCTCGGCCTGCCGGTGTTAGAAATGTCGACTGAATATTTTGAGGGGCTTGAAGTAAAGGCTTTCATCAAAATCTTCATAGTCTGTTGGGGATTTCATCTTCAAGCCTTCTGATGCCATCCTTTTTTCTCGCTATGCAAACCTGGAATAATTCCGTCACTCAATGGCCCGGATAAGTGTCATGCCTGTCATCTCTATGCCATTCCAATTGATGCCCTAGATTGATTGTCATTCCAGTGTCGCCCAAGTATGCGCATACACTGCTCTTCTTTTCGCACAACATTATTCCACCTTGAGCCTGGATTTGGTGTTATTCATGTCTTGCTATTGGCAAGTCAGTCCAAGTAGTCCACAGCTAAGGATCAGGGCATCATCTTGGACCTACCTCTGCCTTTCGTTTCCCTAGGACCGAGTCCGGAGTGGTGGTTCGCCCAGATGGCCCCGGCGTCGATGCCCCGTCTTTGTCTCGGCCTTTGGTGACTTCGGCATAGCAACTGGCATGATAATATCGGCCTCTAACTTGAATGGCATCCTCCCAGATAAAGTCCTGCACTTCTTCGCTCCATTCACTTTTGAATGGTTCTTGGTCAATGGGACAAGGCAGCGATCGAATGATGGGGTCTGTTGGTGCCTTGACAAAGTCCACCTTTTTTTTCGCGTTCACTGGTGCTCCGTTTGCAACCGTCCCATTATTGTCTATTAGTCCCGCATCGTCTTCATACTCTTTGCTGCCAATCCAGTCTCTTTCATCGACGTACCAGCTCCGATTCTGACCTCTTTTCTCTGCTTCCAACATCCGTTCCTTCGTCTTGAAATGCCAGTCCAGATGTGCCGCCTTCTTCTCCCGACCAATTTCATCAGACGTGAATCTTCGACCACAAGTGCTACATTGATTAGGCCGTGCGTTGATGAATGTTTGCACCAGATGAGGTCGTGGGATTCTAATGGCGGCCGATGTGAAGGTCACTTCGATGCGAGCTTCACTGGCGAATGTGGCCAGCGATGACAAGGGGGGAGTAACTCCCTGAGGTGGTGTTGGAACAAAAGATAATAAACCCGATGCTCGGAGTTGTGCCAGCAGCGGATTGTCGGTCACGGCCCCCGGGACAGGCGAAGGGGTCATCCCAGACAACAGAGCGGTTGGACCACCCGAAGACTGCTGTGAGTAGAAACTGGATTGGGGTATTGTTTGATGCTGCGGTGGTTGATTGGCAGTCGCCCGCAGCAGCTCTGCAAGATTGGTGGTGTTGAAAATCGACGGCATTACTATAGGTGGTGGTTGTGTATGCTGAATCTGGGGCTGTGGGGTTGAGTACTGTTGCTGGAGGGACATCGGAGCCGCTGCTGAGTTTTGTCGAGCCGTTGCCAATTTGTCACTCATTTGCTGCATAATCGTGTTTCTGATGTTGACCAAGTCTTGCTCCGATGTGCTGCCACCATCCAAGATTTCCTTCAGGGTCTGCAGTGTGGTCAAATGCCGCTGTGCAGCTTGGTCCATCGGATGAGTCGCACACTCAATCTTGGCATCGGTAGTGAGGTCATCGATGTCGGCATGTAGCTTTTGTACATCCACGGAACTCGAAGAGTTTGCGTGGCCGGTCGATGGGACTGGGTACTGAGAAGTGGAAAGATTTCTGAACTGCGGTGCTGTTGTTGGTGGAGGTTGTTGAGGTGGTTGATAGTAGGGGTTCGGTTGCGATGGGTATGGTTGGGCATACGAATTCAATGGTGCTTGACTGTATGGCTGGCCTGACCCTATTGGGGTGACAGGGTGCGGTTGTGGGCTTCGAATATGGGTTGGCAAGGTCGGTGGATACTGCACAGCGGATTGAGGTGGCGTCGGGGTTTGGCGGTAGACTTGCTGCGCTGAAGCCACTCTTGCGGGGACGCCTTGGACAGGCGTTGCTTGATACCGAGGATTTGCAGCCGTGGCAGCACGAAACTTGTTCAAATTGTCGACAATGGTTTGTGTGCTCGAAATGGGAAAGACGGGGGTGGTTGACAGTGAGCCTGGGACCGGCTCTCGCCAGGTCTTGAGCATTTCTTCAAGCTTCCGACGAACATTGGTGTCCACCTGAGAATAGGCGTGCATGAAAGTCTGATGGAGGTTTCGGCCAAAGTAGACGGTGTATGGCGAGCCAACATTTTTGGCTATGGAATCCAGAACGTATAGAGCGGGTAGTTTTCTTGCCGGGGGGGCCTATGACAAGTCAGTTATCCATGATGACGAGAGACTCTAACCTCGCGAAGCGTAGATCAGGGAAGGGACTTGTGAAAATAGAGACGTACACGATTGATATGATTCTGAAGAACACGGGAGATGGCTTCAGCATGCTCAGTGTTCTCCTTTGCGATCAGGGTCAGATTTGATATCTGATATCTGTCATTGGTCATCAGATCCTCCAAGGAACCCTTGTAGTCCTCGGCGACTTCATCAGATGGAAGACCAGACATGATGAGAAGAGAGAAGCCCGGCTTGAGATGCAGTGGCTTCGGTCAAAGTGGGTCGCAAAGGAAGAATGAGAAAACAGTAATTTGAAAATGAGTCAAGACTTGGAGGTGATCTTGGACTCGAAAAGGCTGGTCAAATGGGCAGTCGAGACAGAGACCAAGAGGTTTTCAATTTCTCGGTTCATGCGAGACTTTGACACAAAACGTAGGGACACAAGGCGAGGGTGCCTTTTGAGCCTTGCGATGGATGAGGTGCCAGTGCAGTGGCTGTGACAGACAACGAAAAGAAGAATGTCGTGGTATCTTTTGCTATCTAACTTGGAAGTCCGAGCAGCTGTTCTTTTTCTTCTTGTTTTGGATCTTGATCTTCAGGCCTCTAGATGGCCAGGACCATCCCAACCCTCCTCGCCTTTTCGAGTGCTCAAGTCATATATAAAACAGCCAAAATATTCACTGAGGTGTTTGACACCCACCGCGCTCGACGGATCAAGGAGGGCGGCTTAGGCTCAAGGGTCGGAAGGGCGTACCAATCACAAAGTCCTCAGAGTCAACAGAGGTGAGCGTGTGGAGGGGTTCAAGTAGATGGTAAGAACAAGAGTGAATGTTTAAAAGGTACAAGTTGTGAACTGCGAGTGGTCAGGAATGTGAGAATCATGAAGAACTGTGAACTCGATGACAGGCCGCAGTCCGACGGAGCCGTCGAAACACGAGTCACGTGCTGGCCTCACGTGCCTGATGGTCGATTTCGACTTATGTCGGTCCATGTATTTCCAGATCTGGACAGAATTCAATATTTATTGCTGGACCATGAATTATCCGTTTTAGCAAAGGATGAGGATCCCTCGAATTCAAGTTGACCCGACCCAGCACTGGATACCTACCTACCTAGGTGCTTAGGTACCTAGGTAGATAGCAGGTGCTTCCCACCCGTCCCGCGTCCAAGTATTTTACCCCAGGCTTGTCCGGGTGAGGCAATGCAAAAAAGGCAATGGGGGTCGGATTGGGTAGTCGTTAGTAGTCTGACTACCGTCCTTCCACCCCGGTCTTCTACCAGGTTGTCCTGTACAAGAATCAATTAAAGGATAAACGCTTGCTTCTGTTCAAACACAAGACTTGAACCTCATTTGCTCAATTATTACCTACCTAGGTACTTGTGAGGATCTTGTTCATGTCATGCCGCCGCCAAGGACTTCTCCCACCTAAGCTCCAAGAAGCAAGTTGGGGGCACTCATGGGCCTAGCTAAGGTACGGGGTAGGTATCCATACTCACTCCGTATTCTTCTCAGTCCGAACAAACCCAAACTCAAACCCTGTGGCTCCAGCACCACCTTTCTGCTGCTCCTCCCCACAGAATTTCTCTCAAGTACATTGCATGATCTCAGAATTGAATTCGCCCTCGATCCGGGGATGCAGCCCCGGTCTCTCACCTCCATTCCTCATCTAGACATCAACCCGTTCGTCCTGCAGGGTTCAACATCAAGGTATCGGCCTTTGCAAGCGCTTCAACCTTGCCCATCTCAAGTACTCGAAACCACATGGTTCTCTTTTACCCCACAAATTCACACCACCACCACCAACATCCATCAGCAGGACCGAGCTTCCTCTGACCTAGAGTCACAACTCATGTTATCTTATTTCCTGGTCGACAAGTCTACATCTCTCGATTGATGCTATGGACCTCATTGTGGCTCCATCTCCACTGCAACACCCATCGTCCATCATCTAGCAATGGTTGTTGACAATTTCTGCATCGAGCTCCCACGCCAAAAATAAAATCATGCAACACGAAAACTCCAAGAATCTTCAAGGTTTAGTCCATACCTTCGCCGCAAATCCCTCCCTCGAAAATCGCACAAGCACCAACGGCAAGACCGAAAGGAAATCAAAACGACGTCACCGAGGGGGCAACGGGAAGCGTTTTCGTTGCGGCCACGAAGACTGTGGCAAGACTTACTCCCGTGCTGAACACCTTCAAAGGCATCAGTTAAATCGTAAGCCGCCCGTGTCCCACCCCTGGTCGATGGCTGCCTCACCGGTCCCTGCCCAAAGAGACACAATTTAACCTTCGTTCAGATGATCCCAAGGAGATATTTTACTGTGGCACACCCGGCTGCAATCTATCCTTTGTCCGGAAGGATTTGTGTGATCGTCACAGAAAGCGTCACAATCAGCAATTCTTGGACCAGCAGCCTGTAGATCCAGATGGCGATCAGCCCTTCGAAGTTGACGGTAGTGACTCCGGCAGCAGCACAGATGAGAGCAGCACTCCCATCAGCCGCCCGGATGTGATCCAACCAGTCTCGGGTGGAGATGAGGGTAAAAAGCGAACGCTAATGAATGAACACGACTCTTCGCGCTACCAATCTCTTCGAAACCGCTTCTCAGGCTTTTCACATGACGCAGATTCCCCAGTCCCGAATCGCGACCCTGTAACACCACAAAGACCGGAAAGCGCATTTCATTCCGAAGTCTCCACCAACAATGAGGAATTACAGAGAGCTGTAGCAGATGCCAATGAATATCTGGCCCAGCCTGATCCTATCCAGACTTTCCCTCAGCTGTCACGCTACCAAAGTAATGTCTCAGCTGATATGCTCATATCAAATGTCGAGCACAACGCGTCTGATCCCAATCAAGTTTCCCCTTATGGCAGCCGAAACGATTTTCCCGCAACCCTGCCCAGACATCATTCTGTTTCCACCCACGCCGAGACTTTTGAGATAGGATCGCCCACCATGCTTCGACAGGTTCCAATTTCCACAGCATTTGGCTCTGGTTTCAATAACTTCGAGATACCATTCTCCACCTCGAGACTAGAGGATCAGAATTTTGGCATCTCACCATCTGCTGGTACAGATGAATTCACTTCGTGGCTCTTTGATCAGAATGGAGGTGTCTACAATGGCCAGTCCAGTGGGGAAGTCGCCTTCTCCAACATTTACCAACCAAACGTCTTTGGTCAAGTGTATTCGAATCATTTCTCCACCCCCGAGATCGAGATCCCCTTCACAAATACCTTGAGTCAATCACTGGCTCCTAGTCAACCACCTGAGCCGCTTGCTACGACAGAGACCTCATTACTCTCTAGCTGGAAGCGGCAAAATCTCTTGGAGATCCTGCAACAACGATTCTCTGGAAGTGGCAGCTCTGGTTTCTATGATCGATCTATCAAACAACAAATCTTCGAAGGCAATGTCGATGACAATGAACACGTTCTGAGTATGTCTTCACTCAACCGCTTCATTGAGAACTACTGGAAGAACTTCCACGATCAATTCCCCATCTTACACCAGCCATCTTTCCTTCCAAGCTTTGTACATGAATACCTCCTCCTCGCGGTAGTAGTTATGGGAGCTTCTCTACTGAACCGTTACGAATATGGTCCAGATTTTGCCGATAGAGCCGCCCAGTTGGCAAACTTCATCGCTTGGAATCTTCGTTGGCAAGTCTTCACGGATCCGGACTCGTGTCCGCCCGCGAAGCTCTGGGTATTGCAGACCCTCGCTATTTTGGAAGTCTACGAGAAAACAAATTCGACCAGAGCACTCCATGAACGTGCCCATGTTCATTTCGCCGCGACGCTAACGTTGATGCGAAGGGGCAGCGCCTTGGTAGGTGATTCCACTCAGCCGGCGTTAAGGATGGGCATCTCGGGTGAAGCAAGTCATGGTCTCCTGAGAGGTGAAGAGTCACCGCCTCTAGCTGAGAAGTGGTGGACGCAATGGATCGCTCAAGAAGCAACTCGTCGAGCCGCTTTTGGTGCGTTCCTATTGGACTCTATGCACGCCATTATGTTTGGACACGCAGCTACTATGGTTATTCACGAAATTCAACTTCCACTTCCGTGTGATGATACTCTGTGGTCTGCCCCAACTTCCTCGGAAGTTGGTCGCATTGAGTTTAGTCTTTACACGAATGGCATCAAGCCTACGACATTTCTGACAGGCTTAAAACGCACACTGAGCTGCAGGCGTGTCAGGACCAACCCCTTTGGGCGGATTTTACTGATTGCCGGGCTGTTATCAGTATCTTGGCATATGCATCAGAGAGACTTGTACGGTAAGAGCCTTGACAAGGATAATATGGGAGTCCCAGAAGGATGGAAAGCACAGCTTGTCAAAGCTCTTGAATGGTGGAAGAAAGATTTCGACGAAAGCCTTGCGTATATGAGGAGGTCGGGCATCGATGTCCACAAAACAGGGTTCACGCAGGAACACATACGCACGTCTGACTCTTTCGCTTCAGTCTTGTACCACCTTGGTCACATCGGAGTCCAAGTCGACATGCCTGATTTATGCATTCTAGCAGGTGCGAAGACCTTACTTGGACGAGTGATCACAGTGTCTGATCGCGAACGTGTGCACATCAGGATGAAAGCCTGGGCAACCTCCGCAGCAGCAAGACATGCAGTTCACTATAGTGTTCGCTTCATCTGCTCTATTCTCTTGCAAGATGTGAAGAGTAGGAGACCGGACCACAAACACGAGATTTCACGATTTGAGAACATGGATGGCCACTCCATCTATAACTATAGCGCCGCCGCCGATTTCCTGCTACCTAGGCCATGGGTGCTGTATTTTTCCACCCTTGTGGTCTGGGCATATGGATTCTTGTTAGAGGGACAATTGAGACCGTTTCCCGATAACTTACAGTACCCGCCAATCAGACCAAGTCAGGAAATAACCCTTGAGCCACCACAATCGCCTCAGACTGATCCATTGAAAGAGAGGGAACAAGATGCGAAAGCATATCTCAAGACAATGACGAGATTTGAATCTCCTGCCACTCTGGAGAAGTTGTCAATGGGACGCAACAAACTCATTGGCCTGATAAGCGTTGTGTCAAAGGTCCTGGAAGGTTCGAAGTGGGAACTGTTGAACGAGGCACGCGATCGGCTCCGTGGAGCTGCAGAGTGTTTGAGGCCCACGCCCCCGACTTAGAAATTATGTCTATGGCTTGTCATCTCACCGCAACTACCGATTCACGATACTGGATATTTATCTGGAAGACTTGACTCTACCTGCATGAGTTCTTGGATGCCAACATTGATCGTCTTTGCCTCCCCTTCATCCACTCGTCTCAGGGGTTGGCGAGCGTATCCTCCGTATCCAAAATGGCTTTGAAGGGCTGCCTTGGTGCCTGGTACAGCACTTTTGGTGAGCACCCAGTCTCCAGTGCTGAGAATCTTCTGCAATGCTGTCGAGTCGTCGACTTTTCCTTGAGCCCAGAGATCCCACACCTTAACACAGGTCTTGGGGAACACATTGGCACCTCCAGCAATCACGCCGCTTCCTCCAGACAGCAATGTCTGTGCTGTGAAGTCAGCCATCCCACCAAATGCCATATACCCGCTGCCTTCGTAGCCTGCCGTCTTGGCTTCCGTCGCTCGTGCCACCCGCATGAGTTTTCCAGTGTTGCCACAGGTGAATTTGGTCCCGACGATGTTGGGATGTTTCGCAAGGCGGATCAAGAAATCGGAATCCATATCAATCCCTGCCACGGCACCGGGATAATTGTACAGGATGATTGGCAATGGACTCGAGTCGGCAACTGCAAGGAAGTATTGCTCCAGACGATCTTCATCCATGGCGGTTCGATAATAACTGGGTGCGACCAGCAGTACATAGTCTCCTTTTGCTTGAGCGGCTAGTTTGATGTTTTCGATTGTGCCTTTGACGCTCTGATCGCTTGCACCAACGATAATTGGCAGATCTGCGAAACCTGCGGCGTCGAGGGCTAGTCGTGTTTGTAAAGTGACAGTGAAACGTTCATCATTGGAAAGGTGGACTGCTTCGCCGTTGGAACCCAGAGTCACAAGCCCGGCAAGCCCAGCGCGGGCAAGCCGCACAGCATGCTCGCGTACCTTGGGTATATCCAATTCCTCAGTCTCGGGGTCAAAAAATGTCAGTGTTGGACAGTAAATTCCATCTTGAAGGCCTTTCCTTGTCCTCCTCGGACTTCCGACAGAGCCCATGGCGTTCTCAAAAAGGAAGAATTACGCTACCAACAATAAAAACTTGATGGCAATCTTAATGAAATGACTACCGTCTCAACGACATTGGAAAAGTAGGCATGGACGCTACTTTATAACGGGTCCTGTATTCCATGTCATGTTTCCAGGAACGGGAGTCTAGATGCAGTCTCTCCTCCCCCATGCCTCGATCTTGTGGTTTGTTGCACATTTTGCACTGAGGCCAGAGAGATGCAGATTCCTTGGAAGGCATGCCCCTCAACGATGCGAAATGGCAGTCGAAGAAACATCTCGGCAATTCCACATTGGGGACCAATTTAGTTGCTCGCGATTCCCTGATCGGGAGGTGGGGGTTGCAATGGGGGTTCAGCACAGCTCGACCTCCACGAAAACTTGCCCGAGAGTATCAACAAGGCTTGCTTGCCAAATGCCCGCTAGCCTACAGAGACACCGGCGTTCTGATCGCCATGTCGCTTTGCGCCCAAACGGCGATACCCGGCCCACGACTTATCCCGTTCTGTAGGATTGTGTTGTGTCCACCTCCACAGCACGTTCCGTCGAAGAAAAATGATGTGGAGTAAGTAGTAAGCGACACCTAAACGCGATTGGGCTGATGGTTGCAGCGCGTAAAAGGCCACACTCACACGGTTAAAAAAGTCCTTCATAGCCGAACGGACGTCTCAACTTGCGTAGATAGTCCGTCGACCCTGAGATTGAGGCTGCCTCTTTTCCAAGGAGGATAGTGAACCTGAGAACCACAGAGAATATACTTCCAGTACGCTGTTCATAACTCTTTCAGCAAGAAAATGCCTTATCCTGAGGAAGCCGAGGGGTTCCAGATCGACAGCGCGGAGACATGGACGGATTTCCACAAACGCCACTTCAAACTAAAACCGTTTGACGACTACGATGTCGATGTCAAGATCATAGCTTGTGGCGTCTGTGGCTCCGATGTCCACACAATCTCTGGAGGATGGGGAGCCCAGCACTTCCCCCTGGCAGTTGGCCATGAGATTCTGGGTATTGCCGTCCGCGTGGGCCCGAAGGTGACCTTGATCAAGGAAGGACAGCGTGTCGGTGTCGGTGCACAGTCATTCTCCTGCGGCGAGTGCAAGCAATGTAAGAATGAAAATGAGACTTATTGTCCGGTCATCATGATCGATACTTATGGCAGCCAATGGCCCGAGAAGTACGGCGGGGTTGTCTCTCAGGGTGGATATTCTAGCCATGTCAGAACGAACGAGCGATGGGTGTTCCCGATCCCAGAAGGGCTGGACACCAACCTTGCCGCTCCCATGCTATGTGCGGGTCTTACGGCATATAGTCCGCTGGTGAGAAATGGAGCCGGACCGGGTAAGAAAGTCGGAATCATCGGTCTTGGAGGGATTGGACATTTTGGGATCTTATTCGCAAAGGTATGCATTGGAGAATAGGCAGATTTATTGTTGAGGAGACTGACATCATGTCCATCTAGGCCCTCGGAGCGGAGGTATGGGCGATAAGCCGATCGCGAGCAAAGGAAGAAGATGCAAGGAAACTGGGTGCAGATGGGTTCATTGCAACCGACGAGACCGACTGGGAGAAGGCACATACATTCTCGTTCGACCTCATCGTGAATTGTGCCAACTCCTCCAAAGGCTTTGACCTGGCCAAGTATTTGAGTCTAATGGATGTGCATGCTCCTTTTGTCAGTGTCGGGCTTCCCGAGGAAGCTGGCCAGGAGATCAAAGCCCAAAATTTGTTGGCCAACGGTGTTTTGATTGGCGCCAGTCATTTGGGAAGTAGAAGGGAGATGCTGGAGATGCTGCAACTCGCAGCAGACAAGGGAATCAAAAGCTGGGTGGAGGAGATTCAAATCGGAGAAGAGGGCCTTAAGGAAGCGGTCACAAGGCTCAAGAAGAATGACATCAAATATCGTTTCACGTTGACTGGTTACGATAAGGTGTTTGGGGCATAGCAGAGATATATTTTCGATTGAATCTTTGTGAAACAAGCCAGGATAGTGTTCTTTGCCATCAATGTATAATCTGTCACAAGAGACAGTATCTCAATCACGAGATCATGCACATATCATATCCTTATGGAGCTTTCAGGGTTGAAGACGGTTCACTCTACCCGACCGGCTTGGACATGCCTGCCCCAATGTTAGCCATCGAGACTATTTCGTTCCGACAGTAGTCGTCTCCTTGGTCTCTCCTGGTTCAGATCGCTCAGACCTCTCTGGAAATTTCTTGACAACGTGATCGATTGCATATTCGTATCCCGAAGCTCCACAGCCAACCTATGGTAAGTGAGATTGGCGTGTGACATGAAAAGCGAACCAGGCCACTCACAATTATAGCTTTTGCCTTGTCCGAGAAGTAGGAGTGATGCCTCCATTCCTCTCGAGCATGGATATTGGACACATGCAGTTCGATGAAAGGGATTGACACCCCAAGCAATGCATCGCGAATTGCCACAGAGGTATGCGTCCATCCACCGGGATTGATCACTATGCCATCAGTGCCATCCGTTCGGGCTTCTTGGATGCGGTCGACGCAAGCTCCTTCCCAATTGCTGGCGACGAATATCGTCAGAAAAGACAGGCAAACAAACGCTGTAAGGTCACTATTTGAGTATCCGCTTACGTCTGGAAGAAATCAACTTCGGCATCTAGCTGTTGTCCGAGCTTGACGCTGTTGTTCTCCACATCCTTTAAAGTCTCGTGGCCGTAGATATGCGGTTCACGGAGGCCCAGGAGATTCAGGTTGGGTCCGTTGATCACAAGAACCGTTTTCTTGCCTCCCCGCATTATTGATGAGATGCTGCTTTGAGTCGATTGTTTGAGAGAGTCGGCTTGGAATGAGTGCAGGGAGCATTGCCTATTGCCACGATTGACTCGCTACTACACCTCGTTCTCAAAAGGCGGGGTGTTGAGTCGAACCTGACTTCGGATTACGCTCCTGCTTTGCCCCTCACGAGACGCTTTGAAAGTGCGGAGAAGGACAATGTTACCATAAAGTGATGTGGTAGACAGGTCTTCCCGATCCTGTTAAGAAGCCGCTTTTGATGAAAGCATGAAATCTCCTCGTATAATTTTCACAGGAGCGAGTGCTCGTTATCATTATATGGCCTGATAGTGGACCACCACACAGTGGAATTGTGCACCATGACCTCCAAAAAAGAACGTAAGATAGGCATCATCATGAATGGTGTAACTGGCCGGATGGGAACGAATCAACATCTGATTCGCTCAATCTGTGCGATACGTTCACAGGGCGGCCTCAGGCTTCATGATGGGACTGTTGTAATCCTTGAGCCCGTTCTGGTAGGGAGAAATTTGGAAAAGCTTCAGCAGCTAGCTGATGCGCAAGGATTGGAACGAGTGTCAACCGATCTTGATTCAGAACTACAAAATAGCGACAACCTCATTTACTTCGATGCCCAAACAACTGGGAGGAGAGCGGAGGCGGTGAAAAAGGCGCTGGCCGCTGGTAAGCATGTATATTGTGAGAAGCCCATCGCCGTCTCAGCAGAAGAAGCATATGACTTATATCATGTGGCGAAAGAGTCCGGGCTTAAGCATGGGGTGGTCCAAGACAAGCTGTTCCTTCCTGGCTTGTTGAAATTGAGGGGACTCATCGATAGTGGCTTCTTTGGGCGTATTCTCTCTGTGCGAGGAGAGTTCGGGTACTGGGTGTTCTCAGGACTTGGGCCTGCGGCACCACAACGGCCGAGCTGGAACTTTCGTGCAGAGGACGATGGAGGCATCATCAGCGATATGCTTTGCCACTGGGAATATGTGATAAGCAACCTCTTTGGCGCAATAAAATCGGTGTCTTGTCTAGGGGCGACACATGTCACCGAACGAGTGGATGAGCAAGGGAACAAATATCAGTGTACGGCTGATGACTCGGCGTACGCCACATTCGAATTGAAGAACGGAGTCATTGTTCACTTCAACTCATCCTGGGCAGTGCGGGTGAAACGAGATGATCTGTTGACCATTCAAGTCGATGGTATGAATGGGTCTGCAGTGGCAGGACTAAGAGATTGTGTTGTGCAAGCTGATAGCGTGACACCACGGCCCGTATGGAATCCTGACATCGAGAGTAAGATCAAATATCAAGATGCTTGGACCAAAATCCCGGACTATGAGGTTTTCGATAATGCGTTCAAGGTCCAGTGGGAACAATTCTTGCTGCATGTACTGGAAGATGGCCCATGGCAGCATGATCTATTGCAAGGAGCCAAAGGTGTTTCATTGACTGAGAAGGCTATTGAGAGCTGGAAACAACGGCGATGGATTGACGTACCCGAGTTGCTTGTATGATGACTGCTTTATAAAGTAACTACGTGGGACGGTGCTAATAGGAGAAATTTCAATCAAGTTGCTGCCTCTGTTTTGAATACTGACTGGCATGCACCCTGACCTCGATGGGACAGATCTGAGCGTCAGTCGGGAGTTGAGAGCCATCTTCATACTGAGCTATCAGAATCATTGATGAGATATCCGGGCATAATTACTAGTATTTTATCTTTAAGCACACACTCTAAAAACGCTTCTCAGTCACAGCTGATATTCGTATCTGTCAGCCGGCCATGAATCATTGTAATGCGCTCATCACATCAGGGGAATTGCCCAATAGATGAGATTTACCGGATAAGAGTCCGACAAGACCGTAATAACCGAGTCCATTGGTTCATGCAATTAAGCGCCAGGATTCGAAGACGATGGCTATCCGGACAAAGCAAGCACCATTATCTGTATTTTGGCATAGATTTTCTACGCAAGGCTGCAGTCCCTTTTATCACTCTTCTTTCGTTCCATTTTCTCTTCCCCCTTTACCGTCCCAAATTTTTCTGACAAGACTGGTTGACCTCTGGCTGAAGAATAAGTCTTTCAAAATATGCTTTCCGCTCCTAGGCTCGAAGGACAAAATCTACAAAATGAACGGGCTCAGGAGCCTCGATCCTACCTTGGTCTCGCGGCTCCCATAGTGCCGAATCACTTGCTTTTCATGGGACCTAGATGTACCAAACGGAAATTGGGCCATTGCAATAGAAGCCCAAGCTACTTAGTAATTACGGGGTCCCCAAATTACATACTCGATTTTTGCGAAAAGTGGAAAACCGAGAATGTCAAATCCTTCACACCGAGCGATCAGCGTTGACATATTTCCTACAGTCTTGTGAAAAGTATCTCAAGGTTACAATGTGGAACGAAGATTCTCGCTCTTGGTACAAGAATAATTCGTCGTCAGGGCGTGCATCAGCAATGTGGCCTACCAGTACTCCACACTCCATCGAGGCACTGAAAGAGCCGCTCTTTGAAGATTGGCATGTAGGTTTAAGAACCTCCGACTTTGGTGTTTACGTGATCACATCCGCTAACTACTCTCTCTCTCTCTCTCTCTCTCCCCCTCAATGGAAATAGATGGGCATTCCTTGGGAATGCATTCTCCAGTTGAAGCAGAACCTAAGTCGGACCTTGGGTACTATGTCCGTACCTACGATGACAGTATATATGCAGGCAAGAGAAAGCGACACGAGGTTCTCACCCATACAGGGTTCATTGAGAGGAAAACATTCGAGGAGGCGTAAGGTGGCGCGCTCTACGACCGGCTATTCTGTGCATTACTTTCACGGTTTTTCACAGGTGTCTTCCACACTTTGCGGCCCCAGGATCTCCTGGGCCTCCTTAGTAAAGACTCCCGGCTCACCAACCATGGCATCCAGGTCATTGGTCATAGCATATACTGATGTTGCTCATTGAGTTCTTGGGCGAACTGCTTTCACCGTGATCCGGGTGGTCTCTTGGACAGTAATACTGGTGTAAACACCATCATGGCCCGTGGCTATTGTCCATGTGTTTACAAAGTGGGGAAAAGTCATGGCGGCTGTGTATACAACTGCATACTTGCCCAGGAGTGGCACTCTAGGGAGCGCCAGAATGGTACGGACGTAGGTCCCGGTGTGCTCGGACACAAACCCAGCAACGGGCAGCAGAGTGTTTGAAGGACAAGGCTGCATCAAAATGTACTGCCAGAGTCTCCCTGTATTTTGTGTCAGACAGTGCTTCAGTCATGGGACTACATGTCGGGATCTCACAAATGTAATTGGTGTCAAGCATCGAACTTGCTGAGGTTGTCAGCATAAAACGATACCCATAAAAAAGAACGTGGTCTTCGCAGCGAGCTCTGGAAGGGCACCCTCGATGTAGTTGTCAATCTCAGCTTTGCCCTGGATTTCGAGATACCAATTTGAGGCACATCTAAGCAATTGTTGTTGGTTAATATGTTGAAGTACAGAACCGAAAAGCTGCAGATAATTATTTGCTTATAGAGATGCGCTCGATAAAGCATAGGTATTGATTGTAGGTAGAGACTTATCACAGTTCGAAACCACATGCTTATCCACCTACAGCACCAACCTTCCACCGTTTGTGCTAATAATGGCTCCAGACAGATTGGCATCTCGCATGGAATACAGATACGCTTCGGCGATATCTTCAACCGCACCCACTCTACCTGTAGTAGTAGCCCGAGCCAAAGATTCCATCGTTTCAGACCGAGTTGCATCGTCTAGAACATCCCACATCTCCGTGTTCGCGGCTCCAGGACTGACCAAATTCACTCGAATGGGTTTCAGATCGAGAGCGAGACTGCGAGTCATCCCATGAAGGCCAGCCAAATAGGAGCATGCCACTGGCCATCCTGGAATAGGTCTTTCACCTGATACACCTGTAGTGAGAGTAATGGAGCTCTCGGGTCTGGTAGCAATACTTTCGCGTCCATAAGCCGCGACCAACAATGGTGCGAAGAACCGCACCATTCCTGCGTTTTTGATGAATTGCATATCAAGATCGGAGTTGTCTCTTGTAGGTGGTGCATCGCCAGCAGTAAAAACAAGATGGTCGAGGGTGCCGATTGCGGCAAACAGGGTTTTGATATTAGCGTCGATTGTAGACTCGTTGCTTAGGTCGCAGGCGTGACCTTTGATCTCGGTGGTGGCATCGGGGTAAGACTGCCGGAGTCGAGAGATGGCTTCCGTCACTCTTTTCTCGGAAGAAGATGCAATGCTGAGATGGGCAACTCCCCATTCCATACACCCTTCAGCGACACCGAATCCAAACCCCGAGCTGCCACCGATGATCAGCACCCGTGTGCCTTCGAGCTTTTGTCGAAACTTGAGACGGGAAGCCATGGTCTCCAAGCAACAGTATATTGTAGTTTTCTTAGGCAGTAACGGCGGGGACAATTTTATCGACGAGCATACCTGATTCGAGCGAGCTCAGGACTTCGAAGTCGCGAGGGTCGCGAGCCTTCTCTCGGTTGAATATTTCTATTGTTCTGAAAGCGTGGCTGATTGAATCTGAGTATGAGATCGACCCAATATCGTCCTATTTGTCAGCTGTGAAAGACTCATTATTCATCCGCAAGGAGGTGAGCAACTGAGTATCTTGTAAGTAGGTGCGTGCTTGTACCTGGCCGGCAAATCCGGTTGTTTCGGCTGTTGTGCGAAGAGGGCGGCATAAGAAGTGAGCAGTACGAAGCGATACACATGTCCTCAAGTCGCAAAGCTCAACCTTTCAGTCTTAGAACTTCACTGACGAAGCCAGTAGCTTTGATGCACCACGACTTGGGTTGGAAACACCAACTCGCAATTGACGTGGGCCACATAGCTAGATCACGTAGACATGTCAGTCTTACTCTGTGGGTGTGACTAGTCAGTTGGTGTAGGTGACATGTAGTATTCAAGTTGCCAAATGCTGGGTATTGCTAGAATCTATGCTCGACCGTAATCCCATGGACCCCCTCCGGTGGACGGAAAATGGTTAATCCTAGCCTTAATGGTGATCCAATAGCACGGCGCGGAAAAAGGATGGGCCGTGGTTGAAATTAAAAGGCAGCCGCATTTCCTGTCATCACCAGACGTCCGTCAAAGCCATAGTTATCTCAACGAACTACACTCCCTTTCTTGTTCTCCAAACTATCCACACTCCTATATACAATCTCACGAGAGTCAGCAAAATGCGTCTTTTCATCACCATTCTCCTCGCGTTGATCGCGCTGGTCTTTGCCAGACCCGCGGCTTTGAAGACAGTGATCGTTTCATACCCAAATGACACGCCTTCGTCAGTTGTGGATAAAGCCATGAAAGAGGTCGTCAACGCAGGTGGCATTATCACGCACGAGTACTGTAAGTGTACACAAAGTTGCAATTACGAAATTAAGAGACCAGAAACTGACCCTCAACCTTCAACCCTCGCAGCGCTCATCAAGGGCTTTGCCGCTAAAGTCTCGGACAGCATGATCGATACCATCAACACATTGACTGAGAACTATACTCCTCTTGTGGAGTCTGATAGTATTGTCACTATCAGCAACAATTAAACGGAGACCAACACGAGAATGGATGAAACAATGGAAACGACCAAAGTACAATGAAAGAAATGAAATGGTACAAACTGATAGGAAGTGCTCCATTCGCAGAGGTATCATTATGCTGTGTACAATATTCAAGGATTCCAGTGTGACATGGGAACGGATGGGCTCCCCTCATGCACAGGCTACTGGAGATGGACATCTACTTGGTTTAATAGATTACGGTCTCTCGTTGAACTGGAAATCAATGATTATAATTCATATTCTACTATGACTTCCTTGCGCCTCTCCAAAGATGATGCTTCCAACCTGGGTAGCAAGCGACACATTTGAACTTTCCGCCATTGATATTTGCTCCTGCCAGTTTGAATGGGTGGTGATGGCGACGTCATAACATAATCTCGGTCATCGGATGAACGCGCCCACCGAGAAGGGAATGGATCCGATTCAGATTCAGATCCCAGTCGCGTTCTTAGACCCTCACCCTTGACTCGTAACATGGAGTCGACATTCTATTTACCCAGTATCTGAAACCATGGAGCTGACTCGATGAACCGTCACCATGAAGCAGCAACTTCCACTTTCCTAACTCCAACCATAATGCCATATCCTCCCCTCAATCTCCCTCCCTATGGCGACCGAAGAAGCCATCGCCGCCGGCCTGATCGACTGGCTCAATAGTCTGACCGTCGCCAACCCCGTCTACACCGTCCAAGACCTGAGTAATGGCCATGTTATATGGAAAGCCCTTCGTATGTCGGCGGTAACATATCCAGCCATTGACCTCTCAACTAACTTCCTCCTCAGAGCAGATCGACCGATTTAGTTTCTCTGGAAAACTGCCTGAAGACCCGGATACCGACCAGTGGATCAACAAATGGACAAACCTCAAACACATTTACGATGCCCTGTCTATCTTCCTCCTCGAGGACTGTGGCCAGAGGCTACCCCATCCGGCCGCTCGACCCGACCTCAAAGCCATTGCCCAATCCTCCTCTCTCGCCGACACTGTCGCCCTCCTCAAACTCCTTGTCGTTGCTGCCATCAACTGCGCTGAGCGTATCGAGTTTCTCAAGCAGATGCAGCAGCTGGCCGAATCCACACAGGAGGTCTTGATGCAAACCGTCCAAGAGGCTGGAGAATCTGATGCTGAAGGCGAGGCGGATTCTCAAGACGAGGGAACCGACATGGTCCAGCATGATCTGATCGAGCCCCACCAAGACCCTTCCTCTCCTCGGCGCTCGGTGGAGATCGATTCAGTCCTCGCCTCCGAAGAGCGCCTCGGGAAAGTCATAGCAGACAATCAGCGAATAGCTCACGAGAAGAGAGAGTTACAGAAACAGTTGGACGATTTTCACGCTCGCTACGAAAAACTACAAGAACGCTGTGACCTGGCTCAAGACGAATTGAAAGAAACCGGGGATCGGCTGTCTGCAGTTCTGGCAGGTCGCTCCGAAGGTCCACATCGGCCGTTGGACGCAAAACATGACACTCTCATTGCAACTCTCGAAAATCGAGTGGAAGAGACCGAGACCGAGATCGAAGACCTGCGCAAGACCAACGAGGTGCTAAAAATCAAGGCCGAGAAGGCGCAAAAGCTTCAGGATGACTACGATGAAATGAAGATTGAGCGAGACAGGCTTGCCCGAAAGGCGAATACAGCCGAGAAGTATCGCCAGAAATTGGAATCGAGCCAGGATTTGGAAAAAGATAACGCCAACTTGCGAACCAAGATTAACGACCTGCAGAATCAGCTCAAGCAGTCCGACTCGGCTCAAGCCACTTCCAGCGATCTCCAAAGGGAAGTCGATGAATATCGACGTTTGCTTCCTAGTATCGAGCAGGAGCGGTATGAATTGAATGAAATGAAGAAGCGGTTAGAGTTCGACTACCACACCCTCGAGGCGAGATATCACGACACATCAGAGCAACTATCGAGACAGCATCAGGCTGTAGAGGACCTGCAAAGTAGACTGGCAGACTACGAGGATGGGGTTCCACATGCTACTCGTGAAGAACCACTACCCACCGCTGTTAATCAAGACCTTGAGAAAGAAGAGGCCGACTTTCTCGAGTCTGAAGCACGGCTTGCGGCTGCTCTTTTCGAAGTCGATCCAAGTCCTACAGTCCTACCCGAATCAGCCCCCTCAACACCCCCGACAGAACCTCCGTCGACTTCGGCCCTGCTGCAAAGCCTTGGAGCTGGGGGAGATGATTCGATTTCCGAAGACGAACTCAAGGCCATCATGTCTGCCATGCGAGCACAGGCACAGGCTGGTTCCGCTTCCGAACGAGAGTCCAGTCTGCGTGCCCAAAAGAAATTGATTGTTGCCGTTGAACGCCAGCGAACCAAAAACACATTATTACTCGATCACATTCAGAAACAAGACATTACCATTCGCGAGCTGCAGCAGCACCAATCTTCAAAGCAGAACACAGAATCCGAGAGCAAACCAGAACAAGAGCCTTTGCCACCTCCACCTCCTCCAAAGGATTTACCGCTGGAACCTCCCGTCCGGAACGGCGAGGAGGACTTGTCCGAGCTCGAGCGCCTGACAGATGATAATAGGAACCTGCAGCGCGAACTCAAGCTCATGGCATCCGCTTGGTATGAACAGAACCAAAGGCTCGCCAGTCTCAGCTCGGCCGCATTAGGTCGTAGTCGTGGCTATGGTGGTGGGAATGGCACCGAGTTTAGGGGTTTCCTTGGCCGGCAAAGGCGCAAAGTGGACGTTGTAACGTTTGCGCGGTGAGTGTGCAGATCAGCAATTCAGGAGTGGTGGGATTTTGCGGGAAGATAGACATGTATCGATTGGAAGAGGATGCACAGAGCTTTGGTTTACCGATCTTTCACAATTGGAAAGGTTGAATGCATAGCGTGGTCGTGGGTGTCAAGAGACAGTAAGTGGGAGGCCAGCTGTTATATCCGATATCGTACGAGACGAGCCACGAATCGGACTTTATTGGTTGGTTCTTCTGCCAACTTGAATATGGAATTTGTTATTGTTATTTGGCGCTCCAAAGGTTCCTTCCGCGCCCCTATCACCTTTATTTTGAGACAGTGAAACATCACTGGAAGGTCGCGGCCACCAAGTCACAGGTGAGATTGTCGACTAAATCCCCAGCTCACAAAATACCAATAGCAATGTCGCCCTTCAACCTAGCAATGATGCGAATATCCACCTCCAGGGCCAACTTTACGTGGATCTTCAACGAGCCAGCCATCGCATCCGTATCAGCTTTGGTCAGGCCCGTGATTGTTTTTTGTAATCCTTCAGTAGCCTGCCCAACTTGTCCGGTCGTTTGACCGACTGCGTTCTCCGCTGTATTGGCCACCGAACCCACCGCATCAGTCGGTGATGATCCAGGGTCAGACCCTGCCGGGTTGTCTTTGGGAGCTGCTCCATTTCTGCGCCCACCCTGTGCTGTTTCTTCACCTTGCTTTTCTGGCTCCTTCTCCTTCTCAGCCTGCTGGCTCTTGGCGGTATCGAATTGATCACTGTGTACACCAGAAGAGTGAGGTGGTGGAAAGTCAAGAAGGCATCCCACTTACAAATCCGACATTGTGGTTATAATCACTTGAGATTATGGTCAAGATAGAAGACGCCCAGAGTCCCGATCGGTCACCGGATCAAATAGCCTCAGGAAATTCTGGTCGTCAGACTTTTTGATTCTGGAGACTTTGGATTCAACAACGACTGATTTGGAAGATGCAAGAACTTTAAGTCCGATCTCAAATCTTGGACGTGAGGTTGGGATCCTGACTGCGCTCAGCTATGCAAGATGGCGGAGACAGATGATGCAATTCAATTGAGCAATTGTACGTACAACTCGACACCTTTCAAAATCAATTCTTGTGACGCTTCGACTTCACCCTTCAAGGACGACTTCGATGCACGAGTGGCAGCCTTCTGCTCCAGCGTGATGATGTATCGAGGGTGGGAATGTTGAGACGATTGTAAAAAACTCGATGGGCCATCGCCAGGGCGGGTGGCTGTCAATTGAATAAGAACGAAGTGGGACATCCAGCAATCCCATCCAGTTTCAGCAAATCTGCTGCGCTCAGCTTGCTGAGCATGGATCATTCCAAGCTCTGGTTTCCTTGACCGAGATGTCATTATCTGTAGGGGTGTATCATTTGCGGAGTGGTGATGACTGCCTTGGGCATAGTGATCGCCTTTGCATACTTCTTTTCCCGCTACTGCACACCCATGGTCCATATTGTACGTATATGGAGTGGTCGGAACCAACTTGGCACTTCTCAGTATCAACTATTGCTGATCTTATTGCCCTTTTGGACAGGCCGACACCCCAGTATTCGGTTAATCTCGAATTATTTTCTTCTGACGTCAGTGTAGCATGGATATCATCCACCAATACTTAGCCTGCAGGAACCAGAGAATGACTAGATGTCCGGAGAGGGGCTCGTTTTCAACAAACATCGCATGCTTACAAGTTTCGATCAGGGGTACCTGACCAGGTGGTCACGCTCCAGGTATGAGTGAACCCCACCCACAATGGAGTAGGTCCGTCTCAGGTGGAAGTGCATCCGGGATTATTTCTGGGAAGTAGCTTGACAAGCGAGGTAGGCATCCTTGAGGAAGTCAAATCGTGTCCAAAGTTCGTAATTTGATCACTGACGTCGGTTTTTGTCGATTGTATTGTTGCTGAACACCTGCCGACTGCCTCTGTACGTCGCGCGTTCACTTCACGTCAAGTCAAAGGTATACTCGGGTTGGTCAGCTCTATTTTGCCGTTCGTCGTTGTAAGTTAGCCACCAAAGATGGTACTTTCACTCATAACCCTGGCGGCCACCGTGCCATTACTCGCAACATCGACAATGCAGTTGTCTGAGCAAGCACAAAGCACCTCCACCCGCGCCGAAGAAGAGATCAAGACCGAGAAATGCCATTTTCTTGCTCGGGCATCCCCCAGAATGAGCGAGAAAAGACGACAGCAATTCGCAGACATGATTCTGGTCTTGAGAGGCGGCCGCGTCTTCCTCCGTCACAAGGACTACGCCGACCATCATCCTGTGACTGGGTACTTCCTACCGTTTCCCGAACAGTCACACGAAGGCTTGGTCACTACGATCAATGAGGAGAACTTCCTCAATTGGATCTATATTGGCTCGTCGACATACCGAGTCAAGCATGGGATTCGAGTAGAAGCCCAAGCGCAACTCACAGGTCCAATGGATCTTGTTTTCTCGAAATCCGGGGAGAAAAGGCTCTCCTTCGAAGGCTGGGAGGGCTTTGTCGCAGTCGAGGAGGAGGCAGATCAATGGGCTTTATACTTCGATAAGGATGACAATGGTCTGAAAGAAAAGACAAAAGGCAGACCTGTCGTCGAGCTTGAGTTGGTTAGAATGGATCTGGACGAATACAAACCAAAACAGACGACTCAGGACGAGACCAACTCGAGTTGATTGGTTGGACGTTCGGGTGCATCCAGAGCTTTCCCCTATGACGGACGAAGCTGGGCTGAGGGGGTTCGCACTAAAACAACTTCTCCAAATCTTGCGTCTAACGACCACTGTTCTTGGGGTGCGGGGCATGATGCATTGCCCCGGCGTCCAAAGTGAACGAAACCAAGTCAATGGTGTCAACATCTACAAAGTACATCTTCTGCTTTAGACAGACTGAAACAGCATGACTTCGGCCGACTCTAAAGAAGTGTATGTGGTTGTGTCGGCTTTGGAAGCAGGACAGCTGACACTCCCGGAGAGGCTATTCGTGACAGATGCAGATCCTGAAAAGAGGGCCACCGTCCCTTCGCTATCCTTTCTAATACAACACTGTTCTGCAGAGGGTCAAGAAAAGACCATTGTCTTCGATCTTGGGGTCAAACGCGATCTCACGGGTTACGCTGAGCCTCAGCAACTTCATATACAAAATCGACAACCGACTGTTTTGCGACCGGATTGTGCTGATAGTCTACGAAAAGGTGGGCTGGAGCCTGCCAAAGATATCGATTATGTTATCCTGAGTCACGTCCATTGGGACCATGAAGGTACTCCCTCTGACTTTTCGAATTCCCAATTTGTGGTGGGCTCCGGGACAGTACATCTGCTTGAGCATGGGGCACCCCCTCACTACCCAAAAGAAATCTTCGACCCAGCGTTGCTGCCTCGAGATCGAACTCAAGAATTGCCACCGGTGGAAAGTAATAGCTCGACCGCACATTCTAAGCAGACAGATCACAAGTGGGAGCCATTCGCGGGATTTCCAGCTACGGTTGACTTCTTCGGAGACGGGTCGGTCTACATCGTTGATAGTCCAGGACATCTTTTCGGTCATGTCAACCTATTACTACACGTTGGGGATCGGAAATGGGTATACCTGGGAGGCGATTGTTGCCACGATCCGCGGATTCTGACAGGCGAGAAAGATATCGCACTCTACGACGATGGACACGGCAATTTACGCAGCGTTCACGTCGACACGGAGCTAGCAAGGGACACACTGAGCAAGATCGAACCGCTGCTGAAGAAACCAAGCCCGAGCTTTGGAGAACCGACTGAGGTAGAAGTGATTGTGGCTCATGACAAGAACTGGCGGGAGCAGAATCAACATCGATTCTTTCCTGGTAGACTATGAGATCAGGAGGCATATTCTACATCACGTCGTCTAATGGCCACGAGTACTACTAGGCAGACATACGTTGTTCTGACAATGGAGACAATTGAGTATATCTTCGGATAAGCAGTTACTCCTTATCCCGTAGCCTTGTGGGTGGACGAGGCTGTCCACAATAGATTCGACATATAGAAGTAAATCTTACTCCGAGCTCTGAATTCGTGTTCTCGGTCAGAGACCATCAAAACTCTACACTGAGCAACTCTAAATGTCTTCTCATCAGTCGAACCCTGTCTGATTAACGAAAGTTGCTTTCAGGAGGAGAGAGTGGGAGGGTGTCTCTCGCCCGTCAGCCTGTCTTCTCCAACACCAGCATGAGTCCCCCACATCCCAGGTTCTGGTCTTCCCCACCATCAACTCCATCTCCAATTTCCCCTCTTCTCACATCAACACCAACACCATCATCCGCATCAGCATCCGCATCCGCATGCCTGTAGGACTACAGCAGTACCAGTCCAAAAATGTGGTCTCTTGGAGTTCTGCCGATAGCCGAATTGGAGAGTCGCTGCAGTTGCCAGCAGCGTCCCACGATACCATAGAGTTAACTCTCAATCTGGACGCGTGGTTAGCAGTGACATTGAGAACGATATCTAGTGATCAAGCAGGTAGGATTGCTAACAGTATTCAAGCTCTTACAGAATATCTGGAAATTCCAACATGGCTTCGTTAGACAACACAATAGCCTTCATTGGTAGGTGCCACGACATAGTAACTATACCAACACCAACAAGCTGACAGCCTCCAGGCCTAGGAGTAATGGGTTATCCCATGGCCGTCAACTTGCGATCCAAACTTCCTTCATCCTACAAAGTACTCATCTGCGATGTTTCATCGGAAGCACTGTCAAAGTTTCAGACCGAAGTGTCCGACAAAGGCCCTGTGGAAGTGGTAAAGAGTGGATATGAAGCAGCACAGAAGGCAAACACCGTAATCACAATGCTACCAACGGCCTTGTCGGTCGAGAAAGTCTACCTCGACCCCACGACAGGCGTACTTGCGGGCGTACTCGAGGCGTCCAAGTCGAACCCTCAAAAGAAATTGATCATGGAGTGCGGGACGATCGAGACAGCCACGATCCTCAAAGTCTCCAAGGCCGCACAGGAAGAAGCCGCCAAACTACCCAAAGGTGCGCAGCTTGATTTCGTCGACGCTCCCGTCTCAGGTGGCCCAATGGGTGCACAGGCAGGAACATTGACCTTCATGGTTGGTGCGGCCCACAAGGCCGCATTTGAGCACGCCAAAGAATACCTGCAGCACATGGGAAAGAAAGAGAGCGTGTTCCACTGCGGAGATGTCGGCGCAGGGACTGCATTCAAGGTCATCAACAACTACCTGAGTGCCATTACGAGTCTCGCGGCGAGCGAGGCGTTGAACATCGGCGCCAAGATGAATCTCGATCTCAAGCTCCTCACAGACGTGATCAATGTATCGGGAGGGCAATGTTGGGTGACGAGTCAATCGAACCCCGTCCCTGGCATCCATGCCAATGCCCCAGCTAGCAGAAACTACGAGGGTGGTTTCCGCATCGAGCTTTGCAAGCACGTTTTGGAGATGGGCATTTCGTTGGCGGATATGGTCGGCGCGCGCACGATTCTGGACAAGCCAACTCTGCAAGCTTTCGAAGAGGCGGCTGCAGACGAACGGTACAAAGGGAAAGATGCGAGGGTCGTATACAAATGGCTCAATGAGAGTGAGCGGTAGTTTATGTATAGTCTCTTGAACTCTCACTGAATACTTGGACCTTTGCTGAGGACGCTTGGGTTTGTTGAATCGCGCGTCAACCTCCCGACGAATTTGAAGAAATCGAGGTATGGTGCTACCTTAACTCGCACCACTGTGTCCTGCGACGTACGCTGGTTCCCTCCATGAGTCCGCTGTGTCATTGGAAAATGGAATCGAATCGGGTATCTCTAGCACAGACTACGCTCGGTGGATACGCCTGGCATTATCTCCTGATCGTTATTTTCGATCACGCCCGGGGCTCCATCGTACAGTATTGACAACAACTTCCGGATGTCTGCAGTACTGAAATTCTCGAGCCGCGACACTTGTAACTCTGTCTTTGGCGCCGTATGGAGAGCGTCATTTTAGCGACAGTGACAAGTATGTCCAAGTCTGATGAAGCACTTCGGTTACCTCGGTCTCGCAATGTCTGCCAATCAAAGTAATTGATTTCGCAAGGTTTCGAGTGCTGCAAGGAAGTCACTAGTCTGAACCGGGTTCGAGGAAATGAATCCTAAGCTAGACAGCATAGTTTGTCATCATTCCACAGTAGAAGAGGAGATATAGAGAGAGTCTCCAAAGCAATGGCCACAGGGCATGCATCGAATGGTCTCAAGAGCCGCCTGTTCAGTCAGCTTCAAGCATATCGGCGTATATATTGAGACTTGTCCCGATCACGTCGACAATGGCCCAGGTTTGTGCACCGCGGAACACTTGAGCCCATACTCGCAGAACTGTTTTCGTCCTGGTTAGTTCGTTGATCAATGGAGGATGTATTGAATTTGAAGCCTACCTCCAGCACTCAAATATTTCATTGCGGCAGGTGATTCCATCGGCACATCATCCGGCATAGCAAACTCCGTTTCATCCAACATGGTCTTCACCAACGTCGCAATCTTCTGTTCATCATGAGTTACAACCGGTCCCGAATTCCGAAGGCTAAGTGCTTCAAGCCATTTGCTCAGGAGAAATGCACATTCAAGCGTGCAGAGCGAGTGCTGTATGGACCACATGAAGGTTTGTGTCTGAGCCACGAGATGAATCCCAATCTTGACCGGTATACTGAGTGCATGGGCCGAGTGGAGAACTGCTCGGACAAGTTTGGGTGTACGTTTGACCGAAGGACTGTCACGAAACGCATTGGCGATTTGGATAGGATCCCTGGTATCTAGTGCTCGTCCTGGGCCGAGATCTACATTGAGTCGGATGTAAGCGAGGCGCAAGAGAGCAGTCGAATTGAACGTCACTGGACCATTGGGATTCATCGGGTCGAGAGATGACTCTGGGTTGCGCTTCCATGCGAGCTGCCAATTGCGGAGAGCTTGTTCGATGGCGGCAACGTCATCCGCACGAAGTTCGCCACCATAGTCAAGTCGATATCGAGAGATTTGTCGAACAAAGAAAATATGCTGGAGCAAGGCGTGGACGAGGACATAGTTGCCCAATGAAGAATTGTAGGTGTTGGCGTCATTCACTGAGCGAGAGAAGAGGCGATGAATAGCCGTCTGGAAACTCACTTCGGGAGAGGAGCGAGTACGGAGCTCTTTCCACTTGGTCGCAGTTGATGCTTTGAACTCGGATGCGTTACACGGTAGGTCGAGGTCGACTTCGGAAGCAAGAATCAAAGATGGTATGTTGTAAACGATTGTATGGAGGTTGAAGAAGCAGAAAACAATGAACTTGGTTCTTTTGGTTGTCTCCCTCCTGATCCATTCTGGCCAACTGATGTCATCAGCCATTGGAGGAGACTTGAAACCATCATCGCGGACCAGTGTGGCGAGAACGCTCTGGATGGCGAGCGCTTCTCGAAGGATCTCACGGTGTTTAGCCCAGGTTGCCATTGCCATGAGGAGCAAGAGGGCCTGAGCTGTTTGTATGAGATCTTCCTTCTGAACACCAGAATCTGGATCCGGTTGAGAGGGTAGTCCCAGACAGCCAGACATAGATCCGCTGCGTGGTGTCTCGCCCGTTGTCAGTATCTCACTAGTCCTTACTCGCCCTTGATACGGAGATAATGATGAAGACGTGTTGTGAGAGCCGGCGAGCCTTGCATCGCGTTGGCGAATCCTCTGCATGGCGATGGACTGACTGACATGGAATAATTCGACTCCCTTCTGGCCTTCGAAGCAATACTGAGCCCCTACGGCAGCCATGGCGAGAATAAGTTCAATACAACAATTGTGAACAGAAATGGTAGGTATATGAAGAAACGGCAAGTGTTCGTGGAAGCCATTTACATAACCTGCTAGGTATCTCGAAAGAGCCAGCCTTGAAGGCAGCTGGAAATTGGCAGGGATCGCATGAGAAAACTCGGATAACTTGACTGCGACTGCTTGTCTATCATCGGTGTTGAGGTCAGAAAGAGCTTTTTGTGCATGTTGCTCGTTCTGAGGCGCGGAGGGACTTTCTTCTGGTTGTAGTGACGGTAGCCGTGATCCGAACCTCGAAAATGAACTAGAATCTTCTGGCTGCTCGAGTGACTGGCTGGGACGTGGCTGAATCGTAGTCTCGTTCGTTGGGAACAAATCTCCCGTCTGATGGAGAGACTCGGGTGAGAAGAAGGGAATTGGTTGCTCTGCACTGATTAATGATGAGAAATGATATGAAGATAATGCCCCGTTATCCATGAAATTAGCGAGATCCTGTAATGAGTCGTCAAAGTCGAACCCGTTCAAACCACCAATGCCATTGAGGCCATTGAGGCCATTGGACGTTGTTGGAAGGGAAGTCTGAACACTTGATCCAGCTAGAAACTGCTCCTGAGTATGAAATATAGGCTCAGTGACAGTGGGGTGAGCTTGTGGTCTCGCATGCTCCGCGGCCATGAGCAACGTTGCAAAGGAGAGGTCATGATTATTCGTTGCATGTCCCGCGATCTGGTTGTTGGTTGAGGACAAGTAGTTGGTGGCTTGCCCAAAGCCTGGCGAGCTCAAAGAGGTTGGATCGGGGACTTCCATGGTGTTGCTGGTACCAGTGTCTCTCCGCTGACGACCATCCTGGTGAATGCTAACACCAGCAATGCTCTCCGCCCGTCCATTTCTAGTTGATCGATCAGTATCATGACTTAACCTCTCGTGTCGGACGAGTAAGTCGCTACGCCATTTGTTAATCACAAACATACATGAACATTGGTCAAGGACAACATGCCTGCGAGTGAACTTGCTATCACACTGGGGACAAGCGAACGGCTTCTCTCTGGTATCTAAAGCGATAGTGAGCTCCGACTTGTTGAGGATACAATGGACTTACGTGTGCGTTCATGACGTTGAAGGTGCTCCAGCCTAGCAAAGAACCTTTGGCAGTGTTGACATTGGAATCTTTTAGGCTTTTTCAAGGGGGGCTCCTGACCCTGGCCATCAAGGTCCAAGTCAAATTCACCGTCAAGCATTAGGACCGAGCACTAGAGTCGAATTGGCCAAAGACTCACTTGCCAGCGCTGGAGCTTGACGAATATTGTTGCGTCAGAATATTGACGGATAGCAAAAGCTGGGGAATTTGACGACTGGGGTGCTTGCTTGACTAATTAGTTACCTTCTCCAGAAAGCTGGGGTTGATAGAAGATAAATGAAGTGAAAATATGGGCTCCGAATGCATCGAAAATTCCAACTTCCAATCTGGACGGTACTGTCGGCCTCTGTTCAATCCTAGGCAAGGTTGCGGGGTAGGCGGAACACCTCTATCCGTGCCTCGCACTGTGTCTATGACTGGTAGCAGACTCCTTGTTTAACTGAACGTCACAGGAGTGCAGATGCCCCTTGCCCTGTGCAGTTAGGCATCTCAGGGCTCCCTCCGACCCTCCGACCTTCAATGACACCGCCCAAGGAGCGCGCCCAAAGCCAACGAATTGCCTGTTACAAGGCACGTCCACTCTTCGAACTGGCATTTGACGCGCAGAAACATGTTCAGTCAGGTGCTTCAACTATTTAGATCTATCATCTCGAGTATACTATCCCTTCTACGAGATAACAAACACAAATGGGTGGAAATTGCCTTAACCCTAAAGACGCAAGGAGGATTACGCCCATTCAATACTCGCATGCACAATTACAGCAGAGTACCCTCATCCCAGATCGCGATCGACCTGGATCATTAACGACTTGTGGCCCTTCTCTGAGATAAACGCCAAATTCCTCAATTGCACCCGAACGCCAACGCTCGACAGCCGAGAATTGTCTTCTGTTTCACAACGCATCGAAAGCAGAACTCATCAAACCTGTTGGGCGGCTCAACCCTGCCGATAAGTACCTTTGCCACGGCCGACATGTGGGATTAGTTGCAAGCTCCAGACCTGATCTACTCCAGATGGTCACTCGGACCAGAACCTCACCTGTTTGTGGAGTTTCAGCGTCTGGGAGGTTGAAGCTAGTGACCCACCTGGGTGTCACCGCCTCGACCCTCAATTTACCCCAACTGTGCCAATCTGTCCTGGTGGGACCAGCCTTGGGAGCTGTTTCTAGCGTTATCAACATTGCATTCGCATGCAGGCATTGCTCAATGCCTATATCACTTGGATATATGTCGAGTGTGAGATTTTCGTTTGGGCGACGGCATGTCTTCTGCTTATCTGAGGCACGCGCCTCCTTCTCCTCCAGAAATTGCCTCTGCTGCTGTGGTTCAAGTATATGCTTTACAAGCCGGTCATTTCTCGCTTCCTGAGCGGTTTTTTGTCCACCCTGCATCCAACACGGCTCGACGAACCGTCCCATCACTATCTTTTCTTATTGTTCACAGAGATCAAGCTACAAACCGAACAACAAGGATTGTCTTCGATTTAGGCCTGCGCAGAGATGCGAATCGTTACCCTGAACCCATCCAGAAGCATATCGAGACCAGACAACCTTTGACAACCTTGCCAGATGTGACAGAGAGCCTTGCTGCAGGCGGGTTGTCACCAAAAGATATAGACTATGTTATTTACTCCCATGTATGTGAGCCAAAAGTTTTCTCTCTCGTCTCAATGGATCATCACTAATCTTCGTCCCACAGGTTCATTGGGACCATGTTGGCGAGCCCAGAGATTTCCCATCAAGTAAATTTGTGATTGGACATGGCGCTTTAGGCTTACTGCATGGCCGTGGTGCCTATTTGCGAGGGAGTCACTCGTTTTTTGAAGCCGACCTTTTGCCACCGGAGCGGACAATACAGCTATCCAATCCATATGAAACGACGGAGGAAGAAATCGGCACACACAAGGCGTTGGCAGATGGGCCCAACTTCCATCAAGATTGGACATCGTACAACAACCTCCCCCGAGTACTCGATATCTTCCATGATGGCAGTCTATACATCGTGGATGCTCCTGGGCATTTACCTGGACATATCAATTTGCTAGCAAGGACTGGTCCTTTGAGTACTGTGTATTTGGCAGGAGATGCATGTCACGACCGAAGAATTATGCGCAATGAGCGCCAAATAGGGGAGTGGCTCGACAACGAAGGGCATATCTGCTGCATACATGCAGATAAACACTTAGCACAGCAGACCATTGAACGAATCCGGGAGTTGGAATCAAGGGGGACCGAGGTAATCTTTGCGCATGACCATGAATGGGAAGGTGATTCAAGAAACAAATCACGCTTCTTTGGGGAGGCAAAGCTTTGATGCTTGACAGGACTGAGCATTCAAAACTCTTTGGGATCAGTGCATAGCAACAACGGCCAGTATGGTACCATCACAGCAGTATCACTTAAGCGAGCAATGAACTGCCTTTGGCAGAAATCAACACTCTGTAACTGTTCCTAGAGCAAACCACCCATGCTGATCAAGCCCCGTGGTATTTTGCGAGCCTGGTGGGGCATGAACTCGTTAGTGAGAAACGAACCCCCGGGATGAGGGGGAATCTCGCTTGAAGCCCCAAATTCCCCGCATGAACAATTTACTCCAACATCATCCATCCAGGCACAGGGGTTTGGTGAAGTGGGAATGGTAAACCGAGAGCCATCCCAACGTACCACTCAGCATCGAAGGCCATTATTAAGACTGCAGTTACCGTGGGTGAAACAAATAACACTTCATCTCAGCGTTTATCACTGTGTATCTCGTAGTTTTATCCACGTACCATCATGTCCATACCACGCGATACCTCCAAGCTGAAGCAGAAGCTGGTGGGTGAAATTGGGGAAGCCCAGTGGGATGAAACTTGGGAAAGCATAGCACAACTCAGCCCGGAGCTCTTCGAGGCCAGTGTCAACTTGATCGCGGTACCTAGGAAGAAGAGACATCTCTCACCGAAGATACAAGAATTGATGTCCATTGCCGTCGATGCGGCATCTACCCACCTCTATCTCCCGGGCATCCAGCAACACATCAAAGCCGCTTTAAAAGAAGGCGCCACACAAGCAGAGATAATAGAAGTCATCGAATTAACTGGCACACTCGGTATACATGCTTGCAATATCGGTGTGCCTCTTCTCGTTGAGGTGATGAAAGAAGAAGGAATTTATGAACAGCATCCTACTGCCGGAAAGCCGTTCGATGCTCAACGAGAGAAGCTGAAAGCCGACTTCACAAAGAACAGAGGATACTGGCACACCTTCTGGGAAGATTTCCTGGCACTTGATCCCGAGTTTTTCGAAGCTTACCTCAACTTTTCCTCCGTGCCCTGGCTGAAAGATGTCGATGGCAGTGGCAAGGGTGGAGGTGTTCTAGAGCCAAAGGTAATCCCTCGCGGCCGAGTTGTATTTGGGTATCCAAGTTAATTGTAGAATACAGGTCAAAGAACTGATTTACTGCGCCTTCGATGCAGCAGCGACCCATCTTTACGTACCTGGTCTCAAGCTACATATGAAAAATGTTCTCAAATATGGTGGGACACCAGAGGAAATTATGGAAGTATTAGAAATCGCAACGCAATTGAGTCTGCATACATCAAATGTAGCGGCTCCAATACTAGCTCAACAACTCGCGCAAATATAATACGGCGAGGATACACAATCACATTGGCTTGGAAATGATCTTTTCGATTTCGAGGTCTGAATTTTGGAGAAAGGCTCTATCTGCATCTTCTTTGCTTGTAATGAAGGGTCAATATGCCATTACATCTGAACCAATAATCTCATAGAGTCGAGACAGTGAAACACGAATACCGGTTTACTGAATCTGCAGTAATTCGAATAAACCTCCTCCCATTTTATCAATAGCATGGGTGCCCTGGCTCTTGGAACAGCCTTTCTCCAATCTCCAACTGGCCAAAAACCCTGTTTCCCAAAAAGCCGACTTGCGACTGGTAATTGACAAGCGCTAGAAGTGTAGCGGCTTGTCTGGTCTTACCTGGATAAAGCATTGGAGCTAACTCCAAGCAGATCATGCCTGGCTTCGTTGGCGCTTTCAGCAACAAGCCATGGTCGGATCTCAACCTTGGCGGTTGTGTAGAAGGCTATGACGATCCTATCTAGCTTAGGGGTGGAGATGAGCACTCATCATCTCCGCCTTTTGAAGTCCGTCCTTCGGTAAGTCGCCTGCTTTTCTTCAGCATAACTGACCTCCAGATATCCACTCAGACATTGCCCGACTTGAACACTCAAGAGGATTTGGTTTCGTTCTCCACGTGGCCAAGTGTCCTAGGGCTAATACCCCAATCCAAGTGGAAGAAGTCCTATAAGCCGGATGGCTCGCCTGTGAATGTCAAATGCATCCTCGCCTGCCCACCTTAGAAAACTAAGCCTCTACTTTTTGAACACGCAATGGAAAAGAATCATCAAGGTATTATGGATCATGGTCCGGACGATATCAAGCCCAAAGATGAACTCGATGAATACATCGAAGATGGCGGTACATCCGCAGAATCAGCAGAGTTCAAGATCAAGGAGGCAAAATTAAGGAGAAAACTTGATCTCTTCATAGCTCCAGTCATGATGATGCTTATGCTCATTAGCTATCTGGACAGAGGGAACATCGGATTTGCTGCAACCCAGGGGATGTCAGCAGATATTGGCTTGAAGGGCAATCAACTGAATGTAAGTCAACGAGCCAGGGAGCATCGTCAACCCCACTTATACTCCTTACAGACCGCTGTATCAATATTCTACATCTTTTACATCTTGGCAGAATTCCCAACTTCAATCTTTGTCAAACGGCTACAATTCAATAGAGTCATACCTGCAATTTGTGCTAGCTGGGGACTAGTATGTTTGTGTAGGTTCTAAATGGTACAAAGCTCGAAGCGAAATGCTAATTGATCCCGAAGGCATGGGCTTCATTCAGAACTTCGCAGGCCTCTGTGTCTGCAGACTTCTCCTGGGTTTCTTTGAAGGGTGAGTGAAGAGTGGTTAAAGGTGGTATAGGGTCACTAACGCCCCATAGGTGCCTCTTCCCAGCTATGACTCTCCTTCTTGCCAACTGGTATCGACGAGAAGAATTGGCACAACGCATTTCTTACTTATTCAGTAAGTTTCATTCCACGTTCTAAGGAACACCGGTGCTGACGAATCCCAGTCGCATCCGCCCTATCAGGTGCTTTTGGTGGACTTATCGCTTTCGGTATCCTCTATATGAACGGCGTCGCTGGCTATCCAGGATGGCGATGGCTCTATATCATTGAAGGAGTTATCACCATCATATACGCTGTATTGTGCATCTGGTTGGTTCCCAAGAACTACCAGACGGCCTATTTCTTGAATGCCGAAGAAAAGAAACTCATGGCAATCCGGGCAGAGCTGTCAGAGTCCTACAGTGGTGGCGATGGTCACTATAAGATGAAAGAGGTGAAGCTGGCTGCAAAGGATATCAAGACCTGGCTCCATGGTATAGGCCAGATCGCCGTTGTCACCATTTTATATGGATTCGGAACGTTCCTCCCCATCATCTTGAGATTTGGATTCAATTACTCCACGAAACAAGCCCAATATCTGGTCATCCCTGTCAACCTTTGGGGTGCTCTGGTATATGCGGTGGGTGCGGTCATCTCGGACAAGTATCACAAGCGCTTTTGGATCATGGTCATCTGCGCCCCGTTTGGCATTGCGGGTTACGCAATCTTGCTAAGTGATGTTCCCGTTGGAGTGTTGTACTTTGCTACATACCTCATTGCAACCGCTTGTTTCCTCTGCACGGGAGGAAATATTGCCTGGCATTCAGGAAATGTTGCTCCTGACGGAAAGCGAGCTGCTGCTCTAGGTGAGTTCCTTTTCCGTCATTCTGCTCGGCTGAGAACCAGATAAAAAGACTCAATTGCTAATGATAACTCATGATAGGCATTCAACTGACCCTGACAAACATTGGAGGTATCGTTAGTGGACAGATATACCAATCCAAATCAGCACCAAAGTTTACCCTCGGCCATTCATGGTCTCTTGGCTGCCTGGTGTTCGCTCTGATTATGTTCAACATTCTCCGAATCGTCTACAAGCGACGTGAAGCGTGGAAAGATAAAGCCATAGCAGAGGGGATTGTTGTTCCGCCAGAGGAATTCACCGATCGGGCACCCACGTTCAGATATCAGTTTTAATCGAGACCTGAACGCAGAAGAGAGGAAAGGAAGTCTCACAGAAATACCCGGCTGTTAACTAGTATTGATTAGATAGCAGGCATGGCAGATTGGGAAAAGGAGCCAATCATTCATCGTGAATAGCACCCGGTATTTTCTGGATATAGTTCTGGAGTAAGAGATAAAGGTATGAGCCATCTTCTCAAACCAATGCGCATGTCTTGACCGTTGTTTGTAGTAGCAAGTGATGAATACCAGTCGCCCTGATGCTTGCACCACAAAGCAGTGGCGAAGCCCGAGATATTTGACCATTATTCCTCCGATCAATTAATAATATGCGAAACATCCGACCTGGCCCGAAACAGCCTGGGATAGGATTGGGGAAAGCAACATGGGTGACTTATACAGCTCTGATGAGATTCTTCCTTCCAGTTTCATCGAGGCTTTTCAGGGGGAAGGCACCTTGTTTCCCCTTGATCTTGGCAGCCTTGTAAGGGGAACCAGCGGTTCCTTACAAACTAGGTCGTCCTCCCGCATGCAACCACGCAACCACGATACAGGTGAAGAGTTTCGAAAGGTTTCATATTGTGATTGTACAATACTTGGTAATTCTGATATGACAGATCACACTTCTCAAAAGGACCGAATTCAGGGCAATGCCACCCAATCACGTGGGTTCGAGATTTGCTTCTTTCACGCACTCGTACCACTCCTGCAATTCTGTGGATACTGCTGAATTCAACAATTCTAGCAACATTTCGTGATCTCGGATTTTCAGAATGGCCCCATTTGTGGTCCAGCACCTCCGTTCTCATTTGTACTACGCTTCAATTCCACTCTGGTTCTTCTCGTTGTATTTCAATCATTTTCTAATTGTTCAATTTTAGCCAATGACCTCTTGTTTACTGGCCAACCTTTCCAGGCAAACAGAACGACCTCAGCCTGATCTGGTTATCGGCGTCAGCTCCTATTCTTTTTTTTGCACGGTCACGGATTTGCTAGCCACATCTGCTATTTCATGATTTTTAACCCGATCATCTGATGAGGGGATCATATTGAGAATTCTTAGTATGCAGCGTCTCAGCTCGTTCGCTCGATCTCTCAGCGGAAACAGCAGAGCAGCTGAAGTTGACGGTAAGATGATAAACACTATCCCTTCCCTTTCTCGCATCCCAATTTTCCTTTTCGTCATTGAAAATCCCACCGTGGCGGATGTGTAGTGTCAAATCAACGTCTGTACGGCAGGGCCAACCTCCCAGTCTGTCGCTCGACACGACTAGTCTACAGTATATTTCACTACTAGTCAGCAGTATATTGGATGATAACTCCTTGGATACTGAGTCCTAGATTCAGCTATCGCTCATCAGCCTTATACGATTCTGGACTGACACCTTGAAAGACAGTAAACCTCAACCGACAAACAAAACTTTGTTTCAATCGTTCGAATGGTATCTGCCTGGCCCAGAGGACTCTTCGGCAGAATCTCCATCGCACTACACGCTCTTGACAAATTTGCTTCCACATCTATCAGCCATTGGAATCACCCATCTCTGGCTACCACCAGGCTGTAAGGCGACGAACCCGCAAGACAACGGATATGCTATCCACGACCTGTGGGACCTTGGCGAATTCGACTCCAAGGGTAGTCGACGAACGAAGTGGGGAACTCGCAAAGAGTTGAATGTTTTTTGTGCCAGAGCAAAGGAGTCCGGTATTGCGGTGATGTGGGATGCCATCTTGAACCATAAAGCCGGTGCCGATGACAAAGAAGTGGCGCATGGAGTCAAAGTGGATTTAAAAGGTAGTGTTCGTCCTTTGATATGAAAGAGCAAGCCCCGAGCGGTTGAATACTTCGGCGGCGCGAGGCTGACGCTGCAATAGACCGAACGAAGCAGATATCCCAGCCACGTGAACTAGAGGCTTGGACCTCGTTCACTTTCCCGGGGAGGGCAGGAACCTACTCTGATATGAAGTACGACTGGCGCCACTTCTCGGGTGTTGATTACGATGCTCGTTCGCAAGACCATGGAATTTTCAAATTTGTTCGAAAAGGCGAAGAAGGTCGGGGCGACTGGGCAGGTGATGTTAGTACTGAGCTAGGCAACTATGACTACTTGTAGGTGGACAACACGGTGGAAATTGTGAGCCGCAGCAGCTGACTTGGACAGGATGTTCGCCGACGTCGACCATTCGCATCCCGCTGTTCGGGATGACATCCTCGAATGGGGTTCGTGGATCACATCTTCACTTAATCTGGGTGGAATGCGACTGGATGCAATCAAACACTACTCGCTGTCGTTCCTGCGGGACTTCATTGCCCATATTGATAAACACCACCCGAACCAGTTTTACGTTGGCGAGTACTGGGATGCAAAAACCGAAGTCTTGGAGAAGGTCATTCGAAAGTTCCATGGACGGCTTAACCTCTTTGATGTGCAGCTCGTCTACACATTCAGTGATTACTCCAAAGGAAGGATGATCGACCTGAGAGCGATTTTGGATGGGTCTTTAGTTCAAAAGGACCCTGCTCATGCTGTTGTAAGTTCGGGCCCTGTTCCCTACTGGTAGACCACAGCATCAGCAGACACACACGCGCGCGCACCAGAGACTAATCACCTCGAACAGACTTTCGTTGCAAACCACGATACCCAAGAGATGCAATCTCTAGCTGCACCAGTGGAGGAATGGTTCATACCCCTCGCATATTCGCTAATTCTCCTGCGTCATAATGCCGGAACGCCGTGTGTGTTCTGGGGTGATGTTTTCGGCAACCACGGTCCTCGACCGAGATTCCCAGCTACTGGGGGTAAGCTTGTACGCCTCATCGCGGCGAGAAAGCTCTATGCGTACGGGCCTCAAAGGGACTATTTCGATAAAGTTGATTGTATCGGATGGACAAGATTGGGACACAGATCTCAATCGGACGGTGCTGGCCTTGCAGTTCTCATGACCAATAGCTGGGATCGCAGGTCTAAGCAGATGTTTGTTGGACAAAGACACGTTGGAGAGAGTTGGAAGGATGTTCTCGGCTTTGAAGACCGAGAAGTTGTGATTGACTCGAAAGGGATGGGGAGTTTCCCGGTTGGTCATCGGTGCGTTGGTGTCTGGGTCAACAAACTGGCACCAGGCTTCGAGAACTTGAGCCGATTCACCTTCCCGAGATTGGCACAGGCAATACCTCCGATCACAAATCTGCCAGTCTGAGTGCTATTGATGGTATTCAGGCACCAAAAGGATCCGTCGATTACTTGATCATTGAGCCGCACAATCGAGATATGAGAAGGACGGAGTGGTTGCTATCTAGGTCTATGCTGGAAAATCCTTTCTGCAAAAGCTGCCGATGGCATAGCCTAAGGAGTCTCGGAGACTCGATAAACCAATTTCTGCCCACTGACGTTACCATTCTTCAAATCATCCAGTCCCTTCAATACTCCTTCCAACCCATCCTTACCGACCTGGGCGGAATGTGGCTTCAACTTTCCATCGGCGAGCAACTTTTCCACTATTCCAAGGAACGTCTTGGTGTACTCGAAATCCTCCGGAACGGGAGGAAATTCCGTGGGGCCAAATCTGAACGCCTCGCCAAAGATGGTATACATAAGGGTTGATTCATGTTTGACATCATCCCGTGGAAATTTGTTAGGCAGGATACTGCCGTATCGACCTCCGGATTCCGTGGACATGGCCTGAGCGACGATGGTGGCGGATTCACTTTCGCTGACTGTGTCCCAGGCGAGTTTGAGCTTGTTCTGGGTATACTCTCGGATTTTCTGGCCTATGTTGGGCTCATTGTAATCAAAAACCTCGGTTGCCCCAAGACTCTTCACATAGTCGAAGTTCCTTGGCGAGCTGGTCGCCAAAACAGTGTATCCTGATCTGAAGGAATCTGTCAGCATCGAGCAGAGCGAAAGAGAGCAATAGAAAAGGAGTACTCACAACTTGGCAAATTGAACACCCAGGGCGCCTGTTGCGGTGCTACCACCGTATATCAGAACGAAAGTTTTCTCCTTGATCGGGTCATTGGGAAGGTTCAACTTCAAGGCCTTCTGATAAAGCCCTTGTTGAACGGTTGTGACACCGAGGGTAAGAGTTGAAGCATCTTCGAAACTCAAACCATCTGGAATCTTGATCTGCAAGTCGCCTAGTGAAAGTCAACCCATGCCGGAAGAATGGAATGTCTGCGCACACCTTTGGATACTACATATTCTGCGAACGCTCCATCTTCCACGTTGCTGGAATTCCCACCGTGGTTGACCCCAGCAAGTCTATCGCCCTTTTTCCAACCTTTGGTGACGGCATTTCCAACTTCAATAACAGTACCGGCAAAATCACAACCGACCAATCCACCCTCAGCGCCAAGGCCAAATGCAACATGCTTCCAGTCCGTGGGGTTCAGAGCAACAGCCTCGGTCTTGACGAGAATATAATCATCCCGAAGCTTGGGAAGAGCACGATCGCGTTCAAGTTTGGCTTCTTTGCCTCGGATGACGACTGCTTTCATTGTGCTGGACATATTGCGGGACAATTGATGAGTGATATTGGAAATTCGCTGTTTTAAGAGACTGGATTGCATCCGAATGCTGGTGGGTGAATTTATTCCTCCTCGATGTGAACGGATGACTTATATAGATTTTGATCAGATTCTGTGCCGGGTGAAGCAAGGCTGGCAGAATTGATAGTAAGGGGTGGAAGGAAGTCTTTCTCTTTACGGACAATGTTGGTCTTGGCTAAAGTGAGGCTCAATACATGATGTTTGTCGAAAAGGATGGCCTGAATAACATTAGTAAAGAAAGGTGTGACGCGCGCGTCATGGATCTAGATTTGTAGTCAGGAGATAATTCGGATGACAAGAAGGCAGATGGTTCTGTGGAGCTGCGAACGTTCATCAGACCCACTGTGCTCAAGGATCACCATTACAAATCCATAAGAGAGTTCGCATGGGTGGCAGGGCAGGTAGGAATACCAAATTATCACCCGGATATGTTACCGCGGCTCCGGCCATATGAGGCCTGCAATCCGGAGCCGAGGACGTCGGTTGAGCTCATGGTACCTGACATATTCAAGACTCAAGACGCGAGACTTGTTTCTGTTTTATTCATGCGATGAGACTTCGAAAGATACTCGTAGAACCCGAGGCCACTGGGGTCGAGGGGAAGCAGGTCATTTTCCATTCGACCTTACCAAAACTATTGGCAGCTCCTTCAGATGACGCAAATATTGCGTTTCACAACCCCACTATCGGCAGTTTGAAATGTATCGCCGAGACGGGGATAGTACTTCGGTAGTTAGGAAGGGATACCAAGGTAGCGCATTGTGAGGTTCGCGTTCCCAAAAGTCGAGTATCAATAACCTGAAACATTATTAACTATGTCATTAATGATCATAGTTGAGCTACCGACGGTGGAAGGCGATTGTTGGGCTGACTCGTCAGCGTCTTTCACTGACCAAGACAGGACGGTTCAGCACGAGATACAACGTGGTCAGGCTCCCAGTCCGAGTTGTTGGATGAGGTGCTAGTGTGGAAAGGCTTGACCGGCGGCAACCTTGACCATACTCAGTGACATATTCACGATCGCGGGCAGGCGTGGCTTTCGCTTGGTCATTGTTGTTTCATAGGAAAGACTTGAGCAGAAGAAGATTGGACGTGCATCCTGCCTTCCCTTGATTCTGAATCAATCTTCGTAGACATGGGTTTTCTCCCATAGAAACATTTGGCTCGGGTTGTCAGTTTGGTTTGCCGAGCTCTTGTGTCTGAATACGAGTGTGAGATTTGGTCCAGATTTGGCCCAGATTTGGAGCGAGTGTTCCTCATCACGCGTGGTTACATAAGTAGCTTCTGATTGGTTTATGACCACGCGTCAGGCTAGATCTGACACGTGATTGGCCTTGGCATCCAACCGGGAAGAAAAAATAAATCCATGGCAGCCTCATCCTCAGCCTGAGGCCCAAAGTCTGAACCAACAGTGGGCAAAGATTCGCGACGGAGTCGAAAGCTTCAAATCTCACCATCCCATTAGAGGTGAAAATCTGCACCTCCCACATTTCTACCGTTGTTGTCGCGAAGTTCAAAATTCTTCCCAACACGCACCCTAATCAAGATGGAGAATCAAGGCACCTCACCACAGCCCCAGCAGGAACGACAACCCTGGCGGTCCACAGCTTCCAACAATTGGCGTGTCAAAGATGACAGCCCGCGAGCTGAACAGCCACAACGACGAGGTGGAGGATTCGGGAGGTCACATGACCAGCGCGAGTCCAGCAGCCAGGATGATTCAGCAGGCACGCGTCTCTACGTGGGCAATCTTCTGTACACGGCGCAAAAGGCCGACATTGAGACCCTGTTCGCCGACCAGGGATTCAATGTGGTCAACGTGAGCATCTCAACCGATCCCTTCTCCGGGCGCAATCCGAGCTATTGTTTTGTGGACTTGGCTACCCCGGATGAGGCTCAGCGTGCTATTGCCGAGTTGAATGGAATTGAGGTGCTCGGCCGCAGTCTGAGGGTCAGTCCTGGCGTGGCCAAGAGAGGTTCGACCCAAGGAAGTCGCGGCGGTGGTGAAAATGGCGGCCGAGAAATCAGAACCAAGACTTATGAGCGAGGTTGGGCGAAGGAGTCTCGGGAGGAACGAAGTAAGTTTTTCCTCTGAGGCAGGTATGGAGAAAACAACAACGTGCTAACAAATATTTCACCTAGCCGGGGACTACAAACCATCGTTTGATCGCTGGAACCGCAACGACGCCTCATCACACTGGCAAGCACCGCTCTCGGAAGGCCGACGTTTGTATATTGGCAACCTTCCGCGAATCGAACCACAGTCCGCCGTCGACGAGGAGATGCAAGCACTCTTTGCAACACATCTCGCCGCAGAGGGTATCAAGCCCAGTGCCGTGTCGAAACTGATTTCGCCACACCAGTCCAAGGCGGCGGAACCAGGAAATCACTACTACTGCTTTGTCGACTTGGAGCGATCCGAGGACGTGGAGACGGTGATTGCAGCATTGGACGGCCAGGAGGGAAGCTGGGGTGGACCGTTGAGAGTCAACCGGGCTCGTGAGCAGAGAGATCGGGCTGAAGGAGGCCGTGATCGCAAGGTCGTTCGCGAGCAAGGTCTCAACAGAGATGGCGAAGAGAGGAGAGGTGGTGGAGGCGGTGCTTGGAGGAGCCAGCAATAATTTATTTTTGTCCGCTCCAACCACCGCAAGAGTCGGTCTCATTTCTTTTTTTGTTCAACGTCGTGGGTGATTGTGAATTTCACGTTGGAGCATTGGCTTTTTTTCCGTAAAAAATCGTGGACAGAATCAATACCGCTGGCAGACTTCATATGTTGTGTTTAGAATACGGTTTCATTGTGATGCTAAATCATCAAGGGCATGTCTGAAGCCGTGAGCAGCCTGAGGAATATCTATCTACAAGTAGGCTGACTTGTCAATAGGGGACCTGTAGACCACGGCACCCGCAACCATCCACCCACTGCATCTCTATTACTTCTGGGTGAGCTTGAGAGGGTACTCTGTACTCTCAATGCTCTCTGGATACTTGAGACCGCCCTGCTTCCGTGCCTCGTCCATCACCTCCATGATAAGTGTACTCTCTGCCCAAGTCATGGTTTCGGATTCCAAAGCGCCTGCAAGAAGAGCTCGGCCTGCAGCATCTGCTTCATACTGTTGAAGAAATTTGTCAGACACGCCAAGCTGATCTTGATAGGAGTTGGACTTACCATCATCCCGTGTGCACCACCTTCAAATTCAAATGTTCGATCCACAACTTCGGGCCATGGTGTCTTCTTGACCATTCTATACCTGGTGGGTCGGTACAACGGACCAAACACTTGAATTTCACCATTTTCACCCTGAATTCTCGCAGCGGGGACCTCAATGTCCCCAAGCTCTCTTGATTGATTGCGAGCGGGATCATCGCTAACTCGAAGGGCCGTTGTGGCTACACCATGGGAAATTGACTTGCCGGTGGGGGATGACTTTGGGAATTGCAGCAGAATCAAAGTCGACTCGTCGGCCCCTGTCCGTGGTTCCGGTGTCATGGCTGTTCCAACAACTTTGGGCCGTGATTGAGCCTGTAAATCCGCGGGTAACGTATGATATAATGTTTGAAAGACCCATGTCAACGCATAAATGCCCAGGTCGAGCAGGGCACCTCCAGCCAGATCAAGGTTGATCATCCTGCTGCTCAAGTCAAAATCCTTGGGCGCACCAATACTCATGTCGGCGGTCACACGTAAGACTTCACCTACGTCGCCATCGGTGATGTGCTTCCGCACGGCCTGACTGAGCGGGAAATATCTCGTCCAGACAGCTTCCATGAAAAAGAGATTCTTCTTCTTGGCCGTTTCATACAGAATCCTTGTCTGCGCGGCGTTGACAGTCAAGGCCTTCTCACATAGAACTGGTTTGTTGTATTCTAGACAGAGCATTGCATTCTGGAAGTGGTGGGAATGCGGGGTGGCAATGTAGACGATGTCCACGTTTGGATCTTTGACCAAGTCCTGATAGGAGGAATAAGGAGTGGCTGTTGACTGTTGGGCAGGAGAAACGACTTCGGAGATAAACTTTTCGGCAGAGGACAGGGACGAGGAGGAGGCCACAGCAGCAACAGCATGCAGGATGTCGGCGACATTTCGAGTCTCGGGCGATATCAGCAGGTCCTTGGTGAAGGTCCGTGCTATGCCGCCGGTCGCTGGCGAGGTAAAAGAACGTCAGCGGTGATGATATAAGACAAGCAGGGAAAATGGGACTCAAAATGGGACTCACCCATAATGCCCCAGCGGACCGTCTTGGTTGACGACATGGCGGAGGTGGTGAGAAGATGAGACGCTGGATGGGGAAGCTTGAAGGGCAGTCGCATTGACGAAGGGTTGGGCGGAGATAGACTGACAAGGAACTCGCTCACCTATGTACTTTGCATTGGCAGCATCGTGGCCTGCATGAGGACAAAGATAACCTCTACAAATTGATTTGACTGCCGTTCTCAAAATGGGAGCGTGGCATTCATGATCGAATGGGTGGGATTCTGAGTCTTGGAGACAGGTGCGGGGCATGGGCTGGAAAGGACATATTGTTCTCGCTCCATAATTCAGCCTGATAGGAGTTTCTGTACAAGTCCTGGAGGCATGATGATCACGGTCGTCATAAAATAACACCCACAGTCACCGGGGGTTCAGGCTAGGGTGCTGCTCGAAGTTTTCAAACGCTTGCAAGTAGGGGAGTGGGACGATGGGCTCAGAAGAATAGACCGAACGAGACGAAAGCGTAACCACGATTCGACCCAATATCAAAGCCAATAGATCTGTATATTGACGTCGAGCTACCGACCGACACGCTTATCCTCATTGATATGTCAGGTCACTTTTGTGGTATGGTCATTCACTTACCAGACCCTCAGAGTGTGTGGCGCCTAGAATCCCATATATCTTGTACACGTTTTGCAAGAGCTTGACTCCAATCCGGCGTTGGTGGTTACCTGCCGATCAAGTCTCTTTTGGCCTTCGCAGTGTCGTTCTAACATGACAAACAAACCCAATACTAACCCCAGCTCTCCAGCCCTTCAATAACCACCAGTCGTGTAGTGAGCTGCAAGCACGGCCATCCGGGGGACGCTTTCACCCATTTCATGTCTGCAGAGGGGCGACCAGAATGAAAATTCCATCTACCGCAATCCGATCTTGCTGAGAATGCTGGAGGAGGAGGCGCCTTTGGCATCGCCAAAGACTCCAAGGATGCTCTTCCACACGTGGTCAGGGTCTTGACTGGCATCAATTCCTGCCCATATACCCTTGGTCTTGTAGTAACCCACCACAGGGGTCGTCTGGGTGTGGTAGGTGACCAATCTCTTCTTAAGAGCATCGGCATTGTCATCGCTTCTTTGAATCAGAGGTTCTCCCGTCACGTCATCCGTCATGGGTGTCTTGGGAGGGTTGAAGACCTTGTGGTAAGACCGTCCGGAGGCTGGATGGACCAGTCGACCAGTGATACGAGAAACCAGTAGGCCGTCATCAATTTGAAGCTCGACCGCATGCTTCAGTGGCTTGTTGTTGGCGATGAGCATGGAGTCGAGACCTTCAGCTTGGGCCACGGTTCGAGGAAATCCATCCAGAATGAAGCTGTTTCGTTGGTCAGCAACTGCGCCAGGTAATGGGACAGACCAAACCAGACGGCATGACTTACCCATTGGCACATTCTCGGTTCGTGTCAAGCTCATTCTTGATCATGTTGATCATAATATCGTCGCTGACCAGACCACCTTGATCCATGATCTTCTTGGCTTCTCTTCCCAGGGGAGTCTTTTTGGCAACCTGTGCTCGGAGCATGTCACCCGTGGCCTACCGCGGATATCATTAGCAAGCATTCGAGGCGGGATGCGGCGTTCTCGTCGTACCAAATGGCAGACACAGTATTTGTCTTTGATCTTTGGAGCTTGGGTTCCTTTTCCTGTACCCAGTGTGTCAGTAAACGCGTCTTTCTCTCGAGACGTGAGCCTGCGGACGAACCTGCACCAGGAGGGCCGATGAGAATCAGGCGCATGGATTCAGCAATAGAAGGCTTGGTCTCTCCGGTTTCCAGCCTCTGTTCTAACCGGTGAATGCGTTCTTCTAGAGCATGGTATTGTGTGCGAAGTTCATCGACCTTGCTGTCGGTGATGGGAGCCATTTCTGGAGGAGAGTGGTAAGGGACGAAAGACCTGACCAAGGTCGGAAGTTGAGGGAGCTCGAGGAAGAACACTGGAGGGAGGAGGGAGAATTAGACGATTGTTGAGATGTGATGAGGAGGACTGCTAGAGTCGTAGAGGCAAGAAAATACCGTCGAGGGCTGTTACTGCTCGTGCGAATTGCGACGAGTAGGTAGGTACACGGCGGGTAATAATTCTAATCCTTGAAATTGAAGCTCAACTTGAATTTGAAGGTAACCGTTCTCTCCGCTTCACCGAGGGAGCTGCAGGGAAGTGCCGCCCGAGGGCCCGGCCGTCTGACAACAGCTTGGAGCTCATAGTCGCCAGTAGACAGAGGCCAAGAGTGTGTCTGACCAGCCTTATTGATTGTTTCTCAGCCCACTAGGTGGTGAGCAGGCGCGCCAGGCCAGTTGCTCCCCGGAGCTCCAGGCGTCCAAGCCCGCCCAGTGCCACCTATATCGTCACTTAACTTGGCGCCTCAACCACTATCCACAGAACCTGGCAAGGTCTTGGTGCCTGGAATTTCCCTCACTGTAGTTTCGAGTTTCAACGTTTTCTCAACCTCGGCAGGCCTCCTCCTCCCCATCGAGCTGTTCTTTCCCCATCACGTCCACCCACGTTCAGATCGCGTTCCGGTTTGTCCTCTTGCTGGATCCGGTGAAGAGGAATCATGTCAGGCCCCAGGGAACTTGTCCATACCAACCCGAGCATACTCCGATATTGTCATCTGTGTGTTTTGATTCACCGCTGTTATGTACAGTACCGATAAGCAAGAGATTATCAACTTGATCCTATCCGCCGTACTTTAAAGTCGACTACCATCATTTCGCGATGGAGCCTTGAGCTCATCTCGTACTGTCATTGCTGCTTCCGTTCCTGACTGGATTGCTCCATCAATAAAACTCCGCCAACCTCCCGATGCCCAATCTGAGTTGGCGAACAGAACTGGCCCTTGCCGCTCCCTCAAAGCTTCCAGATACTTGACCTCCATACCAGGCCGATACCAGACCCTAATGCCGGTCAGCTATGCAACAGCTTAAGGACTCTCGAGTGAACAAACTTACCAAGCACCCTCAGCGAATTCATCTTTGGCCCAATTATGGAAGACCTGCATCGATGATCTGTTAGTTCCACTGGAATCTTTTCGAGTGATTGAAAGCATGGGTCGGCAACTCACTAAGCGCTCCACATCCATGGGTGCAAATGCCTTTACTGCCTTCAGTGTCTTTTCCACGTCTTCATCTGCTTGAAGCTTAGCATTGCAACCGAAAAACACACAATGTGTTGTTCCAGCTGGCGTTCTCCCATCCGCCAGTCCGATAACAAGCTCATTATCAGGGTAGGTAACGCCGCTCCAAGATCTCATCTCAGGATCCTTAATCTCGGCATGTACCTTCACACACTGGTTAACATGCTTGAGCGCAGCCGCTTCTTGCTTTGCCCGGTTTAACGGTGGGTCAAACTCGACTTTGCTCAGCACGTTCAGGGGAACAGTACAAATAAGGCGCTTGGCTTGAAACCTCTGTCCATCTGCGGTCCGTACCTGCACGATTGTCTTCGAGGAGTCGACCTGTGTCACTGTCGTGTTGAACAAGTATGACAGATTTCCGGTCGCGATTGCTTCGTCGAAAAACTTCCTTGCAAATCCGGATTGACCACACTTGAGCTTGAAGATAATAATGGTGTCTAACAGCGTCTTATAGTTGTAGTTTCCAGCAGCCCACCACCGAAGAAAGTCCAAAAACGCAGAATTGTCGCGTGTTCCACCACTGCACAGGAGTACAAAGGCCTCGATTGCATGTTGCTCGTCGCTGGAGAGATCATGGCTGATCTGAGCAATGCGATCTGCTACTGACAGATTTGAAAATTGGAGCACATCTTTATTCCAGTGGGCATTGAAAGGAAATGGTATGACGGTCTTGCCTAGGTTTCCATCAACATTGCAGAATTTCTCAATTGCTCGGGAAAATAGTTCATCCTGGAATGGGTCAGCTCCTATCTTGAGTGGCCAGAGCATCCGCCAAAACATACCTCCTCCTCGTGGCTCATTTCTCGCCGACCACTAGCAGTCTCGAAGCTGAAGAAGTTGTGCCGGTAGTTAAAGTCTGTCGAATGCACGATCTCATCCTTCATGCCATATCGAGAAAGCTCCCGATAAACATGAGGTTGGAACCAATGGATCCACGTGCCTCCCATTTCATATGGGTATCCTTCGATGTTAGAAGACCATGTTCGTCCGCCGATCCTGTCTCGACCTTCTATCAACAGTGTCTTCAAACCTGCATCAGTATCAGCAAAGCTGTTAAATACCTGACTATGATACAGTCATTCAGGCACCCACCATTTGTCGATGCATCCCTTGCGGCAGTGAGCCCAGTGTACCCAGCGCCAATCACTATCACATCCAAGATGTCTTCAGAAGTTCGCAGCTTCTTCGGGGGCTCAACAACACCAATGGAAGGCAAACCACTCTTCAGACCCGAGCTAGGAGTCCATTGAAAACCCTCACGCGATACACCCATTCTCACAGATACTCCCAGTATATCTTTGCAGGTATATTAGATGCGATCTCTGGCGAGGTTGATGAGCATGGGTTCAGGAAAAGGTTTACAATCTTCCACCGCACCACTTTAAATACCTTGACGGTCTTGGGTTCTAGCGGTCGGTCCGGCGATGAGTCCTCACTCCACACCTCTAATACATATGGTTCGTCTTTTAGGAAGGAGAGATAACAATCGCAGCATTACGATTAGCTCGAGCGAGCATTCTCTTCTACGACATCAAACCCTCAGAATCTTACTAAAATCAATCCTCTTTGGGATGCAAGGTTCTCACTAGGCCACAAGCAGTCTGGCGCCTGACCAGTGCCTACTCATTTAACCTTCTCTTTTTGGACGATCATCTCGGATGAATTCCGGCGTACCCCAGATCTCGTGTCCGTGGCCGTGCCCACTCATCCCCAGACGCGGAGACCTGAGTTGATGAGATATACTTAAGATGTCCTCACAGCCGGGCCATTACTGGGCTGACCTCCGTTAGAGTCTTAGGAAATAGCTCTATCAGTTCCCTAGAGTTATTCAAGGCGACTTTCGTGCAACACTATGGACTCCAATCATTCCAGCAAAGGGGTGGGAGTCGCTGCAAACATCGACCCCCACGATCTCAAGGAAGGTGAGAATCACTCCTATCAGGCCCATCTCTATTCTTCAGGACTACCTCATCTCGAATCACTATTTACTTCCGCTAACTCCCAGATTTTCTGACACAGACATCTCCCACAATGAAGATACCCTACGTACGGTGGAACTTTCGACCCTTGGCCTCGCTCAGGAAACGGAGCGAGACATCGGACCCATTGATATCATCTGCGTCGGATGGAACATCTGCAATAGCTGGGCTGGCGTCGCTGCTACTCTCGCCCTGACGATCGCACAAGGTGGCTCTGTCACCGTGATATATGGTGTCATCGTCTGCTTCCTGATGGTTGGTTGCAGTGGCTTGACGATGGCGGAGCTCAGTTCAGTTTATCCAACCGCCGGTGGACAGTAAGTCTTGATGACCACCATATGGTGCCTTGATGTGATCTAATTCCGAGGAAGATATCATTGGACATCGATCTTGACGCCGGCAAAACCCTCTCGTGTTCTAGTAAGTCTCATTCAGTTGGTATCGAAAGCTCTATGCAGACAACGACAGCTGATGATTGCGTACAGAGTTATATCTGTGGAATCACCAACGTATATGCTTGGATATCGACAACTGCCGGAATCGCTATCATCATTCCACAGGTTATTCTGGGGATCGTAATATTCTGGCAGCCCGAATACGTCCCTCAAACATGGCATTATTTCCTCCTCTACCAGGGTATCAATCTTCTTTCGTGCGTGCATAACATATTTACACTAAAGAAGACCATGTGGGTGAACGACGTCTCTTGTAAGGCTTGCAAAGAACATACTTGGATTTCACTAATCCAAAATCTACTTAGTCGTTGTCACCCTTGCCGGATTCTTCACCATAATCGTAACATGCCTTGCTCGAGCACCCACCAAGCAGAGTACTGAGCTTGTTTGGACAAACTTTGTCAACGAGAATGGTTGGTCTAATGGGATTGGTTTTCTGACCGGCATGATCTCTCCGAACTACATGTACGCCGGGATAGATGGAGCCATTCACCTTGCTGAAGAGTGCCGCAATCCTGGCCGAGTGGTTCCTAGAGCTATCATTAGTACTCTAACGATCGGATTCACCACGAGCTTCACATTTGCAGTCGCCATGACATACTGCATTCAGGACTTTGATGCTGTCATCGGCACTTCTACGGGGTGAGTCCCTCGGCAACAACTGCTATTCATGTGCCCCTCTGATATAAGAAATAGCGTTCCGATCTATGAAATCTGGTATCAAGCCACTCGTTCTCGGACCGCAGCGACAGTTTTTATGGCAATTCTTCTCACGGCAGCCGTTGTCGCTTTGATCGCTGTGCAACAAACCGCCTCACGTCTCACCTGGTCGTTTGCTCGAGACAACGCACTCATTGGTTCGAAATGGATCGGTAATATCCACCCATCGCTGGGTGTTCCGGTCTGGGCTCTCGTTGCCAATAATGCCATCGTGTTCATCATCGGCTGCATATTCCTTGGCTCCTCAACAGCCTTTAACGCATTTATCGGTACTGGCCTGATATTACAACAACTTACATATGCAATCCCAGCTGCATTATTGATGTATCGGAAAAGATCCACCCGTTTCCTGCCCTCAAACCGGCCGTTCAGACTCTTTAACCCATTCGGCTGGGTTGTCAATTTCTTTACCGTTGCTTTCGCGATCGTGGTCCTCATCTTTTATGATTTTCCCGTCATCCTACCAGTGACCGGATCCAACATGAGTAAGTCCTATAGACCACTCTGGCCGGAAAAAAGCGAGTCCAAAACCTAACCTGATAACAGATTATACCTCGGCGGTGATCGGAGTCATGGCTATCTTCGCAGCAATCAATTGGGTCATACACGCACGTAAAGTGTACCATGGACCTAGATTGGCAGAGTTCTGAAGGACATGTTTGACTGGGTTGGAAACGCAGGAAGCCTTATCGGCAATTTTATTTCTCTTCCTCCCGAGTTTGAGATGTGCGTGAATGAGGATATTGGTCGAGTTGGCGTGGCTAAGCTTCGGGTACTACTGCTTGAGACACCTTCAATGCCGAACCCTGATATAGCACTCTGAACCGTGTTCTTGGCACGTATTATGTATTTATCAGCCATTATCCAGAACTTCTTACCACCGATTCCTCGTGTGCTTTATTTCCATCTCCATATATCCGACAGCATTTTCCCCATAGAAGCTTCGTCAGGCCCGTGGATGAATATTCAACGAGCCCCACGGAGAGAAATGGCAGGCGCAAGTATTAAAAAGGTGCTTGTCATAGGCGTACGTCGTCAATTTCCTGACATTCGTGCTTGAACTTGCAGTTGCTAAGACCAATGCTTCAGGGAGGTGGGAACCTTGGTCCGGCTATTTTGAAAGCACTTGCGGGCGATTCGACGTTCACCGTGTCCATTCTCGCGCGAAGAAGTGGTTCATCAACCTACCCTGCTGGCATCCGAGTCACCACAGTCGATGACTCCTACCCAGAGGCCCAGCTTCGCAGCGTCTTCAAGCATCAAGACGCAATCATCTGCGCTTTGAGCCTACAAAGTATTGGTGAGCAGATCAAATTCATCGACTGTGCAGTTGAGGCTGGAGTCAAAGTTTTTGTGCCCGCTGAGTTTGGCGGAAATAAGGAAGCCGCAGGCCCCATGGCAGGCGAGAAATTACCGTTGCACGACACAAAAGATCTTGTGCTTGAACACCTACGGCAGGCTGAGTCCAAGGGACTGTCATGGACGGCGGTTGCTACAGGTCCATTCATAGACTGGTATTCTTGTCCATTATTTCGCTGTCGAGCTCTGGCACTAACGACATTTAGGGGTCTGTCAAATGGGTTTCTTGGATTTGACATAGCTTCGCGGCAAGCCAAGATCTATGGCACAGGTGATGAGGTATGGACTGGTACAACGGTTGAAAATATCGGATTGGCAGTTGCACGTTTATTGCTTAAGCCAGAGTATGTGAGGAACCGTTTCATTTACATATATTCAGTCAGAACAACACAGAACCAAGTCTTGAAAGCTTTGGAGTCGGCCACTTCATATACTTGGGATGTGCAGAACCTGACTTGGGAAGAGGAGATTCCAAGGGGTAGGAAACTACTCGAGCTTGGAAACAGAGCTGGCGTTGTTCCTTTAATTCTGTCCTATTTCTTTCGGCCTGGCATGGGGGCCGACTTTGTGAATGATGTCGCCCCAGATAATGCTCTTTTGGGTCTTTCCACGCAGGGTATCGAGGGGATTGTTCAGGGCGTGCTATCTAGTATCTAGATCTTTTCTTAAAATTGAGTAAGGCTAGAATATAAGTGCTGGAGAACTGGCGGATGGATACTGGACCGTAACTTAAAGTGTTCCAAGTGGACGCTCCCAGTGTATGGCACGTAGCACAAACTTATGCCACCTTACCGATCAGGTAATCAAGGCGTTTGACCGCTTTGTAACCTCTTCTGACAACTAAGCGATGGATTCGTCGCTTGGGCTGCGTAGGGGATGAGGCTGTCTCCTTCGAGGAACCGAGGTGATCTCGTTAGTTGAATAGTTAGGTACCTACAGTAGGTACCCAGCTCGTACGGTATGATACCACCAGGGATAGTCTAGACCCAAACTCTATCCCCACACTGGCCATTATTAATCCCTTGGACCACCTCATCAGCTCAGCTGTCGACTTAGTTTCTTACAAAATCCCCAAGCCCTGGGTTCAGTATCGAGTAAACAGTACGGGAAACTCAGAAGTTGACTCCTGCATCCTGAAATTGCAGTCGTGGTGTTTGTCAGGCACTTACATGAACATGCTGGAATCGACAACGTCCACAACCACCAAGCGAAAGCGCGGTCGACCACCCGTAGATGCCCGCCACGATAACTGGTATGGTGTTCAAGACCCAAAAGAGCGAAAGCGAATCCAAGATAGACTAGCTCAAAGAGCAAGGCGTGAGTGAAAATTGCACCAGTTGCCAATGAGGCATCTCCCTCGGGGACAGATCTTCCATTGACATCTTTTTGGACAATAGGCAACCGCACTGGTACCGCGCCAACTAGCTCAGGTGTGAGGCTTGCCCAGGGCAAGGATAGTCCACAAGAAGACGAGTCAAACGAAAGTTCACCGGCGGGACTACTCAAAATTGAAAGTCATGACCGCGAGCTGATACAGGTCCTTGACGAATCGCGTCTGATTATAACCGGGCCAAAAGCCCAAGCAAAGGTGGTGAGCTGGGACGGCGTCCCTGCTCTCAACAGCGTGGGCCTGGACCACTTCTTCCTGAATTGGCCTGCATGGTCCATCTATGCGGCTCTGACGAAACACGGACTGATGCTCGGCATGTCCTGTCGCGAATGCATCTTCGACTCGGTCTCCACATCCAATGATGTCCTGCCCGATGCCCTCCAGCCTACGCCTCTCCAGATGGTGGTTCCTCACCGACGGTGGATCGATCGATTCCCCTTTGTAAGACTCAGAGACAACATGATTCTCTTGAGCAGTCTGCTTGATCTGGATGCTTTCTGCGGAGACTTGTTCAACACCGCTAGCTTGACGCTGCGGCCGTCTGCGCCCTCGTGGGACCCTAAGTCTTGGGTTTTAGGCGAGGAGTTTGCTGCTAAATGGGGGTATCTATTTCGGTAGATCTGGTATCTATTGTGCACTAGTCGAATGTACCTATTCTATGTAACTAACTACATCTATTGTGCACTAGTCGAATGTACCTATTCTATGTAACTAACTACATCTTTTCTTCTCATGACTTCAATGCGTGTATGTACGGATCTGCAGCGCTTGGCAGCCAACGTAGGAATCACCAGACAGGGTCTGCGAAGCTGGTTATCAGGTGACGGTCTTGAGCCCAGATTCTGGGAAAGATTTAGCAAGGATCATGAGAACAGGGGCGCCATCACTAGGGAACCACTAAACCTTAAATGTATTTTGTCAGAATATGGCACACCCCCACCGAGCAGCCCTCACCCCGTTGGCCCAGGGTCTCACACCTGGCGGGTTTTATTGCAGGCTGTTTTGGCGAGTGCTTTCAGAAATACTAGACCTTGATTGCGAATGAAGGCCCGTCTAGTGGAGAGTCGAGTCTTTAGACACGACCACAAACCCAACGTCTGTGAGGTCGTCTCTACGCTACACCCAAGCCCGATCTCCGGTTTGGCGCTAGCATTCCCCACGGGGCGCCATTAATCGCCTGGGGAAATGGTAAGGCCAAGTCCCTCTCATGGATACAGAATGTATTGGGCTGCTTTGGTACTCGATCTATCTCGAAGTAAGCAGAACCTCGGTCGTCGGTTATTGTCCGCTTCTATCAAGACGTATATATGATTGAAAACCTGCCATGGGTGCGGTGCTTGTCTTGGGCACATCCATTCGAACAAGAACCGGATACTTGCACTGCAGGCAGTCTTCAGCAGCATGCCAAAACTCACCACTTATAACGTCCTGATCGGTGTCATTGTCGCAATCGGCACATTTGGGTATGGATATGGCTTTGGTGTGTTCATCACCAGTATTGGCCAGCCAGGATTCTATATCGACTTCAATCTTGACCGTGAGTACCGCACAATTTAGGGAGGTTATGTTCTGTCTGTCTCTGACCAGGATATAGCAACAAGCAAGCATACTGCGAAGTGAGATATACCCAATAGTACCACTCCAAAATGAAACTCATCTGATATGTTGAAACAGCATCCTCGGAGCTGTGAATGCCCTTTTCGCTGCTGGAGCCGCCTTCGGTGCCTTGGCTCAGGCACCATTGGCCGATTGGGTCGGGCGCAAGAGAGCACTGGCAGCTTCAGCATTACTCTCTCTGATCGGAGCAGCATGGACAGCCGGATCGCCATATCTGGCTATGCTGCTTACTGTCCGCATTCTCCATGGCTTCGGTCTGGGTATGCTGATCTGTCTGGTACCCTTGTATCTTACCGAGGTCTCTCCGGCACACTGCAGAGGGTTGGTTTCTGGTATGACGGTCATGGGCTTCGGAATGGGTTATGTGATGTAAAGCAATCGTTTTTGTCATGCACACTTTGACTGATAAAATTTAGTGTTGCCTGGGTATCCGTGGGAGCATATTACTCAACCAACCTGTCAATGCAATGGCGTCTTCCTTTAGCCTTAGCAACAGTTGGGCCTCTGGGACTCTTGATCGCCCTCCCGCTGGTTCCCGGTAAGTCTTCATGCTTCAAATTGAGGACAAGTACTGATCAGAGGGCCCAATGGATAGAATCTCCCCGGTATCTTTGTTGGGTCGACAAAAATGACGAAGCTCTCAAGGTTCTCGAGCGTTTACACAATGATTCGACCGATCCGACGAATTCTGCTGCACATGCAGAATTCCTGCAGATCAAGGCGCAAGTCATGATTGACAAGGAACAGAAATCCTCTTATGTCCGTATGTTCACCAAACCATCATGGCGACGACGGTCATTGCTGGTAATCTTCATTATGTAAGCACTTGGCTCTCATAGATGTATCAGCACACTTTCACTGACAGCGACAGGTTTGCATCTCAAGCAACAGGGGTTAGTGAAGGCACAACTGCAATTGACAGCTTACTGATTTGATTGATAACTGATAGGTCAACGGAATTGCAAACTATCTGGTCATTATATTCGGCGATTTAGGACTCACAGGAGTGATGCCGATTCTTGTCTATGGCAAGTCCATTCCATCTGTGCGGACTTGGGTTCATAAAGGCTGACTCATTCCCTTAAAAGCCGTCTACGCCGTGATTGGCACAGCTGCTGCCTTTTATGCGTGTTTTGTGATGGACCAATATGGTCGACGACAACTATTCAGTAAGTCTCCAGCATGACTCAAGTTATCCTTGGGCGCGTTGAGTTGCAGCTGACGATGATTCTTCTCTTCCTCAGTCCTCGGATTCCCTATTCTCGCGGTCAATCTTCTCATTGAAGGTCTGCTCCAGCGTCAATATCTAGGAACAGGAAACAGAGCTGGCAATGGTGCAGCGGTTGCGTTCATATTCCTGGTAGGTAGATAGTCCGCAACCCTGGAAGTTTGGAGATGCGCAGAAACGGCTGACCGTAACATGCGTACAGTTCATCGTGCTTTACCAATTCATTGATGCGCCATCATTTGTGTGGTGTGCAGAGATTTTCCCGACGAATCTTCGTGCTAAAGGAATCGGGTTGAGCATGTTCTCATACTTTGTGGGATTCATTACTTTTTCGACGCCTGGACCACGAGCATTCCGTGACGTGTAAGTATCGGTGCTGGGTTGCATGGACTTCATGCTAACATGAGACCGACCAGTAAATGGGGGATGTACCTGGTCTATATGGGCCTCAGTATCGCATGTGGCATCATTGCCTATTTCTATGTGCCTGAGACCAAGGGTTTACCTATCGAAGAGATGGGAGCATTGTTTGGAGATGAGGTGGCGCTGCACATGACATCAGATGGTCGTGGCATTGTTGAGAAACCAGACGTCGAACAGGTCGAGGTACAAGCAGCAAAGGTGTGAAGCCTGAAGAATGCGTTGCATGGATGCTACTATCCCTGAGGTTGAGAATAGTCATAAGGGAGGAAATGTGAGCTCAGCCTTGCGAGACCTAAGAAGAAGTGGGTGATTGTTAGCAAGGCTTTGCCTGCCACAATAATGGCAACTTAGCCGGCTGGTCAACAGGGCAGTCATGTTCCAAGATCAAGCTTCGTTCTTGTCTTCGAGTAGATGTAATCAACTTGCAACCTACCATTACCTCCACCCCCCCACATCTGTAAACAAAAAGCTGATGCCGACCTTCTCGTCAACTTTCAAAAACTAGAAATCGGTTCTTAAGATGGGGAATCGCCCACCATAAAGTAGTGACTTAGATATGCCGAAAGGCCCCGCCAATGGTGAGAACCCCACAAATTTCTTCACAGCTCCATATCATCTTACAGTGTTGAAGGATGTCACAACTGTTCGCAACGCCGAATAAAATGTGACCTAACACGACCGCGATGCAACAAATGCTTGCGGAAAGGTCTTGAGTGTCCTGGATATGGCATCAGATATCGCTTTGAAAAAGGTCTTGCGTCTCGTGGTAAGTTGAAGGGCCGCCTCCTGCCGATTGATACGCCCATATTGCTCCAAGGACATCGTGAACAGCCCACGGTGCCGACTCTGTTGTGGCCTGATGGTTCAATCACGCAGCATGGCCAGGCACCACCCAGCAACGAACTCGTCAAAAGCCGTGTGATTCCAAGGCCTGTAGACGATGTGCCAGCACTCCAGAGCTTTTGGGACACATCAACCCTAACGAGCACTTTCGACCTTGTGGAAAATGGTGATTGCAACCTTGCCAACATTGAGGATGGATTTGAGACTCTTGATGGAGAGCAGTCTGACTCCAATCACAGTCTGATGCATTGCGAAGCTTGCTTTGCAACACATAAACCTGGATTTTGTTCTCTGGCGCTCCCGAGTTCTCTCCAGGTCATGGCCCGGCAAGACCGAGAGCTATTTGCGCACTTCTCCTCGGCAGTGGCTCCGGTGATGGTCGTGCTGGATGGAAAGTTTAATGGCTATCGAAACCTCATTCTGCCCCTTGCATACGAGGACGAACTTGTCAAGGGTGCGGTATCTGTCGTTTCAATGTATCATCTGGCGCCTGAAAGACCAGAGATGCAGTTTCATGCAGACGTCGGACTCCAATTGATAATCCGACAACTGCTTCAACGTACCTCGCAATCGGAGAAGGCTCTTGATCTTTCTGCGTGGACTACAATAGTTGTCCTTCTTGTGGGTGAAACCATTACAGGGGGCAGTAATCTCCCGTTATTGTTCAAGATCTTACAGCACCTTTCGACTGCCAACTCGAATTCGGGCCAAGAAAGCGTTATGCATTCCTTTCTGCATGAGCAGACGCGTATGATGACTCTCTTTGCACAGCCATTACTAGGCGAGAGTGCAGGCACTACGACTCTCCGGACCCCGTTGGAGGCATATTTTGACTTCATTTCGAATGCAGCTATCTTTCATCCTGGACTCGCAACTCAGATAGGAGTCTTCAAGTCTGCTATCTGTCAGGCATGTAATATCTACCTGCGGCGTGCGACACAGAATCCCGAACAGTCCGAAAGTAGTGCAGCTCTAGACACACTTAAAGAGCTGTGTGAGGGAATTCATCCGAATACACCAGGCCACCATACGCTGGTGTGGGTTTATTTTGTCGCGGCGGCAGAAAGCGTATCACTTGGTCACCGCGACTTCTTCACCATGCGGTTACAAGAGGTCTATTCACGAACTCGATTTCACAATATCCCCACGGCCTTGAGCGCATTACAGAAGCTGTGGAAGGTACAATCCGAGAGGAGATGGACTGAAGTTTTGCCGGAGATTATGCCTGTTTTCATCATCTGAGGCAAAGACCGACTTGGCATGAGAAGATCTAGATGGTCTGGCAAACGTACTCTGGGACTTCGAGTCAAGTATTCGACATGTCCAAAGTCCAGCAGTATACCGCAAGAGACTCTACCTTTTGGTGGTTCAAGAGGTCCTGGTCTTGAGGCGTCTATCAAGATCATTTCAGGATTGAGAGATATGTAGAAGGTAGTGTGGACGATGACCAAGTGCAGAAGTCGTGTTTTCCAGGGCATGAAGAGTGGATTAGGTAACAGCCGTAAAAAACCTGAAATGGACCTACAGATATTTAACGACTAATGCATAGTCGTTCGACGCTAATTTCTGAACAAACAGGGGTATGTTCCGTACTCATGAGTCCAAATAAGCTTTTCCTCTATCCCGAAAAGTCCTAGAAAACGTATGAACAATCTGAAGGTGGAAGAAATACCCCGAATACTGCAAGCGCGGCCTCTCAGATTGCCGATCTGTTTCCATGCTGTTCGGAAGTTCAAGCGACCTCAAAATAAGTCAGAATCTACCATAAAGTGGGGATTATCTAAAGAGCAATCGACTCCGCCGGAAATGCCGGTGGTTGTCGGCTGCCCAAGCCTTTAACTTGGGGAATTGCCATGTTTTAATGGGGATGAAGTGTGCCCAGCATGACACTATCATGAGGATATACACAGGGAGTGATGAGACTGGCTCGCAAGAAAGATGAATTAGAACCGGTATGAAATGTTTATGCATGATGTGGTGGAAACGAGCATAAATTCACCAGGACTTACAAATTTAGGAGGGTCTTAAACGTTCCCTGATTGACTTGAGTGTTGCAGACTATATTTGCTCCCACTCAAAGAGTACTTTCCAACACATCGCTGAAACTGAAGTTCAGATTCTTTGAGTGTTCTTTGCAGACACCAACAAATATCATGCGTGACCTAGCAGTGGAAATTGACCAAATCCTGCAGAGGTATACTTCGTCAAGCAAACGAGATGGTAGCTTACATAGCACTGCGTTCGTGGTCAGAGGCAGGGATGGTAAGTTTGTTTGATTATGGACGCCTCTGAATTGTGTTCGAAACTGAGCACTATGAGCAGGCAGAATTCTTTATTCCGGAGCAGCGGGGAAGCTGAACTATGAGACTGACGAACCCTATACGGAGGACTCGGTGTCGTTTCTCGCATCGATGACAAAGCTCATCACTTCGATCGCTGTCCTTCAGGTCGTTGAGAAGGACCTGGTCGGGTTAGATGATGATCTCGCTACCTTGATACCAGAGTTCAAGAGCCTGGAGCTTTTGATTGGATTTGACGACGCGGGAAAGCCAGCGTATGGCAAGCACACCAACCCTATTACTCTGCGGTAAGTTCAGCTAGTCAGACAATCTTGAGATAAATATGTAGCTGATATCAGGGGTTATGAAGACACCTCCTGACACATTCCAGTGGATTTGGCTATGACATGTTTGACCCAGACCTGATCAGATGGAGAGCATTGCAAAGGGGCAGTGTGCCAGACACTTTCGCGAAACCAACAACCTTTGAAGCATACAAACTTCCCCTGAAATTTCAACCGGGAGATGGCTGGGTATACGGTGTGTCAACGGACTGGGCAGGAAAGGTCGTCGAAGAGTTGACGGGTCTTTCGCTTGAGGATTACTTCCAGCAGAACATCTTTCAACCACTAGGGCTGAAATCCACAACGTTTCGAATTGGTTCACATCCAGAACTTCTCGCACGAAGGGCTACCATTTCACTCAGGACGGTCCCGCGGGGTGCTCTGGCAGCAACGAGTAACCCACAGCCCGACAACCCTCCCTTTGATGGTGGAGGCCAAGGTTTACATTCGACAGCTTCCGATTATGCCAAATTACTAGGAGCTCTTCTTGATGGTGGGAGAGGTATTTTGAAAGAGACAACCATCCGTGATCTCAATCAGTCACAGCTACCAGATCCCACAGCATTGGAGACACATATCTTCGGCGATAACCATCTTACCTTCGCTCCAGAGTATCCCAAGGGCTTGCGGATCAACCATGGGCTGGTGGGTTTACTCAACGTGGAGGATATCTCTGGAAAGCGTCGAGCTGGGAGTTTGACCTGGAGCGGAGTAACCAATCCTCGATGGGTAAGTGATGACATCCCACGCGGGCTTAAATTGTCTTGAATGTCTGCGTCTAACGATGAGTCAGTGGTATGATCCCAAGTCTGGCATAGCAGCAACGCTTTTCGTTCAACTGTTGCCTCCTGGGGACGTGGTTGTGGCGGAGCTCTTTGATGAATTAGAGAGAGCTGTGTACAAGAATCATGTGGACGACTTGAAAGCATGACAACGAGGGTTAGAATACGAATATGTAACGAAAATGCGTAGCTACGGAGTAAGATAAACTCGAAATTGGATCGCTACTATTGTCGAGAAACATGTCGGGAGATACAGTCCAAGAGCAAGTTAATGAGTACGGTGCAACATAAAAGCTCGAAATGGATTAGTACGGTTCATCATAAAACTCAAAATGCAGAGGAAGGCTGAGCTTGGCAGAATCGGAAGGCCGCAATGGCAGGCGCGTCAAGGCGATTTCCAAACGGGAGGAGCATCTCATCTGGACCTGAACGACTTTCTGTATTCAACCTCAATGACCCCATAAATCCGAGAACTCCTTCGACTTTCACCTTGTTCTTCAATCTCAGTTCGACTGCTTGACTCCATTCACCAGTCCACACCTTTTCCTTACCCCTGCATCAAATACGATCTGCACACCCAGACCTCCAACATGCCCGCAACCACCGCAGAGACGCTGTCGCTAGTCAGTTGCCAGGTCTCAGTCGCTCCCCTCGTTCTCCTCTCAGTAGCAGATCACTACGGTCGGACAGCAAAGGGAACCCGGAAACGAGTTGTCGGTGTGCTCCTTGGTCAAAATGATGGCAAGAACGTGAGAGTCTCAAATTGTTTCGCAGGTACGCCACAAAGCCAGAGTTGGCATGAACCTTTCTAACTATTTCCAGTCCCGTTTGAAGAAGATGAGAAAGACCCCTCCGTCTGGTTCCTTGACCATAACTATGTCGAGTCCATGCGCGAGATGTTCAAGAAAGTCAACGCAAGGGAAAAGCTAATAGGCTGGTATCATTCTGGTCCCAAGCTGCGAGCTTCTGATTTGGAGATCAACGAGCTATTCAAGAGATACACCCCCAACCCACTACTTGTCATCATCGACGTCCAGCCCAAAGAAGTTGGCGTACCTACCGATGCATATTTTGCCATTGAAGAGATCAAGGACGATGGAACAACCACCACAAAAACCTTTGTACACACTCCTTCCATCATCGAGGCTGAAGAGGCTGAAGAAATCGGAGTTGAACATCTGCTACGAGATATCCGAGACGTCGCGGTGGGGACCCTCTCCTCTCGCATTACTCAACAGTTGCAATCATTACAAGGCTTACATCTACGACTTCGAGATATTGGGGCATATCTGCAAAAAGTCCTCGATGGCGAACTCCCCATTAATCATGCCATTCTCGGGAATTTACAAGATATCTTCAATCTCCTGCCCAACCTCACGACACCACCTGCATCACGGCCAAATGGCAAGAGTCAAGTGGAAAACAGTGAACTTGCGCGAGCCATGAGCGTCAAGACGAACGATCAGCTCATGACAATTTACCTCAGTTCCCTTGTTCGGGCCATCACTGCCTTCCATGACCTGATTGACAACAAGAATCAAAACCGTCAACAACAAGAAGAGAAGGAGGGAAAGAAGGAAGATGGAGAGAAGACGGAAGGAGACAAGGACAAGGACGAGAAGAAGGCCAACTCGACTGGTACGGCCAATGGAGATAAGAAAGAGGCAGAGGAGAGTAACGGTGCAAAGGGAAAAGGAAAGAAGAAGAGCTAGACTGAGTCCCCAGCATAGAAGTCAGAACGAGGCATGTATCGGGCATTTAGCATGGCGTTTTCGAGGGAATGCAGGATGGTTTTCCCCCAGCTATCTTGCCACCGCATTACACATGGACCAATGTATAGTATCAACTGACAATGAGGTCTTCGCACGATGAGAAAAGAATCAACCTGCTTGTTGTGAGCATGACCTCCTTATGAAGTGTAGTGCCTCAATCTCGATCAACCATATCCAAACTCGCCCCAGCCCGCTCCCCACCCAGCAAGCTGTTCGCGCGAGGCCGTCGTCTCCGTCACACCTGTGCTAAACAAATTCGGAGCGACCTTGGCCAGTGTCGCAGCAAGGATATGCTTGCAAACAGGTGTCCCACCAGGTATTGCAAAGGTTGTCGTCCCTCCCACCCGCCCCCCTGCTTCCTCAGTTTCGTCTTCCCTAGGTGGATTAAAGTCAAGCTGCCCCAGCTGCTCCGTCGTCGGTAGCACAGTACTCCCATCGACCGGCTCTTCATCATTCTCATATTGATCCATCAACCCTTGAAATGCATCAACACTGAAAGCCGGACAGCTGCAATTCCATGAATCCAGGCGAACCTCGTAGAAAATCGCCAACACACTTGGTTTCTTGCGTCGTGGACTCGGCTTCGATGTCAAGGCACTGCTTGACTGGACGTAGTAGACTTCCCATGATGGTCCTTGACTTTGTGATGCCGCCGACCCTGAGGACTTGGGCATCAAACGGGTGACAAGCCCTCGATCCAGCAGATCCAGTGCCGGCAGCAGATGGTGCGGGAACAAGACGTGGAGAGTCAGAAACACTGAACGCGCCTTCTCTGTGTCGTCTACTGGAAGGTGGTGGAGCCGGCCGCTGTTCAGACTTGGGCTGTGCATGCCAGACCTTTGTGGCCCCAGGAGGAGTTCGTCGATCGCGGGTCTCCCACTCATGAGAGGCGAGAATGGTTGTAGAGTTCCTAGGGCCGATAGTAGGTGGTCTAGCACTGACGACTCAGGCTTGGGCACATAATTGTAATTCATTGATGCCGTGGAGAGTGGGCATCCTGGACCGGACGTAGTGGAGGATGTGCCATGATAGAAAGTACGAAGTAAGCAATCAAGGCAAAACAACCCTTAAGCACGATCTTCACTTGATTAAACGGTGGATGTGACAGTATAGAATGGCTTCACTGAACTGAAATGAAGGGAATGGTGGCAAGGGTTAATGAATACTGTTTTGAAAAGTCGCCGTGGACGCAGAGATAATCTTCCACGACGTGATGGAGCGACAACAAAACCTGCCTGCATTTCCGAATAGAAAGTCTACTTAGTCAAATGGTGTCCAGCCGCACGATGCCAAAGGTCAGCCCGTCATACATGTGGTGGTGGCCCGAGGGTTAGTCGTATGCATAGTTATAGGTGGTAGGCGCCCGTGGGATGGCTGTACACCTTAACACCTAGGCAGTCTAACTAGTTAGCAATGAATGCTCACCGTATCCCAGCTGAATTCTGGTAGAGACATACCAAATACCTAGCAACTGGAAATTACGTACCTAGGTACCGAATCAAACTAACCAGTACCTAGTAGCCTTTAACGACATTTAGGCCCTACTAGGGCCCTCGGGCTACTCAGTCTCCTGTCTGAGGGGTAACTAACCAGGCTTTTGACGCCCCCAAGGCCACATCTTATGGGGGCCATTACGTGGTACCCCTTAGGTACTGAAGATCACATGCACCTTAACTGCCGGGTCACGTTCCCACAAGCACCTACCAAGATCCTCTAACCAATACGGCTACCAAAATATTGGACATCAGCTCGATTTCTGATAATCCGCTCAACCACTTCTCATGCTCGCTGGTTCCAGCTGTGAGCCACACTTTCCATGGTCTGGAAAGTAGTTTCGCCTTCTCCAGCAGCTTTCATGTGTGAGACCAACTTAGAGACAAATCGATAAATCATTCCAACAATGTGTGCACGCCCGGCTGATTCAGGGTACTAAATCATACTGGGCGAGAATGAATCAGTTATCACATTCAACAAAATCGAGGGTACTCACAGATAGACCGAATCCTATCCTTTCCTAGGACCATGGTCTATGGTCTAGCCAGCTTTCGTTCTCCCAGGTCCAGTCGAACCGGTCCAACCATATCTGCTCGACGACATCGACACTGACGTAGCCTTGACTGGATGCTGTGTATCGATAGAAGCCAAGCTATAAGGAGTATATGTCAGCGATTTAATCAAGAAAAGTAGCTAGCTGAGTGTGCCCTACCAGTGTCATGTCCTCGGTATATCAGCTCCCAGGGATCTCAACCAAGGCTTTTTCTGCTTCCGCCGACCACCTGCTGGTTGTTGTGGAAGAGGCATTGGCACCATCCAGCTTTTGGCATTCTCACCGTAGTCTGGCACATGCGGTGGCTCTTCGGGGAGTGGGTTCGGAAGGAAGTAAGGTAATGAATCTTAGGCATTCATACTGCTATCATACAGGAACTCGTGGTCCTGGAGGAGTCGTACCGTTGTCTCGCGAATCTGGTATAAAGGCGCACGGTATCCCACTGGTCGCTTTCCGCCATTCAGCCTCGTTATAATGTCGATACATTTTTCGAGAACGTCCTGTTCTTGTTCAACCGTCATAGCATAGGTACCTTCATGGCTATAGCCGTGGAGTCCCAATTCAGCACCACTCCGCACGATTTCCAGCGCTTGCGTTGGACACGTCTCCAAGCTATGATCAGGAACAAATCAAGTGAGTTTGTCAGAGACGCTGTGCTCTTGAACAGGGCCAATAGTCTACCGACTCCTCATTGGCGCTGAATACTCCAGCTGAGTAGTCGGCAACTGTGTTGTTGGGGTCATGGCCTGGACCGAGATAACTCGAGATGGCGTCAAAGTCCACACACAGGCAAATGCGCAGAAGTCGCTTTCTCTTTGGAGACATCAAGGGCACAGGGATACTAATCGGGCCACTCTTGGACTTGGATTGTGCACCGAGTGTTTTGTTCCTCTCGCCAAATGATGCGTCCCTCCATGCCGCCATCGACCGAGATGCATTCTCCAGAAATGCTCCCTGCAGCACGATGGTTGGCCAGGAATGCCATTGCCCCTGCGGCATCCTCAGGTTTCGAGATCTTCTTCAAAGCGACCGTTGCCTGACATTCTGACCACATCTTTTTGGGGTCATCAAGACGGTCACCGATGAGGGGCGTGTTAACCCAGCCAGGGGCCACCGCATTGGTGCGAGCCTTCGAGGTCAACTGGACAATCTCGTTCTTGACTCTTCGGACGATGCGATACTGCAGACCTGCTTTGCTCGCCGCGTATCTGCAACACGTCACAACTCCTGCTGTTGACTCTAATATAGCTGCTGGGTGACAAACTCCGAATGTCCTTGTTTGCCGAACTTTCCAGTTTCTGAACCTGTAACGGCAATAGCAACATTTTCAAGCTGCGCTGCCCCGGTCTTCTTGGGCCTTTGTGACTGAGAGGAGGAAATGCTTGAGAGTCAACAATGTTCCTCTGACCTTATTGGTGTTGACCTATGCTCCGACACTGCGTAATTCCTGGGTCCAGATCATAAAGCATTGTTTTTGTCCTACCTTGTCCCAAAGCGCCCTGTCGACTTCCCAGATCGGTGGATGAGCGCTTTCATCGGTGCCAGCATTAGCCACAAGGATGTTGACTGGCCCGAACTTGCCGGTTGCAGATTTGAAAGAATCAGCCACAGAATGTTCCTGAGTTAAGTCCTCTATTACGACGTTGAATCTGGACTCTTGTTCCGAAGTCGAACATGATTGTGAGACCTCGATGGGCTTCCTGTCGAATCCGGTGACGTGACAGCCCAGAGCTGCCGCAGATTAGCGACTACGCTCCCATGCACAGCATCGGACACCATGCGGTGGAACATTTCACATACCAAGAAATTCTTTGACGGCCGCAACGACCATATCATCACCTGCGCCTGGCACAAAAACGCGCCTCGAGACCCAGAAACGAATATTTTGTTTCCGACATGGCCACATCTGATTTTGAACAAGCTTCTTACAAGTCATCAGGTATCTCTCCTGTAAATGGAGGCGAGCAGTGGCCGGATATCTGTCGGTAGTGACCTCCACCTAATAATCATCCCAGTCTTCCGATGACCCAAGTTCACGTCTCGCACCTTGAAATTTGAATTTTAGAACCCGAGGCAAGCGTGACCTGGTCTTTCCTCGCAACAGGCTGTCTTTTGGAACTACAGGGCCCGAGACTTCTCTGTGGGCTCTTCCTTGTCTAGTGGTGGGGTGAACTTCAGGGCCCAGTTTCCTAGCTTCGTAGCTGACCTCGAATACCGCCTCGACCAAAGAGCGCCACCAGGGCTCATTATTTGTCAAACCATGAAGTATGAAGGGTTCTTCTTTGGCAGTTTAAGAGGTCCATCCGACGGCACCCATAAGGCCAAGAGATGGTGGAAATTTACAGGAGGTTGGCACAACCCAGACTCTCATCGGGCCTGCGTTCCCGCTGGCCCTCGGATGCTTACGCAAACTGCAGACACACGTGCTGACAGCCAATGCGAACGAGACCTTTGGCAATAGTTAGTCAGGGCGATTCTCATGGTTCTTTACCTCCGGCGCCTTATCGAGAAGACGATTGCAGCTCTCGCCAGGGGAACGAGTCGATGTGGCCACCATGCACCTCCGGAGACCGCTAAGCATGTTGAACCCGTGTAGGTCATATAGTTTTCCAAATATTCGCGAAAAGTGTAAGGCACATAACCAAAAATGCGATTGTAGTAACAGGCTGTGGCTTGAATAGTATCTAACTCCGTGATGCAAAGAAACAGACTTATGGTTCATGGAGATCAGGAGTAGCGAGTGCAGAGTTCGCATGGTGCAAAATCATCATTCTAACAGAACACCAGGCATAGAATTTACGGTAAGCTCCTGCTTACGAGATTTGAATCAGTTCTTATGCTCGATCTAGTTCTACCTGTATCTTCATAGTACCTGCCTACTCCTGAGCCACCTGTGATGAGCAAGGCAATCAAAGCCTGGACGTGTTATACAGGTAGTCCACCAAGAGATTACTAATAGACTGTTTAATGGTCGACGATGACAGAGCCTGAGTTGTCGGCACAGTCAAAAACCTTCGAAATGAATCCAGATCTGAACGCATCCCGGATGGCCACCGCATCAGCATACCTAGATTCCGACGGTTAGTATTGGGGGACTCTCAGAGGATGATGACTTTCCAACTTACGTGCCAGCAATCATAACAAACATTCCGAGGAAAGCAATGAGCATGTTTAATGCATACTTTGACTTTTGAGTCATCCTGCCAGTTCGATATGACTTGTAGTCCATATTCCATAGAATGATTGGGTAGATCAGACTGAACGGCGCAGAGCCGAGGGACGCAGCGAGGCCAAGCAAAAAGTTTAGAACTGGAACTGCTTCTGCGACGATGAACCCTAGAGCCCCGAGAAGGAGGTTAACTCCAAGCCAAGTGGTCCAGTGAACTAGTGTATTGGCCTGTAGGTGCTTGGAATCTCGCAATAACCGGACAAAGAGGTATTTCGCTGAAACGTGTTGGTAGAGACCGACGCCAATGATAAGACCTGGCAAGGCAACGCCGTAAGAGATCTTCTTGAAGAGCGTTCCCGCGCTGCCGAAAGCGGGACTTGCAAGCCAGACACCGCAGTACGCATAGATCGTAGTGGAAAACGAAAAATAAATAATGCCAACGATGATACCGGCCCAGATAGTTGCTTTTTTAAATTCCTTAGGGTTCTTCATTTCTGCAATGACAGGAAGATACATAAAAGGGCCACTGGTGCTCACGAAGATGTTGAGGGTCGAGAGCATGCCTATAATGAAACCTGGGTTTGCGATAGCCGCGAAGCCGAGTTCGAAGGGACCTTCCTTCGGCGCTGCCGCTGGCCGGTCTTGCTGGCTGACGGCAACCGTGAAGATGAAGACAGACAGGAAGAAGGTTGCAAAACCAAACCAGGTGAGCAGGCCAAGGCGGGAGAAAGTCCGGATAGATGAACAGAGGGTAATCAATGCCGCGGAAACAAAGTTGAATACCACAGTACAGGCGCCGTGGTTTGACAACGCGTTGAAAGCCGTTCCGGTTGAAACGACGCCTGCAGCGCAGACTAAGATTTGGATAATGATAAGCTGAACGATAACGAATTCGCGGCCGACTTTGCCCCAGACTAAGGCCATCATGTCTGCGAGTGCTGTACAAGTTGTTAGTGGGGATATACTCAGAGGAGGATAAAAGCCGACTCACTGTGACATTCAGGATGTCTGTTGCGGATGCCACCAAGCAGAACGCCGGTATCTATGATGGGGGTTCAGTAAACATGAACATTTCCAGATTAGAGCGAGCGATTGACATACAAGTGTTTAGGGTAGTCCATCCGATGATTGACAGGCAACCCCCAACAGCGCCCAACGCTCCCAGAGCGGAAGGAATGGCCAGAATACTCATGGCAAACTCGATCTTGCTGAAGATAAGAGTGGCCTTAATCCAGCCGACGGTTCGGAACTCGACACCATCGGTGCGCTTCTTGAAAACCTCGTGTGTTTCCATGTCCATCAGATCTCCTTCCGCTTTTGTCTCAAACCTGGTGATGTCTTCATTACTGACATAGGCGGTCTTCTGCTGGCTGGTCGAGTCGATCTCCGACGTCTCAGTCGAAGCTGCGGGCGGGGGGCTGGCACGAATCGACATGATGAGTCGTGACAGAAAGGATGCTTTGAAGTGAACTTGGGATAAATGAGTTGACAATGAAATCTAGCAGTGTTGGTCCAAGTAACAGGAGACACTGTCAGTGACTTGAACAGACCGGGGTTTGAGTGGGCTGGGGAACCCCATTCATATACAACTGGAGCGGTTAATGCACATTATAGGCGTCCGTCGCCCTCATGACACGCGGGTCCAGACCCCAACGTCCCAGAAACTAATGATGATTGTATCTAATAACGGGATCCTCCCCGACCCCGGGATCGTGTCGAGGCAACCTGTCAAGTTTCCGATTGGCAATCAAGAATACGTATCAGGAAGGGAGCGAGACAAAGGCCATCGCTAACTCCAGAGATAAGCTCAAAAGTAGTGAAGGATAAACCACCCCAGTTATGAGAAAAGATTAATAGCATTACACGTTTTTACGGGTCATGATTGCGGTCAGTGTCCTTGCCTACCTTGTACATGTGCATGCATGCATTCGCTTCTCCCGAATGGCCAGGAAGAAAGGACTCCATTAGATATTGACCGACAGTGTCGGCTCATGGAGAATCCTCAGCGGCCAGACAGCCATCAAATCTAGCTAGAGCTTGGAAAGCTGCTAGTCTGCGTTGGAGTCGAGGTGCTGAAATAGTATAGGAAGTGAACCATTGCAAATAACCAGGTGTTCAGGTGGTTCCCGCCCGAGATTCCATTGTTGGTAAACTGGTGACATTACACGTTTTACGGAAAGATAAACGGGAGGGAAGTCTGAATTGGGGGTGGATCAAACCCTTGCCCTGGGCCCCCCTCTTATCTCTTGGACGGGGAAAGTTTGCCAAATATTAGCTTCGTGTTCTCCTCTTATCTCTAAAACTGGGGAAGCGTTTCGCGCTATCTCCGCTCACTCGTTGCTTGCCGACCTATCCATAATGTATTCCGCTCTCGGGCTACGCGGTTACACCGGATGCCTTCGAACATCTCCCCGGACTCAATATCGCTATCATGAGTGACTCGATCCAAAGTTCGTATCTGCCTAAGAGTCACAGTTATGGACTGCTAGAACAGCAACGAACGAAGAATGAATGTAGCCTTGGGTTTCTACGTATCACACGTCCCATTGACTCTGTCATCAATTGCATCGCCCGAGACAAATCCAACTTTCCAGTAACAACCATGGTAAAAACATTACGTTTCGCTGACCAGGAGGTCCCAGTACCAGGGTTTGGTGCCATGGGCATCAGCTTTGCCTTTGGCACGAATCTCAGCTATGACGAAGCCGAGCCAATTCTCCTCAAAGCCTTAGAGATGGGCTGTACATTTTGGGACACTGCTGCAAGTACCGAAGTCGGGCGCTGTACCAATCGCTAAGTGTGCGTCAGGTGTCATACCGAGCTGGTGTCAACGAAAAAATCTTGGGAGACTTCATCAGGAAACACAACGTCCGTGACAAGATCTTCAGTGTGTTTCTGCATCTGCTCTCATCCGTACGCCCCAACTTACTCATCAGCAGTCGCCTCCAAATGCGGCGTTGCCGTTTTCGAGGACGGTGCAGTCACCAATTCTGCCAAGCATATCAAGACCTATATGGACGGAACGATAGAGAGACTAGGGTTCACTCCTGATCTCTACTATCTCCACCGAATTGATCCAGGTATGTTGATTGATCTGCCTGTTCTTACATTTTCCACGCATTCGTCTCACTAGAAGAAAGATACTCCTCTTGAGGAATCCATTCCCGCGTTGGAATCACTCCGAAAGGAAGGCAAGACCAAATACATTGGCCTTTCGGAATGCTCGGCGAAGACACTTCGAAAAGCAAACTCAAGTAGTTCCACTTCTAAGTGATAATTTTAGTCCACTAATCAGACATCACAGTTGCTAGAATCCACGCTGTTCAAGCAGAGTATTCTCCGTTCGAAACTCTCCATGAGTCTGATGGTCTGGTCGACACTGCTCGCGAGCTAGACATCACATTTGTTGCGTACGGGCCTTTGGGACACGGCTGGCTTGTGGACCATTTTCCCTATGAGACCCCAGAGTCTTTTGCCGATGATGACTATCGTCGTACTAGTACGTTCCTCTGTGTACGCCCGGATAGAGTCCATCACTAACTACTCTACAGTCCCAAAGTTCCAGGGCGAAAACTTCTATGCCAACAAGAGAATTAGCGAGGGCTTTAAGAAAATTGCAAAACGTAAGAACTGTACTATGGCTCAAGCTGCATTGGCTTGGGTCGCAGCTCAGGGAATGATCGCACTCCCTGGCACGACTAGACCAGATCGCCTAGAAGAAAATTGGAGCTCGCGAGACATTGAGCTGACAGACGAAGATCTCAAAGAAATGCGCACCCTCGTTGAAACGCTGAGGCCACAAGGTAATCGGTACAGCGAGGAGGCAGCGAAGGCCATTGGGAATTAAGCTCAAATAGCTACGATAAGAAGGCAGGTGGGAAACATTCGCCTTAGTGTGTTTTTGAATTTTAGTTTAGATTAGAGCCTGTGAAGCAAATAGAACAAAAACCTACGATTTCGAAGTGTAAGATTTATCTCCCTCTACATTTTTCCCTCAAGGGCAAAGCATCCGGGAAGGGCATTATTAACACATTGTACCTAGTGGCCACTGGAACTCTGTTGCCCTGATCGCACTCCGCTAGCGATGCGCAACACAACTTTACCTAGTAGGAGTTCAAGGTGCGCCGGTAATGAGCCAACCTATCATACCTTCGATCATCAACGACTATATCTAAATTGAATAACGCCAAAGATCATGTCGGTGGGGCATCGTCGTGGTAGAACAAGGCTTTCACACCGGAACAGGCCAGAATGTCCAGGCCACCGGCAACGACACCCGGGGTCATTCCGCATTTACGGTCTTATCTCATCCGAACTCCACGACCATCAAGGGCCCTAATCCTCTTTGTTATAATTAATCCTATAAAGTTACTGGGTTATTAGACGGCTAGACAGTTCCTGTACATCGACCAGCAACAGAGCATTTCACATTATGTCAGCAAAACATTATCTCGACCCTCAGAACGCAGCTTTTGCCGAAGCTTCCTCCAAGGAACCTTTGCCTCATGTCCTCGGGTATGTCAAGGCACATGAGGCTATGGAAGAGCTGCAGTCGCAAGAACCAGCATCTGATATCGACACAAAAATAATTCAAGTGCCTTTCGAAGACGTATCAACCAAGGTAGTAATATTCAGACCTAAGTCTGCATCAGGGCCGTGTCCTATCGTGTATTATACCCATGGCGGTGGTTGGATATTGGGAAGGTAAGAACAATTCTGTGGATCGGCGTCCAAGTCACACACGAATTGTGCATTGGTTGATCTCAATAATATTAACTGACCGTTTTGTAGTCCTAAGTCATTTGCGCCGCTGATGGAGGACTTGGTCCGTCAAACAGGGGCGGCCGTAGTGTTTCCCGACTATTCACTCGCCCCTGGGAAGCAATATCCATTCCAATTCGAACAAACATATGCCGTTCTGGATCACTTTGTTTGCGAAGGAAACAAGTATAACCTCCTAACCGATCGGGTTGTACTCGCTGGAGACAGCGTTGGGGGTGCGACTGTCCACTTATGCCCATTAAGGCCCTATCTTTTGGCACTGACATTCATGGGACAGGGCACTTCGTCATTGGGCTAATGCAAATGTCCCTGGAACGAAACCTATCGACCAACATCGTACAATTGGTGATATTCAATCCTGTCACAGATACCCATATGAAGATGCCTTCATATGAGATTTACAAAGACGCCCCGTTGCTAACTGCCGGCGATATGGATTGGATGATCAATGCATGCTTGCCCAACAAAAAAGACCGCGAAAATGCGCGAACCTCTCCCCTATCATTTGCGTCGGATGACGTGCTGGCCAAATTTCCGCCAACAATCATCGTTCTCTCAGATGTCGATCCTCTTCTGGACGAGGGCAGAGCTTTTGGCCACCGACTTCAAAAAGCAGGTGTGGACTGTGCTATCATCAAAGCCGAAGGACAAATGCACGCACATTTCGTGGTAATCACCCTAAGAAACAATGCAACTGCTCGAGCTATAGTTGAGCTTAGTGCTTTGAAGATCCGCAGGGCCCTTGCCCCTCTCAAATCATCGTGATGAACATATGTGGGGCTTCGGGGTAGATCGATTAGGCACGCAATCTTGATGGATGGCTATATCTAGATTCAGTTGCTAATGTAATCACTAAACAATTCCACGTAAGGTTCCATCCATGGCCCAGCCAAAGCCTTCAAATGCCGAAGGTTCCAACAGCTCTGAGGTCAAAAACTCGAATGCATCCAGCCCGTCTGCATTGAAGAAGGATGCATTATTTGCCTGACCGGATGAGTCTTCAGATTGCGATTCGCCTGCCATCGAACGCAGATCGCCACTGGTCTCATGAGATAAGATCGGACCTGCAGAGGAACTATTAGCATGCTTGGATAACAGTGTTATAGATAATAGTACGCGGACACCTACCTCGAGAAGTGAACAGCTCAGATAGATTGCTAATGTACTTTGAACAGCTCTCGACTAGAGCGTCATCATAATTGAGCGCCCGAAAAATAGTCTGGGCTTTGCTGAGATTTTTTTGGCAGTGTGCGATGGCAGCTTCGTCAGGGTTGTTCTGTCCATGTTTGGCTAGTAGCCATCGGCCGCAGATTACCAATGACGCGGTAAAGGCTAATCAATAGAGAGTCTGCGTCAGTGGGGTTCATTTCTCACGAGTGTTCAGAAGATGACCAACCGTAATATAAGGTAAAGTACCACACGCCCAGATTGTTCTTGCTTGTAGGGTCGGTGCTCACGATGGAATGAATAATGTCGATGGTGCTTTCTGCCGAATGCACACATTCATACGCCCCTGCCGCTGCTAGCTGAAAGACGTATGGCGAAGTTCCGTGGTGTAGATTGTCCCCGTGTGACGCACGTGATAGTGTCGAACTGAGCAAGGGCCTGTGGATTAGGGTATTCAGGTTGTGGTACCTGAGAGTCAGGATGACGCGTAATCTGTTAGCTTGGGTATTCTCCAGGAGCATAGCGGACTGAGGTGTGCAAAGGCCCAGTTGTGAAGGCAGGCTGGCTGCCCATGACTTGAGAAGCTTTCGGAGTTCGTCAGTTGATTGTAGTGAGGCAAGTTCGTCTGATTCGACGTTGTTAGCCTCCCTGATGGCGCCGTACTGCTTTATCAATGACATTCCCGTCAGCTGATACAGCACATATGACACATTGATGAATTGGCCGGGCAAATCATCAACATTGCTGGGACTATCGTGTGGTGTATGGGACGACCATGATGATAGCTGCCGGTGCAGCACCGCCTCGTCCATGATCGCACATGGTCTGCCAAAAACCACACTCAGGACTTTATCTATCCCGTAGATAACCATCCAGGTGCGACGATAGACCTCTTGCATAAGCGGGGTCAGTCCTCTCCGGTGAGAGTCACTATGTAGACCCAGCGCAATTGCCGAACGCACGAGTAGACCGTGCATGTTCCAGGCTTGAATAGACCTCTGCGTACCTTGGCAATGGATAATCACTAGGACGAGGTAATGGATTATTTCGATGCTTATCACTGTTCGAGTGATTCCGTCACAAAGGCCCTTCGCCCTATCGTAAAACATTTCTGAGTTGTCGACGCGCGCTTTGCCAGATGGCTGTTTGCTCTCGGCTTGGACGAACTTGCTTGCAAATGCAAACATCATGTTTAGAGTGCCTAGCCATGTCCTACGGACCCTTGTGAAGCCATTGGCTTTAAATTCAGCGTATGTGTTTCTCATCGTCTCCTGGTGAATGATAGGGAATACCATGCCGACAGTGTCGAAATAGATATCGATTAGGCGCTCCATCTCCTCTTCCGACGGCAAGGCCGTTAGCTCTGATTCTGGAAGGTTGGAAACAGCTGCCGGAGGGGATGTTTGAAATTGCGACAACCTCTCCATGTTACTTTCTACCAAGATCGAATCTTTGTCGACTGTCATCTGGGTGCTCGAGCTCGACGGAAACTGATGGAAAGCAGTGGTTGCACGTAGCAGGACACGCGTAAAATGAAGATTTGATGATTCTCCAAAGTAAGCAGACGTACGCTCTTCGGTGAAAGTCATGGCCATGCCATTGTTCACCGTTGCGTCTTCGTCCAGCGGTTCCTCGAGAACGTTGGCGCGGTAGGGGCTTTCTTCTGGCGGTAACACCGCTTCCGATCCCACCGAACGGTGGGACTGTCGCGTGGCTACATCAATGGTGCTCTCGACACAGTTAGAAAGATGGCATTTGAACAACCTGTCCAGCCGCTGCACGCCACGCTCGTTGGCGGCCACGCGATTTTCCAAGTCAGCAAGGTACTCCTTGCGCACAAGCACATTTGCTGTGGAGTCAGTAGGCTCATATTGGCATACAAATCCTAGTCCTATGCAAGACGAGCACGAGGGTCGTTGCCCGTCACATCTGAGAGAAGAGGTATGTCAGTATCCTGCGCTGACGCGAGTTTCTGGACGACGCACCTCGACTTGCGCACGCGGCACGCATTACAAGCTAGACTGATGCGACGCCGTTTGTTCGGAGGGGCCTCAAATTGCGGCGTTGGGACTTGTGATTGTGCAGACATCAGATACCTAGGTAGTCTTCCGAAAGCGGGATTGCTTATTGCGTGCGTTCGCGCGTGCAGCTTCCAAGGCCGTGGAGAAGTGGGAAGGATGAGAATCCAGAAGTGAAGGGGAGCAGCGGCTTCTTCGGGGGTCGTCGAAAGAGGGGTATCTATCCCGGAAGCTTTCCACGGTCAAGCCGACGCCAATGTCCTTATCCGATGTGATACGAGGTTATCTCCAGGGTGGATAAGGCCGATGGACGATGTTGCTCGCCATTGGCCTCGGTGGTCCATACTCCTTCCGGAGTATGGACCACTGATCTCAGCCAAGCTCAGCTTTTGAGTCTGGATGTCGGGCCACAAGACAAGGTTGAAGTCTCCCCAGAAGACAAGGTTATTCACGCCACCTCAAATCTTCGCTCTCCAGAGTCTTTCGACCTGGCACCACCCTTGTCGTCTGATCTGGCGGATACCTGCCGAATTTACCGGATACACTTCTCGAATTCGCCGCCTTGCTTCAGCTAGGGTCACTCGATACAGTATCTCTTATGAACGCTTGTGATCTTGAACAAGATTGTCTTCTGCAAAGAAGACCTTCATAGCAATATCGCCTGTGGGCAAATCACAGAGATCACATCAGAGCAAGTCAATAATCCTCGAGCCAACTACACCTTAAACAGCTACCATGATTGCACCCATGACGAACGACTTACACGTGGCCATTGTTGGTGAGTCGTCTCGATGATATGTACTGGGCTGCAGCAAATTGATATCAAACATCAGGTGCCGGAGTGGGTGGTCTCGCTTTGGCAATGGGGCTTCACAAGCGAGGTATATCCTTTACCCTGTATGAAGAAGCAAAACAGTATTCGGCAGTAGGGTGAGTTTCTCAACGCACACATGCTTCTTCAAATGTCTAATTGGCTCGAAGGGCTGGAATTGGCTTCGCGCCCAATGGTCTACGGGCAATGGACCTTATTGAGCCCGGATTTCGTCCCTTGTACGAGAACGTCTCTTGTGGAAACAAAGATCCTAAGGCCCACGGTGTTTTTTTCGAAGGCTTGTTGGTAGAAGAGGGCCTTGGTACGTTCAGGAGCGGCACTTCTTTAGACTGGGTAATAACAGTTGGTGAACAGGTTTGGATCAGCCATGGTCCGGCGATCTCAAGTCGGCATGGGGCCACCCTGACTTCCATCGGAAATCCGTCAGCTGCTCTTTCACCCTCTTGTAGTTGAATACTATAGTACTAATCTCTCTTAGGCTCATAGAAGGACACTTCTCGAGGTCATGACCAGCTTCTTTCCCATTGAGAATGTCAAATTCAATAAACGCCTGACGGGAATTGAGCAACACCCCGACAAGGTGGTGCTCACGTTCGCCGATGGTGAGATCGCTGAAGCAAGCATTCTAGCTGGCGCCGATGGCATTCAATCCACCGTCCGAGCCCACGTGCTATCACCCAAGTATGCCGAACAAGTCGCTCCAGTTTACACGGACTCCTACTGCTATCGAGGTGTGATATCAATTGAGGAGGCTGAGGAGATTTTCGGCAAGGGCGCTGACGTTGCGAAAATGTACTGTGGTGATGAACGGGGTGTCATTACTTATCGTATCACTGGTGGCACGGTAAGCTAATCCTTTTCCGACACTCCACCTACGCAAACAGTGTTTCTAATCGCTCTTTGATAATAGGAGTACAATACGATGATGTCTGTGGTGGACCATGACGGGTGGAAGCTGGAGAATGCTGTGACCGAAAAGGTCTCATTTGAGTCCATGATGGCCGACTACCAACGAAAGGGCATAGATGAGCGCTTCCGGAAGCTCCTCGCCAAGTGCAAACCCATCAAATGGGGTCTGTTTCACCACTTGAATACGGCAACATACTCTCGCGGTCGCGTGGTTCTTATCGGCGACAGTGCCCATGCCTCCCTGCCATACCAGGCTGCTGGAGCTGCTCAAGGCTTGGAAGATGCTTGGGTGTTGACTGCTGTCATTGCGGAAATCGCCAAGTTTCACAGGAGTACTGCAAGCTTGGGACCCGAAATCGATGCCGCTCTTATTGCTTACGATTCGGTACGACGACCGCGCGCAGAGCGTCAACTAAATCGAGCTGCTGAAGTAGGTCGCATGCTCCTCTTCCAGCATGAAGAAACGGGCCCCGACATGACCAAGATCCTTGCGAAGCTACAAAATGGATGGTTTGATTGGATATGGTTTCATGATATCGACACAGATGCGCAGAAAGCCTTGTCCCAACTGAGGGAAAACAAGCTTTGGTCTGAGATCTGAGATGGTGAAATTCGAATTGAAATGATATGTTCTTGCACCCTCATGCCCAGGCAAGCGTTGGCATTCTCCGGGTCACCGTGCCCCAAACTTGGGGAAATTCGAGCGCAGCTTACTTTCCAGATTCTACGTGTTGATTGCATATGAATGTAACCAGGAAGAACCCATCATAGGGGTGCAGTTTTATCTAGCTGTTTGTATGCAGTGGAGCCCAGACTTCCAGCTTTGTGCTAACTCGGTAATCATCGAGACGTCATTTGCGGTATTCCGCGTAAGTGCCCAGATCGAACACAGTTCGCGAGTTCAGTCGAGCTTTAGGTAGGTCGCTACTCGTTGCAAGTATTTCCCTCGTCCTGATCGCCTAACTCTAGATACCGTCCTCCCCGCGGTTACCCCGGCCCATTTCTCGTGGTGGCGACAGTAATTGGTTAGAGTATGAGCGGGGTGCATTCTCGATCTCCCCCGTTGAAAGTCCGGATGTTTCTTATCTCGGGTTCGAAAGCATATCTGATACGGATGAAGCTAATGGGATGATGGTCAAAAGAAATAAATACATGATTTACGAGTACATCCCACATAGTATAGTACCTAAACACTCAGAACCACGCCACTTGCTCATCCTCAATTTCTCACGCTTTTCCATAACCATGGCCTCCCCCCAGAATCCCCCTCCATTGAATATTCCCGACTCTCCAAATACCGTCAAAGTGTCCATCATCAATACAACAAGTCACATGTGGAACTTCCCTATGTGGACATTCGTGGAACCTCTGATTCCTGGTCACCACGAAATGGAAGCAGGGTCTTATGCATTTCTCATTGAACATGCCAAAGCCGGTAACAAGTATGACACTTTACTCTTTGATCTTGGTGTGCGTTATGACTGGGAGACGGACTCCCCACCTGCATTTCTCAATGCTATAAAGGAGGGCGGGCACCACATTAAGGTCGAAAAAGATACATCGACTATTTTACGCGAGAACGGAGTAGACTTGGCTGATATTGGGGGTATCATTTGGTCTCACTGGCATTTCGACCACACGGGGAATACTACAAAATTTCCTGGAACGACGGACGTGATAGTTGGGCCTGGCTTCAAGGCCAACATGCTCCCGGCATTTCCGACAGTAGCTGATGCTCACATTGACGAACGACTGTGGGCAGATCGAAAGCTTCGTGAAATTGACTTCGTTAAGGAAGGCAACGGTCTTAAAATTGGCAAATTCAATGCCCTGGATCTCTACGGGGACGGGAGCTTCTACCTTTTGGATACCCCTGGTCACACGATTGGCCACCTCTCGGCCCTCGCTCGTACCACCGTTGAACCCCCTACCTTCATATTCATGGGCGGTGACATCGCCCACCACGGGGGAGAATTTCGTCCAACCCCGTATTTACCTTTGCCGGACAACATCAATCCTCATCCCACCATGGGGCCGATGTTCAGCTGCCCCGGTGAAATCTTTGTCGCCGTTCACCCCAAGAAGAGCCGCACGGAACCGTTCAACAATCCCACAACCAGTCCTGGATCGTGGCATTACAACCCTCAGGAGGCAACGCGCACTATCGACAATCTGACGGAGTTTGACGCGTATGAGCATATCTTTCCAGTGATTGCTCACGACAATACCCTTCTCGACGTCATCGATTTCTACCCAAAACCAGCGAATGAATGGCAGGCAAAAGGTTGGAAGGAGAGAAGTTTGTGGGGTTTTCTAAGAAATTACGAGCGGTCAATGAGTAGTTTGATTTAGAATTTTCCAGACCTAAATCAAAACCGTCGTCGTGAAGCACGGAGCGGCCAGGCTGACTCAATCAATCAAACAGTCAGAGAGAGTGACGATATTCTACGATTCCGCAGAAATGGCCGAAGCAGTAGGCTTGATACACCCTGGTACCAAATTGCCCCTAACCTTGTGGCCTTTCGAATTCGCGGAGGGGTTGCTGAAATCTGAGATCCAGACATCAACCATCAGCCGAGCCGGGAACGATCCCGGGTTTTCGGATCCCCCAGGGGCGACATCCCGGATCTACCGAAGAACCACCATGAGAATTAATGGCCGATAACTGTTTGTCCCTACATAGCTATGTATGTAGTGCTCGGGTTTCTTCCCCGAGGTCAGATACATTCCGCTAATGCAATTGGGTAGTACAACGTTATCTGCCAAGTTTTCTCCTTTGCTCTGCTTACCCGGTCAGGCGTACTAGCAAATACTAATAAGTATTATCATTCAATAGATCGCCCTTACACCACCCCGGAAGAGCCCATCCCCACTCAGATTGCAGGAGTGATCCAGCCAGTTCCAAGCAATGGCAATCGGTCTTCAGCGCTCTGCCCTTTTTGAGGCCCTCGGAACACACGCTCCCCTTTCTACCGCAATCGTCCATCATGGTTCCGATGTAACATATTCATACGGTTCACTGCTGCGTGATGTTGCGTGCACTAAAGAACAGCTAGAACAAGTCACCGGGAGAAATGAAAGCACCATTGCTGGCGAACGAATTGCTTTCCTCGTGGAAAATGGATATGACTATGTTGGTAAGGATCATGCCCCTTCCTCCGTCCTCAGGTTCGAGCCTTGTTTCGATATCTGGCTGTAGAGACACTGCGTTGATATCCATCTGCAGTTACCCTACTCGCGGTGTTGGCTTCGAATGCTATCGCTTTGCCATTGGCGCCATCATTTCCAGCCTCTGAGATAAGGCATATCATTAATGACAGTGGGGCTTTTCTCTTATTGAGTTCGGCCAAGTACGCACAACAAGCAAACGCAGTTTTACAAGATGGGCTAGAGGCTACCCCTTTATTTCATCATTTGGATGACCTGAAGCAATTTGCAGTCGAGGACCAGGAGGTCAATTTGATTGGCACCACCGCCACTAATAATGGGGGTATCATGCTGTACACATCGGGTACCACAGGGAGACCAAAGGGTGTTTTACTATCTACCAATACCTTGGCCGCTCAAGCACAGAGCTTGTTGACTGCTTGGGAATATACACCGGAAGACCACCTTTTGCACGTCTTACCCCTTCACCATATTCATGGCATTGTGAATGCAATCTTGACGCCATTGCTCGCTGGGAGCAGCATAGAATTCTTGTATCCCTTCGATGCTCACGCGGTCTGGGAACGTTTGGCATTGCCTTTCCAGACTACACAAGAAATTATCCCCGGCAACTCTGGACCCGTTCCTCATAATGAGAGAACACCTATATCCATTCTGACAGCTGTGCCTACGGTCTGGGCGCGCTTGCTACAGACCCATTCAACGCTGGAGCCCGAGACCCTGGCTGCAGCAAAACAGTCAATATCTCGGAAGCACTTGCGATTGAATATCTCCGGATCTGCTGCTTTGCCCAAGCCAACACTCGATGGCTGGACCGAGCTTTCTGGAGGCAACATCCTCCTGGAACGTTATGGTATGACTGAAGTTGGAATGGCGCTTTCTTGCGGTCTGGATGACTCGGATCGCGTGCCCGGATCTGTCGGATGGCCCCTTCCGTTGGTGGAGGTGCGGCTTTGGGAGGTCAACGTTGACACGGGTGTCGGCTCGGTCATTTCGTTGGGTGAGGAGATTGACTCTGGTTCAGGAAAAGAGCGCCACGGCGAGATTCAATTGCGTGGTCCTACCATCTTCCGGGAGTATTGGCGCAATCCCGCAGCGACGAAGAAAGAATTTACAGAAGATGGATGGTTTAGAACGGGAGACATTGCCGTAAGACGAACGGTGCCTGGATGCGGAGCGGGAAAGTCAGGTACATGGGCGTCTGGCGCTGCTTATTTTGTCCAAGGTCGCCAAAGTGCAGATATCATCAAAACTGGCGGGGAGAAGGTCTCTGCTCTGGAGATCGAACGCGAACTACTCAGTCTTCCACAAGTTAACGAATGTGCAGTCGTTGGTCTGCCATCAGAGAGCTGGGGGCAAAAGGTTGCAGCCGTTGTTCTCCTTTCGGACGACTGGAGGAAAACTGAGAAGCCATGGGGCTTGGCCGATATGAGACGCGCTTTGAAGGAACAGTTGGTACCATACAAGATCCCACAGGACCTGGAGATCGTTCCAAGCATCAAACGCAATGCTATGGGCAAGGTAAACAAAAAAGAGCTGGTGACTGCGGTATTTGGGGATGTGGAGAGAATTAGACGGAGGAGTGTACATATCCGGGAAGAGCGGGATCGGTTGAAAAGATCATGAAAATAGCCCATGGTGCCGGCCGAGATTGCTATATCTCTGGAAATTGTATCGAATTCATGCCCGAGTCGGTAAAGACTTGACATATATTTATAAGAGCCGCTCGTGGTGAAGTAGGCTTAGATGCTAGGTAGCACAAGGAGAGGGCTCGGAAGAATGCAAGTAGCTTATCGAGACTTTCTGGATTGGGCGATTCTTGCAAAGGATATCAAATCTTCACATTGTATAACTCTATGTAGATGTAGATAGAAAAGATCTAAATTTGTGGTGGCAGAAGGGAACTGGGGGACTGGTCCATCTTGGACTGCATTCTTCATCTGTATAGCGAACTATGGGTGCCAGAACTCGGAGTTGGGAACCAAAGACCGAATCAGAGAAAGTGACGAAGAAGTCTTCATTCTTCATCACGCTTTCAGCGCGTTCCCAAGCCTTCAAGATCGAGTAGTAAAGAGGAGCGACATGTTCATCACTCGACCATGGAGTAAATTGGTATTTGTCTTGAATACTCTGGACAACATCGCGAGAGTATAGCCCAACATCCGGATCCAGGGTCGCCATGTCATATGCAGTAAGTGCACAGTGGCCGTGATACGATCCCCCTTTGACATAGCGATCACGAACTGCACACATGATGGTAAGAGCCGTCAATGCACCAGTGGACATGTCGGAAATGGGGAGACTTGGAAGCACGCCCTGGCCGGGTGGGAGCCTAAAGTACTGCCCCATGACGTATGAGGAGCCTGCAGCGGCGTCGGCAACTTGTTGCCAGCCTGGGCGTTCGGCGTAGCAACCATCGGGGCCATAGCAGTTCTCATCGACATAGATGATGCCCTTCCCGCGTTTGTTGGCGAGTTCCAAAGCCGCGTGGAGCCCAAATCCACGCCTCTCGAGAGAGTGAAGGCGATAACCTTGCAAGATGACATCGGCTTCCTCGAATAGCTGCATCAGTCTGGAGTGATCAGTGGGGTCGTTCAGATCTAGATCTATGGTCGTCTTTCCGGCCATTAAAGACGAAGGCTGAGCTGGAGTATAGTCTTTGAGCTTGGATGAGTTGACTCGAATGACCTCGGCACCCATGGACGCAAGAAGAGCGCCAGCCGCAGTACCAGCTATGATACGGGCAAGCTCGACCACTTTGATTCCCGCAAGCGGTCTCTTATCTTCCAACCTGGGTAGTGGGGCAGGTGGAAGAACAGGACAGTATTTCTGTTGGGCGTAGTTGACAAGTGGATGCCGAGCGAGGCGTTGGCCCATCTCCGTGTCGCGCCAGCCCTTTGGGGAATAAACAATTGAGCCTGAGAACCCCCCCTCGACCATAAGCTGTTCGATCTCACGTGCACGATATGTACGTACGCGTTCCCCGATGAGAGCATATGCTGCATCGTTTGTCCGCACCTCGACGTCCTTGTCCTTGTTGATGCCAATAACTTTCAAAAGCTTCCAAGGATCAAGGGAACCGTGTAGCTGGAACCAAGTTCCTCTATCTGCCGTTTCATAGATGGCCGTGGCGCGATAGACAAGAGGTGAGTTTGATTGCCGGTCTTTGTCCCACTGAGGTACCGTAGGTAGATTCAAGATACCGGGACCCGTAATACCATCGACGGTCACGAGTCCTGGTGTCGCAGGATACAGGCCTGCATGGTCTGTATTAATATAGGTCGTCGTGCTTGTCTTAATACCACGAAGCTGCAGGATCTCAATACCGACAATACCAATCATAGCATGAAGAACAGCCGTAACGGCTTGTGACTTGATGGGTCCCGGAATGATTGGTAAATCAGCGCCTTCGAAGTGGACGCCGGTGATCAGAGCTTCATTTTTGGTGAATCCAGGTGCCTTTTTTGCAAGGACTCGCAAAATACGGCTGCATTCCTCAGGGACTGGAGTGAAGCTTGTGTCGACGAAAGTACCTGGACCATAGTCGGCTTCCGACCCATTGGATAGTGCCGTGAGCGTCATTCTAAGAGGTCAAGAAGTCTGCCAGTGCAAGGCTTGGTTCCGAATGCTGTTTGCGTGATCTCTTGCTCAACGAGGGCGATGCGCGTCTGATATGATGCCATCTTTCTGGGCAGTGCTGGTCACATTCTGGGGTTAGCGTTACGTGAGTGAATGTCAAAGGGACTAGCTGTAGGAGGAGAAGGGGAGTAGGGGGGATATACCCCCGAATTTTCCCCGACCAATAAGGGGCTCACTTTCACACGGCACTTTGCCTGAGTACTGTTCTGGGCATAGAGAATGAAGCCACGCCTCGTTTTGTATATGGGATGGACAAATGTACATGACCTGTTCGATCTTCCAGAAACTTGGACCTCTATAATTTATCACCACTTCGGCTCAGGATGTCGCAAAAGATCCATACTGTGGCCATCATCGGCTGTGGTGTAATTGGAATGAGCTGGGCGTGTCTTTTTCTTGCCAAAGGGCTAAAAGTTATCATCACAGATCCAGTAGAAGGCACTGAACAAAGATTTAAAGAATATCTAGACGACGCATGGCCCACTCTCGAGCTACAACTTGGTTCCATTGACCAGCAGCAAGCCAAGAACTATGAATTTGTGGACGACATTGCTCCAAGACTAGGCAGCGTTGACTTTATACAGGAGGTAATACCCCATTCCAGCTGGTGTACTCTAGTGTACTTCTAAAGCCTGGCACCGGTACTTACTAAACCGAATCTCTTTAGAACGGACCCGAGAACGTGGAATTCAAGCAAAACCTTTTCAAAATACTTGACCAACATGCTAGGTCGGATATCGTGATCGCCTCTTCATCCTCGGGCCTCCCGTCATCCGTTTTTATTGGAAAATGCGAACATCAACCTGACCGGATCCTGATCGGGCACCCTTTTAATCCACCACATTTGATTCCTTTAGTCGAAGTCGTACCCCATGTAGGCACGAGCTCTGTGGCTGTGTCGACGGCGCTGGCATTCTATCGGTCTCTTGGCAAAATTCCAGTTCTGGTTCGCAAGGAAGTTCCTGGTTTCGTCGCGAACCGTCTCCAGGCTGCTATAAATGCAGAAGCTTACAGTCTGATCAGCCGCGGTGTCATCTCAGCCGAAGACCTGGATAAAGCCGTGACATCAGGTCCGGGCCTGAGATGGGCAGTTACTGGACCGATAGTCACGAATGCACTTGGAGGCGGAGGAGGGGCTGATGGCTTTTCCACAAGACTTGAACGTCTAGGTCCCGCGATCCGCGGGTGGGAAGACGATATGCACAAGCATCGCTTTGACTGGAGCGAGGAAATGTTGTCGGTGCTGAAGGCCGATGTCGCGGAGTACCTAGCAACAGTCGAGTGGACGCAATTAACAAGACAACGAGATTCTGTCCTGTTGCAAGTATTACGGTCAAAGTCTCAAACTCGAGAAGATTAAATAGAGATGGTGGCTCGGGATTCTGTGGATGCCTTCGTTTGCTTACGAATGCACTAAGTTACCTATCATTATTTTGATGCAATCTTTATGCGTAGGTTACCAGTGATGATCATGGAGGGCTTGTTGCCCCTGCCGCTGATTCCCAATGCCCTGCAAAGGTGGTCTATGACGTTCCGTGAAGTACATCACACTCAACTACCTAGCACTTTCACTTCTTCGAAAGCCAAAAGTCGAACCAGTCTACGAAGCTTGTGAAACTCTGCTCCTTTGCCCACCGTTCGTACGGATCCTCCAGAAATCCTCTGACCTAAAAATATTTTAGCATCGTGATTGTATAACTCAATAATCTCTTGGCGGAGAACTTACTGCAAAGCCATGGGTAACCTTAGGGAATATTTGCATGTTGAAATCCTTATTTTCTTCCGTCAGGATCTCAACCGTTCTGCTGCGTGACTCGGGTGAAAAAAGCGTGTCAGTGTTGGGAACTGAGAAAAAGATTGGCGCTGTTTTCCATTTGGTTAGGTTAGTTAAGAGAGAATCATTCAACAATGCTGTGTGATAACTGACCTTCGATCCCGTGAACGTGACTCTCCATCATGAAGGAGGGATGAGCGACAGCGCCGGCCTTGCATATACCAGCCTTGGACAGCTGTGTGCAGACAGATTGCGCTCCCCAGCTGTCGACAATTGATAGTTAGCACTCTCCAGCGTCGTTTGTTAGCTTATTTGGAGGACAGATGGGAGCATTACCAATAGCCCACACAGGCAAATTTCGTTTCCGGGTCTTTGCCATATATCGACTGCACATCTTTGACCCATCGTTGACCAATCTCGTGTGAAGATTCGAGGTGCCTCGCCTTCCAAGCCTGGAAGTCGAAGTTTGGATCGTTTAGGGGAGTCTTTGAATACTTCAATATCCCGTCCTAAGTAAGGATGAGTAAACATGATCTTTGTACTATGTCCTCGGGTTCATACCCCGAGGAAGTAGTCAACTCCCAATACTAAATAGCCGCAAGCCGCAAGCGAGTCCATGACCAGGAAGCTATTGATATAAAGAGCAAAGGCGTCTGGGAAATATAGGATAACATTTCCGTTTGCGTTTTCAGGGCTGGGTTTTGACATATATGTGTCAACTCCATTGATGCTTTCGATGACACCTTTTTGCTCGCCAGAATGAATGGATCCTTTGATGCAACAAAGCTCTGCTGGTTTCGCAAGCACTCGATCCTCGGTGGTAGCCATGTTTTCAGATTTTGATTCACGATCTTGAAGCGGACGTCTCTGACATGTAAACTTGCGTCAAGATTTTAACCAAGACTCCCCACAGAGTGATCGCCAAGGAGTTCTATTTTCCATCCGAAACTTCGGCATGCTCACGGCACAGCTCGGCTGACTCCGGATTTAGACCGATTGAGTCTTCCACATGCCGAATTGTTAGCTAATCCACGTACGTCTGAGTTGTGTCTCTGTAATGCTAAGTCATCAGGGCAAGATCGAAAGATTTGTGCTTAGCAGCCAATACGAGAAGATCTGCAAGATTCCACAAGAAATCCCCATCTGAAGCGGTTTCTTAATGAATATAGATATGCAGGGTTTAAAGGACAAATAGGCTCAGATCCTAGTTGTATCTCAGCTACAAAGATGCCGACCAGTATTTTGGGTTTCAGTATCCGCCGTTCAATGTCTCCCACACCTCCAGACCTCTTTCCCACCTGTCATCTACCCATACATCTGTCTCACCATCGCTCCTCCATCTTCTCATCTCTTTGGGCGTGCTTGGTCCCCAGCTCACCGGCTTCCCTTCCACGTAAGCAGCAAACCCTTTGTTCCAGTCGTGCAACCAGATCTTTTCCTGTTCTGTTAGACCTTTGGACAAGGCCATACCCCAGAACCAAATCGGCACATCGGTTGCATGTGTGACACCCCACTCAACAGGCATGATCTCATCAACGCAATCTAGTCGACGATCGAAGCGATATCGGAGTACATCTTTGCCTGGTTCCATCCCGCCTCTGAAGAGCGCACCCAAAAACCCTCTTTGGAGATGGTGAACTTGGATATCAGCATATATGTAGCCGAAAAGGTCTTGCCAGTCTTTGTAACCAGCTGGTAGAGACTGTGTAGGGCCGCAGTACTGCTCCATGATCTTCTGAGCCACTATCTCGGAATATTCCCCACTAAGCCGGGTATATAGGCCTGAGTACGTGTTCTGGGGCGTGCGCCAACCCCGATACGAAGCGTGCTCTTCTATACACTCGCCCATCAGCAGAGTAATGTTCCGACTTTTCATCCTCCTTGCAAAGTCCCCGTTGTAAATATTGCGCCCAAGGTCGGCCGGATAGAACTGGCCATCGGCCAACGCTCGAAATTCAGATACTTTCATTTCTCTCTGAACCTCTATCAACTTCTGGTAGGGCAGAGCTCGAAGGTTTTCCAGTTTACCGCTAGCATCAAGGTCGAGGGGAATGCCGAGTCGTGAGATATATTCGTCAAATTGCTTTTGGTGTTCCGGCAGAGACTTCGGTTCGACGCCAGGGCTATTTGATAGCATAAAGACCCTTCTGATAAGGGCCTCTGCATTAGATTTGAAGTAGAGTTCGTGAGCCAGCTGCTGAAACGCCGAGAATCCTCCTGCTGAATACCCACCCACTGTGATATTGTGCGGGTCTCCACCAAAATCGGAGATGTTCTGAGCCACCCATTCCAAAGCCATCCGTTGATCCCAAAAGCCCATATTTCCCACTGGACCTCCATCGCCATTCTGGCTCTCTTCGGCAAACTCTTTCCCAGTGAGAAAACCAAGCGCATTCAGTCTATATGCCGGCATAACGACAATGCCCTTGAAGGCAGACTCGTTCATCAAGCGTACTAAAGCTTCAGGTCCCCAGTTAGGACTTCCCCACTGTAAGAAGCCACCATGCAGATAGAACAATACGGGCCACGAGCTTTCTTTCGGGTCATCAACTGGCATCCAGATATTCACCTGCAGACAATCCTCGTCAAAGAGGGCTGGATCAGGCGGTACCCGACTAGGGGGTTGCGGACATATCGCTGCACTACCTGTGAAGCGCCCTGGGTTTGCCTTGGTGCCGTACCTGTAGAGCGGTGGAAGCTTGCGAGGAGCTCGAAACCTATATCGACCAATCGGTGCTAAGGCGTAAGGTATGCCGCCAAAGTAGCGAAGAACTGGTGTGTTATCCGAGAGTATGGTCAATCCCTCAATGCACCCCAGCTGGCTGGTATTGAAGACATAACTTTCCCGCTGATAGCCCATACCGAAGAAGAGAATACGAAAATGCACCTAGCAGAAAGGGAAACTCTGATATCAAGACCTGTAAAGGGCGATTACAGATGACAACTTACTCCGTAGTGCGAGCACGCGGACCCCGTGCTTTAAACGGAGGATTTCGGTCCGTTTAGCCAGCAATCCCGACATCCGGAAAAGCTGCACTAGTCAGCCCACAGTCGGACCTTTGGTCGTTTAGACTCGTGTCTGTCAACTTTTGCAGACTCTCATCCATGCAGAAAATGCAAAACATCACAGGGGAACAGCATCTGATCAGGCATTAACGCGCACATGTCATCTAGGCATTCGACTGCCCAACCTTTAACGCAACGACCAAAAGGGAAATTTCCACTGGGTACTCGGCCTAGGTAGAGGAGAAGAGACGGCGCTATTGCTGATTTACACGTTTGATCTACACAACTTATCCGTGCACGAAGAAAATACGTTTCTGCTTTTATAGATTCTCAATAAGCCGGTGAACCTGCAACGCTGCTCCCAGGACTTTTTCTTCCTCCAAGCGTCGGCCTATGATCTGTAAACCTATATCATGGCCATCCATCAACTCAAGATCGTACAATTGCCAATTCCAGGCATCCATGGGGTTGCGTGGCTCATACTCTGGCAACACAGCTGGATCTAGGCCTCTCGTGACTTTCCCTGCGGGAAACGACAACGCAGAGTAGTCCAGGAGGTTGAAGAGCTTTGTGTACCCAGCCCAACGAATAGATCGATGTGGCACCGCCGTGTGAGGAAAAGTAGGCGCGAGTAGTATATCTATAGGGCGTCCTGATGGGGTCTGGATACTACTCCAGAGTTTGAGGTAAGCTTGCTGAGCAGCCACCTTCTTCTTGTTCAGTTGCCAGTACTCGTAGACAGAGAGCGCCGGTGTGCGATTGACCAAAGCTTCCACATGAGGAATGAATGGCTCCCCACCTTCAGTGACGGCTCTTCGGATATCTTCGCCTCCATCCGCAGTATAATATCGATCCTGCTGCTGTCAGAGATCTTGTGAACGCGTCAAGTGAGCCACTTACCTGGATAGCAATGTATTCAGCATTCAATGACGTATCCCAATCGACGATTTCATGGCCTGCTTTCCTGAGTCTTGAAACCAGCTCCTCGAAAACTCGGGCGATGGGAGGATGTACCCTCACAATGCCGTCATCTAACATCACGCCAATTACAAGTGGTTTCTGCGAAAAGTCCTCCAGAACGTCTTGTGCCCATGGAATCGGGGGAAGTTGCGCATCCATGTTCCAGAGGTTTCTACTGATAACTGCCCTTGTGGTGACGATGATGGATTCTAGGGATCTTGCCATTGGACCCACAGCTGAAGGCACATGTTGCTGGCCATCTGTGGAGACTTCAACGCCTTGGTATGACAATCTGCCACTCTTTTGGACAATGATTAGAATAGAAAATACAGTGGGAAGGGCGCTGGGCTATACTTACACTAGGTTTCAACCCCCAAAGGCCGTTCATGTGACTAGGGATACGAATGGATCCTCCTATATCAGTACCCCAGCCTACCAGCGAACCTTGCAGAGAGAGTAACGCTGCCTCACCACCAGAAGAGCCACCTGGTGTTAATTTGGAGTTCTTAGGGTGAGTTGTCAAACCCCAAATAGGGTTTTCTGTCTCGGCCCACTGCTAATGTCAAAAATCTTCCAGTCGGAGAGATCTTGTTATCCTCACCATAATACTCTGCGGCAGGTTTGTCTTCGCGATGATGATCGCGCCTAGTTCCTTGAGCACATCGACGAGAAGTGCATCAGAGGCTGCCGGCTTAAAAGCTCTGCCGATATAGCCCATCGTCGAATCGTAGCCCTTAACGTTGAATTGATCCTTCAATGACATCGGGACTCCATGGAGTGGGCCCTTGAGACAGCCTTCTCTTTTCCAAAACGCGTCCAGCTCTCTGGCTTGCTCGATAGCATCGTCGAAGCAAATCTCTGTGAGACAATTCGTCTAGATTATGTCCGTCAAATGATGTTTGAGCGCAAAAGAATTGCGACGGCGTACCTCTGCTTGTGCCTTAGAGGCTCTAAACTACGGTTAGGTGTACTTTCAATAAACTCGGGACCCGCCGAACGTACTTATCGATGTAAGCTACGACAACATCTTCTGCTGAGATCTGTCCCTTCTCCAACAATTCTATCAGGGCTCCCACCTTGTCTATATGGGTGATCTGGGACTGGATATTGGACCCAGTTAGACTCTTGGAATGATTGTCAATGCGTGCCTGTCGTTCAGCACGCTTGGCCTGGGCGATTTCTGTCCAGGGCCTTCGCATGATTTACAAGAGTGTTCTGTGGAAGCCCAGGATAATTGCGGGAAGCTTGAAGGGGGTACCTGTGAATTGTCAAACACTCAGCGTGTCTCGTGTTGGAGGGGTAAATACAATAGTGGTCAAGATAGCTTGCTCAACCAACGAGATATTATGGAGCTGGCAGATTCGCCCTGTCATTCGTTATCGCACGTTCACTAAGTCGAGTATCTCATGGTGTGGTAGGTGAATGAGCGTAAGTACGCACGATTACGGCTAAGGAGCCGGCCGCCAGGGAAACACATTGAGTGGTGTTGTGCGTTGATGGGTGCGGTGATTGTAAAATGGCCGGCGCGAGATATGGTGGCATGCAGCCGTGGAATCACTCCACACGTCTCCCCAGGCTTTGTTAGGGCGAGGTCAATCAAGGAGACACGCATAAGCTGCCTTCGATGGGACCACGCTCCTGTGGATCATTCGTAAGGTTTTGCCAGTTTGAGTCATGCTTGGGACATACAAGGCAATCCTGCTTGTAATCGATTTGCCACACCCTTCAGACAAATCATGATAACGTTTCGATAGATTGCTTCACTTGGCCTGCGGGGATGTCGGGGCAAGCCCGGCTGTCCCTTATCGGCCCTCGAAGCGGTCAACAGATAAGCTTCCGGGCTCCGGTTGGTAAGGCGCTGTCGGATGATGGACCCCGCGATATGCGAAACCTTGGCCAGAGTCGCCCGAAACAGCTTCGTATAATCATCAACACTGCTGAGTATCACGTTCTCTATGGTCGGTTCATTACCAAAAGCTGTGGGGACCACTTTGGTCTCGTTTGATTTCGAATCCTACTATACAAACCAACAAATTTGTAGGCGAGTTTCGAGGAAGTCATCAAATTGTCTCGATTTCTTTTCCTGTGTTTCTCAAACCCCAAGCAATGGCCTCAAGGTTGCGACAGCCGGGCATTTTTGGTCAACTATGCTGGGACACCTATACCTTGATCCTTCTCGGGTTTCCAGAGCGCCCAGGGTCCAGTCGTGATCAGGTTCTGGCCACGCTTGATACAGCTGCACTACGTGTACTTTCAGCGTACCCCTCTCTTGCTGGTCAAGTGGTCAATCGAGGCCGGACGTCCACCAGCTCCGGCAAGTATGAGATTGTGCCGTACCCACCTCATGAGAACAAGTCTCCTGTGCGACGGAAGGACTGCACTGAGGTTTGCCCTTCTTACGGAGAAATCGTCAAGACTGATGCTCCTTTCTTCATGCTGGATGGCGACGTCCTATGCCCTATGAAGGGTATGGGATACGCGTATGGTCCAGAAACCGAGTTTCCAGTCTTCATCGTCCAGGCGAATTTTGTCAAGGGTGGACTGCTGCTCTGCTTTGCCTGCATGCATAACGCTCTGGACATGAACGGACAAGGCACCGTCTTGAAGACGTTTGCTGCTGCTGGCCGTGGAGACGAACTCGATCCTACCTTACTAGCCGTCGAAAACCTCGATGCAGATAGCATTGTACCACTTCTTAAGCCTGGAGAACCCTCTGCGTCTCACGATGTTATGCGCCGACCATCGATGCTCACAACCTCCCAAATTCCTGGTGGCCCACCCAGGACGTTACCATGGAATTACTGGCGATTTACGAGCGACAGTTTAGTCCGGCTCAAACAGACGGCATCTTCTGGAAGTGACTGGGTCTCGACCAATGATGCCTTAACAGCATTTCTGATTCAACGCCTCACAGCAGTGCGTGTTGCAGCTGGAAGAGTTGCGGTAGACGAGGAAGTTCACCTACAGCGCGCAGTGGACTCGCGATCCGTCTTGAACCCCCGTGTACCTGATGGCTATCTAGGCCACCTTGTCTCCCTTGCCGACACGAAATGGTCAACAGCTCAGCAGATCTGCGACTCATCTTTAGCCGATCTAGCGTTCAAGGTTAGAATGTCGTTGCGTGAAGTGGATGATCACTTCGTGCGCAGCTTAGCCACGATGATCAAGAACACCGAGGACAAAACGACCATTTTCTATGGTGCGCAGGCCAAGCCAGGTCGGGATTTTATATGTTCTTCGTGGGCCCAGCTGCACTGGTTGTCAAAATGCGATTTCGGCCCAGGATTAGGGACGGTTGATTTCGTAAGGCGGGCTCGTCTGCCTGGTGTGCCTGACCTCACATACATCATGCCCAAAAACAACAAGGGAGATATGCATGTAGCAGCCTGCATGTTTGCCGAAGATTTCGTTGATCTGGTAAACGATAAGCAGTGGAAGGAATTCGCGGAGCTAGTTGGGTAGCCCAACTTTGTCTTAGAGGTTCTACCAGCGATAACTCGGTTTAGGAATGGCAGGATCGAAATGATAACCGCGAAGTGATTAAGATTTTCTCTCTTCAGACTGTATGTGACAATTCCCCAAGCGGGCTCTGGACAGATCTTGCTATGGCCTGTACCTGTTAGCATCTGACTACTCGTGTCACACATCGTAACAGTCTATACTACCACTTGACGTTCTCGCGGCTCTCACACTCGACGACAGATGACAGATTGAATGCTGTGTGCTGATAGAAGGTACAGTTGCCTCGCAAGACTTTTCGTGTACCTATATACTATATGGGTGGAAAGACCGGTTTCACCTCATGGGATACTTGCACATATGATGTGACATGTCCATGAAGGTCTCGTGGATCTCCTTCTTGCCGGGAGAATGGATGAGGCTCTGGGAGGAGCTTCGAATCCGCGGTCAAATTGAAAAGATCCAATCAACCATTCGCATTACACTATCAGAATAGAACACAATGTCCTGTAACGGTCTGGCAGCCTCTCGGCTCGGGTTGCATAATCACTTCAGGCTTGACGGCAAAGTATGCTTCGACAATGACTTGTTCGCTGTGCTAGTATGTTCACAATAGCCTGAATGACAATAAAGATCGCTGCGGCTCTGTTCTGGTTGCATCAAGGGGAGAATAAGGCTGAATTGATTGACGTCAATCTAACTCTGTAAACTCAGCGTATTAACCGTCTCACTGCCGTCTAGAACGGATAGCAGACTGCAGAACTCGCGTAAATACTCCTTTGCTCGTCTTCCGCGTTTCTCACTGGTGTCGTAGGGACAAGACAGAAGCGAAGTAGCAACGTCGCGCGCTTTATATACCTAAGCGTTGAAGGCGGAAGTCAGTACTGTCTAAAGTGAGACTCGGATTCGATGTTAACTGACCACTGAAAGTCCGTTCGACTCCAGTGCCGAACGGCTGAAAGAATGCAAGGCTTGTAGCATTTGTCGACAGATATCTTCCTTCTTATCCCACAATAACGAGTCCACTGAAACTTCCGCAGGTACTGTCAGCACAGGCTCCTGGTTGCAGGGTGATGCCTTTGGCCGACTTAATATGGCTTCAATCTGATCCAGGAGCGCGCTTCGGAGCCATAAGTGTGTGATATGTATGTTGGCACGAATTGCTTCGCGTTGAGTGTTCTCTACGTCGTCATCATCGGCCGCCCTTTTATTCCAAAGACTGTAAGGTGGTTCCACAGTGTCGAGCATATAAGTGAGGTGATGTAACCGATCTTTGAGAGACGCCAGACGCAGCGTGGGATCTTTGAAGTCTGTGCAGCCAGGGCAGTCTGAATCCTGGCGTTCGAGTGCGGCGCGGAAGACGCGCAAATGAGTGTTGAAGCCCGTAGTCAATGATGTGGCTGCCACGGTTTCAGCACAAGGAGATATGCCGTTGGCAGTGATGAACTCATCATCGACAGGAGCGGGTATGAGATCTTCGAGACTAGTTCTACGTAGGATCGAGTGGTCCAGAAAATTCAACCATTCATTGCGTAGATTTTGCATACTATGCACATAGCCGAAGAACATTAGCCAAAAGGCTTTCTTGCGGAGCTGGACTTCGATCGCGTTCAGGCCCACATAGCTTGAGATGTGTTGAACTTCTAAGAATCGCAGTAACTGCATAGCTTCAACGTCCAGGATCCGCCATAGAGTGTTTTTTCCTATCTGGTGGAATGCCAGGCCAAGTGAGAAGTTACTCGCCCATTTTTGGTGGCTGATCGTGTCATAATATCGCGCATCCTTAAAGCTTTGATGGATCTTATAACAATGACCGATCATGTCTGTGCGCGTGAGAAATGCCAAAGGTGGCGTAAAATCAAGGTACGACTGGAATCTGGATTGTAGAAATCCGACCGTGGCAGCGCACAAGGAAACGATCAACATTGCAAACCCTTCATCCTGTTGATCACGGTTATCCTTCAGGTCGTTCTCAAAAGTCGGTCGATGTACCACAGGGAGCAACGGGTAGACGTACTTCAAATAGTCGCTGAGGATGTATAGAATAAGGCTTCGTGGACACAGGACATCGGTTGGATACATGAGACCGCACCACGTAGGAGTGGTTGTCTCAATCACAGGCCCCGCGAGCAGTATGGAGTTCTCACTGGCGTAAGGCGAGAGGCTCAAAATTGAGCGTTGCGAGAACGGGCTTTGACCATTTGGCATATCAACTTCGATTCCCATACCGGCCTCCGACGAACCTGGATGGATCAGGTCAGGTCGGCTGCTCGCCTTCCTTTTCGGGCCACGAGCTTTCATAGGCAGAAGAAAGGTACACGGATAGCCCGACTTCTCGCAATTGTCACAACCCATCGCTGGTCCTGAGGCTGGTGCTGTGTCTTTCCATTCTAAGATTCCGTCCGTCCCGAAACTGCATTTGCGCTTTCTGCGGCGGCAGGCATCGCAGGCTTGCCATGTGGCGGATTTTGTGGTACTTTTGCTAGGCAGCAGCACATTGGACTTGGGACTTAATTCCATTCTAAACGCTCGAGTCCATGGTCGTGGTACTGAGACAAGGGTTTGACAGAAGCAAAGATGGGCGGCACGAAATAATCCTTTTACAAATGTGCTATTTCATTGTTATCAGCCATTCGTACCGAGACAAGAGTGTAGAGTCGTTCAAGATACCCCATCAAATCTTGTTAGACGTTCGGCTCAGCACCGGATATCACGGGGAATTGACCAGATAAACGACAATGTGGATTGCCTGGGTAACGGAGAGACTACCTAGATTTGGGGCTCGTCTTGTCGGGTAGTTCTAGCCGTCCCCGCCTAACAATTGTACCTGAGCATCTGTCTGGGTGCCTAAATACCTTGGCAACCCCGGCATGTCTTCTCCTGCCAAGACCTTCGGAGACATCTCCCTCCCTTGTTAATATGCGGTCTTATACTAGAGCTCAAGGGTTGTGAACAGGCCTTCTTTCCGTCCTAGTATCCGTTGCCAGCAAGATTTCGGAGATCTCTAGTTTTGATTTCGAATAGACCCTGTAAAGCTGTTCTGTGCTAAATACTTCGAATATCGAGTTGCCACGACTGTAGATTGGGATGATACTAGGGCGCAAGGCCTGACCAATACCTCGTACTGACTGTCTTGAACGAGGCTTGTAAGGGAGTCTCTGCGCTGCTGGTGCCTATCAATAGCTCGTATTCTCCAGCCTCACTGCACCATTGGTTATGAGCCTCGTCAAAATAGCTCGTTGAAAGCATCGTGTCCATTTCTAAAATAACTTGCCGAGTCTGCTGAGCCTGGAGGTACACCTTTTTGAATGCTTTTAATTCTTTGATGGGTCTTTCAATCGTGGCTGACCTTGGCGCAATATAAACCTGGACCACTTCGGCTCCGGCGTGAGGGCTTGAGTTCGACACAGATAGCGAGACCAGGATGATATCCCCGACATTAACATGGAGGCTGTGCAGCTTGAAAGTGGAATAAGAAAGACCGTGTCCGAATGGGAAAAGAGGTTTCACGCCGACCTTCTCGTAATATCGGTATCCTACATATATATCTTCGCCGTATAACACACGTCCAGACTCGGAGCGAAAGCTGAGATATGTGGGGTTGTCTTGCAGACGACGTGGTATCGAGAGAGGTAGCTTGCCGCTCTAAACCAATATTAGCTCCGTTCTCTGGGTTTGTGGCCGTAAGGAATTCTTACTGGATTCACGTCACCGAATAGTATATCGGCAATGCCATTCCCGGTCTCATTGCCTCCATACCAAGCATGGAGAATAGCTTTAGCCTCCTCGACCCAGGGCATCCCCACTGTTGTTCCAGACTGAACCACGACCGCGGTATTGGGATTGGCTGACAAGACTTTCGCTACAAGAGCGTTCGTATGAGGAGGTAGATCCAGATTCGTCCGGTCTGCGCCCTCGGTTTCGTACTCTCCGTTCAGGCCAATCACAAGCACAACTTGATCGACCGTCCTGGCCACTTCTGCAGCTTCTTCGATGGCTAGCACAGGATCGATTCGTTTGCATGCACCAAATCTCAAGCCTCCATGCTTACCCCCAACTGGACCAACAGATGGTAGGGAGCTTGTTTTTGCACATCCCCACTCCACGCGGATTCGGTAATCTTGACCAGCTGTCATTTGCTGACTACCAATTTCTTCAATGGTTCCAAAACCGAACATAGCTTCACCTGGCTTCTGATTTTCGACATTGCTGATGAGAAGTACATCGTCGATATACAGTTTTGCGGTGCCTTCGACTCCAAGACCAAAGTCGTAGATCCCACTCTCGTCAGGGGTGAAGATCCCTACCGACTGGGAATACCAAATTGGGGCCAGATTTTCGTGAGCATAATCGAGGAAGAACATGTTTGTATCTGCAAGGATGCGCTCGTCAATAGTTTTCCGGTCGGCCACTGACGCAGGCTCGTTGAAGGCTCTCCAGATGAAGCCTCGATCGCCCTGCACTGTACGCAGAGCATTGCCCATTTGTGGTAGTAGCTTGTGCCCTGTAGCGCCTTGACTATATATTGTGGTTTTACACCGTTTCGAAATGGCTTCGTACGGCGAAATGCTGTAATATGGTAATAAGGCTGCGCTGCCACCTCCACAAAAAGTTGCAATTTTAGCATTGGGGCCAATGATAGCTGTCTTCTTGGAACTTGAAAATGGCAAAACGTGGTCTACGTTCTTCAAGAGCACAATGGATTCTGCCGCTGCTCGTCGGAGAAGCAGCTGGTCCTGCACGCGATTTAGTAATTTCTCAGGGGCATGTTCGGGAACTCCGGAGCCTCTCGAGTAATTGATTAGGTTCAAAACGTTCCGTACGCGGTCATCAAGCTGTGACTCTTTGACCTTCTGTGACCTCACTGCGTGAGATAATGCGGGCCCCCTGAATCGAGTTGGACCAGGCATATCAAGGTCGACACCGGCTACTATCGACTCTGTTGTACTGTAAGTACCAAACCTAACGGCATTAGCGGCGTAATGAGCATCGGCTCCCTAGACACGAAACTTACCAATCACTCATAACTAAACCTTGATACTTCCATTCATCTCGCAGGATCTTCTGTAATAGTGTCGAGTTCTCCGACATATGCGTACCGTTAACTTTATTGTATGCTGTCATGATTGCCTTAGGCTCGCCTATAGATATTGCAAACATAAACGGTAATAGGTATATCTCATAGAGAGCACGTTGAGTGACAAGTACATTGTAGCCTGTTCGTTCATGCTCCATATCGTTGCAGACGAAATGCTTTAGAGTGGCCGCAATGTGCTCTTGTTGTAAACCACGACAGTAGTGTCCAGCCATAATCCCAGAAAGCAGTGGATCTTCTGAGAATGATTCGAAGCCACGACCACCCAGCGGACTTCTCTGTATATTCAGGGTCGGGCCTAGGACAACCACAGCTCCTTTGGCCTTTGCTTCTTGGGCTTGTAAGTGCCCCAGCTCAGCCAAAAGTGCTATATCGAACGTCGCCCCGAGTGCGGTTCCACAGGGTAAGCAGGCTGAGGGGACGCTGTCAAAGATCCGAGTCCCACGTATGCCATTTGGTCCATCAGATAGGCGTATAGAAGGTATACCATGAGACGGAATTGGAGTTGTATGCCAGAAATCTTTTCCTGCTAAAGCATTACGACTAGAAGCAAGCCATTACTGCTGGAATACTCACCTGCAGTCAGTGCTACCTTCTCGTCCAGTGTCAAAATGGAGAGCAATTCGTCGACAGGCATTTCACCGCACATGGCTTCGAGAAAAGGTGACATGAGGATGTTTAGTGGAAATTTCAAGATCCGTAAAAAGAGTGAAGCCGCCTTACTCTGTGCTATCAAGTTTATTGAGAAGGCACCCCAACCTTTTGGGATTCAGAAACGTTTTCTTGGACGCTTTGGATCTTCTGATGATGGCCTTGGCCCAGTCCCAGCGGATAAAAGAGCCTGAGGTCGATAATGCTATTCTCTTCTGGCCATTTCCAAGCTTCCACAGCATCCACTCTGTCAAGCAATTTAAACTTCAATCTGTTATCTATTTCTCCTCTTGTTTCCGCAGTTGCATAATTCTCCGCTACTTCTCCACTCAGTGCGTCCGGTATCCCACGATACGATAAGGACCTACGGTCCGGGGTCCAAAACGGTTCGGGGTACCAATATCTCGTGTGCAACCTCGAGTCGGGCCACAGGCGACCACCTCTATAAAGTCGGAGTCAGTGCACGAGGAAAAGATGACCATCACTTTCATCCTCTTCCATAAGTTCTTGCACAGGATCACTCACGGCACAATATCATAGTTATCGATAACATGGGCGCAAACAGTGTCAGCAAGGTTGCCAAAGCAACAGATACTGTCACTCATCACTTGGCATCAGTACTGCCAGCTGATGGACAGCCGTGGTATAAGAGAGCTCACCTAATAAAGCTCAATTTCATCATCTTGTCTATGATCCTCCTATGTGAGTCCACAGCAAATACGTTCGTGATCGTGGATATACTGACAGATCCAGCGTCGGCCAACGGCTATGATGGTTCATTGATGAACGGTCTTCAAGCACTTCCTAAATGGAACAAATTTATGGATAACCCTACTGGTACTTGGCTTGGATTCATCAATGGAATTTATTGGATCTGCAACGGTATCGCTTTCTTCATTGTCGCTTGGACATGCAACAAATATGGTCGGAAGGCAGGTATCTATGCTGGTTATGTCCTTCTCGTTGTTGGTACGATACTCCAGACTGCATCTCACAATCGCGGGAGCTTCATTGCCGCGCGCGCCATACTTGGTGCTGCCGCGGGATGCTTTGCAAACGGCGCACCACTCATCATCAACGAAATTGCATACCCAACCCATCGAGCGATCGCGGCCTCTTGCTTCCAATGTGGTTTCTATATTGGCAGTCTCATTGCAGCGTGGGTGACGTTTGGAACTCGGAACTATTCCAGCTCCTGGGATTGGAGACTTCCGTCAGTCCTTCAAATCTTGCTTCCTGCTTTGGCCTTCCCTGGTCTGCTCATGGCACCAGAGTCACCCCGGTGGTATGCATCCATGGATCGCATTGATGACGCAAAGGCAGTTCTGGCCAAACATCACGCCGGTGGAGATTTCGACTCACCGCTTGTTAGGTTTGAAACTGAGGAAATAGTCAACACCATCAAAGCCGAACAACAAGCTCACTCGACCACGAGTTACGCGGACTTGCTCAAAACAAAAGGCAACCGATGGCGATTCCTCATATCTGTATCTTTGGGAGTATTATCTCAGTGGTCAGGCAACGGAACCGTCTCATATTATTTGACCCTGGTCCTGAAGACTGTTGGGATCACTAGTGTGACAGACCAGACTCTGATTGCGGCATGCCTACAAATTTGGAACCTACTTTGGGCTGTTGGTGCTGCTTTTTGCGTTGAGAGGATAGGACGTCGCCCACTATTCATCAGCTCTGCGGTGACCATGCTTATCAGCTACATAATCATTACTGGGTTGTCGGGGTCGTTTGCACACACTGGGAATGCTGCTGTGGGTACCACGGTGATCCCATTCCTCTTTGTCTTTTTCGCGGGCTATGATATTGCCCTGTATGTCGTCTTCTCCACCTCTTAGTGTATGCCATCAGCTAACAAGTTACAGAACCCCTCTATTGATCTCATATTGTATTGAAATCTGGCCATATCGACTTCGGAACCGCGGATTTAGCGTGTGCTGGGTTGCAGGTATCCTCGCTGGTATATTTAACATGTTCGTCAACCCAATCGCGTTGGAAAGTATCGGTTGGAAGTACTATTTTGTATTTATCTTCTTCCTAATTGCTTTTGTCCTGTTGGCCATTTTCTGCTACCCTGAGACACGTGGGCGCACTCTGGAACAGATAGTCTTTATATTTGACGGACAGGACGCCGACGTGTTGCCAGCAGAGGAGAAACTTGAGGCTGTGGATGTGAATGTGGAGCTGAAAGGGGAAAAGGTCTGAGTTTGGACATACTGGATCCGGTGGTCATCAGACAACGGCAGGGTCGAGCTGCACAGCCAGATGGAGTTCTGGACATCATTTTGCAGACGTTGCTCTGCCACGGGTTTCAGCAGCAAAGTACATGCTGATCCAGGTATGGCAAGAATAAGACCTTTTACCAGCGGGCTATCTTGCTCGATAGCAAAGTTCAGACTTCAGATAGCTGGAGTGGATACATAATCAAACGTGGCTTACAGTTGAACGTCTCATTCAACATTCGGCAGGCACACTGGTGGACGTAAGCACACCCCGTTCGTTGGGATCAACATCTAGCTGGTGTTCTCTGGATGCGATGGAGAGTACAAATTGGCCCCCAGCTCTCCTGGTGATGATCTCCCCCAGCGTAGATAGCGTTGAGCCGAGAACGTCGTAATCTACAAGCGTCTCAGTGAATCATCATCTTTGTCTGAAATAGTCCGGGGAAATCCAGGTGGGCTTGGATTCAATCAACCTTCTTCGCTACCTAGTTCATGCGCACAGTGCCTTGCTCCATTAGATGAACCAATGAAAGCGCCATCCTGACAAGTACTCAGTATTTACAGCCCTGAACCCGGCGGCTGGGCCATCTTTGTTCGAACGCCGGGCTGGCGGACTTTTAGGCGGCAATTTACCCCCTGCGGCACAGTGGATTGCGAACCCCGAAGCATCCCCATCTCCCCGCAGCACAATGCTCCCTCTTCAATATACTTAGTAGCGTAGTACCTGCACGCATAATATTTTTATGATGCCCGCTAAATCCCATCAACATTGAGGTGCGTTCTTCAAGAACTTGAACGTAATGGCTCCTTTTGTAGACCAGAACGCACAGGCTGTCAAATTCTTGGAGCAGCCTTGGCGAGGTGAGAAAGTCCTTCAGCTCAGGACAGGGAAGATCAAACCCGTGTTTGGAAAGGAAAGATCGGCTATCTTCAAGCATGAACGCTCGGGTGCGGTCACCGTCACACCTTTGGGACTCGAAGGCGACGAGCACGCCTTCGAGTTCCACGGTGGCCCCGAGAAAGCACTCATGCAGTATAGCCTGGCGCACTATGCGCGCTGGAGAGCTGAACTACCGCAGAGTCATGACCTATTTGTCAAGGGCGCCTTTGGCGAGAATATCGTCGCAAGACATGCCAATGAGCGTAATGTTCATATCGGCGACATTATACAAATAGGCAACGTTATCGCCCAAGTTTGCGACCCTCGCCAGCCTTGTTTCAAACTAAACCTGCGCTTCCAGGTAAAAGACATGGCAAAGCGAAGCCAGGACCTTTTTCGCACAGGATGGTTTTATAGGATCCTTAAGCCCGGTACCATCCAGGCTGGAGACGAAATGTTGCTCTTGGAGAGGCTGAATCCAGACTGCCCAGTGTCCAAGGTTCAATACTATTTATACCACGACGTGAAGAACGAACAAGCTATGAGATCACTAGTCGATATGAAAGGTCTAGGGTCCGAGTCGCGAAATATTTTCCTCAACAGGCTAAAGAAGCAGTACGAGGACCAGTCCCTTCGTCTCGATGGAATGGCTATGGATATCTGGTCTGATTACAAACTGTCGTCAAAGAAGAAGGAAACGCCACGTATCGTTTCCTTGATTTTCGAAGCACAGGATCCTAGAGAGAAGCCGGATCCGGTATTGCCAGGGAGCCATGTGCGACTGCGCCTAGGGGGCAAGCTAGTCCGGGCATACTCGGTGGTCTCTGGAGATTCGAATCGCTTTCAATTGGTTGTTGCACTTAGCGAGTCGAGTCGTGGTGGCTCGCACTATATCCATACTCAATTGAATGTAAACGACACTCTAGAGGTTGGAAAGATGACAGCAAGCTTCCCTCTCTCCGGTGTTGCTGAATGTGAGAAGCATATCTTTGTCGCCGGTGGAATTGGTCTCACAGCATTTATTGCATCGGCACAATACTGTCAACGTGGCGGCTACCCATACCATCTACACTATCTTGTACGGAATACGGATGACGTAGCACTGAAAAACTACCTCCAGGAGTTCGGGAATAACATCACAATCTATGATAAGTCTATGGGCAAATTCTTCGACATTACTAATATCTTGGGCCAAGTCAACGACAGAACGCATGTTTACTGTTGTGGATCGGAAAGATTACAGAAAGCTGTCGAAGAGACTGCAGCGTCAATGGGAATAGACCGTTTGCGTCTACACTTTGAGCAATTCGAAATCAGCACCTCGGGAGATCCTTTCACGGCTGCATTGTCAGATTCAGGTAAGCAGATTGAGGTCGGCGGCGATAAAACACTATTAGATGCACTTCGCGATGCGGGACTCGATATCCCATCGTCGTGTGAGGCTGGCAACTGCGGTACATGCCGAGTTGGGCTTAAAAGTGGCAAAGTTGAGCATAGAGGGACTGGGTTATTAGGCGCCGAAAAGTGCTCGGCCATGTTGAGTTGCGTTTCTCGGGGAATTGGTACGATTGTCCTAGACTTGTAATGGAATTCCTGAAGCTACAGGTGATGGTAGTGCTGGATTGTGCATAGCTCATGAACCTCGCCGGTGACCGTGGCTGTGCCACGGCGCTTGAAGCAACCATGAAGTAGCTCCACAGTATTGCTAGTGCCCTGAACCCTGTGTTTTAAGACGGCACACCACCTCAGTCAGTCGTCCAATCAAGCAGCACTAAGCCGCTGGCTGATGCTTAGCTGAACTTAACAGACGAACTCATAGTAGGACAAGTCTTGTAGCGGACAAAGTCACGATACGAGTGCTTCGTATATCATGTGACATGGTTCAATTGCCATTCATCGATTTCTTATCAATTAGTGTGGATTTCGATGCCAATGACCAATCTGCTGAGTCGAGGAATAAAGCCAATCGACAATTTGCCTGTAGGCCTCAAGTCTCGGATTTGGTCGTCGACTAAAAGTCTAGTATTCAGCGCTCATATCTCATATCTATGGACCTACAAGACACGTCGTCGTCCGCAGACCACGTTTCCAGTGTACGTCACCTGTTTGCCGGAGACCATCTTTGTCGAAAGTGTCTGCAGATCGTGCCTCAGAAGGAAAATATATATCCTATTGTCTGACACATGCAGCTTTGTAGAACGTAGCGATCTGCACCCGTATTCACCTCAACACAAACTAACAACAGGAAAGACATCATGGGCGAGGAGGAAAAGGTCCCGCTGCTGGCCCAGGACAGAGTGTCCCACCAGTAACCGATGGTGAAGCTGTTGACTCAATCAAAGCGTCTGGTCATATCCGAGAACTTGACCGCAATTTCAGCTTGTTATCAGCAGCTGGAGTTGGATTGGTGATGGCCCGTCGTGGGTGGCTCGATTTTGGTGGCTATGATTAATGGTGGGCCTCCTAGAGTTATCCATGAATTAATCGTCGTCTCCGTCTTCCACTGGATAGTGGCAGCTTCAATTGCTGAGCTAGCCTCTGCCATTCCTTCCAGTGGGGGTCGTCTACCATTGAGCATCTGTTACTCCAGGCAAGAAATGAGGTCGTGTTGTCGGGTAAGGTATCTCTAATGGTTCCACAGACAACAAATCCTGCAGCTAATTCGTGTCGACAGATTTTTCACCGCTTATTGGAACTGGCTCGCCTGGGTTTTGGGTGTGCTTCGGTGAGTTTCGTCTTCAGTTTGTTGCTTGAACTAACCTTTGTGGCACTTGTCGATGGGGATAACAGCAACCATCCTTGTCCAAATGTATGGGGTAACTCACAGTGATTTCGAGGCCAAGCAGAGGCATGTATTTGTTAGGGACTTATCTGGGAGGGGTAGAACCAATCCATGGAGCAATCTTTCGAGACTCAAGCAAACTGATAAGAGTTATGCAGATTACCACTTGAATTGCTTGTGCATGCGTGTGCCTCTCCACTAGCGCAATGGCCCATTTGACACTGTGGGAATAGAGCACATCCTTGCCCGGCTCTTGATCATCGTCATCATAGTGTGAGTATGACACTCCAATTAACGACATTGCCGAGCTGAACGCCGCAGTGCGGCTATACCTGGTTCAGGCAGGCATGCATCGTCAAAGTTTTATGTGGAAAGGATGGCAAGCAGATCTTGGATAACCTGACGGGTGAGCTCAACACCCAAGAAGTATTCGAAAACGTGTTGAGTCTAACATCCGCAGCTTTGTATTGGTCGCTGGAATGCTTAATGGAGCATATTCCGTTGGAACTCCATATGCTACCACGTATGCGGTAACCTCTTCGCATCGTCTCAGCTTACCAAGTCTGACACGCAAGCTTTAGCCACATCGCAGAAGAAGTCACCAACCCAGGCAGGAATGTCCCCGTTGCTCTCGGAACACAGATAGTTATCGGCTTTTTGACGGCGCTCCTGTCATCGCAATCGTCAGTTCATCTTCTGGCATGCTGCCATACAGCTATATATGATATTGGACCGAGCCTTTGCTGACAACATTCAGCTTATGCCATCAATGACCATGATGCACTTTTCGCATCGCCATTCCCCATTGCAAAGATTTATCAACAGGCAACTGGATCAGCGAGCGGCACAATGGGCTTAGGTTGTCTCCTGTTATTCTATATTGGAACCTGCATGGTCGGCGTCTACATCTCAGCGGGCGATACGTTGTGGGCCTTTGCAAGAGACGGAGCGATGCCATTTCCTCAGTACCTTAGCAAGGTATCCTCACGGCAAGGAATGTCTATGTACGTGACTCTGAGCTGCGGGTGTATCGTAGCTGTTCTAGGATAGTAAGTTGCTCCGTGTCCTCGTCCGAGAGTCCGCTCACCATCTGGCCCAACATCTATGTTGGCAGCACAACAGCATTCAATGCGTTTGTTGGAAGCTTTGTGCTCATGAGCAGCGAATCGTAAGTAGATTCCTATACTCAATGACTGATGTCAGCTCAAAGCCGCACATAGATACACTGCAGCAATCCTGCTACACTTGTTGACTGGCCTCATAAACATCCAATTCGGACCCTTCCAGCTAAAGAGATACGGCTTCACTCTAAACTTCATCGCTTGCGGCTATATGATAGTACGGTTCGTCATTTACTGTTTCCTATTCGCGTTACCAACTAACCCGCAAACAATGAACTATGTCGGCTTAATCTGGGGGGATTTGACAATCCTAGTATCAGTGTGGTGGTTTGTAAGGTCGGGTCACTATGTCGGCCCCAAGACAATGGGAGAGTCCCATAGTGAGGTCGAGCAACTTAGATAGGCAAGCGCGATGATAGCTAGTGCATGAGTGCCTAGAGATGGGGATTTCGTATGCTGTGTGAATGTATTGGGGCGACTGCTCAACTTTTACTGTGTATGAGTTGTTTGATAGATTCATTAGTGACTACTTCGTAGTTGATATGAGGCCACTGATGGCGGACCAATTTACAGCGTCTCACACTTTTGGCTGAACCTCGGTCGGTCGGAACACAGTTGAAAGATCCGGATGCTGATCCGACAGTCTCCCGGATCCAAACCCGCCCCAACCCGGCCTGTCTGCATACATCAACAATTCCTGATAGCAGTCGAAGTTGAAGGTCTCACATTCAGCCATTCCAGCTCTCCCGTACAATCGGCACTATTTGAAGAACATAATGTCGAACGTAAGAAACATGAATCGAAAGCGGCATGGAAGTAGAGAAGCAAACGAGGGAAAGAGTACAAGTGGCAAGGGAAAGGCTCGGATTAAGAGCTTTCTAATAAACTGGATAGAGCGAAGTCGAAGGGAGAAACCATGGGTATACGTGACCACGAACATTAACGGGTGAGACAAAGCAACTAGTAGTAGAGTGCACGGTACACTTAACCTCACACCGATATATTGGAACGATCAGACGACTTGGGACCACATCTCATTTACCTTATATTTATCTCTGCATTTATATTAAAGCCAGACCTATGTGGGAGTTGCGTTTGAGAACGATTAACCCATTTCGAGGCGTTTTATCGCTTACCGAACATTGGGAGACGGGGATCATGGCTAGGTATGTGTTATGCCAATCGCCTCGGAAAGTGTTCCGTGCTTAAGCCCCATACCTGGGCATTTGTATCCGTCATTATCTACCTTATAAATCAAGGTTCGTTGTTGCTTAGATTTTGTGAAATTCACACACTGTATTCATTCCTCCGAAAACGCTCTCCAAAGGCTAATGACGTTGAATAGATGTGCTTTAGAACAGAACAGTGAATATGGCAGTAAAAAGTTGGGTGGATATTCCACAAGGGTCGCATTTTTCCCTGGCCAACATTCCCTTCGGGATCGTTACAACACCAAAATGTGCTGATAGGCATGCAGCAATTGCTATTGGTGATCATGTCTTGGATCTACACGAGTTCGCACAGCATCAGGGCTTCTCTGAACTGGAAGATCTCACTCCGGACCAGATTGCAACTTTTTCAAAGCCTGCGCTTAATGACTTCGCTTCGCTAGGCCAAACCACCCATAACAAGGTCCGCCGATACCTGCAGGACATTTTGACAGGTGAAACTCGATTCCCTGCCTTGCTGAAAACCAACACCGCGGCTCAGCAAGCCTGTCTCTTCCACAAAGACCAAGTCAAGACGCACTTGCCTATGAAAATAGGGGGCTTCACCGATTTCTTTGCAGGCAAATACCACGCCTATAAGTGTGGTCGCATACTCAGGGATCCTACCAAGGCTTTGACGCCCAACTATCTCCATCTCCCAATCGCCTATAACTCGAGGGCCTCGTCTGTGATCGTTTCAGGAACCGGTGTGCGCCGGCCTCTGGGTCAATTCTTGCAGGATCCAACCGACTCAGAGCCCAGCTTCGGTCCGTGTAGTCAACTGGACATCGAGGTTGAACTGGGCGCATTGGTTTGTCAAGGCAACAGCCTCGGAGAGCCAATTGATGTCAATAAGGCGGATGAGCACATTTTTGGTTTTGTTTGCTTAAATGATTGGGGGGCTCGGGATATATACAAATGGGAGTCGGCGCCTTTAGGCTCTTTCAATTCAAAATCGTTCGCAACCACCATCAGTCCTTGGGTTGTGTTAAAAGAGGCTCTAGAGCCATTCCGGGTCAGGGCTATTGAAAACGAGACAAAACTACAATCCTATCTACAAGAGAAGATGACAGAAAATGTCTATGATATCAAGCTGGAAACTGTGGTGAAAGGTAAGTTGGGAGGACAAACTCATTGATGGATTTGATACTAATATAGATCACCTTAGCAGCGAATGGTGACTCCGGAACCTTGTCACGGACAAATGGCCGCTATCTTGTATTTTCTTTCGCACAAATGATCGCTCACCATACAGTTGGTGGTTGCCCGTTGGAAGTTGGCGATCTGATAGCCTCAGGAACACTTGCTGGCCCCGAGCCTCAAAGTTTCGGTTGTTTCCTGGAAGGGACCAATGGAGGCAAGCAGAGTATCAAATTGTCTGCAACTATGAAGCGAACTTACCTGGAGGATGGAGATAGTCTTAATATTCGGGGATGGTGTGGCGATGATGAATCGAGTTTGGTTGGTTTCGGCGATTGTGAGGGGACCATCTTGCCATCTATAAAACCGTCTTGGATGTGAAAATGCACACCGGAATAAAAGGATACTTCTCTAGTAAAGAATTTAAATCACGCGCTTCAATTTCCCCTCAAAAACAGTATCTGTAGTGCCTGGGCATTGTTGTCGAACCAAAGACTGCCTCTCCGATCGTGATCAAGGCAGTCGCTTCTTGTTACCCCCTTACGGTGTCAGTCGCCAACACGATATCGTCGGCTAATAGCTCGAAGACACATCGAAGGTCTTGTTGTGCGAAACAGTTCTACCCCGATGCCATTAAACTAGTCATACTATTTTGTTTTCGATTGTTCTTCTTTTTGGAAATTCTTGAGCACCGGACAGTGAGAACCCCATCCAGAGAGGTTGAGATGTACCCAATATCCGACCATGTAACGCCGCCCTTAGCACATACATAGTCGCGGTATACTTTCCTCCTCTTACTGTCCGGTGTCGATATACTCAATCGATTCAAGATGGTTTCTCATCAGGCTGAGAATAATTCAGTTACGTCCCTGGCTAAAGGCACCTAGTGTTGGACCTGTGGGTGGTCGAGGCATTGGTCAAACCTCGCACATTTCTAGTAAAACCCTCGCGACGCAACCAAAACTCACTCTGTCACGATGAGTTGACTAGGAACTCTCCTTTGGGTGTCAATTGACGTGTATTTACATGAGAATCAGGCCTCATTTCCATCAAGTAGAGAAATCAGAGCAATTCATCCTGATCCAAAAGAGGTTTTCCAACGTCCAATACGTAGTCTGCTTAGCCTTTAAGTGTCCAGCGCCCAGTGAGGACAAATTATGTATGCAGTTCTTCATCTCTCATATATCCATCACGTACCAAATCCATTCTGGTCCACGTTCTACATAGTACAGTGACAAGAACAGGGGCGCGACCGGAGGCTCATCCCAATGGGGAATATTACATCAGACGACATAGCACTTAGTAGCAGACATGTATCTCGAAGAACTCGCTGTGGGGAGGATTTTCTAAACATCCAAAGTTTCCAGCGCATAAACACGATTATCTCATCCCTGTGACCGAACTCTGACTTGTACCCGGAAGCTAGTTGGCGTGATGAACCAATTGTTCTCCGTACTCCAAGGTCGATCAGGGTCCTTCAGCTCGAAATCGAAATCTCTCACGATTTGAGGTATCAGCTTTGACATTTCCAAGAAGGAAATGTGACGACCTATACAAGTTCGAGAACCTAGGCCAAACTTGAAATCGAGTTTGTCAGTATGGAGTAATGGTTCCAACGCTGAAAACACCATACGTACCGGCATATAATATGCTTCCATATTCTTAAGTCTCTCACCTCCCTCCTTTTCAGCCTCGAGCCACCTTTCAGGACGAAAGTCTCCAGCATCTGGACCAAAAACTTCTTCATTATAATGCGCACACCAGGTGTTGATGCCGACGGTGGTGCCTGCGGGGAAGTAATGACCACAAAGTTCGACACCCCCTTCGGGAACCACTCGCCATAGCGGTAAACCTGTCGCAGGACAAACTCTTAAAGCTTCTTTCATGACAGCCTGAAGATACGGCATATCCTGACTCTGCTTAAATGAGACATCAGGTTTTCCACAACGACCTTGTTTCTCGAAATCTGCGATTTCCTGCCGTAACTTGTCCATCGTGTATGGATATTTAAGTAGGTTGTACAAAATGGACGATAGACTGACCGCCGTCGTGTCCGACCCTGCGATAATGTTTCCTAATCCGATCAGAAAAACATGAGCTGGCGTTACCTTTTCCGGATCGGCTTGATTCGCAATCATAAGCTTTTCCAGAAAATCCATGGGTGCACCCTCGTCCTTTGCACCTGTCGTTTTAATGCCCTTGAGTTCTGCAGCTTGGTTCTCTGCTTTCCTCTGCTCGAGCCGTTCCTGAACATATTTTATTAGGTAATTCCTGCCAGAAGCACCTCCAAGACCTAAGCGGCTGAAAATATCGAAGACCAGAGGATGCCACGACGCATATATTCCCACAAGCGTACCGTATCTCAGCATGCTATGTAAGGCCTTCATAAGGCCTGCAACATCCTCGCCTTTATCCATAAAGCCAAAACGAGTTGAGTATGTAATGTTGCCAACAACATCGAACGCATAACATTGCAGCCAACGGGCCATGTCAATCGTCTCGCCACTCGTGGCAAATTCAGTCAATCTCTGACGGAAAATGGCAGCACACTCGTCAACGTATCCTTCATAGGTGACTAAGCTAGACATAGAGTACATAGCTTGAAAGCGTCTTCGAGTGTCGGCATGACGTTTCATATCTCGATCAGGAAATAAGTGTAACCGGTTCACGTCCGGATGACGCCAGGCATCGTACCAATCCGACTTGGTGAATTTAGAGCCAATGCTATATACCTTCTTCACCACCTCGGGTGAATCAATGCTGTAGAGATCTGCTCCGACACGGACGACGGGGCCATAGTGTCGGTGTAAGGCGATGTCCTCACGCTCCCAGCGGCCTAAAGACACCCGGATGAAGTAGTAGACTCGACCAAAGCGAGCGAGGAAAGGACCCGGCACCGAGCGCAATGGCGAGGCGAGAGCCCTGCAGAGAAACACGACAACTTGGGCGATGATGAAAATTCCGGCCCCCCAGCCTATGTAACGAATGGTGTGATTCCAACTTGATCCTTCATGCGAGATGCTGGTAGCCATTGTAAATAGTTGCTGTGTCTTGCCCAAACACTGCGAATTTGCATTCGTCACGGATGCTGTCGGAACCAGGTTCTGAAAAGAGCCTTCCGTTAGAGTGCCATTATGGAAGACTTCACTTAAGAAGGGTGAATCTTAGACTTATAGCACCGATGCTTAGGATCAAACCCAAATCCACCAACCTCGAGATTACCAGTCGCCCTAGTACAATCTATCGATAGGTTGCGTGATTCGAGTCGCCGGAAATGTTCTCCAGCGGGGAGAACTACCGTGACCCGGGATTAATGTTCTTTACTATCGGGTAGTTGATTTATCTCCCCGCTTCCGCGAGCTATCACCCATCACGTGTATCGCGCTGAAATTCCGAGAGCCACAACATGATGAGTGAAATGTCAATTCCAATTGGTGAAGAGGCGACGAACCGAGGTAGCAAAATAAATGGTCGAAAAGATTGTTAACAGAGTTTCTCTTTGGTGGAGAAGAATTCCGGAGTTTACTCAAGATTCATTCAAAGGGCGAGACCTGGAACCCAAGGACCGATCGGAAGGCCCATGGCTTTGGGAACTTTTGCTCGTCTGGAGGCGCATCTTCTCTAACACTCTCGAATCAATCTCATTACTGTCGCGACTAATTAAGACTCGTGCAAGACAATGATAGTGTGGCAGTCGTCACCTTCGACTTCACACGCAATCATGAGCTTTGAACGCCCCGGAACGAAAGTTGGATTGGCTGGAGACCATCGACGGAGCCAGAGCCAAGGATGATGTACGGAAAGTCATCTAGATGCCGAATGAGATCGATAGATGAGCGAACACGTGATTGAGAGGACTCCGAATCTCGGTAAGGCAGCCTTACTCAGTTCTTCGACTTCACAGGATTGTAGGCAATTATTCATGATCTCCTGGCGAAGCAGAGATTTTGCTGGAGGGCCAACGGTTTGGGGAGAATCCCTCCGACATAACGTGTTGGAGGTGAGACACTTCCTGTGCCAACTTGATGAGTCCTTGACTCTCAAGCACCTAGGATGTGTGGTTTCCAGGGTTTAGATACTTAGGGTGCAGGTCTAGTAATTAGTCATGCTTCTAGGCATCACATACCACAAGTGCCAGATCTTATGCGCACCAAGATTGTCTCTCAGTACCACGAATAAGCGAGCTGTATCATGATAGATTTGAGTATTCAGGTGATTTCTAGGGCACTCTTCCTAATTGGGCCCTTTATGTCGGCACATGCTCGTTCCACCTCTTGGTCGATAGACGAATATAGCTTCCCCAGTGTAAGCGTCGAGCAGGTGACGCGAAGAAGCTAACCAACCCTCCCATCGCTTGTCGATTTGTCCCTTTACTGCGATACCTTGGATTTTCAAAATGACGCCCAGCGACCAATAAGTGCAATGACATTCTCAATGGCCATACTATGGGCATATTGGACAATTTAGTAGCAATCCCCGGAGTGTTTTCACAACCCAGAAACATTGGGTCATATTTCAGCTCCAAAACCCCATTGTGGATTTCGTGGAGCCTTCTCAGTGTGTTGTTGTACTTTCTCAAGGATATTGTGAACCAAAGCAACGTCCATAGCCGTCCACGCAAGTTCTGACCCTTGCCATGGCACAGCAGTGATATCTTGAGCGTTCGTAGCGTTAAATCACAGGGTCCAACCATAATTTTACGTTGACCATGAAAGTTGTCTCGACCATTGAGCATGCAGCGTGACTATACACTTTCATCGTCCAATAGGCGATCTGCTCTAAGTGCTCTTAGCTCACCGACCCAGTTCTTTTGGCCAGTGAAAGGCGAACAGTTATCAGAAAACTGGTTGAGTAGGCGATGGCTGTCCATTAGTTTTCCGACTTCGGACCAGAAGCGACAGCCCTTTTTGTTTTTGTACTCGGTACTGTAGAGGCGAAACACGAGTCTGCAACATATTGCGGGATACAAGTCTTTCCGGGTTTCGGCCACGACCTGCCAACGATTCTTCCCGAGCCGATAAGGTAGGGCCCTCTTTTAGATTCCGAGACATCTCAACAAATGCCAAGGGAACACACCTGAGCATATTCTTTTCGATATATTGATGTTGGCGCGACTTAGGTAGACAGTAAATACAAACTTGGTGATCCAGGCCGTTCGATCTTTCTATATTTTTAACAAGGACAAAACAAGTACCAACCACCATTATGCGTGTCTTCATGGCAATACCTCTGGTTAGCCTTGCATACGTACAGCTCAGCATGTCACAGTCTCTCACCCTTGATGTTAGAGAAGCTACCATCTCGTCGCTACATGCATCTTTATTCTCTGGTGCTACAACATGCCGTGATATCGTAAGCTCCTTCATCGCTCGTATAGAGCGATTTAACCCGGATATCAACGCCATTATTGCGCTCAATCCAGATGCCCTCGCTATTGCCGACTCTCTTGACATGCGTTTCTCCAGAGGCAACGTTACAGGTGCATTATTCTGTATCCCTATCCTCCTTAAGGACAACTTTGATGCGACACCGATGCCGTCAACAGGAGGCTGTCTCGCTCTTCGATCATCTAAGCCCACCCAAGACGCCCCTACTGTGGCAGCTCTCCGCTACGCAGGAGCCGTGATTCTCGGTAAAGCGAATCTCCACGAACTAGCTCTCGAAGGCCTTTCCGTGTCCAGTCTCGGCGGGCAGACTTCAAATCCATACGATTTCCAGCGCACAGCGGGCGGCAGTTCTGGAGGCACAGGAGCCGCTATCGCTGCGTCATTCGCCGTCTTCGGCACCGGTACAGACACAGTCAATTCTCTCCGGTCGCCGGCGAGCGCGAACTCTCTCTTCTCTTTCAGGCCCACTCGAGGTCTTATCTCGCGCGCCGGCGTCATCCCCGTCTCCTATACGCAAGATACCGTCGGTGCGATAGGTCGGTGTCTCGAGGACATCGCTACCGCGCTTACAGTGATGTCGAGCGTTGGGTACGATCCCCGGGATAATGTCACTTCTGCACTACCACCCTCTACTATCGGGACAGACTATACTACCTATCTTACCTCGCTCAACCTCACAGGTACGCGCATCGGCGTTCTCGAAGGTTTTTTCAACCGTACTGTAACTAATGAAACTAGCCCTGTCAATGAGGCCATGTCTTCGGTCCTCACGCTTCTTCGATCACAGGGTGCAACTATCATCAATGTCACTGATACCATCTATAACGCCACAGCTATCTTGGGGACTATGGACACACAAACGCACGAGTATCGTGAAGAGCTAACTTCGTACCTTAGTTCTCCATATTTATCAGGCCATCAACCTCGCAGCATGTCGGACTTGTACGCCCTTGCGAACAGCACGAGCCCTGAATACCTTGTGATCCCAGCCCAGCATGCCTACATTAACAGCGCGCTGCGTTCGTCAACAGGGGATATAGCCTACCTGGTTAAGCAATCGCTTATCGCGAATCTGACGCGTACCTTGCGCTCGACATTTCTGTCCAACCGCCTTGGAGCAATAATTTATCCTGAGCAAAAGAACCTCGTTGTGCCCATCGGCTCCGCGTCGCAGTCTGGCCGGAATGGAATCCTGGCCGCAGTCACAGGAAGCCCCGTCGTCACCGTACCCATTGGGTTTTCGCCCGCCACCGCGTCTGCGCCCATTGGGATCCCCATTGGCATGGAGATTCTAGGTTTGCCATTCACAGAAGGCGGCCTGTTGCAATTGGCGAAAGCCATCGACGACCGCCTCCACGCTCGCAGGGCGCCCGTCACCAACGGCCTGGAAGAAATAGTTGAAATGTCGACTACGTCTTATACATATGTACCGACGATCAAGCCGGACACAGGAAACATCCCTCACGAATACCCGCTGGGCGTCTATTGAACAATCACTATCTACTATCATGGTAAACAACGATCTTATTACATGTAGCCCTTCGCTGCATAGAGATTGACATAGTACATATTTGAAACCAAACTCTTTTCCTGGAGAGACTTTGCTGCTTGCGCTCACTTAATTCTTCAGTGCTCACCGATACAGCTCGTCGAAGAGTAGGATATTCTTTGGGAATACTGCGGAATAGCACGGAGTGAGCTCTCGCTTATAGCACCACAAAAGCAGTCAACATTGATGGCTACCTCGGAGGTCGGAGGAGGCTCCTCGCCCTAAGTATAGTAGCCCTGGAGGTGGTGCCAAAAGGTGTATCCCTGACACAGCATTAGCTGCGCCTAACCCTTCCCCCTGGAAGCTTCCTCTAATGGGTTACCTCGCTTACCTGACCCAGAGGACGGCTCTCTACGCTCAGTGCAACCTCTTGCAAATTCCTGCTTGCGGCCCTTAAACTTCTTGAATAACTCAGCCGTAAGATCAACTACACTCCGCAGATCAGTTCCTGGCTGTGCCTATGAAGACCGTAGCACCAGAGTGTACCCAGTTCAATCCAGTATTTGTATCTGCATTGGGTCTATTGTCATTATGCACACACTTGTTCGTGACCAAGACGGACACTCAGGCAAGCAGAGTAGAGTGTTATCACATAGTCAACTTGAACTACCAGCTTCTTCAGCCTTGCCATCGAATCTTGCCCGCTTTCATCACACTGACCACACCCAGAGGAACCTGTGCAGCATCAACGATCTGCAGACTTCCGTACTTCTCCATGATTTGCGAGCCGTAGACCGCCAGAACCCACTTCCAGTAGGGTTTCATGCGATGGAAAGGCTTGGTGATGCCGGATTTTGACGCTCGTGAGCCACGACTTGCAGGTGGCAGTTTGTCGAGAAATGCCGCAATCTCGTTCGTCTCAAACGCTGCAAATTCTTGGGGAATCTCCAACAATCTGTCATATGCTGTACCCAAGAATGTAGATCGTTCTTCCCGATACCGCAAATATTCTTCACTTGACATAAATTCATCACCGAAGCTTCGGTGATTTTTTTTGCTATGAGACCTTCGATCAAATCGATCCTTTGCAACAAGATACTCCGCCTCGTCGAAATCCAAATAGTTCTGGAGGATCTTCTGCGGGGTGCCACGGAGATTGTCACGCATGCAGTAAAGTGGGACCAAGGGGTTTCGCAGATCCATGCCACCCATCTGGACTGGCCAGTACCATACTCCGTCAGGAATGTCTTCCATATCGAATTTCTCCTTGACGAGCTTGTTGAGATGTGCAGTTACCGTGTTTTCAGGGAAGATTGCCTTCTCAATCCTAACAAAAGTATCGATCATATTGTCGATATGTTCTCGACCGAATGCGTAGGAAGGCTTACCGAAATTGTTACTGAAGAATCGCGCCAGATATGCGTTGTAGGCTTGAATGTAGGATAATATTGATGTGCAGTGCGACAGTTGCCGTTGGAGTTCTTGGATATGGTCGTCGACCATGGATTGATCGATAACAAATCGTCGGGATTGCGCGTCAAGTCTCAGGAAACCCCAACGAACTTCGCCCTTTGGTAAGCCGTGACGAGACTTGGTCGAAAGGTACTCATCCTCATCAGTGTCTGATTCAGTGCCGGACCTATGCTCTTGTCGAAAAGAAGTGATTTGATCAAATATCACAGTACCTGTCTTTTCTTTGTTGAACTGGATGCCCATCACCTCTGCAAACTTGGTCATGGCTTCCCAACCACGAATGCAGAGATCTTCACTTCCCCAGAACCAAAAGTCGTCGTGCAATCGATAGAGATAATTCTGAGTAGCATGATTGACAGCGTAATCCATGACGAACAGAACAGCCTCGCCAAACACGTCACTCAAGGCATGTGACATGGGCACACCTTTCTTACGGACTTGGAATTGCCCATCAGGACCATCTTGAGCGAATCGCATGGGAGCCTGGAGGAATTTGCGGAAGAAATCAAGCCATTCACTGGTGACCCCAAAGAATTCCAGAACAGCAAAGATTGTTTCGTGGGGTAGTGATGGCCCAAACCATTGAAAATCTGATCGAATGACCGTGTGAGATTTTCCAGGGCGCAGATCTTGTGCCAGGATTGCTTCAGTGATGAGAAGGTGTAGAAGAGCCTGTTTCGTCTCCACCGGACTTTTTCGATCCGACCTTGACACATCGCCGTCTGCATCCCCATATCCACGAACACCTTCGGCTTCGGTGATGGGTAATTGTGTAAGAAAGTACTCTTGCTTGTACTGGATCTTTCGTTTTCCTTCCACGGTGGCGGACTCTTGAGTTCCTTGATCTGCACCAAGAAAGTACTCGCGACGTTCTCGATCGATCTTGGGTATGTTTGTTGCCGCCGTTTTCCAAGCGAGGGACTCGAAGAATCTGCTTAAGCAAGCCTTGAAGTGCACGGCAAATTTCATACCAATGGCATGAAGGAGAATTGCATCCAAAACCTCTTCTTCCATGAAGATGCGGTACTTGCCATTGAGTTGTTTTCGTTGGTGGACAGTTATGGCCCCATCGACTGTACTCCAATCCCAAGTATCGAGAGAAGCATATCTCATATTGAGAACATCAGCCACTTCTTGGAGAACTTCCTTGTTGTTTTGGAATGATTTGAGGATGACGTTCTTCTCGTCTGACAGAATATCAGTCTGCAAGACACCTTCAATTGTCAACTTCAGGTTCTCGGCGTCGAAGAACTCCTTGTCGTACCACAGGTTTTGGCTGAAGAGTTTTGTGGAGGTCTCGATCTCTTTGTGTGCGATTTTCACAACCTTTTCCGAGGTGAACAGGTGTGCCAGATACTCCTTGATTCGACTTTGGTCGACTTTGGACTTTTCGAAGACGATTGACTCCCACTGTGCACGCTGCTCATGCATTTCCTTTCGGCCAATATTTTCGAACGAGGAATCATCCACACTGGCAGCTTGAGACCCCTTGGAAGGGTCGGCAACAGCACTCGATAGCCACTCGGTAACCAATTCGGAGAAGAACTGAGCATGTGCATGCTGAACGCTTTTCAATTCAAGCTCTCGCAGCAAGTCGTCCTGAATCTCCTGGACAAGACCTGGAGCAAAGGCAGGATCTTTCTGAGCTTGCTGCAGAAATAGTTGCTGGTTGTAGCGTGTACGTGAGGGGTTGCTGGCATCGTAGTCGAAATCCGAACCGTCACTGTCGGACGGCTCGTCATCCACAGCTTTGATTCTAGCTTGGCGGTAGACTCCTCTCAGGAGAAGTCGAGTTCGTTCTAGCTTGTCCGTGACACGGCCGGCATCGCGTAAGATGTCACTTTTGACGGTCTCATAGCGATCGCGCTGTTTCTTCAACTCACTGATTTTGGTCGAAGTGACTGAGCGAAGTGTTTCAGGCAGGGCTGCAGAGGTCATGTTGTTGAAGGTGGATGGAGCGTGCAGGACTAATGAATTGAGATGTTAAGAGATGAAAAGCAAGTAGACACATTCGTGGACTGGGAGGTCGAAGTTTATATAGAACACGACGGAGACGCAGTGCACTAGACCAATACAAGGCTAGCTGAAGTGTTGAAGCTGAAGACTTATGGGTCGAACGCAGAACGCAGAACGGGAACGGGTGTGGGAGAGGTTGTGGTCACATCAGGGAGAACTTTGCAAGTTCCAAGGTCAATGACTCACCGGGACTCATGTGGCCGTGAATAGAAATGAGACATCTCTATGAGAATAGGAACAGTGGCCACTGGTATCGGTAAGATTGTAGAGTGGGATGAGGATGTGGCCTTCAACTTGTGAAGTTGAGGTTTCACAACCGTGACTACCACTGACTCAACTTGAAGGCCACGTGCTTTGTACGGTGGATCATACGGTGCGTCATAATCCCACAGAGTGCAGCCCTCTTCTTCGAGTTTCCTGCGCTCAACTCACTCCCACCAACTGGACTGTATCAATTCATCATCCCTTCCTTGCATTCCAGTCCGAATCTAGCCCAAGTATGCGACTGGAAAAGGCCACTCCAAGATGTGTCTAAGTCCTTCGGCCTCGTCTACCTGGCATCATCCTTCCTCCATATCATGGACGGCGCAGATACCACCCCTTCCAACTCCAAAGTGATTCTCCAATGCACCGATCCAAACAACTTGTTCGACTCCCTAGAACCAAGACTCTCAGCCAGGGGCCCTCTCAAAAACCTTCACTGGAAATCTCCAAATCGTCCTCTGCGCTCCATTCCAACCCTCAACATCTCCTTAAACCGCGAGCAACTCACCAACGGTTCGGGTTCCAGTGTTCGCAGGCACCAGATCCCAGGCTTGCGCGAAACTCCCTACGTGAAGCTCTACCTACTGCGCTGCGACGATAAGGAGACTTACAAGGAAAGGGCCAGGAAAGATGTCCGCCAATGGGTCAAGACAGTCTCCCAGCCTGGAGAATCGAAGTCTGCATCCAAGACACAAGAGAGTCATGACGCTTTCGAATGGTTGATCGTACATGTGGTCCTGCCAAATACTCCTGCGGCCAATCAACCACGATCTTCCAAGCACATCACCTTGGAGAATGCTGAAAGCACCGACAGCCTCAACAGTAAATCCAAATGGTCAGGAAAAAGTTCTTCCACGATCTTTGACAAACTCCGTGCCGATTTCAGCAGCAGTTCAAAGTCCTCCTCCATTAATCGTGTCGCCCAAGTTAGGCTCCTCGAACCCAACGAGAAGTCGACTGTCTTGACACCTGCTGAGCTTGAAGAGCAATGGCAGGATCTGGTCGAGTGTCTGAAAGCCTGCATCCTGCGCTCTTTCGACGCTCGCGTAGCGCAATACGAGCTTGATATTCGGGAAAGAGACGGCCAAAGAAGTTTGCCAGGTTGGAATTTCTGCACCTTCTTTGTGCTCAAGGAGGGTCTGGCCCGGGGCTTCGAGAATGTGGGTCTGTTGGACGATGCCCTTTCTGTGTATGACGAGCTTTCCGTAGGCTTGGATACCGTCGTCAAGGAAGCATCGGAAAGCGGTGACCAGGAAGAGCATGGTGGTTTACTCCGCTTTTCCAAGGAGTCAAAGGCACTCTTGAGGGCTGCACTGGATCTAGAAGACCAGGCGACTCAGACACCCACTCGAGATCTTCCCAGACAACTGTCCCAAATATTCGTGATCGATCGCGAATACTTTCCATTCGAAGCAAATCGCCCACGATATCGTGAACGTATTCTGTCAAATGAGGTGTCAGCATTGGATTTACGAGTATACCTCTTTACACGGCAGATTGAGAACCTTCTCCGGCAAGCTGGTGCAGATTCACTCCCTGACCTTGCATCGCAGAAGAATACTGTTAACCTCCATATTGTTGGGGATGTAGCAGAGCGTGCCACGTCCTTTATCAATCTAGCTGGGCGGCTTCTTCGCCTGGAACTCTACATGGCCTGGGGAGGACAGGAAGGCCTGAGTGAAGAAGAATTGCAAAGCCAACGGATTGTCACAGCGAACATTGTCTCAACTTGGACATGGTGTGCCATTTTGCAAATCCTGACCAAGGTTACTCCGGCTTTGGGACTTGACTTGAGTTACTGGACAAGTTCACTCTCAGTCGATGCATTGGAACTATCGCAAAATGCCGAGCCTTCACAAGATACTTCACCTCTAGATGGAGAAAGACATCTGCATCGCATGTCTCTCGCTGCAAACATTGGAGTTGCCTCCCACGAGCAGTCTCTAGATCGCAGTAACAGGCACAGCATGATGTCAGACGGAGCTAGCCAACAGCAAGTTCTGCTTTCCCGTGCGGGTTCCGAAAAATCCTTGTTCTGGATTTCAAAGCTGTCACTAATGGCTAGGCACGTTCTCCAACATCTGGAGGGGGCCAGCGCGTGGAATACTGAGCTGAAGGAAGGTGTGAACATTGCACTTAGTGCTGAAGATTCATTAGCGAACCACGGCTCAGGCACTTTTGACCAGAGATCAGATGATAGCAACGGAAGCACCCAAGAAAATCTCTCAGGGTTGAGGTCTCAAGTGCTCATCGCCGCGTCAACTTCGCGGGCCGCCTTTCTCGATTTATACATCTTGCTGACCATATTTCGGTATCGCCTCCTGAGTCGTACAAAGAGCTACACGGCACTACGACAGGCATTGGTCGATTTGGTAGAATTTGAATACATTCAGAGGAATTTTGCCATCGCAGCACGATACCTCTTCAGTATCCTTGGACCATTGCCACGACCCTCTAATCACTCAGCCGATGATTATCTCTTTCGGATATATGCAGATTGTCTCAAGCAGCTCGATAAACCTAACGACCACGCCAGATGTCTAATTGCGTGTTTACAATCCTCGACATACAGGAGTCCTCACCATTCCAAGTATTCTGCCCAGCACATAAGGCACCTTCAAACCCGACTTTCGGAAGTGCTGGAAGCCGTTTCCCCCTTCACTTTACGACTGGCAACACTTTTCCACGTGGTGCATATCGCATCCGCTATCGGTCATTCGAACGGTCAAGATGGATTTACTCTCAACCTTGCTCTGAGAACGTTATCTGGGCCGGGGACTATCCTTGTCCACGATGTCAAGCTCAAACTATCGTCGAAAGATAGCAACGAGCCACGTACCATCAGCCTTCAATCGCCAGAACCAACGTTGGTCACTGAAAAGGCTACTACAGTCTTTCTTCAAACTTCGGTGATGGGCCAAGGTTGGTATAAGATCGATGAGATTGAGGTTCGGATTGGCAACCTCAGACTCTTTCAACAGTTTCACTCTCCACGCGATTCCGACTCGACTGACGAGGAAGATTCAGTAGCCATTCGGACTGCAGTCGTGCCAATACTTGTCTATCCGCACAATCGAGCATTGGCGGTTCGGGTTCGATCATCTTCGACTTTGCATCTGTCAGAAGCGAGACGTCTTTGCATCGAGCTTCGGCCAGGTCAAAACGAGATCACCCAATGCAAATTGAGACTCAAGACTGCTACCGCTGGACTGAGACTAAATGTTCATGATACACGGGTACTCGATTGCCAACGATCTCCGGATACGTTGCGAACAGCCCGAGAAGGGGACACGCTTCTTGTGGTGATTGATGACTTGAAGCCTGACACCCTAACAGCCATTGAAATGCCATACACCTTAGAGATAGCATCTACGGCGTCTATTGTTATACGTGTGGAGGCAGGCTACGAGACACAACGAGGCCAATTCATGCTGTATGAGACGGCGGCTGTGAATGTACTCCTACCTGTCACGGTCAATGTTCAGGACGTTTATAGGCCGTCTTGCACCTATTCTCGCTTCACAATCAGCCCATCGACCATGGTTCCACTCAGCCTAATAAATTGTCACTTGGAGGACAACGATCATTATACAATAGAATTATCAAAAACTCAACAGAGCCAACTGATCGTATTTCCGAGACAGCCAGCGAGCTGGGCTGTGCGACTTGTTCCTAAGAACGAGGACGCAAGTCGATTGAGTCGTAGGCTGACTTTGGTGGTTGATTTTCAATCTCTAGATGATGTTATACTTCTTGCCCTTGAGCACCATTTTAAGTCTGCGCTTGTATCAAGCCCGTACGCATCTGCTGCAAAGTTACTATCTTCTCATCTATTGGAACAAGTACGAGGGACATGGACAGAGCAAGATCTCGAAGTTGCGGGACTTATGCAAGAAATGGAGATTTGGGATGAAGCCGACCTCAATTGGTCAAACGTGTTATGCGGGATCGACCGCAATCAAAGAACTGGTCTGGAAGAGTGGCTATCCTCATGGCATGCTCAATCATCGTCGATTGGGCTCCAGGGCACAGACTGGGCCAAACGTCAGCTCAAACTGCACGTTGATGTACCTCCGCCACCACTTATTGTGACTGCCCACCTACAGATCAATGGCAGATGGGGAGGACCAATGACGGCCACCCTCGGGCAGCCTCTCCTTGCTAGATTAACACTTAGTCTGACAGCATCCCAGCAGGAAGAAGTCGAAGGCATGTTCGAGCTTGTAGCAGTGGCAGATTCCTGGATGATCGGAGGACGACGCAAGGGCAATGTCAAGCTCCAGCATAAGTCAATCGAGATCCAGATCGTTCTCTTTCCTCAACAAGTTGGTCATCTACTCCTTCCAACTATCACAATCAAATGCCGAAGAAGAACAAATCGGGGTGGCAAGGGTGGTCGAGAGAGCTGGATCGAGGTCAACAGTGAAGTATACAACGCATCACATGGACGCAGTGTTCTTGTGATACCAGACTTACGAAGCACAACCGTAGAAGTGTTCGGGCCAAACCCAGAGTTCGGAACAGGGAAGCTGGTGGTGGCCAAGCCCCGGGACCGTAAAATCAGATAAGGTTCATTTCATCTATGATGCCGGCCGATGAATGAAACTCTCGGCCTACCCCATTCCACACACTGCCGCTCACTGGAGATCAACCGTCTGATCTGTTCATCCAGCGCCGCATTTCTCCAGGCAAGAGCCGAGTGGATCGAGGGCCTGCAACCGTCTCATTTATGCATCGGCGGGAAAGTTGGTGCCTGTCTAGGCACCCTTTCGTTTTTAAGGCAATGGTTGCAACCTTGGACCAGTCTAGTGGACTCGGAACGGCAAGGAGGGACACAAGCTACCAGCATTTCAGTGCAAGTAACTCACGTTGTTCCTTCACTACGCTGCTTAGGCCTGTGTTCGGTCATGACATTCGCTTCTACACTAAGATAGGCGATACATCCTGCTCAAAGGCTTGAGCTCGACTACAGGTCGCTGGCACTAGACAACGTCGGTGTCCTAGACTCTCTCCAGTGGACTTAGTGCTATCGAAATTATCACCTGGACATCAATGGCGCTATGGAGTCGGTAGACCTTCACCTTCTTTCAGCGATTGAAGAATCCTTCTGGCCTCGTGTGCTTGGACATGTTAATTCTAGATGTTGTACCAGATGCTCATTGAGACTCACAAATATCCCATGACGATCCTTCAAGTCGATCATGAACAACCCTGATCAGAAAACGAAGATCACTTCTTATTGCCTGAAGTTCCCGTGACTCCGGATCCGAGCGATATGACGTGCGTTCAAACATTCGGCTCAAGATACTGTTAGTCGTTTCGTCGTGTTGACTTTCTGGATGTGGAAACGCCATTGGCTGGACTCTTTTTACACCTGCATGCTCGAGACCTAAAGTATAGGCCCAGACTACTAACGTCCCCAAGAATGCGCAATGCATTTGCCACAATGGTGATGGGGGTGAATCAATAGCAACTGATGTTGTTGTCGTTTTGCAACTCGATCTACTAAGACAGAGACGCACAATGTCAAGTCCGTGGAGGTAAATCTCATGACTGACAGGCTCCAATGACACAAGTCTGTTGTATGCATCTTGCGCCCTTTGAGATGTGCTCTTACGGCCAAAAGCGTATGCACTTCCAGCCGCCAGCTGAATATCTGAAATGTTGCTGTGCAAAAGAATTGCAGCAAAATGGTACATCAAGATGGAGTTCCATGATGTTTGGCAAGCTCGATCACTTGCAGGCAGAAGGTCAAAACACTCCTTCCAATGCTTTAGAGCTGCAGCAAAGTCCGTGATCTTGAGTTTGTGGGTTGCTGCACTGCTCGCAGTGGATGAAGTCCGATACTTATCATCCCCGATGGCAGAAATGATACCATGTATCAAGATATCAAGAGCTAGGGGATCAGTGATGGGGAATTGTTGCAGAAAATCCTGCTTGGTTTCTCGGTCGCGGATTGATGTTAATGATTCCACGGAAGTCTGCACGCTCCAGTGCTTGCACCGATTAAACCGTTTTGTTTGATACATCTGACTCTCCCATTCTGCTGCAGTAGAGGCTTCCCATAAAGACCGAGAACTTGGAAGGGGTAATTTCATCATTCCAACAGAAAGCATCTCAAGATGCGTGAAATGGATTGAGAACTGGACATCCGATTTGAAAGTTGTGTGAGCAAACCTGCTAATATAAGATGTAGTTCACTGGAAATGGAAATTTGGAGCCACCTGATAACCAACTCTCTTTGTGCCCACTGTCTCCATTTATCCTGAAGTGACTGTGACGGAACCGTCTCCGCATTGTCAGCCCCTGCTAAGAGGCTGTTTCTTCGTGCAAGCTACGTCTAAATCAGCATCTGTACTGATAAACAAAGGTCCGACTCACCGCTACCACCATTCCATGAGCAATCTCTGCCATCTCGTGCTCGTGACGGCTGAGTGTATATGTGCTCACGTGAACTACCAGGGTCCTAAGTAGAGATTAGAGAGATCCTCATTGTGGGGAGGCGCGCACATGGCCTGTAAGATCCATATCTCTGCCCTTGGATTTGAGAGTGCCATCTAGGTTCAGTCAGTGATGGACATTTGAGAAATCCTGAAGAGATTATACCTCTGTACACCTATGCCAGATATGCTTATGTAGCATTGTCCCAGTCTCCCGAGCGGAACACCAATCACTCAGGAAAATTCCAAGGCAACTTAGTGAAAGTATGAGGAGGGGTTGCGTACACTCGAGGTCGAGGGTAGGTCGATGGAACAGGGGCAGGTAGATATCACAATAATCCAATGCCAACTTGACAACATGAGTGACCGACGAAGGTCTACTTAGAGTAGAGCTGAGAATTTCCTGGCGAGCCATAGTCAGCACACTGTCTGAACGATGCCAAGCACGTATGGAAGAAGTGCGTACGGGACATTCTATGACCAATTTCTGGTAATCTAGCGAAGATAGGACAGTAGGATGCCAGGCACCAACCGTTGAGGATGGTTCTTGTAAATCCTGCAGCACCGTCAGCGTGTACTTTAGCGATGCTGAATGGAGATAGGATCAGTCAGACTGGTGGAGTATCCCATACAAATTCCTCCAAAGGCCGTCCGAGATGTTCATTGGGTTGCCAGTCAAACAAGTTTGCCTCTCGAAAGAGCCAGGCAATATCTTCCTGACGTTCGGTGCCTGGGAATGCACGTTGAGGGAGAGTTTGAAAGTCTTTGCCAAGGGATTGCGCTGTAGATACGTCCGATGGATTTGGAAGGCCTAAAGCAGTCGAAGGCTCGAAGGTAAAAGCTACCTCCTCAAGATTTGGAACAAAATATTCATCCAAATTTCTATCTGGCGCCCGACTCTGCGAATTGAGGACAGAATTGCCAGAGTGAACAATAGGATTGCCACCAGTTGCTGCCGCGAGCGCTGCGGCAGACTCATTGTGTAAAAGCTCGATTGAAAGTTGAGACCTTTTGTCATGCCTGCGTAAATGGGCACGCAATAGATCACTAGCGGATAGTATGAGCATTGGTCGCAGCCCAAAAAATGAAACTTACTTTCTTGTAAATCTTCTTCCACAGAGGTGGCATAGAAACGCACCTTTCTTATCTGTCAAGTGATGTTAATTGCCCACATTTCAAAAGCCGAGAATATCGAACGTACGTATCAACGTATGGCGGTTCAAATGCTCGAGTCGCAGGTACGAATGGTTACAGTCGGCATATGTGCAATGAAACTTTACAGGGAGGGGGTCCATATCCGCAATCGTTATGGAGGCGAATTGGTAGACAGACGATCCGGCCACTTTTGAAGTATGAGTAAGTGGCTCCGATTTTGAAGAGGAGACGGTCGAGGACTTAAGAGAATACCTGGTCAGAAGACCTCTGAGAGGTGATTTGACATATAAGCGATACTCTAGCACCAGCAGAAGTGCTCTACTGACACCGAAACAGAACCGCTAACCCCGAACCCGATAAAAGAAGTACCCAGGTAGAGTTGCATTTAACACGTGAGTCTGACTACCTCCCACATGACATCACATGTGCAGAGGTAACAATCCCCTCCTTGTATTAATCGAGCATAAGATTAATTGGGCACATTAGGTCGAGGTCATCCAAGTCGAGCAGAAGGATGGTGTGGAAACTTGACAGAGAGTCCAGGGACCACTTGTTAAAAAACCAGCAAGTAAAGACATAGCTAGTATGCAGACATTTGCAACATGCCACTACTCGTGTTCTTACATCCAAGCTAACCTCAACAATCACAAGCTCTTCCATGATAAGCCTCCTAAAATCGACCACATCCACTATTGCAATACATAATATCTCTCTTCCCACCATCAGTATCAGTGCTGGATTTTGCCCATTCAGGGGACTCTACTCGATTGCAAGCAACTCATCGCAAGACAATGGGATCAATAATTCATATCGGTTAACCACAGGCAGAATCCGCGTAGCAAGAACGCAGCAACAGTAGCATTTTTGTCGTGTTTTGATTCGAATATATCGTTTAGGCGAAAACTTCTGTTGGTATTGCGTGGCCGACCACGTGGGACCATGTCAATTTATTGCCGCCGGAATCTGCCTTGACCTGCATGATAACCAATGCCTTTATGGTGTATGATGTTGGAAAGCGTAGCCGCCCCAAACATCACTTAGCCAGTCCAATATGACCTGGGCAAGTTGCGACTCCGCCCCGAGAGCACAGTGTTCTCCCGCCCCAAGGCTAGTATTAAATTCGTGGTAATGCGTCAATCCTTCACCGTTGGGGCGACCCGTGGTCAGCAGCTGCTGTGTTAGCTCTGGTTGATTGAGCGTTAACGTGTCGTGCTGACCTTTGCCAACGAACACAGGCATTGGCAATTGCCTGACCATGTCTGGCGTCAACGAGATATTGCCCAGTCGTGTCCACCAGTCATATGGACTGTGAGTGTTGAAGACCCAAAGACTTTGGTCGATGAGCCAACGAAATTCACTAGACTGTGAAGTATTTGCCGCAACATTGAGCAAAACTTTATCGAATGCACTGAGCAGCTATCAGCGCGCCATGCTCAATTTTGCTACCAACTCGAACCCACCTTCTGTTTCCGGAGTTGTATAAGTCCAGAAGTGATTTGGGAAGTTGGTCCTAGGTTGTTTGGTTAGGCAAAGGTCAGCATCTGTGATCTCTCCTACTCACTGCAATTGCCTTTTGCATGCTGGAGAGACCATCGATGGCTACGACAGCACTGAACCGATGTTCTCGAGAAGCAGCAATTGGTGCAAGACTCCCACCGAAGGATACTCCCATTAGAGCGAGCTTGGACATATCCACGTCTCTGCGCGTGGAAAGGTGGTCAACTACAGGTGTCACAACGTTCCACCAGTCCTGATTCGGGTCAGCTAAAGTCTGTGGTTGTGCACTGCTGACCATCTCTACTGCCAACAGGGTGGAGATCTCACAGGGATGAAGCCAAAGTTCTGCTTTCTCCGGACCGTGGGCTGCCCTGGTCCCTCGTACGTGACGGCATTCACACCACGGGCGAGGATTTGTCGGACCTCGGAATGATAGCTCTCTTCCTGGCTTGCGTCGTAGCCACTACCAATCACGACAGTTGGCCTCGACTCGTTACCGGCCGACGCTTTATAGAAGACACCAATTGTTTTGAAATCACCAATGGTGGGACTGTGAGCATCCAGCTCGAAGCGCTCCCCTGCGACCGGTTCAATCATTGATATTGACTTATCAAAAGATGCAAGCGCCTTGTCCCATAGATCATAATTGCGTGGATCGGACCAGTTGCCGATTAGAAAGAACCCGGCACCTCGGTAGTAAGTCGCTGCACGGAAGAATGCATCTCTGGTGCCTGTCAGATCTCGTGAAGAGTTGATATTTCGGGCTATGGCAACGATATTTTCTGCCATATAATTGAAAGCATTGTATGTACTTTCGAAGTCGTGTGGAATGATCTGTGTAGCAATACGTAAAACCTCGCCTGTGTTTGCTCCGCCATTGTTGGCGAGAGCTAAAGCTTCCTGCAGGTAGAATGAAAACTGCGGATCTACATGACGGGTTGTAAGCCTCTATGCTTGCCTTGAATAGGGTTCAAAGGAAGCCAACCAGAACTCAACTGAAGCATTGGCCTATCGGCGGGTTGGTAGGCGGGTGAGAGTTTGATCGAGGATACCGAAGTTGCACAGTCAAGCAGATATCCTGTAGTAATAGCAATGCTGCTCAGAAGCATTGTCCTATGTTTCAAAGACATCGAAACGGAGAGATATGAGAAGAGAGCTAATAAAGAGACAATGAGTTTCAGGGATATGGAACCGGTAGGGGAGATACATTATATATCATTATACTACCATATATACTGGCCATTGCTGGCTGCTGATACGTATCCTGTCTACTACAAATGACCGTCCCTGGACAGGTGTCAATAAGTGTTGGGTTTTGTGAGCTATGAAGTAGCGGGACGCCATCGACAGGTTGACTACCTCGGATGCACTTGTCTGAGGAAGGATGGTGACCCAAAAACAAGTAAACCCGATGGTGGCGGCCGTAGTCTAGGTTTCAGCGGATGGTGAGTAAATATTCGTCAGACATCAGCATCCGAAGGACGTTCCAATCTGGATTTCCGGACGTTATGTGACACCAAGGATGTCACAAGCAAAAGTAGAGATATCTAATATCATGACCAAATGCTCGAATGTGGACAATGTGTCTAGCACTACTACAGTAAATGTCTTGCTTCGGCTCAGTGAACCTCGCTGATGGATACGTTTTTCCCGAATAGGCATGCAGCGCGAAACGGTCCATTTGGAGTCATTGATATGGACTTGGGATGAATGGACGCAAAGACCTGACCCCGCACCGCCAAGTAGACGAACGGGAGATAAACCGTCTCTGCAGCTGAACACGAGTGAGCTTAGACTCGAGGAATGCATCTACCGTTTACCCCAATGACACACTATTCACCAACTGGCTGCCAGGAGCCTAACTCTCTTAGTCAGAACAGTTGATACTCTAACTAGGGCCCGCTTATTAGCCCTAAGTAGTCTTCGTCTGCGGAACTGGTAGGCTGTGGGAAAGACTTCAAAGCGTGCAAAAACTGTTGGAAAGCATGAGTAAAGTAATTCTTTGTTCTTAATTATGCTTTGCGAATATCTGAACAAAATCGCGCAACTGTTCAAGTCTAAGATAATGCTCAAGCTAGGGAGAACTCAACGAAAGTTGCGATACTCAATGCTTGAGGGTATCTAACTACTGCTGGGTCTATCGGTATGAGTTAGAGCAAGGATAGTGGCTTATCTGGGACAAGTTCGTTGTGATAATAATGAATCCTAGCCAAACTAGCGTTCATCGTTGTAGCTGTCATGGACTGAGGTTCCAAGCTCAGTGCATAGGCCACGTTCAGCTTCTCTTCGCTGCCAGTGCTTCTCGACGCGAGGTTGATGCCTGGTCAAAGTACGGCTTCTCTCCAATTCCAGCGGTTCGCCTTCCAGTCCTTGGGCCAGAACCATCAAGATCTCTCGTTGCAGTGTCTCAGACAAGTCAGCACGCACTCTAGAAAGGAGGTTGAGTTGACCCACGATATGCACTTCGATTGTCCCAGACGGCGACGTCGTTGACGCCCCACTTAAAGCGGACCTGCAGATCATGGTTCTGGTTGCACAGATCTGCCAGGTATTCCAAAGTCCTATCGGACTCTTGTTTAGTCAATTCGTTGATTCTAGGCGTGTTACCACCAGAACAGAAGACGGACTTCCATCCTGTGACTGGGTTTGTTCGAATCAGAGGATGTATGGCTGTCAAATGTGTTCCAACATTCTCTGGTGCGCCTCGTGGCCCAGGATGAATATTAAAGCCCACACGTTCAGCTTGCGCGATGAATTGCGGCACATCATGGCTGGCGGTCAAGCCCTCCAGAAACTTCTGCATAGGTGTTGAGAGCCGATCGTAGACCTCATATCCAGAGGCCCAAAGAGTGTCACCTCCACTATGTGGAGTTTCATTCATTTTGAGTACGGCATAATCAGATGGCATAGGCTCCCAAGACATACTACTGAACATTAGTCGCGTATGCAGATCGTAACTGGGAGGCTTACTCGCTGTGCCAGCCGCGACTGGCAAACGAATACCTATCACCGTATCTCTCTCCTTCCAATTTCTGGCTGATCTGAGAAGAAATGACATTCACACCTCTATCGATGAAGTCAACTTCCATCTTTCCCTCCACCAGTGGATGGATGTGGAGCCCATTCAGAGCAGGACGCGCACTAAGACTGCCAAGCAAAAGCGCCAATTCTTTCTGGAGCGCGGGAGTCATTCCATCCTGCTGTCTGAAAAAGACCACACATCTCTCGGAGACTGAAGAAGATTAGTGGACGTGACGGGAACTTGGAGGATGACCGGACTACCTGTAATTGCGAGATCTCGGATATATTGGTCTCTCCGGGATGATCGCATCAAGTCCGCGATCTGAACGTCTGGATATTCTCTACCAATGAGAGGGGTGATTTCAAAAAACTTCTGATGGTCGAGCAGGCCAGAAGCACTCATGGGTTCATGCTGCAAATCGTGTGCTTTTGTTGGTTGAACTCCAGTTCCCACATTGTGGGAATTTGTAGTTTCAACCGCAATGGGAGTCATTACTGAGATGAGGGCAGAGTGAAAACGGGAACGGTTATGATTGCCAAGATTGAATGGCTTCGAAGATTCACAATGTCTTCTGTGGCATCGTAAATTTGTGTGGTTTTGAACATTCCAACCGAGAGAATGTGAACGGGATAGATGCCTGTGCCAATAGAAGAGCGCGGGATACGCCGAGGGATACGATGCGGGATGCATACTGGAACGGGATATAATGCACGTCCACATGGTGCAACGGGATTACATGTTTTATCCCATCCTTGAGTCACTGTGATGCCTTGTTACCCAGAGCTTGAGATGCCTACAGCCTCTTAGGGGAAACGGTCAATCTGAGGATGAAGGCTTGGGAATCCCTACTGAGGAATCTCATATTTAACACCTTGCCAGGCCTCTGTAACAGGTTCGGATGAGGTTTGTCATACTATATTGCACAATTACTATTGGAAAAATGACATCGCTCGAGACGACAAAGGCTTCCATAGTGCATAGGGAAATCGCTCAGGGAAATCAACAAAAATGTGTCAGGTCGGTTCTCAGTATGCCTTTAGACGAAGCAATTGCGAAAGCAAAGCCTAAGGTCTTCACACGGAATACGTTGCAGCTGTACTATATGATGCTTGTTTCTATGATGTTGTAAGTTGGACCATACCATTTCCGATATTACACAGCTTATATTGGATGACAGGGCTTGGGCCAACGGTTATGATGGAAGTCTGATGTCTGGCATCAATGCCATGCCTCAGTATCAGGTGTGTACAGAGTATCACAAGTACACTGCCATTGACAGTTTGATAGAAGTATTTTGGTGCGTCGATGACGGGTGGTTCGACAGGAATCGTTTTTGCCATTTACCCTATTGGTTTCCTCGTGGGTTCTCCGTTCACAGGACCGGTTGGCGATCGTGAGTTCACTTACTATCCAGTTGAAATCCTTGTTCCTATGGACACCATGGTGATGGGAGGCATCAACGGATGAATCAAGTGCTAGATCACAATATTAACGTTTTGGGCCCTTCAGAATTTGGACGACGATGTGGTATGTGCCTAGGAAGTTTGTTCATTGTTGTTGGAGCCTGTGTGCAAGGATCTTCGACCAACAGTCAGTAGCACTCCTCAACTCGTATCTGCATACTAATGGCGTCAGTTCATGGATTTATGGCTGGTAGATTCCTATGTGGCTTTGGCATTGCCGTGGGTCAAGGTAGTGGTGTGACATATGCTGCAGAGATTGCTCATCCCGCCTGGAGGAGCGCATTTACCTGTGAGTACTTTCAGACAGAGTCTGAGAAGTGAGCTAATGACCTCTAGCAATGTACAATACCTTCTATTTTGTCGGCGCGATGATCGTAGCATGGGTCACGTACGGTACCCTTGCAATCAAGTCAGATTATGCATGGAGAGTGCCCGTATACCTTCAGGCTGTGGCCCCGGCTCTCGTCCTTATTTCGGCTCCATTTCTTGCTGAGTCTCCTCGATGGCTCCTTGCCCATGGGCGTCAGGATGATGCTCAAGCGATGCTCGCCAAGTACCATGGCGACGGAAACTCGACTTCACCACTCGTCGGACTCGAAATGCGGGAGATGGTTGCAGGAATCAGTCTTGAAGGAACGGATAAGGTGTGGTGGGACTATCGCGCACTTTTCAATAGCCATGAAGCACGGTGGAGGATCGCGATGGTTATCGGAATGGCCTTCATCGGTCAGTGGGCTGGCAATGCTTCAGTCACCTATTTTGCGCCAGGTAAGCAATATTTGTCCCTGGTGTTCTTCCCACTAATGGAATCAGTTATGTTGAAACAAGCGGGAGTCAAGTCTTCTAGGGAGCAGATACTTTACGTTGCTATTCTCAATACGCTTTCATATCCTTGTGCAGCCTTCGCAGCAATATTTATAGCGGGACGGTTCGGTCGAAGGACAATCTTCATAACAGCGTCGCTTCTCTTCTGCCTCGAGTTCATCATCATCACGGCAATGACAGCGATTTATTCGAAGCCGCAGTATCTTCGACATGCGAACATCAGCGCCTCGAAAACGATCGTGGCATTCATCTTCTTATTCCGACTGACGTATTCTTTGACATTTACACCACTGCACCCGGTTTACCCCATCGAGTGCCTGTCTTTTGAAACTCGAGCAAAAGGAGCAGGTTTCTACGCCATCATGGATAGTGTATCCACCTTCTTCAACACTTATGTAACTCCGATCGGCCTCGGACGGGCAGGTTGGTTGACCTAAGCTTCGAGAACATGACCCGTTCACTGACTTGGGACAGGTTGGAAGTTCTATTTTCTGTACATTATATGGAACGCCCTGATCCCGATCGTCATCTACCTTTTTGCTGTAGAGACTCATGGGAGAACTCTTGAGGAGCTTACCGATATTTTCAGAGGTATGTGGGTCCTCAGAACAAGATTAAATGGAAATTGAGAGCAATTACAGCCCCGAATCCTCGAAAGGCATCTACCAAGAAAAAGAAGGTCATCTTCCCAGAGGATGATTTGCAAGTGGCAAGCACGGTTGTTGTGGATGAAGGCGAGGTTACCAAGTCTCGAGATGCATGAAAGTGCACGGCTAAATTGCCCGCGTAGTATCAGTGGCTCTTGCTTCCCACTGGATTGTGTTTGTAGTTGAGACAACCTCCAGAATCAGCACCAGTACAAGCAACCATGGCTATTCCGGTGGTCCAGCTTGTACGCAATATTAAGTGACAAGAATGTTGGCTATGTTTTGATTGTGTCAACGAGGGTCCACCCCCGAGAGCGATTGTTGATGACCGCGTCAGGAATGAGAAGTGAGCTCCATGTATTTTACTGAGTTAGGACTCATGAGGAGGTGTCCAATAGTATATGTCCAGCTTGTTGAACGCTTGAGATCTAGGGGAGAGCTCGTTCTGCAACTTCTTACAGAATTTCGAAGGAGATCTGCAGGGGAGCTCCTAGTCGCGATGCATCCCGCCGATTGAGTACCGGGCCGAACCGTGCTCTAGCTTCAGATGGACTAGCATATTGCACCCTGCTCACGTTACAGTTTTGGCAGTCAGACCCTACCAGTCAAGGTAAAAAATGTGGCAAGCTCCATCCACACGTCCCAACAAAAAATTGGCGTGGCGTTTCATAATCTGGACGTCCCTACAACCAGTCACTCGACCGCTTTTCACCGCACCTTTTGTCCTATGTCACTGCCCTTGATCGAGTAGTGGGCACCACAAAAGCATCATGCGCTACCTCTCGTTGGACATCACTAGTGGAGTGACGGTACCAATGATACTCGTCTGAAAACTTCAAATAGCTAATCAAGACTGTTCCCAGCGAGCACCTATTGAGGCTAGAACTCCATGCTACGGGTAGGTGTTCCACGGGGTAGAATGCACGATCGTCCAGCAATGAGTCTTGTAGCACGCTTGAACAGTCGATCCGGCTGACCGAGGTCGAGGTGCCTTCTGCCTTGGATACCTAGGTAGGATGAAGACGGGGAAGAGATGATGACCGAGCATGTGAATCTGTTGGAATAATAGCACATGTCAAGAGTCTAAGAGCGATTCTCAGTGGTCGGCTGTCTCGCCATCTGCGTGCAGAGACAACCAAAAGCGACTGGGAGAGTCATGTGGTTCGAAGGAACGCTGTCGATGGTGCATTTGAGTTGCGAAGGGTTGCAGCCAACACCTTCAGAACCACTGGCGTGGAGAAGATGGGCTCGGCACTGCGTCGATCCATTGAACACGACTCAGAGACTTCTGTACAGATGTGGTGGCCTGTGGCTATGAGATTCGATGATCAGCGAAGGTGAGGAGAGTGAGATGACATGGTGGTTGCAGACAGGGCGGCCACGACTACTACGCAGTATGTATCATGCAGAAAGTCCTAGGCCTTTTCCATGAAGCCCATGACCACCAGGGCAAGCACATCAACTCTGGACAGGTGGCCAGAGGCTTCAATGGCAGGTCAGGTCTCGGTGGCTACGCCGAGTCGAATCCTAGTAGCCATCATGGACATTGTCTAGACCACTAGCAGGACCCACTCCATCAACAGGACGATCATCTGAGATGCTGAATGGTAGCAGGTGAGATCAGGTGAGCGATTATCAAAACGTTTTGTTGTCAAGTACTGTATAGAATATGGGATGATGGAAATATGGAGATATGGATAATTGAACTCATTTTTCATGATGCCAGCACTGAGCAACTTGAACCTGAGCCCTAGTTACCTAGGTAGTTAGCTTAGGAAAGGACCAGGATCGGGCAGCAGGATCCCTGTCGAGGGGGGTTCTGCGCCTCTCGTGAGGCTAATCAGTACAGAGGACGCCCGGAGTCGAGCCTCGGGTTCAAAGCTGCCCACCTCAGGTACCCCTCTCGTCCTCTGGTTCCAGTTGAATCTCACCGCCCACGGCGCCATGCGAAATCGGTATCGTCCCTGAATTTAGCGCTGGGTCTAAGTGGCACTTGGTGCCCAGATGGTGGCCCGGGGGCGCCCCCATGCCCTCCGTCCCGCCTCTGACTGGCAGTTCCCACCTGGACCCCTCAAATGTCGAAACCCGCCGAGCTCAGATTCAACTTTCTGTTGAGAAATTTCGGACAACAGGCCACTCGCACTCGCCTCAGACGCACTGAACAAGAAATGTTTGCTCCAGACACAGACACGGATATCTGTCACCGATGAAAATCTATTCCCTCCGCAATATTCTCTTGCATGACCACCTACTAGTACTCGGTACCCGACCTAAATAGCCCTGGACTCTGGCTTCTGGCTTCCATTATTCCTCTTCTTCTGTTCTTCTTGCCATCTCTACATCACCGGTGTGAGCCACCATCATACCAGCAACTCAACTCCCTTCCCACTATCGTCCTCCCTTCCCACACATCACTGCAATTATCGATCCTGAACTTCTCAAAAGACAGCCTCCATCATGGCAACCACCGCTTTGCAGTCTGAAGGCGCCCTTCGACGGTCCACAACCACCGAATCCACGCCCAACACTTCAGCCAACATCTCACCTCTCGATAGTCCGAGAACTTCCCCCTCGTCGACCTCATTGTCATCTCTCTCCGAGGAGGACGTAGCCATCCAGAACAAGACCACCTCTCAGAAGAAGACGCAGCTCGTGGACACATACGGAAACAGCTTCGAGATCCCTGATTACACCATTGGTGACATCCACAAAGCCATCCCTAAGCATTGCTTTGAGAGGTCTGCCGCCACTGGCTTGTACTATGTTGCTCGAGACGTTGTATCATTGGCCACCACCTTTTATCTCTTCAACCGCTTTGTCACTCCCGAAGTCATCCCCTCGACTCCTCTCCGAGCTGGTCTCTGGTTTCTGTACACCGTCATTCAAGGCCTGTTCGGCACTGGATTATGGGTGTTGGCTCACGAGTGCGGGCATCAATCCTTCTCTCCCAGCAAAGTCTTGAACGACACCGTTGGCTGGTTCTGCCATTCCGCTCTTTTGGTCCCTTACTTTTCCTGGAAGATCTCACACGGTAAGCACCACAAAGCCACCGGCCACATGGAGCGAGACATGGTCTTTGTGCCGTCCACCAAGGAAGAATATGCCACCAAGCGGGGTTACCTCCTCCACCAACTCGACGAACTGACCGAGGAAACTCCCATCGCCACTGCTTACCATTTGATCGCCCAGCAACTCGGTGGCTGGCCCATGTATCTCCTTACCAACGTCACTGGCCATAACAAGCATGAGGGACAACGTGAAGGCCGTGGTGTGGGCAAGCAAAACGGGTTCGGTACTGGCGTCAATCACTTCAACCCCAACAGCCCGTTATATGAGGCCAAGGACGCCAAATTGATTCTTCTCAGCGATCTGGGTCTCCTCATCACCAGCAGCATCTTGTTCTTGGTGGGCAAGAACTATGGTTTCGCCAATCTGTTTGTTTGGTATATTGCCCCATATCTGTGGGTGAATCACTGGTTGGGTAAGTTTGGATCCACGAGCTGGCCTTGGATCGATCTGTATGCTAACACAACAAATTAGTGGCCATTACCTTCCTTCAACATACCGACCCTTCCCTGCCCCACTATACCCCCGAGTCTTGGACCTATACACGAGGCGCCGCAGCGACCATTGATCGGGAATTTGGATTTGTCGGTCGCCAACTCCTCCACGGCATCATCGAAACCCACGTTCTTCACCACTACGTGAGCACCATTCCATTCTACCATGCCGACGAGGCAGGCGATGCCATCAAGAGCGTCATGGGCCGTCATTACCGCAGTGATACTCGGGGCGGGTCTTTGGGGTTCCTCAAGAGCATTTGGACCTCGATGCGCTGGTGCAACTGGGTTGAGCCGCTCGAGGGCGCAACAGGCGAAGATGCAGGCGTACTATTTTTCCGCAATCGCAATGGCTTGGGTCTGGCGCCTGCCAAGAGGCAAGAGAAGACAACTGCTTAGAGCCTTCAGGCGACCAAATTTGGGATTGTTAATTGCCCACCTGGGGCTTTGGAGCGCTCGTTCATCAAGTTTATGCCCGGCGCTCGGTGTTGTTCCAATTGCAATGAACTCGGCGAAAATAACTAGACAGATTACCGACGACCGAAAAGAGAGAAAGATTCGCGAGAAACTATGAGTTTGAGATGGAACTAAAAAGTCAAAAATCAGCAGTTAGTAACCCATGACAAAGATAGATTGGAGGCCTACCTAGAAGATACGATTATCTCTTTTTCCAATGATGCATACTGCTTTACCAAATGCCTAGGGGGCCTAAAACCTAGATGGTAGCCACGGAACGCTGCATGATCATTTGGCTTTGTCCCCGGGAGCGTGCGTTCCCAGGCGGGTGATTGACTGAGGTAATAATCAATCTTGCAGGTCACGAACGAATCACCGGATAAGTAATGGTAATGATGGAGGTCTGGATCTGCTGCTGCTTTTGGTCCCCAGACTACCGACTAGTACACTTGAGTCACTCCTAGAGTCCTAGGAGGCGTAGAAGATGTCAATGATTCTGACAGGGTACCGACCTTCTTGCACCGCGTTTCGCCAGCAAACTTCCAATCACTTTATTGCCATGCTTACAGAGTCCTGGATGCCACTGAAAGCCTAGTTCGTAAAGCGGCTGGTTCTCCGACGTGAACCGCGTACGTCGTAGGTCATGATGTCTACCGGCCGTAGCTGGTATCCTGCCTCCAGGCTGCCAAGTTCTGAAATGCGTCTCCGGATGACTATGAAGCCGCCTCTAACTAGGACCCCGGGGGTCCGGATCCATGATCGTGTTTCTGCGGGGCAAGGTAACCTTTCCATACGTGCGTTGATAGTTCGTCTGTTGTTATATATACTCGGCATACGCCCAGATATCAATATAGGAAGCATACATCCATCCTCACCTTGACAGAACAGCTTTCCCATACTTGATTGGGGCCACACCTTCCAAAATAACCAGACTCATTTGTTCTTAGGATGGCGTTCAAAAGTGTTCTACCCCCTTCCGACAAGAAGCCCAAATCGCAATCCAGATCGCCAAGTGGCAAGTCACGATTTCTATACGCTCTCCGCGAGAACTTCAGTGTTTCCACCTGGCTGCTGATCGGAGCGCTTCTTCAATCCATCCTGGTCTTCATTATTCCTCGTCTCTATGCGTTCCTCCCAGTCTTCTTGATCCTGGCGGCCCGCTTCGGTGATAGCTTGGCCATCACCTTTGGGTTCAAGCGAAATTACTACATGGACGATGCCATCCTTCATCGCGTCTCTCCCCAGATTCCCGATGAAGATGGCAACTTCCATGAAGACTCCTCCAATGAGAAGGTGGTGGTGTTCATGCTGGGCGCCAAGTCAAATCACCCGCTGGGCATCTTCGCTCCCAATCTCAAAGAGACGGGTGATTTTCTCAACAACATGACCAAGGCCTTGGAGCAGAATTCGGTCGAAAATGGCTTCTACGGCGGGTCCACGTGGAGTAGCCAGGACAAGAACGGAGCCAACGAGTTCCTCTTCCTCAGCTACTGGCGCTCAACCGAGGATGTGCACAATTTCGCCTATCAACCTGTCCACCGCGCAGCCTGGGACTGGTGGAATGCATCTGTGGGGGACGGCAAGTTGGATCACATCGGGATCAACCATGAAATCTTCGAGGTGGATCGTCATCATTGGGAGGGGGTTTACATCAACTTCCAACCGACATTGCTTGGAGCGACCACTTACTTGAAGAAGGGGGACAAGATGGTTGGTGGTAATGTTCCTGACCAGTGGATTTCACCACTTATCGATGCGAGGAGGGGAAAGCTACGGACGAGCGCCGGCAGACTGGGGCGTGATCCTCAACAGAATGCTGAGAAACACAACTTTGACGGTTACATGGAATGATCTTGGTGGGCAATGGGCAATAGTAATGGGCAATGTTAAGGGGACTGGATGATTTTAAGAGAGGCATGGGTTTACATAGCGAATTGGCGTTAGTTACTTCGTATTATATACTATGGTCTTGACAGTGTGGGATGAAAAGCGGAAGCGATATCATAACCTCGATGTACATAAAATTCGACAGTGGTCGGGGGACTCCCGAGGTGAATTATCAAGAATGACCAAAAAACCACGTGAATGACGTTCAAAATACATGCGAATGACCCCACGCTAGCCTGTCTGACACTGTACTCGGAAAATTGTTCGTCCGAGAGTCAAAGGCAACCGACATTTTGCCTCGGTTCATCGTCGCTTCCCCGCCTGTTTCTGTCTTGTTTTCTTCGACTTCGACATCTTCTTCTCAAGCTAAAGGTCAAAGCAAAGATTGACTCTGAATTCAACCTCTCAATTGGTCCTGAGGGCCTTGGTGGATATCGGTTAATGGACAAGTCTGGATTGACCAGCACGGACAGACTGACCAGACTTGCACTTGTCGACGACCTACCAAATGGCTCTCTCCATCATGCAGCTTCCGCCTTTGATTCGTTGCTTGGAACCTTTCCTGGCAATTCGAGGTTGGTGCTCGGTACTCGGTAGATACACCTGACAAGGCTACTTCTTCTGCTGCTAGTTTATGACATTTCTTGTCCTTCACACTCTCAAACTCAAACGCGTTCTCCCCCTTTGTCTCCCTCTACCTCTCTCGCTGCATATACATATACACACCGCTGCTCACACCTCCCACCGAGATCCGAGATCTTGTCTGTCGTCATTACCCCAAAACCGCTTCAATCCTCTCCCACTCCAAACATGCCACACAAATCGCGTTGGACGGTCCCAGTCCCAGACTGCTCTCTCCCACAATTCCTCTTCACCTCTCCCACACAGGACTTGGGCGACAAACGAGCTTTTTCTGAAGCCGCTCGCCCGGAAACCCATTACATTACACGCAATCAATTCCGGTTATGGGCACAGCGACTGGCTCTGGGTCTGTTAAGATCCAAGCATTTCAAGAAAGGGGACCGTGTGCTGTTGTTCAGCGGCAATGATCTCTTCGTCCCCGTGGTCTTCATGGGCACCTTGTGCGCCGGTGGTATCTTCACTGGGGCAAATCCCACCTTCGTTGCACGAGAACTAGCTCATCAACTCAAGGACAGTGGTGCTACATACCTGTTGTGTTCAGATGTGGCCCTCGAGACGGGTGTCGAAGCTGCAAAATTGGCCGGTCTCGATCCACATGAGAGGCTGTTCGTCTTCAATTCCAAGATCTACGATGGCGAGACCCATGGTACCAATGGTCTCAGATACTGGAGCGAGCTCTTTGCCTCGGAAGAAGATGCCCGAGATTTCCAATGGGACGATCTGACCGGGCCTGGGCAATCTGATACAACCTTGGCTCTCAACTACTCTTCCGGCACCACGGGTGTTCCTAAAGGTGTGGAAATCACACATAAAAACTACATTTCCAACACTCTGCAGGTTGAGCATATGTCAACTCTGAACACCGACCACGAGGCCCGCAACACCCGCGCATCGTGGCTGTGCTTTCTACCACTTTACCATGCATACGGGCAGACGTTTTTCGTTGCTGGGGCGTTCAACCGAGGCGTCCCCGTGTACATCATGCCCAAGTTTGATTTCTTAAAGTTCCTCGAGTATACCCAGAGATTCAAAATCACCGATTATCAGCTCGTTCCTCCAATTGCGGTTTTGTTGGCCAAGCACCCTGCTGTCAAAGACTACGACTTAAGTTCCGTTGAGAACATCGGCTGTGGTGCAGCTCCATTGGGTAGGGATGTCTCTTTACAGCTCGAGAACAGGCTGGGTCGTGGACTGAATCTTAAACAGGGTTGGGGCATGACTGAGTATGCACCCCCTCCTTCTAGCCGTCCCTCGTCCAACCTGCTAACATGGAACCTCTAGATGCACCTGCTCACTCCTCGGATGGGATCCCAACCAGATCTCGACATCAGCCGCAGTTGGTGAACCAAACGCAAACTGCGAGGCCAAAATTATGACTGAGGACGGCACCACCGAAGTCACTGGCCGAGGCCCTCAGGCAGTAGGCGAATTATGGTGCCGTGGTCCCAACGTGATGAAAGGCTACTGGCGCAATGAAAAAGCCACTAAGGAAACCCTCACACCTGACGGCTGGCTGCGCACTGGCGACATCGCCTATGTCGACGAGGACGGCAAATTCTTCATCGTCGACCGCATGAAAGAACTCATCAAGGTCAAGGGCAACCAAGTCGCGCCTGCCGAGCTCGAAGCCCTCTTGCTCGAGCACCCCGGCATCGCCGATGTGGCCGTTATCGGCATGCCGACTGAAGACGGCGATGAGAAACCCCGCGCCTTTGTCGTGCGGCAGGTTGGTGCGGAGGGTGAAAACCTTACGGTTCAACAAGTCCAGAAGTTCGTTGAAGGAAAGGTCATTCGCTACAAGAGACTAGCTGGTGGCGTCGAGTTCCTTGATGCCATCCCAAAAAATCCTTCAGGAAAAATCCTGAGGCGACAGTTGAGAGATATCACGAGGGAGCGGCTGAGGAAAGAGGGTGCCAGGTTGTAATGACATAAGAATTTAGCATAGGATGCGGACAGCCCTTGGCTACATCGATAGACATTCGAAGATAAAATAGCACGTGATGAATTTCTGCAGGCTACGCTACGCCTTCATGGTCGTGTCTACCGGTGTCTATTACATCAGCTCATAACAAATGACGAGGACTGTTCGCTAAGAACATCCAGGTCCATTAATGCTAAACCTGCATGATACAAGAGTCCCTATCATGGGAAATTAAAGTCATCAACGTTGCTTCCGCCACGACTGCCCTAGACCAAATCGGCAGGCGCTCAATCCATCTTGCCCACCTGTGCAGGTATCCTATCGTGTTCCATCATTACTTTTCATCAAAGTCTTCCTCCCGCCTCAAAGCCGCCAACGCTATCCGGTTCTCTTTCACGATCTTGGCATCAAGCATGTCGCCTTTGGTGGACTTTTGCCATTCGAGCTCCCGCTCATTCGTGGCAACAGTGAGACCCTGACGCTCGGCAGGCTTCAATGCCAGATTGTTGCTCAGATCCTCAATGATCGCCTTGCGGTGTTCATCATATCCAACCAGCGCCGAAATGGCCGTCGGTTCCACAGCTGCAGACGCTCCAGCCTCACGATAGGACGCCAGAATATGGGATATCAAGGCAAGTGTACTTGATTCACTGGCCTTCAGGAAGGTGACAATATCGGTACCTTCCTTACGTGTCGTTGGTCCAATCATGAAACTGCTACTTGCTCTTACTAGCTGATTTGGGAATTGATTAAGGAATCCTGATATCTCAGCAGCAATCACCCCCCCAACCGCATGTAGTAGGTTCAGGCAGAGGGGAAGCAGGCCGCCTGCCCATATCCGGTATAGTGGTGCACAGTTGGGTCGTTGATCGACGTGCGACACGCCTCCGCGAATACGCTGTAGGGATTCGGTCGTCTTGGAGGTGGAAAGGCGGTTGAGAGCACCCTCCACAGCAAGCTCTTCTGCAACCAAGGGGAGCGATGATAGGGAAACCAGAAATTGGATGCTAAGGTCTGCATAGTTGGGCTGCTCACCACCGTCGGGTTTTACAAGTAGATGGGACCAAGAATAAAGTAAAAGACTTGATGAGATCACACCTGAAGATGACAATCTTTCCGACAGCTCATTCGAAAACTGAGCAAGGAGTGGTAGTCTCAAAATGGCTTGGAAAAGGGTGAGAAGCAGAAGGACATCACGAATCCCAACGAGATCTTCTTCCTCATTCTCAGTTCCAGACCCATTCAGTTGCTGCTCTTGGAGTGCGGCCACCACTGTCTTGAAGCCCTCAGCAACTAATGCAGTAGCTATCTCCAAGAAGATCACATTCGCAGGATCAAGAACAATTAGAGAGGTGTTGGTTCCTGGCAAGACAGTTGGTTTAGGAACTCTCTTATCATGATAATTGACAATCATGATCAAAATAGATAGCATGGAACGCCAGTAGACGAGATCGCGATTGACAATGGCTTCGCCGTAGCTTTTGTTCTGGGCTCTCATCGCAATCCAGGCTGGCTCCAGTAAGTTCGATAAACTTGAGCCCTTCGCTTCTGCCACTAACAGTTGTCGAAGGAGTGCGAGACAAAGCTCTGCTCGTGTTTGGAGGATACTTTCGAAAATCGGTTCAGGGGAGAATGACTCAGCATTTGCATGTAGAGATTGGCTGACAATTCGAGCCAATAGAGTTTGATCTTCTCGTTCGCGAGCGAACAGCATACAATGCTCCACACAGAAATGATGCAGACTCTGCAAAAGTGCAAGCTCCGAGTCTACAAGTGAGAGGTTGGCATTTGCGCGTCGAAACTCAGCAGAGAAGGACTGGTCAGAGGCCCTGCTTGGGCCTCCATTCCAGTGGGAGTCATGCACAAACAGCTGGTCTCCGAAGTCAACATCGTAGAAGAAATTGAGACCATACCGTCTTTCAATCAGTCCTGTACGCCTGATGGTGGAAACGACAAGCCCACTGTACTTTGCAGAGAAGTTCTTCCGTAAATTTGAGTGCAGCGACGCCTTGTAACCTGACACAGTAATTGCATTCTGTGCGAGCCACTCTAGAAGTGGAGTGAAGGTCTTGACAGCAGACTGGTCTTGATTGACTTTCGAGTAATGAAGATGAGTTGTGGATAACTCTGTCACTTGAATTGCAATGGCATTTTGCAAAGACAACTGCACCTCGTCGTGGTTTTGTGATGTGCTTTTGGTAACATAATTGACGAGTTTGTTGAAGAAGTCATTTGAAGACTTCAAGTCATTCGTAACCCATGGCCAAGAAGATTGAGCCTGTGAGACGAATTGGAGCATCGAAATGGCAACAACAGGAGGCATTGCTACGATATCACCAAGTTCCTCGATAGCAGTTTGAAGAAACGTCTTGCCACGAAGTGACTTCAGAGATTGATCTTGGCCCTTTTGCTTTCTTGGATCCTGAGGTAAAGCGCCGGTGAGAAGTAGATTTGCTACCCACTGTTGGGTACCCTTGACTAACAGGGAGAGAAGCCTCCAGATTTCGTCACGAACTTTGATGGAGTGTGATTGCTGGTCAATATGCTTGATCAGGTGTACAAAGCCAAGACAAGACGTTGTTCCGAACTGGCGTAATAAGGAAGTTGGCTGATAGCGTTCAACATATGTGATTGTGGACTGAATCAGTGTGAGGCAGGTCGACCTACATGATGGGTAGAACTGAAGTATTCGAGCGATCGCAGGCAATACATTGAAGACATGCATATCGGTAGATGACAAAGGTAGATCCTGGAGCAGGCCAAATCGAATCAATAATATGGTTAACGACAACATTGACTTGACATTATTTCCCTCGCCAGCGCCTTGACGAGTCATACGTTCATGGCCACAGCCAGCTGCAACGAGGTATCGTACAATAGGTTTAGCTTGAACGTCATCCATGCTGGCTGGTCGGAAAGCCGTTGTCAAGAAGGTGGCAGCCTCAATGAAAACACTGTTGACACCCACGTTGGACTTTATACTGTCTCCAAAATTGAAAGTGAAGCATAGTATATCTGAAAATGAATCTGCTATGGTTTTGTTGACCCGTGCAAACTGTTCGCGGGATGTGAAGGACCATTCCTGGATCTGTTGAAAAATGGCAAACATGATCTCCGTCGATGCCAGTATGCATGGTCCCTGGATGCGCTGGATGACGGAGGGAATCACGCTAGGTTCTGTCCCGGATCGTCTTCCGGAAGACGTGTCTGGTGGCCGACGAGTTATTGCCGATTTCACAAGGGTCCGGTACAATTGAGTACACTTTTCGAGGAAGTCGAAATTGCCCTGAGGAATTTCGACTGCTGAAATGAGTGGTAGCATTAGCCCGCTTGCAGTATGGCGGCCGAATAAACTGCAACGGTTGATAGTGGACCAAACTTGATTTGGTCTGATTTTGGTAAACACTATAGCAAAATCCAGGCATGAAATCAACACTTTCGTGTCAAAGGTCAACGTGGATCGTCGGCGGAACGACTGGAGCTCCTGCTCAAGTATCTCAAACACGTATGCCGAGAAGTCATTCCCTGTGTTTAGATGAGCGCTAAACTCATCCAAAACTCTTACACAGTGCTCCTGGGCAGTGACGATGGATCTAGGAGCAGCGTTTCCCAAAATGTTATGCAACAGAGTCGCTGCGAGTGACACAACTTCAGAAACTACTTCTTCGGTCGACTCTGAGCCCGAAAGTGAAGTCGAAGCGATTCTCAGATAGTAGAGTTCTAGAAGTTTCCCCAGGTATGCGAAGCCCGAGAACTTGTGGTCCCACCTGATGACGCGTGGGAACGACTCGGAAATGACTTGTCCTTCCGTCTGTGGGGGAATAATGCTGTTAACCTCTTGTCCTGGGGTGGTATACTCTAACATCAGAGTTTGTGCCTTTGACAGGTTTACCTCACTAATGGCACTACGAAGCATGACCAAGTTCGCATTTTCGTCTTCCCGGATGGTGGTAAAATCGACATTATCGTCGGCAGCTTGGGTGAAAGTGGTCAGCGCTTTCATACGATATTCGACATAATGTGTTCCCTCTTCGAACACATTGGTCCTGGCCAGAGCCCTTGAAAATTTTAGGAACGGCAGGGTTTCGTAGGGAAACCGCGAGGCTGCCGTGTCGTAAAATCCTTCGAGAAGGTCACTGTTCTCCAGCATTTCCAGGGATGGGTCAAAAAGTATTGAACCGCTTGGCTGCACCTGCAGAGTCGACATCAAAGCTAGCTGAGCTGAAACAGACTCTGGGGTATAACCGAGGGATGTGAAAGATACCGCGACAAGTTCCTGTAAGGTTTGCAATTCGTAGGCAGAGGAGACGGTCGTTGGAGCGGGTATTTGTTTAGTCAGAAAGACGATATACTCGAAAACCTGGCAATCAGCCACGACAAGAGAAAGTAGCTGATCTGCTGGATCACTCTGTTCAGTACTATCTGCAGGATGGCCGTTTGTGATGCTTTCCCAGACGTCCTCAATCGGGCCCTGGTGCTGCGACGTGGTACTACCGCTGGATCCTCTTCGACCGGTGGCCGCGTCGAATACTGCAACTCCATCCACGACACGTGAAGCAAAATGATTGTCACGAGCATTCTTTGCCCGGGAGCAGAGGAATCGTATATGTTGCAGAATGACCGCCCAGGACAGAACCGCTGGCCCGGCGTGGACATTTCTGCATCTTGCTTGGTTGATCATGAGTTCATGGATTTCTGAAGCCGCTTGGGGATCAAGAAAGAACCCTGTTGGTTCGGTTGGCCGTAACAACGAGTTTGGTGACGCCACAGTAGTCAAACTAGAGATGGATGAGGCGGGATTAAATAACGTCACGGTCAACAGAGCCGCGGACAGCTGAATATTTTCGATCACGAGTCGTTGCTCTTCAAGCTCTGATGTGAATGGAGCAAAAAAGTCCTCAGAACGCATGAATTGTAGCCAGTCGAGCAAGTCTGCGCTTGAAATGCCAGTTGCAGAACTCCTCGTCCTGAGCGCGAAAGTCTTCAAAATTTCCACAAGTATCTGTAAACTTGTTGTTTGTGAGACGTCTTGAACACTGAAGTTTTCGGGTTCCTGTAGACTCCATTCAGGGCGGTCTCTCAGAGTCGTTAATTGTGATTGTAATGCTTTGATGTAAGGATCAGCTGGCCACTGGTTGGGGGCACTTTGCTCATTCTGGGCGGTCTCGGTGACAAGACTCTGAACATGGGCAGACGAGATCCTTAATTTGGCAGGTAACAGGCTCATTTCAACCAGTTCTCGATGGATGCGAAACACGGTGACTTGTTGTCGCAGAAAGCGCATGAGCAGCCGGCCATGGCGTGCATTCTGAGTATCGAAGTCTGCATCATCTCGCTGACACGTTCCCGACTGGGATCGTGTTTGCCGTTCCAAATAGTCAGCCCCAACGGCATCTCTAAGACTTGCAAGTTCAGCATCGGACAATCCTTCTTCGAGTTTTGATTCGGGGCGATGCTGCCACTCCAGAACAACCAGGCGGAGAGCCTCCAGCTCTTCGAGACCTGTTTGTGTGCTCAGCCACAGGGCATCCGACTTGATTTCATCGATGGCGTAGAGAGAGGAAGTGGGCGGAACCGTGGCAGTAGAGGTGTCGAACGCAGTTTTTGAATTAGCTGATGGGGTACTGAATACAGGAGGAAACTTGGAAAGAACTCGTTTCGGGCGCTCGCTGGAGAGGATCTCAACGGCAAAGTCGGAGCGTCGGGTGTCGTGGGACAACAATGCATCAAGGAGATCCTCCCAGGACCTGGGTCTTGTCAGTCAAACAGTTTGATAAAACAGCATTTGGGCAGGCTCACGGAATAAGAATATCGCCCGCAAAGCATTTGGCCAAGTCTGGAAGGTAGACTGGGCTCAAGGAGCCGGGAGCCATGCTTGCGAGAGTGCTTCTTGATCATGAATAATGGGTGGGTTTGCGTGGAGTGGTAATGAGTATCAAGTTGTTTTCCACCGAATTATTTACAAACCCAATCCCGAAGCAGTCCACAACCGACGCGTAGCGTGAAGCACGAGGCATGCAGTGAATGCAGGTATTCTTCTACGGTGAAGCAGAGATCACGTGTGGCATACTATGCCAAGAGGATTTCGCACTAATTCAGATCCGGGTGAAGAATCTCCGCGAAACTGAAACTTGAACCTCCTCTTTAACTTAGGTGCCGTAGGTATGTACCTACCTAGATACTTAGGTAGCCAACACCGTGGTACAATTCAAGCAGCTTGAACCGTCAGCAATATGGCTGCAGCCTGGGAACAAGGACTCTGCTAGTACCTGCGCGGGTAAAGAATCCGGGAGACCTTTACTTGCAGGTAGAGTCAATCAAATGGTGCACTCGCTCCGGTCTAGGAAGTTTGCTTCCACTCCGTTGTTACGGCCGAATGAGTTAGAGTCGATTGTCGTATCGTGGAACTTGAACACGAGTACGAAATTCCGTTCTTCATTTTCAGTCCTACCAGTAGGTAGCTATCGCACTTATTGATGCTTAGCTGAGTGTACCTCCCATCGTCTTCCGTGTCCTTCGAGCGCGTCTCTTATCATCAATGGCGACCAAATTCCTCAAGTGGGCGGTTCTACCTCCGACCTTGGTATTGAGTGCTTGGAGCCTTCTGGTGCTGCGCCGGATCAATCAAGTAAATAGGTCTTCCATCAACTTGCACGAGGGTGGGGATCCATCATTCCTGAACAGTCAAACGTGCTCCAAAGTGGTCAACCCGCGAAGATACCAGGCCCGGTCTGACATATGGTCGATTCAACTCCAGCTTCCAGCCTCCGCAGAGCATTTTTCAGATGAAAAGATACTAGCAAGTTTCGTCAAAGGGTTCTTCGGGGGCTGGGTATTCGCTCCAGAAAGCGCTGTGCTCCGTGCTCTCCGACTGAGCCTTGTCCATTTCTCTGGCACGTTCAACAAACATTTTCATGTTGGCACGAGCAACTTACTGACTATATTTGCCAGATCCATCACCTTCCAAGAGCGCTCCCGCAATCTGGTCGTCAAGTTGTTTGAACAAACCAGTACTACCCGCTCTGAATACTATCCTTTTCGGAGCCTTTCATTTGGTGGACAAGTCGATGAAAGACCCTCAAAGTAGACATCCAAACGAATCAACACAGCCAAGCCATGTTGATTTCGCATTCGGATCCGATCAATCCACCTTCGCGGGAGCACATCGCTTCATGGTGTATCGAGATGATGAACATCGTCCAGGTGATGGCAGTGTGGTCAGAATTGCGTTCGCCTCAATGGCTTGTAACCCGATTCACGATAAGGATGTCTTACCCCTCTTCATGTATACCTTTCACAGATTATATGCACATCTTCTTTTCAGGGACGCGATCGCACAGGTCATGGAAGACATCAGTCACTAGATCACCACCGAGAAGTTGTGCTCTCTCTCGATCAATAGTTTTCTGGGGAGATGTACCAGACTTATCATACTATGCTCAGTCAAATTCCTCACCGACCTCAATTACTACCTCTTTGTCTTCCACCACATCGGGAGGCTTGGATAAGTCGGGGGAATAGGTGATCGGCCTGTTTTGTTCGACTGGTCGGACAATATCACCTCGATAAAGATCCATGTTACCAGTCCGAATTGACATGGCCGAACGAAACTTCAGAACATCCTCCCAAATCTCCTCCACGACACTGAAAACGATCCCAAAAGGATCAATGAATTCGACCAGCATTGCATAGACGTCATCCATATACCGAACTTCGGGATAAAGAGTCGTTATCTGTTTGATGAACCAGCCCCTTTCCCACCGGCCACGCGATGCCATTGCACCTGCCAGCAAGATATTAAACAGGGAGGTCCTACAGACTGTGCTCATAAAGTACAAATTCATCTTGCTGAGTTTATCACGCAATGTGTCAACGCTCGATCGTACCCGAGGTGCCCCTGTATTGAAGTTGATCCCATGAAGGTACATTACGAAATATATCGCAATCTGATAGCAACGTTGCATTTCGAGATTTTCCGCATCTGTCAGCACTTTGCTCCTCGGGTCTAGCCTCCGCAGTGCTGCTGCAGTCTCACTCTGGAGCTTGTCAGCAGGCTCCTCCACGCGCCAGGCCAGCATTCGTGCTGACAGACTTGCTCGATGATTATACCACTCTCGATCGGATGTCCAGAGTTTGCGGTCGATTTCGATGACTTCCTTCACGCGTCTCACGGTGTGATTCTCCCTCGTGCGAAGAAGTATGATCGATTGATGGTGAAGAAAAGCGCAGACGATGTTGACTTTGGTTCTAGTAGGGTCAATAAAAGATGATGCCTTGACGTGTTCGAAACTTACAGCGCCAGCTCCGTAAACAATGGAACCTGCTTTCTACCAGCCATGGGTGCAATACGTTTGAGAGCTTTATAGTGCATCCTTGCAGATTCTCCGTCTGCGAGCAAGACCGAGATACGAAAAAGAAACAAAATGGCCTCATAGCACTCTTCAACCATTTGTGGCATCGGCTTGCTCAACAGAGCATTCAGCTCTGCCAGACAGTTGGTTTGAAGCCTAAGCCATGGAGGAATGGGCCAGAGCGACACTCGACCTTTCTCCTCAGCTGGTGGTAGCACGACGCCAGGGCCACCTTTGAGGCAACCTGACAAAAAGATCGACGTGAAAGCAGCGACAGCATAGGCAAGAACAGGCGTGCTTTGAATCTGAGCCAAGTTGTCGAACCAGCACCATGGCTTCATTAGGTGTGTTGCAAAAGGATGAATGACTTTGAAGTAGAAATGCAGATTCGACCTCATTTCCGTGTCGAACTTGAGACTTGGTGGGCTGAATGGGTCAAAGAAATGTGAACCAAGGCTGCTAATTTGTGGTGAGATGAGGTCGGTGAAAATGGCCCAATCCTCAATATCTTCCTTCTGGAATTGGAAGGTCTTCTTGGAAAATCCCGAAGAGAAATGCTCGCTCCTTCGGGTCATTTCATCGTGGTGTTTGTTGAGTCGTTCGACGTTTTTGGCATAGGCGGGATCCTCCATTTCAATCTTGATCTTTACTGGTGGTGAAGAAGGCAGTCCACTTGTTGTCAAGATGGCTCTTGTGGTTGAATCAAGCATGAGGCTTCGCCGGTTGATCTTCCTCCATCCTCGGTATCGGGCAGACACGTGCGAGGCAACTGCTGCCTTTGCGTCTCTCTCGCCCTTGGTATAATTCGACGGGTTGTTCACAATGAATAGAAGAGGCTTCTTCATGCCCTGATCGGGCATTTTCAACTCAGGTACAACAAGTTGACGAACCTGTGGTCACTGCTATCAAAGAGCTAGTTTTGATGATGCCGTGCCAGAGGTCGCCAACATTCTCTACTAGAGTCGACCCGAAAAGGCAGTGTCTCTTCGCGGTATCATCTCTCACCAGATACCCAAAGTCGTCGACCATCTTGATATCCCCGTAATTGAAGCGGAGCTACAAGGGAACTCTGACAATTGAGTCAAATCACATTACCCAGCGAATTTTCGCTTAGATTAAACGCAAAGTGGAACAGGCTGAAAACTGGCGTGATTCCATGAACGGGCCCACGTGCTTGGCAGGCTGTGTGTCCCGCTATCGACCCTGTTGGTCTGCTTCGCTGGTCGTTCTATTCGCCCTTCTGGATTGCTCCAGATCTTATGCATGCTTAGTCACTAGTGCCCGTACGCTTGTCACCTCTGCCGCATTTCAGCAGCACGGCCTTGATACCTCATGAGTGGACGGAATGAAACTTGGATGTGGCTCTTCCGATCAATTGGACGACACCGAACCCATTGGGAAGACATCTCTACCCCATGACTCGATCATTGCCGCTCGGTAGCGGGAAAGGTCTGGATCGAATACGAGTCAAAGACCTCTTGGCCCAACATTCTGTCAAGCCTCTCAAGCTGACACAATGTGCTGTTTTCCTGGTTAAATCTAGTTCACAGGGAGTCTAATTCCAGCAAAAGATGTAGCGATGGCAGGACTTGCGGCATCGTGGATGTTTATAATCTATGTCCACATCCTTTGATTGAGCGTCATCGAGCGAGTGGGTGTCCATGCATATATGATCGTCCAGATAACTGCCTGACCAAACTCACCGCCTTAACCATGGCTTCAAATGTTGTTCCAGGGCAGAGGGATGACACGGTCAAGGTGGAACCTGTGGTGACTCTAAGAACAATCCGGTCGGACTCGAGTGGTCTTAGTGGACCATCCAAGGGCGACGTCGAAGGCGTGGTTGGCGTTTTTGATGCAGTTCGTAAAAACCCAGTCGCATTCTCCTGGAGCATCTATGCAATATTCGTGATGGTCACATCGGCATACACCAACTCTATCAGTGGTTCAGTGCTAGGGATACCACAATTCCGAAAAGACTTTGGCTATCAGTTCGGAGGGCATTATGTTCTTCCAGCGGCATGGCAGGCAGCCTACTATGGGGCTACAAATGCTGCGTGAGTCCATTTCGGAGAAGTCAAACGCGTATGGACTCAGCTAATATCGATTCAGAGGAGTGGTAGGCGCATTTCTTGCCGCAAATGTGGCGGACCAGTGGGGGCGAAAGATAACCTTTACATTTCTTCTGGCCTTTAAGTTCCTCTCCATCACCCTCGAGTTCGTGGCTACGACCAACCAAGTCTACTTTGGGGGAATACTCCTGAGTGGATTTTGCGCTGGTGGGTTTGGGACGTTGTGTATGACATATATTGGAGAAATCGCCCCCCAGAGGTTGCGTGGTGTCTTGACCGCAGCAGCCCCGATATCAATGACCTTGGGATCCCTCACAGCTTCTCTGATCATCAACTTTACTGGTGATCAGAAGACACACTGGGCATATCGCACTGCCTTCGCATCGGAGTATAGCTTCGCAGGATTTACTGCATTATTTCTGCCCTTTATACCCGAGTCGCCATGGTGGTCGACTGATAGAAGGAACGACGGCGAAGCTCTGGAGTCATTAGCAAAGCTGGGATACGATCCATCGAGTGCCGAAGTGCACTTGAGCCTTATCAAGAGGACGCTTGCCAAGACAAAGAATGAGACCATGGGGGCCACCTACCTTGAATGCTTCCGCCGATCTAACCTCCGGCGTACAATTGTCTCACTGATGCCTTTGGCATGTCAGGCATTGATCGGTGTTTCCTTCGTTGCAAGTTACAGTACCTACTATCAACAGCTCGCCGGTTTTAGCACACAAGCGTCCTTCCATCTTTCAATTGTGCAAGGTTTGCTGTCGTTGGTCGGCAATATATGCTCCCTATTTCTCATCGACAGAGTGGGACGACGGTCTCTCAGCTTCTGGGGCTTGTGTTTGCTCACCTTGCTTCTGCTTCTCACTGGTGGTCTGGCAGTGGCAGCCACTCCTGGAGCAATCAAGGGCACGGTAGCCTTGCTACTACTTTATTGCTTCGTTTTCAACGTAACGATTGGGGCAACAGCGTATACAATCTTGGCCGAGATTCCCACACCACGATTGCGAGTCAAGACTGCTTCCATGGCCTTTGCTCTCGAAAATGGACTATTTGTGAGTAATCCAAGACGAAAGGGCTCTGATGGAGTAATGGAGAATGCTAACAGGACGAGTAGACGATGTGGGGTTTCGTTTTGCCCTACCTGTTTAATCCTGATAAGGCGAACCTGGGTGCCAAGGTGACATTCATCTTCGGCGCACTCTCGATCTTGTGCACAATATATCTTTGGGTATTCCAACCGGAATGTTCTCATTTGTCTTTCGAGGAGTTAGATGAACTCTTCATGAACAAAGTTCCAGCCAGAAAGTTCAAGACGCGACAATCACTGGACCAGGCCAATGTTTGATTGCAATTGCGTATTTAAATTCATCATTAGTTACAGCCCAAGACTAAGGCAAGGCCACATTGCTCAGGGGTTCCACATATTAATCTGCAGCCTGGTCTGACTGGCGTACCGATGTACAGCAAAGTTTCCTCGGAGATTGTCCGGGAAGCAGTATCTCATCCTTCTAGAAATATTGATTTACAATGTCCTTAACTTATGCTCTCGTCTCTTGTAGGTAGTTTGATGGAGGATTACTCAGAAGCGCAAGGCGTCGACCACAGGGGCTGGGAACAAGCTTTCTGGGTCAGGAACCGCTGCGGATGGCCGACTTATAACTCGCCGTACTCTCAAATCTGGGGAAATAAAATTGTCCGCCTGCGGTGGGACTATTTATTACCGACTGAGTCACTGGCACTGGCCGAACTCCTTCGACTTGCATCTGGTACGTCGACTTCAACTGAGATTCAACTGTATGACAGACTGTCTGCCCTGTCATCACTATTGACTCGAGAATGTCTCCGTCGGCACTTGTCGATCACTCACCTCATCAACCCACCGCCGCACCCAAGCGAGACACCGCCAACAACCTCGTCCTCATCGACAATTATGACTCGTTCACATGGAATGTCTATCAGTACTTGGTCCTTGAGGGAGCCACTGTCACGGTGTACCGCAACGACAAAGTCAGTCTAGAAGAGCTCATCGCCAAGAATCCCTCACAATTGGTCATCAGCCCGGGCCCTGGTCATCCAGATACCGATGCGGGAATTAGTAAAGCTGCTATCGAGCACTTTGCGGGCAAGATACCCATTCTCGGGGTCTGCATGGGACAGCAGTGCATTATCTCGGTATTCGGAGGCAAAGTCGATGTCACGGGCGAAATCCTGCATGGCAAGACCTCCCCTCTAAGGCATGATAGCAAGGGTGCATATACCACATTGGAGCAGGACTTGCCTGTTACTAGATATCACTCTCTTGCAGGAACACATCCTACACTTCCGCCGTCGTTAGAAGTCTCGTCATGGATTGCAAAAGGACCAGATGGCGGCAAGGGTGTGATAATGGGCGTACGGCATAAAGAATTTGTAATTGAAGGTGTACAATTCCATCCCGAAAGCATTCTGACCGAGAGTGGTCGGGTCATGTTTGACAACTTCTTGTCCATGACTGGGGGGAAATGGTCCGATAATCCACACCTTGCCCTACCAGGTGGAGCTTCAAATGGAAATTCAGATGGGCACCAGCCCTCGAAGAAGGAGTCGATACTAGACAAGATCTACGCTCACCGCCGAGCAGCTGTAGCTGCACAAAAGCTCATCCCTTCACAACGGCCGCAGGATCTACAAGCAGCCTACGACCTCGGCCTGGCCCCACCGCAGATATCGTTTCCTACCAGATTACGGCAATCTGCATATCCGCTGGCCCTCCTCGCAGAAATCAAACGAGCATCGCCTTCAAAAGGTATGATCTCTATCGACACATGTGCGCCTGCCCAAGCTCGAAAATATGCAAGCGCAGGCGCCAGTGCTATATCCGTCCTCACAGAACCGGAATGGTTCAAGGGAAGCATAGAAGATCTGCGAGCTGTTCGACAAAGTCTGGACAGCATGCCGAATCGGCCCGCAGTGCTTCGAAAAGAGTTCATTTTTGACGAGTATCAGATTTTGGAAGCACGATTGGCTGGGGCAGATACAGTCCTGCTCATTGTGAAGATGCTTGACACAAAAACTCTCAACCAGCTGTATCACTATTCGCGATCACTGGGAATGGAACCTCTAGTCGAAGTTAACACTTCCGACGAAATGAAAATTGCCATTGAACTAGGTGCTGAAGTCATAGGGGTCAACAACCGTGATCTCACCAACTTCGAAGTCGATCTTGGCACCACAAGTCGATTGATGGACAACGTTCCTGCGTCAACCATTGTTTGTGCATTGAGTGGCATCTCCGGCCCTGAAGACGTCCAGGCATATCGGAAAGACGGTGTTAAGGCCATTTTGGTGGGAGAGGCATTGATGCGTGCCGCAAACACAGTCGATTTTATCTCCAAGCTTGTTGGAGACCCGAATGTGCTCCCAAGAGCAAAGACCCAGCGTCCCTTTGCTGTGAAGATCTGTGGCACCCGAACACCTGAAGCCGCAAAGGCCGCCATCGAGGCAGGTGCAGATCTCGTGGGCATCATTCTCGTCCCCGGTCGCAAACGATACGTTACAGACGAAGTCGCTCTTCAAATAGCACAAGTCATACAAACCACGCCCAAGCAATCATTCAGAAACCCCGAGTCCCCTGAGTTTGGCGCCACGGATTTTTTCCAACACTCGGCGCAGACGATCGTGCGACCGAAGCGATCCCAATTAGTTGGTGTATTCGCTGGGGCCACCCTCGAACACATCATCACCCAAGTCCACAAACTCAACCTTGACATAGTCCAGCTCCACGGCTCAGAACCCATCGAATTTGCACGCTCAATCCCAGTTCCTGTCATCCGTAAGTTCTCTCCAACGGAGCCAGGCCTATCCGCGCGTGGGTATCACGCCCTCCCGCTGCTGGACGCTGGCGCAGGCGGAACAGGCCAACGCGTCGATCTGCAGGAGGTGCGCGCGCTGTTTTCCCACGACCCGAGTGTCAAGGTCATGTTCGCGGGTGGCCTTACGCCGGATAATGTGCAGAGTGTGTTGGAGAGTTTGGGTCCGTATAGGAGCAATATCGTGGGCGTGGATGTAAGTAGTGGAGTTGAGGACGGCGGTGCGCAGAGTATCGAGATGATACAGAACTTCGTAAGGGCTGTCAAGGGGTGATTGATCTATTGATTGTATAGAGTGACAAGCTTTCTGATATGGAAACGGTGAGTAGAGCCACGGTTGGATGTTCGAAACTCTGCAGTAATAGGCTATTGGAGAGATCCTACGGATTTAACTAGATGTCACTATAGAAATGCCTCGATCCACCTCGACAGTATATATTCAACAGTTGCAGAAACCTTGTTTATTTTCAGCATCATGGAGAACTACCTGCCACTCATAGCTGCGTTGACTTTGTTGTATGGAATTACAGATGAGAGGTAGGCGGGCAAACCTCTAAGGGTTAATGCTTCTGTATGCGTCGTCGCCTTGATTGGCGAGGAGGGGGTGTTCAGAATAGGATGTCGTCTCATCTTTCTGGTCCCTGACATCCTATGCTGGGTGTTTTGTTAGACATGCTCTGGGCCCCTGACCCCATAGTATAGTATGAAGCCTTACTGCAGACCTGACCTCTATATACAACTTCGCGTCGACATTTGCTGTTGTCAGCATTGAAGCACTGGCACTTTGGGTTCATATCACATATTATAGCATTTCATACAAGACATGCATTTGTCGACATCGTGACTAGCTCATTTGATCGCTTCCACGCGGCCAGAGGCGTCTCGAGGAAGACCTCATACTTCCAGGGTCTTGATGGTCTTCACGTCTCGACTTGGTCTGTTCTCAAACATGTGCTCTTCAAACAAGGATATCAAGACCTCTTCTCCTTGTCCATTTCTCATCGAGGTGATCATTACCGTTCTCCTGACTTCACTTTGTGCCTCTCATCCTTCTAAATTATCAACCTCAAATCTTCTCTTTTCCTTTCCTTTCGATCTTCAATCATCAATCCGCTTCTGTGGATGACTTGACGAGTGTCGTGCATCACTTCAATTGCCTTCAGATTTGAAGGATCACCATCTCAGGGTCCTCACTTCTGATCAGATTGAGTCCACTTTTTCAATCATTTCCCAACATCACTTACGATCAATTCACACCCTTCTTGCCCCATCCAAGCGACTCGATTGGATTCATCATTCGAGAGATTCTCGTCATGGGCCGAACCTTCACGCGCATCAATCTTGCATCAACGGGCGACTTCCCTCCGCACAAAAACGACAAGATCAAGGGATGGGTGGAGCACAATGGGGGTACATTCTCCAAGGAGATTGATGGCAATGTCACTCATCTGGTAGCAAGCTCCAAAGCCTGGAAGAGCTATATTCCCATGGGTGAGTCTTCCTTTGTTTGTGATTTGTGCGCTATCATCGGGTGCCCACTGTTCCACTGACGAGACTTGAATGCTCGATTTTTAATTGGACCAGTCCTCGTCAGCAGCACGAAGCCATAATAACACTTGTTTGCCATGAACGATCGCCCCCAAGAATCACTCATTTCCAACCTCATCTCTCCAAATGCCCTTATCAGGCGTTTCCCCAATTAACCAGGCATTGTATATCTAGTCAAAGATGCACGCCGTCTTCGGACCATCCACATCGTCCGGATTGAATGGTTGGAAGATAGTCTTCTTAGCAAGAGTCGCCGACCCTTGGATACTCAGAAGTACGAATGGGAGCGTCGGAAAATACCCAAGAAGTCAAGACGTCGCAGGCCGCAAGAACCCGAAAGCAGGCAAATAATTCAAGTAAGGAGCCAGGTGTCAGACACTCGAAAACATCTCCGAGAAAAGACAAAATGACAAAGCTAGAGGCCAACAGAGCAAGTTCTTCTCGAATGGATGGACTAAGCAAGAGCGAGAAGCTCGAAATATCAGGTAAGACATTATGTGTTGGCTCATTGCGCCTCATTGAGAGGGCATTTGCTGACCAGTGGCAGCCAAGGAATTTGATGCATCATGCGTGCAATTCGAAAAGGATATAGGAGCCGGCAAGTGAGCTGATTAAGAATGGCCAATGAATTATCCTCACCAGTTGTGTAGCCAACTACCAACCTTTTGTCGACAGTAAGGGATTTGTCTACCTCTTGACGCTGGTCAGGAAGGATAAACTGAGAGACAGGCTGGAAAAACATCGAGTGAAGGTGCGTTATGCGCCTTATTGCATCTCCGAGCACCAAACATCCTATGAGATATCCCACCAAAACCCACATTCTCGACGTGCCGACTCGGATCCACACATAAGATTGGATTGTGACAAAGCCATACCTTCGATTGAGGATCAGGAGGCACCGCGAGCGGGAGGTAGGGTTGAGGTGGGATCAGCGCAGCCGCGCCTACCCATGTGCCCAGTACCCTTGTACTATTTCCCAAAGCCATATCCCTATTCTGCATATCCAGTCGTGGCTGGCAATGTGCCTTCATCATTGTCAATGTCCAACCCACGTCTTCGAGTTCGTGTTCCAGATCCGTGGGCTCAGTGTTTGCAGCTTTTCGAATACCAGGCACCGAATGATGGATCCGGCAGCACGATCGGTCCCAAACGCACGAAAGAGTACGCATGCTACACCATCTATAGCCGGCCAGGGCATCGACATGTGGAAACGCTTGCACCACCAGGAAGTACCTTCGACTTTGCATGGAACATGTTTCAAAAGATGTTCAAGCAAGAAAGTGGGGGTGGAATGGGAGGCACGTGAAGCAAGTCCGGTCAAGTCAGGGCAAGAAGACGACGGAGGGAGCCATACAGAGAGAGAGGACGGAGGCGATGATGATCGGACATGGAACTACTTTGGACCGTTACGTCTCAAACAGCAGGTTCAAGTTCCACAGGCTGAAGAGGGAGGTCTGGACGGCAAGGTGGAGAGCGAGCCCAGTGCAATAATGGTTGTGAACACTCCAACACAGGGAGCAGAGTCGACTGTGAGAGCCCGAGCGAACACGCCACAGAATGGTTGGTGACTGAGATCCAAGGTCGCAATCCTTGTGCCGGGAGGGGTGCTCAAGATTTGATTGAAACGAGGCTCGCCCAGGATCATTGTTTGGCGTTTGGAAGGGACTGCCTAAGTCCTAGAGAAGGACGGAATCTGATGACACCGAATCAAGATCGCAGCGGAAGGTTCATAGATAGTCCTTCTTTCTGGATGTTCTTGTGTATTGAGTCAAAGCCCATTCCACGTCGCCCCCAGAGCCAGCCTCGAGTGTGCCGCCTTTGATCTCGAAACATCGCATAGTCATCCGGGGCCCGACCTCTGCGAGTTCGACGTCCCGATAGCTAGTTTGCACAAATACATGATGTCTGACTTGTATGCTGTCCTCGACGTTTCTGAATGTGACCACACGAGTTCCAACTCGATGTGGACCATCGCGGGGAGGGAAGACGTGCTTCAGTATTTGAACGACCCTCTTTCCCAGTCGAGTTGTGAAACCCTCGAAGATCAGATGGGGGTAGGACTCGGAAACGGTGCCCCTGGCCGAGTCTGGAATATCGGCCCTCAAAACAACGTTGTGTAGAGAGAAAGAGGCAGTCGGACCGTGGGGAAGATGAGAAATGGTCATGGCAGTCGGAGTGCCTCGGTGTTCGTGCAGCAGAATGATGTCGGTGAGGGCGGCAGCTTTGGCACTGGCGACCAAATTTGGGAGGATGAGGTTGCCACGATTCATGCGGATGGAAGTGGGGAGAAGCAGGCGAATTTCTTTGGAAAAAGCGGCGAGGCGGGTGGAGGGGCTTCGAGAGGTGGTGACGAGTGGACGCGGGTCGGAGAGCCCTGAGAGCATGGAGTATTCATCATCTATGGTTTCCTGAGCAGCAGCGGCTTCTGGGTCAAGAGACTCGTCGTACTTGAAGTCCTTGCGTAGAGACTTGTCGTTGGCGACCGAGGGGTCTAGAGGTTTGCCTGAGGCGAGGGACTTTTTGAGCAGGGCACGCTTCTCGGCAATACTGGCATCTCGAAGTTGAAGAGCACGCCGGTAGATGTAGTCCCGCCTCTCGCGGGCCTGACGACGAAGCATGGTATAGGAGAACTTGAAGACCGACAGGGAGACGCGTGCAGGGTGACAAAAAGAGGGCCAGAAGGAAAGCGCGCAGTTTGTGGTATGTAAGTCCTACTTTCCAGAGGAAAAAATATAACTCGGCAAACTTTCCCATTGAAGGCGATGCGGGTGACTGCCGTCCGGGGATTTGGGATTTGGGAATTCCGAATTCTGATATTGCATCGCATCTTCATGCCATGAGAATGATTCCAATCCTCTCTGTCTGCCACCCCTTCCGCTCACTGTTTTCGTTGCGCGGTCCTATCCATCCGTATACACCCAAATCCAGGCCCTCTTACTCGCCTGGCAGTCTGCGCATGGCCATCTGAAAGACCAATTCAAAACGTCCCACCATCACCATAACCCGAGCCTTGATGAACCACAACCTCGAGAGCCTCTGCTGCCCCTACGAGACCTTTCTTGCACCCGCTCGCCTCCTGACCCTTCTCTTTCATCATGGAGGCATTCAGCAATATGGGGAACCACTTGGTCTCCAACTCAGCCGCTGCCATCAATGCCACCGATGATGTCTCCGCTCTCGACCCGGATGAAAGTGTTCTCAGTCTGGCTCAAGGTCCTCGCAGACGCCAACACGACGACGACGACGAGTCAGACACGGTCGAAGAGGATGACCTCGAGAGTTTGGCCAGTGCTGCCGTTGACGGCAAGAAACAACTGGCCAAGGCCCAGGACATTGAACAAGAGAAAGAGAAGGAATTGCCCCCTCATGCTTGCGCGTAGGTGGTACCCCCTATCAAACAAGACTCTTACTGATTCATACCCTCCCAGCTACTGTGGCATCCATAACCCAGGCACCGTGGTCCGGTGTCTCAGCTGCTCCAAGTGGTTTTGCAGCGCCCGTGGAAACACTGCTTCCTCCCACATCGTCAATCACCTGGTTCGCGCCCGCCATAAAGAAGTCCAACTCCACCCCAGCAGCTCACTTGGTGACACGGTCCTCGAATGTTACAACTGCGGAACCAAAAATGTCTTCCTCCTCGGTTTCATCCCTGCCAAATCAGACACCGTCGTGGTTCTCTTGTGCCGCCAGCCCTGCGCCGCAATGCCTTCGTCCAAGGACATGAATTGGGACACCTCTCGGTGGCAACCTCTGATTGAAGATCGCTCTTTCCTCTCCTGGCTGGTTGCCCAGCCCACTGATCAAGAACAGTTGCGTGCCAGGCATCTAAGCCCCCAGATGATTGCCAAACTGGAGGAACTGTGGAAAGAGAATGCAAACGCCACCATCACCGATCTGGAAAAGGCTGCCAATATCGACGACGAACCCGCCCCGGTCCTACTCCGCTACGACGATGCCTATCAATATCAAAATGTTTTTGGTCCCCTGGTTAAGATCGAGGCCGACTACGATCGAAAATTGAAGGAAAGCCAGTCTCAGGACAATCTGACGGTTCGCTGGGATGTGGGCCTGAACAACAAGCACCTTGCCAGCTTTGTGCTGCCCAAGTTGGAATTGGGCGATGTCAAGCTGGCTGTCGGTGACGAAATGCGACTCAAGTATGCTGGCGAACTCCGACCGGTCTGGGAAGGTGTGGGCTATGTCATCAAGATTCCCAACAATCAATCCGATGAAGTCACGATCGAATTGCGATCCAAAGGTGATCACAAGTCCGTCCCCACTGAGTGCACCCACAATTTCACCGCCGACTATGTGTGGAAGGCCACCTCATTCGACCGCATGCAGCTCGCCATGAAGACCTTTGCTGTTGACGAGATGAGTGTCTCGGGTTACATCTTCCACCGTCTTCTCGGACACGAGGTCGCTGCGGCCCCCATGAAGACCCAGATGCCCAAGAAGTTCAGCGTGCCAGGTCTTCCCGAATTGAACGGCAGTCAGATCAATGCTGTCAAGTCGGTTCTCCAGAAGCCTCTCAGTTTGATCCAGGGTCCTCCGGGTACTGGCAAAACAGTCACCTCAGCCACCATCATCTACCACCTCTCCAAGACCAATGGAGGTCAGGTGCTGGTCTGTGCACCCTCTAACGTTGCTGTGGACCAGTTGTGTGAACGAATCCATCTCACCGGTCTCAAGACTGCTCGAGTCACCGCCAAGTCGCGAGAGGATGTTGAATCCCCTGTCGGCTTCTTGTCCCTACACGAGCAAGTCAGAATCAACGATAGCAACGTCGAGCTGACCAAACTCAACCAGCTCAAGTCGGAACTGGGCGAACTGTCGAGTCAGGATGAAAAGAAATACAAGTCACTGACCCGAGCCGCCGAACGTGAAATCCTCACCAATGCCGATGTCATTTGCTGCACCTGTGTTGGTGCGGGCGATCCTCGACTGGCCAAGATGAAATTCCGCACGGTGCTTATCGACGAATCCACCCAATCCGCCGAGCCTGAGTGTATCATACCCCTGGTGTTGGGATGCAAGCAGGTTGTCTTGGTGGGTGACCATCAACAACTGGGTCCGGTCATCATGAACAAGAAGGCGGCCAAGGCGGGCCTCAATCAATCGCTCTTTGAGCGCCTCGTGATTCTCGGCTGTGCCCCCATCCGTCTCAACGTCCAATACCGCATGCACCCATGTCTGTCCGAGTTTCCATCCAACATGTTTTACGAAGGGTCGCTGCAGAACGGCGTGACCATGCAAGACCGCTTGCGCAAAGAAGTGGACTTCCCATGGCCCGTGGCCGACTCTCCCATGATGTTCTGGTCCAATCTTGGCAATGAAGAAATCTCGGCCTCGGGCACATCCTATCTGAACCGAACGGAGGCTTCCAATGTCGAGAAGATTGTCACGCGATTTTTCAAGGCCGGGGTCAAACCGTCCGAGATTGGTGTGATTACCCCGTACGAAGGTCAACGCAGCTATGTTGTCAGTTCCATGCAAGCGAATGGCACGTTCAAAAAAGAGTTGTACAAGGAAATCGAGGTGGCATCGGTTGACGCTTTCCAAGGACGAGAGAAGGACTTTATCATTCTATCGTGTGTTCGCTCCAACGATCATCAGGGAATTGGTTTCTTGAGCGATCCTCGACGTCTCAATGTGGCCATGACCCGGGCGAAATATGGATTGGTCATCCTGGGCAACCCCAAGGTCTTGTCCAAGCATCCCCTCTGGCATTATCTCTTGCTACACTACAAGGAGCGGAACTGTCTTGTTGAAGGGCCTTTGACGAACCTACAAATATCCCTGCACCAATTTAGTCGACCTAAACAGTCATATCGTGGGCCACAGCGATATCAAATGGCCTACAACCACGCCAGCCACATGGCTAATGGAATGATGAATGGTCGACCGGCACCACGTGGAGAATATCGTGAGGCAGGTTCTGTAGTCGGCTACATCCCGGATGATGTGTCGTCGATCCATTCGTCAGCAATTGGTGGTGTTGGGGTTCCGTCGGGTTATCCTCCCATGTTTCAAGGTTTTACACCGGACAACTGGCCTGCCATCTCGGCTGCCAATGGACGACGACAAAACGGGGCCAAACCCAGACCATTCACAGCCAGCGTGGCAGGTGAGTCGACTGTTGCCACCGAGTCAGATATCACGGGCAGTGGCATCGGAGGTGTGGCCTTGGATCAATTGTCGATTCACGACACCAGCAAGCCCGCCAGCTACAATCAAGCGGATCGCCTGAAGAGATATGTCGAGGGAGGTGGTCCCAATGTGGGTTACCTCGGACCACACAAACTCGGCAAAGGCGCTCTTGAAGACGAAGATGCTCGAAGTGTGTCCACTGCGTTTGCCAGCCAAATCGGGGGCGGCTACGACTGAATCAGCCGGAAATGACGACAAGGTTTAATGACAAGACAGGAGCTCACAAATGAGCATCCATACTCTTACAGTTACTTATGATGCAGTCATCCATCAGTTGGCAAGGCCCTGTATTCAGCAAAACTACACTGGGTCGGTCAGTTGAACAGCTTCTTGATGGAATTACCGATCGGGCAACCCGGCATGTGTCGAGTTCAGCATGGACGCTGTGACAACCGCCAATCCCTCCAGGCCCTTTGGTAGAGAGTCGATGGCCAGGGACTTGATCGCCATGGAACCAGTGAATGCAACGGCGAGAGCAGATCGAGCTAGATTGAGGAGAAGAGCGACATCAAGCCCATGGTCCAGAACCGAATCGGCGGGAGTTGTGGGGAGAGAAGTTTGAGGTGAAGACACTAGCCAGGCCTAACGCTAAGGACAAGTGCTGTACTCGTAGACGTAGAGGGAGGTTGAAGCAGTGGTGGAAATGATGGAGCATGTGGCGAGGATCAGAATGGAAAGAATTATTGATTGTTATTACTACCTGGGCACAGGTTTCCTGTCGCCACACACTCGTTAAGTACTCGGATAGAAAAGTAGCAGGCCTGAAGCCGTAAAGTCGGAACTACTTGGACTTGAGGTCTCTACCTCGTACAAGGATCGATATGGTGTGCACCATTGCGCGAGCACCCATTAGATACTCGGTTGTTGATGGTGATCTGTGGGATCTGGAGTCCCAGCTACCGAGTGCGGCGTACCGAGTGGTTCGTATGAAGTACCGAGTACGGAGGTGCCCGTTAAATGATCAGGGATTTGCTGGATTAGCCGAATTTCATGCATATGGCCAGATCTCACACAGGGGTTGTTTCTGTCTGGTGCAAAGTTTGGCGGGGTTCAGGGGGGTGTTTCCTCCTACGAAGGACCCGTACCTGGTACTGCGTAATGGGCGCCTCCTGCCCCTGGAGTCAAAGTGATAGGCCGAAACATGGCCTCGCAGACGCCCCTAACTAACTTGGCACTTTTGATTGCCGACCCTACCAAGTCAGAAGCCTAAGAGATCCTTACTCGCACCTCAGGTTAGGAGGGGTGTGTCCTTGGGTTGCCAATAATCAGCACCCCCTCGATGCCAGTGCCAGCCCGCCAGGTTGCCCTTGGCCCTCCATCCGCTCCTGACGATCGATCCTCAATCTACCGTGTCCAATCGCCCCTCCCGCACCAACGTCCAATTCTCCGACTAACATCTCGACTTGAGTTTCGGATCATGCGTCTTCCGACACTTTCAGTTCCATCTCGCAGCTGAACCTTTCAGGAACCAAAGACTCGTGACAACATGCGACGGGGATCTGCTTGCACCTGGAATGGGCTCGTGTCCAGAGAGCTACCTCACGACGTCTCTCCTCGTCGACGGACGGGCTAGACAATTCCTTTGTTAGTGTAGGTTCACAACGGTAGGTTTGCAGTGTTTTTCTTCTCTTTTCCCACACTTTTTGCTCTTCATCTGGATGTTGCAGCATTGCATTGCATTGTTGAGCTGTTTGTGATGAATCTGGAAGTTCGGGGAGTTGCTCTATCACCACGACCGTCCATCCAAGGTTGAAACGCACCGAACGCAGAGCGAAGTGGCACGGGAAACAGAAGAACCATCTCAATCCCAATCGCTCCCTCAAGATGGCCATCGAAACAATACCGAACCAGAGTGCAATCAAGACTGCCTTTGAACATCCCATCTACGCATCCGATGGCTCGCTTCTACCATTCAGCTCTTTATTCGACAACCACCATGAGAGCTCATCTCCTCCTGATCGAATCCTCGTCATTTTCATTCGCCATTTCTTCTGTGGTAACTGCCAGGAGTACATCCGACGGCTCTCCTCTGTTGACTCTCCGTTTCATCCATCCCACAAGTCCCATTCACCCACAAGCAACAAAAACTTCTCCAAGCCAGCCTCGCATCCACTCCCTTCCGTGGTCATCATCGGACCGGGACTGCCATCATTAATTGCCACATATATCCGCATCACACAATGTGCTTTTCCCGTCTACTGCGACCCTTCAACTCAATTGTACGATCTCCTCGGCATGCACCGCTCACTCTCCCTCGGTCACAAAGCACCCGTCTATATCCAGCATTCCCTCTTCCGTGGAGCCATCAAGTCCGCAATGCAAATCGTCAAACGGGTTGGAAACGGGGACGCCACAGGTGGTGGGGACTGGAATGTTAATGGTGGAGAGTTTCTATTCTTACAGCCTCGAGTTGACGTGGTCGAGACCAAATCACGATCTCCTTCGAGATCTGCTGGTGGGAGAGCACAATCTTCAACTCGTACCACCGCCTCGCGTTCAGTATCAAGCTCGAGTTCCGCCACTACGTTAGGCTGGGAAATTTCATGGTGCCATCGAATGATTAACTCTCGGGACCATACAGAACTACACCAATTACATTACAACACCTGCTATACCGCTGCATCTTTCGGTCGAACCCCATCGCCTCCTCGCTCAATTCTGGTCAATGGAAATGGAACCCGCCAAGCTGTACCCCAACCATCTCAAACCTTTCCCAATGCTTCTACTGAGTCGGTCAAAAGTCATCCAAGTGATTGTCAAGGTGCATGTCCGGCACCAGATGTCCCGCGATCCAGAGAACATATCGTAGCACATCGTTCGCAATCTCCGGCCGCTGCCAAACGTGCTGGCAGTCGTGGTCGATCGAGAAGTACGAGCACCGCTACCAGCACAGCGACAAGTCTACCCCGACCGAAATCATCTGCGTCCCGTGGGCATGGCCATCACCGGAATGACTCCAACACCTCGGCCTCTTTCCAGGACGCACAGCCGCGTAAGAGCTTCTCAGAATCAATCGTGGAGAAAGTGGGTGGCCTGGTCCGCTCCAAATCCCATTCCAAATCATCCACCCACCCTGAGACTGGTGGCCATTCTTTAATGCGCAGACCCTCCACTCGATCACAGAATCACGAGACACACCGACCACGGATGTCGTTAAGTCTTGCGCGTTCCAAAATCATCTCGAGAGCACACACAGACCCCGTCCTATCCGCGAGCATTATTTCTGCTCCAATTCCCACCATCCCACCTCCACCCTCCGAAGCCACATCTGAGTCCGACTCTTTCAACAACACCAACACCCACTACAAGAGCCACATCGTAGGCCATGGCGTCACTCCCGCACCTCTTCCGACGCGATCTCGATCTCGATCTCGCTCTCGATCTCGCTCGCAATCAGGCTCCAAGGCGCGGACTCCATCGACTCGGAATGGAAACCAGGCTGAAATGGATGAGAACGGTATCATGGTTGTGGACGGTGTGGAGTTCGTCAATGTCATCTCAGTCCAGGCCCGTGTAGACGTTGCGAGCAGAAGCAGGTCACGAGCAGCTTCCGTACATGCCGATGCAGCGTTGCAGCTGCAGCAGCAGCATCAACCCCAACATCAACAAAAGCACGTCGAACCCGAGAAGGAAAGGGAAAGGGAAATCGAAAGGCAGCAGCAGCAGCAACAACTCGACCAGTTCCGCCAATCACGACAACCCCGTAATCAAGGCTACACCCGCGGCAGCGTAGGTCTGAACCTCCTGGCCGACCGAAGCACGGCGGTCCTGGCCGCCAGACTGGCCGCGACCACCACTCCGCAGATTGGAACGAGTGAAGCGCCGGGGATCGTCGGTGGGAACAACCATTCGCATTTGCATGCACACGCGAAACTACACCATCCCCCGCAGGTGATGAACCATCGCCAGACGCTTTACAGTCACCATCCGCACGGCGGGTTTGAGTCGAACATGGGCCTGGGCGTTGGCGTCTCTGCCATCTCTTCGCATTGAGTGTTGACCGCCATCCTTGGTTTGTTTCCGCGTTACATTTTTGATGTTTAGTCTCTTCACCATAGCGAGCGAGGCGCTTGAGCGAACGAGTTTTGGAACCGGGATTTGTTTGTTCTAGCACCTTTCATGTTTTTCCCCTTTTCTCTTCTTCATCCTCACTGAGAACATTTGTCTGTTTCTTCCGTACTTATCAGGCCCATGGGAGGTATTGGGTCCAGGGCGAGCGCTGGATGATGAGCTCCTGCAGTCTGGAGCTACTTGAACGAGAGCAAGTTTTGCTGCCAGAATGGCGCGCACCTATACACCCCAGACGGTTAGCTCGATGGTGAAGGAAAGGGGTTTCCAGATGAATCGAGCAACTGGGTTGATGATCCGATCTCGCGGGTTTGAGATTGTCAGGTCAGCGCACGAAGAAAACACCAGTTTATAGGCCAAGAAATGTGCTCAAGCAACGAGATACAGGTGTGCTCGCGGGCGAGCTACGTTGCCGAAGGTCCCTTTCATCAGTTTTGCGCGCCGAGAATTTCCTTGCTGTCTGTCTTGGAACGATGAGAATGTTCCGTACGTCGACAACCATAGCGAGAGCGAGAACGTGACAGGAACCTGTCTATAAGCGTCAAGGTATATGTCTAGCTTGACAAATTTTGAAAATGCCAACTCGTTCTGATTGTGTACGTCAATGAAAGAAAAAGACAACAACATCATTGACGTTTGAAGCTTCCATATGAATACCAGAGTTACGTACTTCTTTGGGCATGCATGGCCGGAGTGATACTGAACTTTGTTGCCATGGTCGTGCGTTTAGAACTAACAGGCACGTATGTTCAGAATTTGGTTTTGTTTTCTGATATTATACTATGGCGCGCTTCGGCTTGGATTGCAATCTGTCCTAGCACATTGGCTATGTCCACTATAGGAAAACAGATCACATCTTCAGCATTTTCTTAAAAAACCCATTAACCATGCCATAAGGGAGATCAGAAATGGCAGCGGCGCGTAGTCAAGTAGCCACAGCCCTCCAAACATGCATCGATCTTTGTTCTTGTGCTCGTTCATAACCTAAGCTCTTGGGCTCTCGGTACTGGGGTATCATAATGAGTCTTGTGTTCGTTGCCATGTTTTGGCGTCATAATTCAATCTATGTTTCGTTTCCAATTGTCGATTCAGTCCTACAAGCATCAATACTGGCGAGCTTGTCCCAATCATTCGAAGTATGAGGGAGGCGCAGGACTACTTATTCCCGTCCATGTCATTCAGTATTTGCATCATGGTCTTTCGCGGGTTTCGACGCCTCTTTAGGCGCCATTTAGTATCGGTGGAGAATTTGGAATCGGCATGGGGCTTCGTAGATCAGTGGTGACTCCTTGATTGAGAAAAATATCGTTTCCGTTCCACTTGATGCTTTGTGGGATTGTGACCTGGTTGGATCCCCCACAACACGACCGAACGGGAGCCGCAGGTTGTACTGCCGGATGAGGTCGGGAGAATGGAAACGATTCTAGGTGCTCAGTGGCATATAGAGATTGCTGTGACGGGGCCATGGTAAGTGAAATGGGTTGGGGGTCAAGCTCGGCACCTGTAATCGGAAACGGTTGAAATCCGGGTTGGGGACCAAGGTGGGCAGGTGAATGCGGGATGGCGTTATTCAAATCGATTGCAATGTTGTTTGAAAGGATAGAGTCGAAATTGGCCAGAGGAGAGATTGCGGTGATGGGATGAGGGACTTGGAGGGAGAATTCATAAGGACCCAAACTTGAGGCAACAGTGGCTTGACCAACATTGTAATCCGTACCACGAGAAGCGTCGAAATCCATCCAACTGAAACCATTGTCTCCCAGTTGACTGTCAGAGAAATTCCATGTACCATTTGAGTTGTCGGGAAGAAGTTCCCAAGGTACCGAAGTATCGACAAAATCAGGCTCCGGATTAACAAACTGATCACCAGTCTCAGGAGTGGCTGCCAGAGGAGCGGCGGGAGAGGGGATTTGAGAGCAATGGGCGCTCATGGGCTGGTTGGTCCAGGAATGTTGTTGAATGGGATAGGTGAGATATATCGCATTGGGATTGAGATTGTCGGAAAAGAGTTGTTCCAGTTGCTGTTGAGAAACACCGGGGGTGCGGGAGAGAAAGAAGGATGGGCGGCCTCCCATACAAGAGGTGGAATGGGCTTCTGGGACAAACGAAGTGTTTTGAACCAAGCCTTGACCAGCATAGGCGTGTTGAGCGAAGTTCTTGACCTGCTGTTGTGTATGGTTGATGGAAGTGGCGTTGTTGGGATGATCGGGACAGTACAGACATGAACAGCCCGAACCACAAGAACACGCAGTCATCCAGGGATCCACGGCGGATTTGAAGGCGGGTGGTACCTGGTCGGACATGAGAGAATCGTGGGCGGGGAGGGCCGAGAGATTTTGACGATGACGGCAGCCTGAAGGGGCAGTGGTTGAGGGAGGAGAATCGAGTTCATGCTTGGGCCGGGTGGATTTTGTTGCACAGCAGGACTTGATTTCGGGAGTGGCAGTGAGGGTGGGAGGAAGACCTTCTTCTCGTTCCTTGAATTTCCGTTTCCTCTTGTTGTATTCCTCCTCATCGATCTGCTTGCCATTGGCATCGGCCCAGACTTTCTTGAGGGTCATTTGATTGCCATCAGCATCCTCCCAGACAGGCTTTGGAGTGGAAGTGGCATCGCGGCTGATCAATTGAGGGCCATCGACTCGAACAATGACATACATGTCCTGGGTACAGGAACAGTCTCTTGAACATTTACACGTCTTTGAAGTGCAGGCACAGTTTCGAGGGCATTGACAGCCGCGTTTTTGACCACCCGAAGGTCTCCCTGGTTGATTTGTTTCGGATATGGGCCTCGTCTTGCCATGATCGCATTTGTGAACTCGGTGACCTCGTTTGCAGGATTCGCAGGCATAGGTCTTGCCGTTGATGTGTTGAATGGCGGTGATGGTCGGATCTGACTTTGGAGCGGGCTTCAATTTTTTAATTTTTCCATCTTCAACGCGAGCGGCCTTGGGTGGGCTGGCGACTTTATCGAAGGGCTTGGGAAGCATGATCCATTCGGTGAGGATGAGGACTGAATGGTGAAAAGAAAGCGATTGTAGATGGGTTGTATGTTCAAGCGGCGGAAGGAGTTGATTCGGTTTGTCAGGTGTCCAGTGGTGGCAGAGGTGGGCAGGGGAGTAAGTAGAGGGGGGGACAAGGCACAAAGGACGATACGGAGTACCACGCAAGTGTGGGTGGCGACGGCGTGGGACAGCCTCAGAGAGAGAGTCCAGTGGTGGAGAGATGTCGCTGAGAAGAGCCTAGGCTTGGTTAGTGCAGTTGGTTCCTGTCAATCTGGACTGGCGTGGATCAGACATCCATGGATGACATGGGATGATGGGGATGGGGTTCATACGAGGGAGTGAGATGAGATTGAAATGGTTAGATGTATGACCGTAATGGACGACAACGGTTTATGGCAGAGGGAGTGATAATATAACTGGTACCAGAACTAGGTGCGCCTACCTGACCTCCATATCTCTCTACCTAGTCCCTAGGTAGGTACTGGCGACAATGGGTATCATAGGGAGTAAGTGTCCTCGGTACAGAGATACCTTAGGCAGTACCCGTCCGAGTCCTTACTTAGGGAGGTATAAACTTAACCACCCTCGCCAGGGCGACTTAGGCACTACAGTGGTAGAGTTCCAAGGCCACCTATCAATGGTCCTCACCACCCTCCTTCGCCCTCTCTTTTTAGCCCCTCTTATTAGTGGACTTCACGTTCGGCCCATCTCCAGATATTTTAAGGGTCCGACAGGCGCTCGGCGTACTTGCCGTCTAGGTACCTTAGGGAGGTAGGTAGCCCAAAATGTTGTGTAGCCGAACTACTTCGCTGTCACCGTCAAAGTTCTTGGTGGGAACAGTACCAACCAGTAGGTAGAGAACCCAACTCTTCGCGACGTTTCGTCGACATGTTCTACGAGGTACTCAAGTCCTTGAACAGCTCCTTCAAAAGCCTCGCGATCATCACTTGAATTATATAAGAGCCTCCAAATTCCCACCGGCCTTTTCACCTTTCCTCGAAGTAACTGGTACTCAGCGCGGCAGTACGAAGGGCCTCCTTGCCATACTGGCACCATAAAGCAGCAAGAACGCTAGTTGCTCCTTGGTACTGCTAGGCATCACACTAGCTCGTTTAAGCTCTGCATCCTCAAAATTCAACAGCCACGTTACAGAAAACGCGTCCTACGAGTGCGCTTGCCTTCCCCAGACCTGGCAGCCAACCTTCAGGTTCAGCAAGTAGTAAGCCAATATGACCGACAGCAAGACAAAACCCTCGGTCACGAAGTCCCGAACCAAATCCATGTCCACTGCTTCAGCTGCGTCTGCGTCTGCGCCTGTGGCTGCGTCTGCATTATCCAAGCAACAGTCCGGCCACCCGTGGTTCTCGCTACCAGCTCCTCTCCGGCATCTTTTCGACCGGTTCCCTCTCGTCACCTACCCAGCCAACCTCCTCCCTCAACGCACTCCATCCATACGCAATGAGAATGTCCTTTATATCTTTCAAAAGGCCGATCCGAAAAGTCGAGATGCCCCCTCTTACAATCCCTCTTGTCTAAAGTGGCAAGCCTATCTCAAGTTCAATGGTATACCACTACATACCCGTCCGTCCAACAATCATGCATCTCCTTCCGGCGCCCTACCATTTCTACTACCGGCCACCAAAGAGAGTCAACGACCCCCATCGCCCGTGCCTGCGAATCGAATACCCAGGTGGGTGGTCTCCCAAGGGGGAAAAGAAGATGCTACCCATCCTCGACAAGATGCATATACTGCCTTGATCGATCACAACATCAGAGCTGCCTGGCTCTACTACCTCTATCTTGATCAAGACAATTTCCAAAATGTTGCATGGCCCATGTATGTTGCCTCAACTTCATCCACAGCTACCGTCCGTTCGAGCCTAGGCCGTCAGTTACAGTCCGCCGCCAGGGAGGAGCTGTTCAAGACGAATACTATTATTGATCCTGGCCATCTCTACAATCAGGCCAATAACGCTTTTCGTGCATTGTCGGTCCTACTTGGCGATGACAAATTCTTCTTCGGACAGACAACCCCAGGTCTGTTTGACGCCAGCTTCTTCGCATATGCCCAGATCATCCTAGACGATGATCTGGCGTGGGCAAACACTAGCCTGAAGTTGGAGCTGTTGAAACACAAGAATTTGGTACACCACAGGGATCGTTTGATCCGGGGGTTCTTCCGCTTGAGCCGAGACCGGACTGACAATGTGGTGATTGTGCCTCAACCATGACATTGGACTACTTCTTCCTCAGGATGCCTCCAAACCACACCTTAACCCCGACCCATTTGGCCGACCGCTCACCCAACCGAGTCACCATGCCTGGTTCGACAGACACTTCCTCTATGGCGTCCACCACCTCCAGCCCGTACTCGGCAGCTTTGGCCTCTACATCCTGTATGGTGTGAGCATAGCTAGCCGGGCGAATCTTTTCCCCTGTACTAGGGTCGACGAAACCGGCCTGACTGATCCCACCCATCTCGGAATGCATATTGGTCAAGAGCAGGAACCCGCCAGGTTTGAGCATTCGTGAGGCTTGACGAAAGAAGCGATCGGCGGGGATGTGTTCAATGACCAGAGTCGAGACGATGGCGTCAGCCCAATTATCGAGAGAAGCCGGGACGGGCTGCTCGATCAAATCCAAGACATCGAGTTTGAGTCTGCCCGACGCCACCACGTCCTTCAGCCGCTCTCGAGCGACGGTCAACATTCCAGGACTCACATCCAAGCCGATGACTTTGAGGTCCGCGACCTCCACCAGGGCAGCGGTGTTGCGACCCGTGCCACATCCCAGATCCACCACATTCCAGGGTCGCGGGCGACGGTCGGAGTCGAGGCGAGTGAGCATTCGGGGAAGCCAATGCTTCATCTGGATGGAGTCGAGGGCCTGTAGGAAGTTGCCGTCGGTGTCATAGACGTTGGCCCAGAGATCGTATGCTTGAGCGGTCTCGAGGTAGCGGATTGAAGGGTCTCGGATTTGAGGAATAGCCATGGCCGGACTTGTTTTATTGTATGTGGGGTTATCACCGCCCCTTGTGTTAAAAGAGAACCGCAGAGCTGTACACTATAGATGGTAGAATGATCACTGTGTTGTTAACAATGAGAGCCAATCCCTTGATTACCTCGTCCGACGTTGAACGTGATGTTGATGTTTATTTTGTTGAGTATTATGACTGGTAAATGTGGTGGAGGGGAGCCAGATTCGGGTTGGAATAAAAAATATTCGGATCCAAGTTTCGCGGTCTCTTCTCCGCACCAAGCTGAAGGCTGAAGAAAGCCAGTAATACACACTCCCAAAAGCCAGCCTTGAATGAGTCATATGTTGTTCCAATGCCAATGCCCATCACAATGATCAATCTGCTACGTTCTTGATTGGTCTCAGGTTGAGAGAGAGGGCGGGACCTTGCTTCCAATAATGGGGTGTGATCTCTACGGTTCAAGCCTCTTCTGCCGCACATCGCTCTTCAACATCATGATGTTAAGTTCATTTGGGCCCTTTCAGAAGGAATACGGGGTCATGTTTGAGCAATATGATGCCTAACTAGGTGGGCGTCATTAAGTACGCACCGACCGACCGACCGAAGATACCTAGGTGTGTGTGCTCAAAGTCGTTCACCGAGTATGTCTTCCCAAGGTAATTGCTCCCACAAAGGCATGACTCACTGCAACGCCTTCGCAAACTCCTAGCCGGCTGAGATTGACGAACCCAAACCAGGTCCCGGATCAATTCATGCAACAATGCCTCATCAAGGGGTATCCAAAAGCAAACAAGTCATATCGCACCCACGCCGAAAACGCCCCCACCCTCTCTCAGATCCTCCACGAGATCTTGCACATTGCTCAAGTGCTTGCCCAGAAGATTCTGCTTCTCTTCCGTCGTCCTGGTATGTAGAGGGCCATCAGGTTTACTGTCGGCCCCGTTGACCGTCTCTCGCCGTCGGTCAAACGCAGCGATCAATTCTTTGCCTCGACCTCCCAGGATTGCGGTGTTGGTGGCGGACGTCGAGGTGGATAGTCGGGGCGATGGTGTTTCGGGCATCAGGTAGAAATACAGGAACTCGACCAGCTTGAGTTTGACCTCTCGAGAGGTGCCGCGGGACTTGAAGAGAGAGGTTACGACCAACAGTCCATCGATGGTCTCGAATGTTCGCGCGTTTTGGGATTGATCGAGAAGGGATGTGACGAGGGCCATGATGGTGGAGGATTGAATGGCGGGACAATTGGAGGGATCTAGCAGGTCGAGAAAGAGCTATGACGGGTCAGTATGAAGCAGGAACCAGGACCAATATTCAAGGGGAGAGAGATTGTAGCTGACATTCATGTATATTTCTTGAGCGAAGAGAGCTCGCGATGGAGGATGCAACAGTAGAACGCCTTGAATAAGATCGAGGGTCTGAATGACCAATAGATCATGAGTGCCGTTGCTCTCCTTGCCCAAAAGTCGCTCCAAGCAGGCGACCAGTCTCATAGCGATGTTCCATTGAAAGTTCTGCTGTAGCTTGAAGAATTCGCGAAAGGCAGGGTCGAGAGGTAAATCTGATAATCTCTTTCCTGGGGCAGACGAGGATCCCAGCAGAAGCATGGATTGTCTCTTGTTGGCAAAGGACGACTTGGAAAGGCATAGTTGGGCTACGAGACCTTCGACCTGGCGAAGGCCTTTGCGGATCTTTTGAGGGGATGTTGATGATAGGTAGTCGAAAGAGTGGGATAGAAGGGATTCCATGTTTGTCCAAATGGCGAGCTTGAATAACCGTAAAAAGATTCGCAGCCGGTATAACTTGAAGGTTTCGTAGAAAGGTACGAGTGCTCGTAGGCACTTTGATGGAGGATCTGGTTGTCAAGGCCTCAACAGGTTAGATCCAAACACTGCATGGGACTTGAAGGTGGGGTTACTTGTCAGTCGCACCTGCTGTGCTGCACTGGCGTCACGTTTCATTCTGCCACCGCCTTTCAAGACTGCCAGTGCAGTGCAGCCAAGACGGGATTCTCGTTCTGCCACCGCTTTCAAAGCGTCCTCGATGGTCTCTAGAGGGCCGGCCTGGAACTAGAAGTCATAGGCCCCAGCAGTGCCCCGGTCAGCCCCAGTTGGCGCTCTTGGTCCCTGGACAAGCCTCGTCGTCTTTCGTCATCTGATGCTCATTATTATTCTGGCTGCATCATCATTTGCCTCATGCCTGAGCTTCATGTTCTTGACCTGCTGGATGCACATGCTCTGGTTAGGGATCCAATTCCGAATCCCATTCAAACGCGGATGCCTAACCGCCGACTACCTCAATTTCTTCCTCTTACCCAACCTTGAAGCGCAGTCCCTCTCTTCAAGCAGCTTCCCTTGATACTACTCCCCAATCCAACTGTCTGTCCCACCATCACATCCCGCATGTCAACTACCAGCGTCGCCGACAACCCGGCTTCCCCCAATGCCATTCCCGTTCGTTACAGCTCTGCGGGCGTCCAAAATGGCATTCAGCATCAAGCCTCAAAGTCCGTCCTCAAACCTCTCCCGGAAGACAGCTGGATCGCCCAGAAGCACCATTCCCTGCCTCCGCAACCAAGTCCACCTCTCTCCGAGCAACCCACTGCACTCAACAGGAGGTATTCCAAGAGAAAGTCTCATCTAGAACACTTCATCCCTCCCAGAATGGGCGATTGGACCCCACAGAAAGAAAAGATCATCCTCGGACCCTATGACTACCTCTTTGCTCATCCAGGCAAGGACATTCGAGCGGCCCTCATCAAGGCCTTTGACGCTTTCCTGCATGTTCCTCCCGGATCCCTTGACGTCATCACCAGAGTCGTGGGCATGTTGCATACCTCCTCTCTCTTGATCGACGATGTCCAAGACGGTAGTCAGTTGCGTAGGGGAATCCCCGTCGCCCACAACATCTTTGGCACCGCCCAAACCATCAACAGCGCTAACTACGTCTACTTCATCGCCCTGCAAGATCTCCAGCATCTGACAAACAAGGATGAAGCCATTGAAATATTCACGACCGAGCTCCTCAACCTTCATCGGGGCCAGGGCATGGACCTGTACTGGAGGGATACCTTGACGTGCCCCAACGAGGATGATTACCTGGAAATGGTCCAGAATAAGACCGGCGGCTTGTTTCGCCTCGCGGTCAAGCTGATGCAGGCAGAGTCCGGCGAGAAAGGACGAATAGACTGTGTCCCTCTGGTCAACCTGATGGGCCTCATCTTCCAGATCTGCGACGACTATCTCAACCTCTCCTCCACCACCTACACCAAGAACAAAGGTCTCTGTGAAGACCTGACCGAGGGCAAATTCTCCTTCCCTGTCATCCACTCCATTCGGAGTAACCCGGGCAATCTTCAGCTCATCAACATTCTGAAACAAAAGACCACCGATGACCAAGTCAAGAGATATGCTGTCTCGTACATGGAGAGCACCGGCAGCTTTGCCTACACTAAACGTGTCGTCGACGAACTGAAGCAAAAGGCCGCGATTTTGATTTCGGAAATGGATGCTGGCTCGGGCAAAGGTGATGAAGCCAAATTAATCCTTGATCGCATGAATCTCGAGTAGCACCCTCTGTCCGCGCCTGTGCTTACTTGGGGCGGGACGTGCCTTCACTTCCATCCTCCTGCACGCGGATTACTTGTAATTATGAATGATGACGTAGCAGCACCGTTCTGCCATTGATACCAAACTCGTTTACAGCCCCTCAAACAGTCGAGAAATGGATACTGTTTCAAACAAGTTCATGGCCACTCCCCTTCGTTTTCCATCATCTGTCAGTGATCAGGGCCTGCTGTCCAATGTTCGCCCCGGCGAGACCAGAATTTCTGGCCGACTCGGAGATGGCGGATAGATCCGTCCATACGGCTCGGGTCCGTTTCCACGACAAAAACCCAGTCGAGGGACAACTTGAATGCCACAAACGCCCGACTATATGACCTTTGATGTCCTCGCTTCACCACACGTCTCATAAGCTGACTACTTTCACCACAAGTATTGTCAACTGAGTCACTTTCGTATCCTTAACAAATAAACGCACAATATGGCCTCCGCAGTCCAGACACAGAGTTTTCCTGCTGCAGAAGTACGCAGGCTCGCCGTGGATATTCTTCAAGGCAATGGCTTGTCACCGCGTGACGCAGGAATAGTCGCCAGCTGCCTGGTAGCAGCCGACCTGAGAGGCATAGATACCCACGGATGCAATCGACTCCCTTCTTACATGGAACGCATCCGTCAGGGAGTGCTTGATCCCAAAGCAAAACCCACCCTTCATAATGCCACTCCCGTTGTCGCTCAAGTTGATGGCCACAATGGATTCGGCTTCCTGGCAGGATCCCTCGCAATGGATAAGGCGGTGGAAATGGCCAGGGTTTACGGGATCGGTATGGTGTCGGTCAAACACTCGAATCACTTTGGAATGTCCGCGTGGCTGGTGCAAAAGGCCATTGATGCAGACATGATGTCACTCGTCTTCACAAATTCATCGCCCGCCTTGCCAGTCTGGGGTGGTAAATCAAAGCTCCTGGGTGTTTCACCGCTCGCATGTGGTGCACCCGCCGGAGATTCAAAGCCCTTCATTCTGGACATGGCCCCCAGTATCGCAGCTCGTGGGAAAATATATAAAGCCAAGAGGAGAGGCGAGAAGATCCCCTTGGATTGGGCATTGGATGCCGATGGGAACCCAACTGATGATCCTGAAAGGGCCCTAGGAGGCGTGATGCTTCCAATGGGGGGCCCCAAGGGATCTGCATTATCGATCATGATGGACGTCTTTTCAGGAGTCCTTTCTGGCTCTGCGTTCGCGGGACATGTCACAAACCCTTATGACCCTTCGAAGCCTGCAGATGTCGGCCATTTTATAATCGTCATCAAACCAGACCTGTTTCTCTCACTCGAAGAATTCAAAGAGAGAATGGATTATCTCTATCAACGGGTGGTGGAGTCGGAAAAGCGTCCCGATGTGGATCGTATCTACTTCCCGGGTGAAATCGAACAGATCACTCAGGAGAAGCGTGAAATTGATGGCATCCCATATACCCAGTCGGAGATCACCAGTCTTAACGAGGAAGCTAGAAACGTCGGTGCTCGACCACTGACAATAGATGCATAATTAATGGAGACAAACTCTACCATTATGCTTTTCGACTTACGGAGCCATCCGTGCCTCTCCTACTCGCTCCGGGATCTTCCCGTGGCATGACATCAAACCCGGGTTATGCTCCGACGAAATCTTCCCTTTCGTTCCATGCCCGCCAGTTTCATGATGCAACACTACTGCCAGTGCGTCACTTTAAAAGCCTGTAAATCCTGCGATTTGTTCGGTAGGCCAGGCTGATTCCTTCATAATGCCACAGCCGCCTCAAGATGGCGGAGAAAAGGATGACTTCTCAAAGCGTCCTGCCAAGATACCTCGGATCAGACTTGCCTGCCTCAGATGCCAAACCAGGAAGATCAAGGCAAGTCGCCCCCATTTATTCACCCACCACAACTCGGACCTATGGCAGCTTCTTGGATCTTACCTATCTCATGTTGGAGTTCTCTTCATCCACCGACTATCTCGTTGTGTATTGAAAGCCAGCAAGAGAGACACTTATCTCGAGGCACAAATCCGGGCAGATCGTACTAACCCACTCAATTTCAGTGTGACGGGTCCATCCCTAAATGTTCCGCCTGTCACAAGGCTGCTGTTGATTGCATAGACGGCAAAAAAACATACCAGGAAGGTAGCATCTCCCGAAGGCAAGACAATTACAGACGCATTATAGTCAGTCCTCCTCTAACAACATCATTTAGTGAAGCCGCCACTCTGCATGACCGTATCCGCTATCTCGAGGACTTTATCCAAGACCAGTGTCCTGGCATGACTCTGCAAGGTCTATCTGGTCTTCAAAGCGCTACAGCCCTGAGGCGACCAAGGAACGACAGTGGGCACCATCCTGAACGAGCCAAGCTCCCAAGAACAGGAGTGTCCAATGCAATCTCGAACCCCATCATAGACAATGATCATGAATGTCTTCTAAGTCCGGACATGAACAGGACCTCGCCAGCAGCAGCGATTGAACCTAGAACGGCTGACGACCTTGCCCCCGGCACGACACACAATGCAGAACGCGAAATTGCACACGAAATAGGACTGATACCCCTTTCTGCCGGAGTCAGCAAGTATGTCGGCCCTTCGAGCGGGTTCTCCGTTGCCAGACTGGTATTTGCTCAAGCAGAAAAGGCTAGTCCGGGTATTATTCAAGGCATCGATAGTCACGGAGCACGGAAGTCAACGACGCCGCGGTTCAAGTTCGTTGTTGATGCTACCGACCTCCCGAAATCACTTGATCAGACTTTAAATTTGTCAAGGACATACTTTGAGCATGTGCACAATCTATACCCATTCCTTCATGAGCCCAGTCACTATCAGCTCATCAAAGACATATACCGTGATATCGACCACAGCTCGCCAGTCGATAAGTTTCAGGTGACAATGGTCCTGGCAATATCATCCATTATCTTGTGCAAAAGAGCCCCAATCACATACACAGGGGAAGGTCTGAGCAAGACGGCCATGAGATACGTCGATCAGATCGACTTTCAAAGTTCAGTCAAAGGTGTTCAGTGCCTCCTTTTGATCGCAATATTCACGTTGTATAGTCCATTCCTTGGTATTAACCCATGGTATCTGAACTATCAGTCTCTCGCGGTGGTACTTGACCTTGGATTGCAGCGGGACGTATCGGTCAGCGAATCAATTAGCCCTTTTGAAAAAGAGATGCGAAGCCGGGTATTCTGGGTGATATATACTATCGATAGGACCCTTGCTACCGCCTTGGGAAGGCCGATTGGTCTTCGCGATGAGGCTTGTGATTTGAGGGTAAGTCTACATACAACCGTTTTCGTCCTGGCGCGCACGAGCCGATATCGTTTGATTGATAGCCCACTTGGGTTACCTCACCGAAGAGCTGGTGCACGATGGGACCCCTACATCGGTCGATGCTGCTTTCTGGGACGTGCCTGGCTGACTTTAGAACTTAGCTCCCTGATGGAACCGCGGATGATGATTTCAGCTCCAGCTCCGAATCATTACAAATATCAAGAAATTATCCTGCGAGTTCATCACCCGCGACTTGCTCGATAGTCATATTTCGCTTGGCTCAACTGAGCTCTGAAATCAAATACATTTTACACAGTGTCACTACCAACGTCCCCAGATACACCTACCCACGAATTCCCGATATCTCGCTTTGGCAATCCGACCTCGAAGAACGACTGCACTCATTGTACTCTGAGATTTCCCAATTTTCCCCAAGGTGGGGGCACTTGACCAAGGTCTGCGAAATCAAGTACCACGAGGTGGTTATGCTACTTTTTTTGCCCACCCCTCGCATTCGCACTCCGACAAAGCGAGCTCTAATGGAATGTTACAAGAGCGCCGAACGTGTCATCCAACTCTGGCATGAGCTTTATGATTCGGACTGGATATCATATCCTTGGACTACGATTCATTCTCTTTGCCTGAGCTCCATCACTATACTGTACTCTATCTGGATGGTACCCGAAATGTCAGTCTCAATCAAGATAGATGACTTTACTAGCACCATGCGAGCATCATCAAACGTACTAAGTGCCGCTGGTGAACACTGGGCTGAAGCACGGCGTAGTCGCAAGAGTCTCGACGGACTGATCGCCGCTACAATCCGTTGGCTGTTAGACCTGCGACTGAACAAGCATTTCGAGAACAATGGCGGAGTTGATATTGCCTCATCCCAGGTGACCCAACTGCACGGAACCCATTACCAGGCTCCTGGGAATGTTGAAGATCTACCCGAATTTGAACTTCCCATACTGGACAGTTACGTCAGCAGCGAGGATTTTGCACTGTTTGTGGGCGCACCAGATCCACTTTCCACGAATTTCTCCCTCTCTATGGAAGGCCTCTTCAAAGATTATCAGCCTTCTTTCGACTTCAACCTTCAGTGAAGTGGCTCCTACCTCGCCAAATCTTCATAAACGACCCCATTGGTTTCCAGTGGACACGTTGTTTTCAAAAGTTTCGCACCTAGCCATGCCTTGACCACTTCATCATGTTTGGTCTCATCCCAAACCGTGAGGCTCTTGGTGAGCCACACCGTGCACATGTACTGGCGCGTACGTCGACAATTTGCCTCGTCATCGCTTCTCTGCAGCCATAGATTTCTTTTCTTTCTGCGCCAGCTGCCAAAATACCCAGGCCCCGAACAGCTGAGCTGCACTGAAAAGGGCGTGCAGAATCGGTGTCACAACTTTGAACGGCAGTGTCCACTGGTCCCACAGCGATCCCCAAAGCCAAAAAACGATGATGGTCTCAAAAGTGGTACCCACGACTTCGGCAATCGCCGTGCTGACAAATAATCGATAGCTCAAAGAATGTCGACCTGGATGAAGGCGGTAAAGAATGATCGCCAGATGAGGCCAAAACTCAGCAACAACATCAAAGGCACCTAGCGATAATCGAACGGTCAGTAGGTGTCACATCAAAGTTGCAATTCGAAAGACATGACTCGAAAGACACACCCCAAACGAAGCAGAGAATAAACTCGAAAGTAGCGTCTTTCTCATGCGTGAAGTTCAGGCTGATGGCCACGGCGGACTGTGTTATGACAATTGCCCCGATGTGATGCGCAGCACTTATGAGACTGATCGTCCTTCGGAAGAAGAGCTCGAAGACGTACATCGCCGTGAACAGTTGTGAACAAACAATCATCAAATCTCCATTGGTAATTTTGTGCCCCGGTACCAGGGGGGACTGGAGACTCGATTGACCAAAGGCAACACTGATGAATGGATAAGCTGCGGATAATAAGAGGACGACTTTACAGCCAGCAGCAACATGATGATTGATAAAAGTACATTGTTGCGTCGAATCTAGCGGGTCGAAACACTTTTTATATCTCTTTGTGCGCATCAAGCCCCTTTCGATAAAATAGGTCTTGACAAGAAATATCACGACAATGGTGATGGTGAGTATGAGAGCGGAGAAGGGAGCCAGTGAAGAAATGGAATCGTTAATGAGGTGGACGAGGTGAGGCCGGTCATCGTCATCATGGTGAGTGGACCGACCAACGATTTCCGTGAACAAGGACTTGGTGGCCATGTTGAGCGCTCTGTCTCTGGGAGTCTTCCTGACGGGGGATGAAGCAAATATGCCTGGACAGCGCAGTTGAAACCCATATTGTGCGGTTGCTTTGCAGATTCTACTCAACGATATAAATAACTCAGTGCGAGTAGTTGATCCCTTGACAGTGATTACATAAAAGACTTGGAGAAAGGAGAAACTCAAATGTGAATCCTCCGAAATTATCTGGAATAGTCGAAAAGAGGCATCCATCTTGAGAAGAGCCACCGCTGCCCCAAATTCAGGCCGATTGGGCAGCTACCTCTCATTTGCCTTCCGCCTACTTCAAGCTCGAAAAATTAACACAATGTGGGGAAGTGCACAGACCAAAGCGCCAAATTAAATAGAGGAACCACGATGTTCAGAAGTGAGATTTAATCTTTGTTAGTTGAATTGTGGATGTCAACGAGTCACCAACAGTTGAAGCTTACGCGTCACCGGACAGGATATGTCCTACACAAGTTGTCCCCTCGACCAGCGATCCAATTGTCTGTGATCTCATGTGAGCACTATTGAATGATTTTTGGGGATTTTCGGTCTGGTCCAAAGAGTCCTATCCGAAACAGAAGCAGCCATTCCTTCATTCACTCAATCTTGACCGAGATCCCGCCATTAAGGCTGCACATCTGCAATTGCCACTCCAAGTTCACTATCACCTTGTCCTAAGGCGTACGTCAGGCTTTAGTTGGTGAAAGAAGAGATGTGTTCTTACCAAAGTACAAATACCATTTACCTTTGAATTGGACCAGACCCTCGGCAAATACCACTTGATTGACTTGGCCTTCCTGCTCGTTCCCCGCCTCCGGAACCAATATCGGTCGTTCTAGCCGTGCAACCGGACCATCTCGAAGGGCCGGCTGATATGTCCCTTGGCTGACATTGAGTTCGGGTCGGAAGGACCCTGAGGGATCTATCAACATCTGCCCGACCGAGTATTGATTCTGCGAGTAACCGACCCGACCCGTGGTCATACCGTTGTAGACCAACAGCCATTTCCCATCCCTGGTTTTGATGGGTGCCGGACCAGGCTCGATCAGTCGGTTCTCCCACGGGTTAACTGGTCCGGCGAAATATTCCTCCGCGGGGAGAGCTGTCCAATTATGGAGGTCTGGCGACGTTGCGTGGTAGAAGAAGCTGTCGCCAAAGTACATGTGGTACAAACCATCCGGGGTAGGCTCCTTTACAATGGCACCGGACTTCGTATGATTGAGTCGAGGCGAGGGGACATCAATATCAGAGTATGCAACGTCCTGAAATCCGGGGAACAGCGGAGGTTGTTTGATCCAGTTGAGCAGATCAGTCGAGGTTGCCATGCACAGCTGTGCCGTCACGTTATTGAAGGCAGTATACGTGAGATAAAACGTCCCATTTACGCGCACTAGCCGGGGATCCTCGGTACCTCCGATTTCTTCCCATGATTCTGTGGCATTGACAATGGGCCGATTCAAACGAGTAAAGTCGACCCCATTGGTGGACCAAGCTAAGCCAATCGAGGAGGTTTTGGAGCTATTTTGAGCTCGGTATAGCAAGAAAACAGTCTCGTTCAGCACAATCGCGGTGGGGTTGTAGAGGTAAGCTGATTCGAAGTTTGAGCTTGGATTGGGTACCAAAATGGGGTTTGAAGCATACTTGTTGAACGGGAGGATAGGAAATATCGGTGCAGTGTAGTTCGCATCACCTTCTAGTGTCTGCTCGCTGATCTGGAAGGGTAGGGCTGAGGCAACGCTTGGTGGCGAAGACTGAGCTGCTGCAAGCATTGCAGAGTAAGAGATACACCACCAGGGCTTCATTTTCTATTGCGCAACACGACAAGATGACAGGTGATGAGGATGCAACTTCGAACGAGGTTCAGATGGATCAGCGTGTCCTCCATCAACTCCATGTTATATCAAGTTCTGGACTTGCATGCCGTCAAGCACTTCCATCGTCAGTGGCGTTGAATACCAAATCTTCCAGTGTAACATTCCCGGGTGCTCTCCAGGCACAATGGCTATCCAGGATCTAAGCGATGGTTCCTATCCTCGCCTCGGCAAATCCACACAGCAGGAAGACGTCATTATCAAAATGCGGGGAAGTGGCGGAGTAGTAGTTAACCAGAAGTAGCTGCAGGTGGTGTTGCCAACATTACAACGAGGAAACGAGCAACACGTATTGTAGAAACGACGCGGAGGACTAGGTGGCAGTATTATATTACTCGAGAGGGAACAAATGATCTCCCTTGGTAGTGATCCATGTCATGTGCCCTGCAATTCTCGTTTCGCTTCATCCCAAATCTTGGTGATCAAAGCCTTCTTTTTATCAGATCGCACAGTGATTTCGCATTCGAAGGGTTGAGGTATTGTCATCCAGCCTGGTACCATTGCCGAGTTAGGTTCGATCACATTTCCACTCGTGTCGACTTTTTTGGCAATGTTGAATGCCCACATCACCCGGGCGATATTGAGGTATAAAGATTTTTCGGCGACATGAACGCCGGGGCAAATCCTTCGACCTGCGCCGTAGGAAAAATGGTCTCTCTCGTCAGGGTTGGCGATATTGATGTATGAAGCTGCAGGAAGGTTGTATCCTAGGAACCGTTCGGGATTGAACTCCTCGGGCTTGTCCCAATGACTGGGGTCATAATTGATCGCCCTGACAACGTGATCAGCATCAAATCAAAAGCGGGAAACGAAGACCTACCACCAATTCAATACCACTACAGTGTCTTTGGGGATGAACATTCCGTTGTACCAATCGTCCTCAGTCGTATAATGCTGCATTCCAAATTTGTTGGGCGGTCGTGTTCTCAACAACTCTTTGATGATTGCTCTTAAATAGGGCAAATTGGGTTCATCCTCCCATGTGGGAAGTCTTTCTTCTCCAACCACTCTGTCGATTTCTTCCTGGGCCTTTTGCATTACACGAGGGCTCTGAGTCATAGCCAAGATAAAAGAGTTCAAGAAGGCCGAAGTTGTCTCAGACCCTGCTTCAACAAGACCTCCTGTCTGGTAAGCCGCCTGCAAAGAATCGATGCCGACCTTCTCGGGATCGCTCAAGTAGAAGTCTTTGGCGAAGCAAGGTCTGGCTTTACCTTCGTCAACGTCCTTTTTCAAGTCTCCCCAAAGTTTGAGATACACCACCGAGTCATGTGCAAAGCACTGTTCACCAAATTTTCTCCAGTTGCCAAATAACCATTGTGGAAAGTGCCGGACAGATGGAAAGGTATCGACGAGGAAGGCGCCTGGAGCAGAGAACTGCTGCAAGTTGTTTACAACGCTATAAATCTTCTTCACCAGCGGGTTATCCCAATCGGCCATGCGCTGGCCATATGCAACTGTGAGTATGACGCTAGCGGAATAGCGACGATTATGGTCGTAGAAGTGTTCCGGATCTCGGAGTAAATCGAACATAAGTTGTTTCGACTCCAGATCTTGTACTGGCTGATAGCTAGTGGAAATGTTGATGTTGAGCAGTGAATGAGCAATCTTTCTGACCACTCGATACTTCGGACCATATGGCATGAATAACTGGCGCCGTCCGGCTGAAGCAACATCGCTGGCTAGCGGGGCCGGTGGCCGAGAAGAATAGATTGCCGATTTCTTGTCCATCAACTCCTTGACAGTAGTCGGTGAGGACAGATATATGTAGTCGGATCCACCCATCTTGGTGTAAAATACTTCGCCATACTGTTTGGCCCATGCCTGGGCTTTGAAGCGAAAGGTCTCTGCATCGGATAGCTGGAAGAAGTTCCCAAGGAACGGAACTCCACGAGGTCCAGGTGGAAGATGCTTCCGACGAGAATCTTTCCAACTATTTGGCGTTACCCATAAATAGAAACACAAAGCCAGAAGTAACGGTAATGCAACCGCCCCAACGAGAAATAGTCGTAGGAAGGGAATATGTTCGAAATCTTGTGATGTAAAGGACGTCATCGTCGCCCTCAAGTGTGCGAGTGATCGAGGAAGGGGGGCGTTTAGACAGATTGGTCGTAGTCACGTAACTAGGGTGCGAGAAACCTGATGTTGCTCATCAAGGATATGGAGTTCATGATGGAAGACATTTGACCCTAGATATGGTTGTGGTGACTCAACATCGACCCCTCATGGAGGTGGCGAGCCTACCACGTTCTCAAGTACCGAAGTTAGATTTCTAGGGATAGCTTCCACACACGGAGAAAAGGGTTACTGCTTGGATGATCAAAGAGACTCCGAAGTTCAAGCCTTGCAATTTGCAGTGCTTCCCCACGATGACCCTGTTGAGGTTCGGGGATGCGAAGAGGTTTATGTGGGGTAGCAACCCAGCTTGGTACGTATCTGGTGAGCTTGGAGATTCCCCCAAATCTTCCAAGGCAGGCCCAGGGAAAGGCCGGAAGGGAAAGTAAATCCATGGCCAATGAGTCACTTGCATTCGAACACCTTTGATAATTGGTGATACCTTATTCTCCCGGTCAATGACGAGCGTTGCATAAAGATAGAATGACAACGGAATGGAATGCAAGGAGTCTGTGCCTCCTGGTATGTGGTTTAAAAATGTCTCCTGAGTTCTGAATCGAACATGGTTTGACATTTGAGTCGAAGAAAGTATTCAAAACTAGCGTACATGTGTCCCATTACCCTAATCCACACCATTATTTACTTAACCCACTGTTGCATGCAATAAGATTTTGATCGAGAAATCAGGCATTCAAATGTCTATGGCCATAGGGAGCGTGCTGCGCACTACACCTGTCAATATGTTGCATGCAATTTATCATGGTCGGGAATTGAGGCTCTGAGTGTTCATAGCCGTGAGCAACTGCTCGCGACCCTTGTCAATATATGTTGCATGCGATAGAACCTTGACCGGGAACTGAGACATTTAGTGTTGGTGGCTATGAGCAGCATATCGCTTGCGATACTTGTCAATGTGCATCTTGGCACCAGCACGGTATGGCTCAATGTCCAATGCCTCATAGCGTCTCTTGAGACCAGATTGACCCGAGGTTTTGGCGCCTTGGGGATTGGCAGCCTCATACGCAGTCAGAGCGGAGCACTCATCCTTGAAAGATTGCTTGTTGACATAAGCAGAGGCGCCGATATCGTTGGGTCGTTCGATGAATTGCAAAGCGAGACCGCCATCCAAATGCCATGCGATGTGGCAATGCATGAGCCATGCGCCCGGGTTATCAGTCTCGAAGCCAATGACGGTATAGCCAGTTGGTTGCCCGGGACCAGCGCCACCTTGCAACATGACGGTATCACGTCGCATGGGGTTGGCAAAGTTCAGGCTCGATGCCTGGGCGGAACCAAAGTTACCCTGGCCCTGTCCAAGAATTGAAACGTCGTGACCGTGGATATGCATCGGGTGAGAAACAAAGAACTGGTTCTGAATAACAAAGTAGACCCATTCATTTGCCTTGTTGAGAGTAATGGGGTTGCTAATGGTGTTGTTGGTGCCAGAGGCCAAGGTTTGGAGAGTTGGGTTGTGGAAATCCACATTGATCACGGCATTGTTAAGGAACCATTGGAAAACTGTGCCATCATCGTTGGTGGCCACCGAGGTCAAAGCACCGCCAGGAATGGTCGATGAAGAGCCTTGGAATTGGCTCAAGGTACCAGCGGGTTTCGTGTTGTAAGGCACAAGGCTAGCAAGTGGCTCGTCTTCGCAGATGGCAGCAGTCACATTGGTGATAGCGGTTTGAGATAGAGGGGCGGCAGTGGAGTTGGCACCTTCATAGGTGATGATGGCGTTGGCGACACCAAGGCCAGAGTTCGCACCACCAGAGGGGCACGCAGTCTGGAGAACAGCACGGACGAAGTATTTGTCAATTGCCTGATCAGCCTCCAAGATGACATCATAGCGTTGACCATTAGCAATCTTGACAGTGTCAGTCTTGTAAGGCTTGATGGGAATGAAATCAGCGGCGATGACAGTGAGAGTGTGTTTATCGAAACCAACGATGAAGGAATTTTGAGCGGCACTGTAGAGTGGAGTTAGCATTGTCCCGAAGGAGCCCTGGCCCTGGGGGTTACGAACCTGTTGATGATGCGGAAGAGATGCTTCTTGCCTGGTTTGACGGACCAGCCGAAAGACTCGCCTGCTTTTCCATCGGGGCTCTTGTTCTTTCCATTGAAAAGAGTGTTGAATGTGCCGCCAGGTCCGAAGTGGGCAATTCTAGCAGCTTGAGCAGCGGCGGAAATCGTGAATCTAACTAGGTCAGTACAAAAAAAATAAAATTTAGTGCAAGGCGACTCACGTGTCGTCCAACATCAGGGTACCCATGTCGTAGTCGTAGTCGGCGGTAGCAGGGCCGTGAATGACGATGGGACCGCGGATACCATCACCAAGTTGAGTGAACATGTGGCTGTGATACCAAGAAGTACCGAAGGAGCTTGCGTGAAACTTGTAGGTGCGGCTTCCACCGTTTCCAGCAATACCACACTCGGTAATACCTGGGACACCATCCTGGTCGTTGGTACCCTCTTGACGAATACCGTGGAAATGAATGGAGGTGCTGTTGTCTTGGAGCTTATTGATGAAAGTCACCTCGATGTCATCACCCCAGTTAGCCTCAATCACCGGTCCTGGAACCTGCCCATTGATGGCGAGAGCGAGTTTGGGACCCGTTCCGTCAAAGACCAAAGTCGTGTTTGTGATAGTGAAGATATATTTGCGGGTAACACCGGTGTGGTAATCGTTCTTGTAGTAGTCGGAGTCGATGCTCTTGTTGTCACACCACTTGGATCGGTGGAGGTTGTCGTTGCAGACATCGGTTTCGTTCTTGATCACGGTAGGGCCGGCTGACTGACTTGAGGTGGTGGAAGACCACGTGCCAGTGCTGTAAGTTGCGCTGCCGCTTGTAGTAGTGCCGTTCCAATAGCCAGTTGTGGAATATCCACCGGAATGGCTACCAGTTGTGGTTGGGGCTGCCGTGGTCGAGGCTGATTTGGAGGATGTCGAGGTTGGAACAACGTTGTTCCAGTCGTCCCACTGGCCATGGTATTCGGTCTTCGCGTTGTTCCAAAGAGAGGCCCAGACATCACCAACGTTGTCGTTCTGGCCCGGAGCACCTTGTCCGTCATTTCCCCAGCCAGCACCAGAACCACCATTACCACCTCCCGGGCTGACGTTGGTACCTGTTGGATCGGCTGGGCAAGTGACGGCCTGTGTGATTGGGCAAAAGGTGTGGGTGCGTGTCGATGTGACAGTTACAACGACATCGTCAGAGGGGGGGTTTGCTGATGCTACACCAAAGGCGGCAGCGGTGAGAAGAATAGGGAAGGAACGCATCTTTAACGAATGGACGCAAGCAAATATGCTTGCAACAAAGGAGTGACTACGGTCTCGATGGAGAAACTTTGGAGGAGGGAGGAAAGGATTGAAGCGAGGAGGGAGAGTGTCGGAAGTATATCAACACTTCCCTTCTCCTTTCTGGAAGCGTGTGCCTGGGACGACCATTCGCCAGCCTGCTCTCAATAATCATGATCACATTCAGGCTCAGCTCCCCATTTCAAACCCATGTTGGTGTGCTGGTCGTACCGTCCATCAGCACGACTGGTTACCCGCCTACCATGATGTCTCATTTTAGCCCAGTGGAGAGGACTAGAGCCAGCCAGAGGAATTTTGTGACCGTCACCGAAACGGCTGGTGAGGGAACCTCCTGGAGAAGCAGGCATTCAACCTCGAGTAATCTTTGGATACGGCATTGGTATCAGCCACCACCATAAAGTTTCCACTTGATCTATGGTGTATTGTTACGTTTGAGAAAGCAGATCCGGCCATCGGGCTGTGGGTTGGCTCGCTTGTAGGGACGCCGGTGGAAATTGGAGTCAAGCATTAGTGGTTTCCTCGGCGTAGCGCCCAAACTGGAGCTACCAATCCAAAGAAGAACTAAAGGGGAAGGCCAAAACAAAGACCCGGTAATATCGAGATGGAAAACCCGAAATAGGAGGATGGTGTCTGTTGGGTGGAGAGTCGCGAAATCCCAAGGGAGAAAAACAGCATGGTTTGCATGGGGGAGATCAGGAGAAACACTTGGCAGTAAGCCTTGGGTCGATTAAGCTCTTCAAGCACTGGCAACTCCAAGAAATCCGGAGACGGCCTGAGAACGATGGGGAAAGGGTATGGAGCAAAATCAAGCAACATAGATTCCCATCGCGGAAGTTGTGACATGTATTCCTAGGAACGCAATTCGCGCTGCAAAAAGTCTTTGAGTGTCTGAGGCGCTTGAGATATTGGACATAAAATATTGGAGGATCATACCTACATGACATCCAAACGCTATCGGTATCTTACCTGGAGCTGCTCCTCGTATGGAAGCCTAAAGCTGCCCCAACAAAGTGAGATTATAGTCCGAGGTAGTCGTGCCTCGTACCGTAACAGAACTTGCAGAAGTGGTGGAAAACAAATGACACCTAAACTCTAAACTTTTGGTTACAGCTGGTCCTTGAATTCCCAATAATCGTTAGATGGGCCTTTCCAAATTTAGTCCCTTCCCCAGGTGTATGGACAGCATCATGATGGCTCTGTCTCTGCCTTACGGCCCTGTCCTTACAAACTCACAGTCGATGAAATGGCAAAGTTGATGCGTAAGAGTGGCAGATGCCATTGGCAATCTTCTTTGCACCTCATGCTACTGGAGTTCGATCGCCACTCCTTAGATTATTGCTGTTCTCTGCTGTGGCGGTTTGACTTCTCAATCGCCTCATGAAGAGACCCAGGTGGGCTAAATGAAAACCAATCACACATTACGTGGCGTTTCGTAGGCTGCATGTTATTGTACTCGTATCACTCTCATCGAAGCGAGGCCCCAACCATCCAGCCCTCCTCGTACTCGGAACTACTCACTTCACACCGAGTACTACGCCACGAGATTGATATAATTATTTGCTGATGCCAATGCTGACTGCCATCCTCAAATCTCTCTATCAAAAAAACATCTGGTATGCAATCCCACCATTGTAAATCCTCCATGCTCAGCCGGCTCTTCGATAATCAACTTTGTCCACTACTCTACCTTGTACATGTTGCCTATGATTGCTACTGGTGCGTGTGACTCAATGATCGGCCTCATCTCTGAACTCGTCACGTGGGTACCCAAGCTAGTGCTCGGTACCAACTCGGTATCAGTATTGCGTACCTTGCTCACCCTGAAGCCCCTGAGTGCTGGTACTGACCGCACGCTTGGGTACGAAGTACGAAAGACCAACCTTCAGATATTATCATTGTTAGGGTGGGGTTCCTTTTATGACTTTTGGCATTTTAACTTAGGTTGACGCAGCTTACCTCTGCGACGACTACGTCGGTCTCTACCTGATATGAAGCAACTTTGGTACATGCCTCCCTCGGTGCTCAGGACCCAGACTGCAAACTTGGCACTCCGGAGGGGAAGCTTGTTGAACTTACCGAGGTACCTGCAAGATCGGGACTTCATACCGTACTAGCAGGCTCTGGTGCGTAGGGTTTGTCTTCCTTTCCAGTTTCTATCCGTACACTTGTATTCATCTGGCCTTAAGCTTTATTAGCGCAACATCCAGACACAGGGGGGCCTAAATCTTACGAGATCAACCCTGTCAATCACGCTTATACCACTGCCCCTGTTAAGCCTCTCCAGGGGTACCAACACCCCCCAATGCATCCTCAATAATACACCTGTAATTGTTCCTGTCCGTTCTGGTTGAATCATCTGGTTTGGAAACCAGACAAATTAGCCGGTGCGAGATCATCACCATGCATGTTCTGCTTTCGTTTGTTTACATATGGATATTGGGCTGCCCATCAATTGGAGATGTTGACTGAGGGCGATAAGACAACTGGTTTCAGATTTTGGGTTGGATCAATCAGAGTCCCTATCCGTATGACCCCGGGGTTTCGCGAGATGGACACAGATATATTTGTCCTACTTCATCGAAAAGCTTGTTCGTTCGACAAACGCTCAGCCCTCGCCTGCCCTTACCCCTGAAAAGCTTCGAGTTGTTGGCCAACCTTGGCGCTGTGAATGCCTCCGCGTGTTCCATTTCCGCAGACCGGTCTAGCATCAAGCTTAGTTTCTTTTGTCTCCCGCTATAAAATCTTGATTGTTCTTCTTTCTCACTCGCAATTTCCTTTGCTGGCCCGCACCTGAGATCCCCAAACTCCACTTACAGGCCTACAGGCCTACAGGCCCCCGCTTCTCAGCCCTCGGATTCTGGATTTCACACTGCACAACGATCACCCGTATTGCCACGCATTTCATTCCTCATCATCGTTGTTACTCATTCACAGCCTCCTTAGCACACCTCTATGATGATCTGCGATGAGATTGCTAATCCCAAATTAAGCTTCTCATACTGATACCTCCCTCACATTGGTTGAGATGAAGTACGAATATGCTATTTGCGGGTCAGCTCGCTTTCTTCAGGTGCTGCATTTCATGTGCGGCTCCAACTCCTCGAGCAATTCCTCTATCCTCCAGGGCTAGGGCTAGATTTATACAAAAAATAATATCGACTGAGAGCCAGGATGTGCGGATCACCATACGATGGGTAACAAGTTGGCCAGAGTGGTCGCTGAGCTGTTTCCCCTCTCCTTTTAAGTCTTGTCTACATTGCCTAGCTCGGTTTTGGAACAATTGACAATATTCTGCATCTGTAGCGCAGTCGTAACACCATGATCATGAAAGGCTACATTGGGTGGGCGATAACCGTGCTCATGCAAGTTTCGAGGACAGCCACCATGAGTAAACTTTCTCATCTTGGATTATTTAGAGTCAAATCTACATAGAGTGATCATCAACATGAAAAGGAACAGTCCCAGTACGGGCATTCCATGGGGTCTGGATGCTGCAGGGACCCATAGAGTTGAGGTCAGGCACTCGAGCAAGCAATACCTCGAGCATACAAGAGGCAGATCCAGGGGCAAAATTGGAGAGTTCGTGCTCAGCAAGTTGCACTGTGAAAAAGGTGACACCACGCTCGAAACCCCAATATCCGACAGTGCCAGCCTCGGAAGTACGGCCAACAACGGCAGCTTCTTCATAATAAGTGATAAGGAAACGATTAGATTATGATTAGAAGCCTTTCTTCCCATTCCACTAAACAGTGGTGGTCAGCATTGGTACCAGAGAAACTAGGTGGACAAATCGTACTGTGACATTCTGCAGAGCGAACATAGTACCATTTGAGGGTAGAGCGAGATCGAGGTTTCGAACACTAGTCATAGTGTTGTGTGTACAGTATGCTCAGTCACCCTTTGCAACATCTGGGATTTGGCTGCCGCAAGTGAGGTATCACTGATTGTGAAGTTGCCGTTATGACCAATGCCGAAGACAGTGATGTCCGAACACCTTTGCCAATCTGATACCATCGGAGCATTGATCGTAGCCTCTACGTCACTTCTATTGAGTAAAGCATCTGTTCCTCGCGCGTCATAGTGGCCTGGAGTGATGGGTCTCAATGGGTTCTACAGGAACGGGCATGTCTTGCTGATGTGATTGGCAGCGAAACACGGGTTGCGTTCAAGTCCATCCACATAAGCTAGGCAGAAAATGTCGCATGTAGGATCCTGGGTGATTGAAGGAACAAAGAGGCCAGGAAATGTCACGCGCATTGTCGTAACTCGATTTGATGGTGTCTGATGGTATAATTGATGATGAATGAGGTTCTGCCGTAGGAAGGATATTTAGTGGTAAACAAGGCTCAACCTAGTCTAGATCCATGACGTAGCTTAAGATCTCAACAGGACACGATCCAGTTGGAGGAGGGAACTTGAAGTACTGTTTGATGTAGGTGCTATGGGTTGCAAGAATCGTGAAGGCTGCTTGATTGTTTCTGGAACGTCGCATTCAAGAATAGGATATTGTGCCAATAGTCGACGAATGGCCAAACAAATATCTGCTCTTGGATGACGAGTTCCCCAATGAGTGGGTCATTTGAGCTGATGCCAGCAAGGCTGTAGTGTTCTGCATCCTCCGTGTTGATGAATGCACCTGCAATATGGAGCATAATATCCTGCAGAAGACTCTCCTGCAGCGACGTCAGAAAAGAACCAAGGGCGATTGAGGAACTCGCCAACCTGTATTGTAAACTTTCCTATTCTGCAGCTCAACAGCTGTGGCAAATTACTTATACCAATCAGTAAACTCTGATGCGAGCTCGACCTCGTTTGTGATATCCAGTGTTCTAGTTGAGAACTCAACACCGACTGGTTGCTCGACCCATATGATTTTGGTTAGGTTCTTCCGACTAAACACAGACCTTTAATAGCAATCTGCACAGAAGATTCTACCAATCTATACGAGTTTTGTACAGGGGCTTCTGTATCCGACTGCCATAGAAATTGTCCATTCCCTCGTAGAAACCCTGCCAATCTGCAACTTGGACTTCCATTTAGCCAGATGACAACCTCTTCTGTCGACAGTAGGTTGTCAGAAAGCCGTCGAGTCTCTTCAGAGTGGTTGGAAACTGGCAAGAGACCTGCGTGGGATTCTCCATGTCAAATGGAACATCCGGGATCACCGTTCGGTTCACAGCGAATCGCTCAGTCTTGAAGTCCAAGAGTTACGTACTAGTTCGTGCTATCTTTCGTGGTTGGATGAGGTTTCTCAGACTTTCCGAAGAGATCGGTGGGTTCGTTAATTACCTGGAAGGCTACTTCGCAGATGATAAGTCTGTGCACTAATGCCACACTCGGCTCCAGCCAAGTGAAAGATAGTACAACGAGATGGGAACATCAAGATCATCTTGATTTTGAGAGCGGTAAAATGATTTATCGTGAAGCTGGAGATCTCTTTGGATGATTGATCAGTGAGAGGCTAGCAGTAAAAGCTGATGGAGAAAAAAGCTTGGAGGAAATTTTTTACTTGTCTAAGGCAGTATGGTCCTCATTCTGGCTCAGCCAGTAACTGAATGCCAGATTTAGTTCATACTACATGCCTCCCATGATCATGAAGGCAACTTCGGTCATCCACGCGTCAGTGGTGCCCACCTTTACGCCGCCCGAGCAAGGATCGCTCAGTTGATGGCGTTACATACCACAATCATGCACGATGCTCCGCATTTAGACGTCAAAAAACCAACTCCAGAAGAACTCGCTTGGCAGCGGTAAATAGGGGCAAGGCTGCTTAGTTGACGAATGGAAGGTGGAACGCCTTAAGCTATTGCTCTGCAGTCAGCGTCCGCAGTCTTCTTGGGTCAAAATTGGCACTCCCGTTCGTTAGCACAGGTTCACCAACCTCAACTTTGCCATCCCATGTGGTATCGAGGAATCATGGGGTGTCGAACCGTTCGCTTTCGCTTACAGACGTTTCATGTAGACCTGAGAATCCTTCCCGAGGTCGCAAGGTCAAGCCTGAAAAGTCATCGAACTCTGAAGTGTCGCCTAGTTCAAGTGGCAGTCTGAGTCTTAACACAATACTGCTTAACATGATCTTTGACCCTTGCTTTGAGCGGTTGGCACTCGAGAATCTGTTGAGCTGAACGGTAAAATCAAGAAAATTATTCCATGGATGTAGGGCGCGTGATTCATAGAAATGAAAATTTGAGAATGATACCAATACTGGCAGTACCTTTCGGATTCCGAGTCCTTGCTCAATGCAGCAACGGTATACTAAGTGCCCCCAAGGACCGAACCAAGGCATTGCGTATGGGATCGGAAGGGGGCATTTCAGTGGTGCATCAATCTCAGTAGTGTTGAATTATGTGTCTTTGCATAACGAGGCTATCTTCAAAGCTCCGGCGTCGCGAAAGTATAGCAAGTTCTGAGTGTTACTTGTCGCTCTTGCCTAGCGTGAAGGAAGGGAGCTTCCCCAATCCAAGACTGAAGGTGAAGCTGGAGATGAGGGCAGCTCGTGTTCTTGGCATAGAATCGACCACTCTGCCTGGCGCTGAATACCACCAGATCTAGGCACTTACTGGGACTCATTTAGGTATGTAGCTAAGTTAGCCCTCACGCCCATCACCGACCCGCTGCTGGTTAGTTTTCGCAAGCACGCAATCGAGCAATTAAGCACGCCATCCGTTGAGTGAAAGAGTTATAAAACCACGATACATTATCTCTTCTGCTATGGCCGTCAAACCTTACATATAGAACTAATCTGGCTCGATGACTGCTAAGAATCAACACAAGTAGGCCAGGTTGTTGAAGCGCGCTAACATCAACGCATCTTACTAGAGCGCCCAGCACTCTGGTGTTGGAGGGCAAAGTACTGTCAAGATGTCCAGCATGTTGATGTTGCTCAACTCATATGGGATTGATGCACAGGGACATGTGTACTGCCACTACCACTAATTTTGACCCTCCAAGATTCACAGCTTGCCAGTGGGCTCAAAAACGGTGAGTTTGCCGAGGTAACAAACCCTTCTGATGACGATGTTCTGGACGACGACAAACCAACCCCGCACGATTTCCAACATGGAGTTGCACGAGGGTGCATGGAAGGCTATGGTAGATGGCTCTGCTCTTGTTCGAATTCTCAACGCTTCGTGTTGCACTGCTCTACCAGAAATCAAATACCACGTTCACATTGTCAATCTTCATGTGCCTGTTGTTGTTCCTCTGAGAAGAGTTCGACTCTGAGTGTTTAGCCCTTAATCAACGTGATGTGCAGATGTCATGGGTTGAAATGGATATGTGATCGAAGCAACTGCAGCCTGGATTCACCAGGTCAGTCCTCCTACTCTAGACCTAAACAAGGTCCGTCTCCAATGGCGTTCCATCAATTCAAGATGGTCACCCTAAAATGAATGTAGTGGCACTTGCGCAGGAGCCTGCCGACTGTCCCTCTGGCTCAGCTTGGACGATAGATGAAGTACCGAGTACAAGTCGTCAAGACTTACCTGTAACTCTGCCCGTTCCACCATCTCCATTGATCCCTCCACCTGATGTGGGCATTCGACCTTGGTTACAGGTGGTTGCGGGCTTCTTCCTTATGTTCAACGCCTGGGGAACAATTTTCTCTTTTGGTGTATTTCAAACATTCTACACCTCATCTGGAAGTCTGGAAATCAGCCAATCGCCATCTGCTATCGCATGGATTGGCTCAATACAGACGTTTTTACTGCTATTCGTGGGTGCAATGAGTGGAATTCTTTTTGACAAAGGCTATTTCCGCTATATGATATTCTTCGGAAGTTCCTTGGTTGTGCTGGGCTTGGTGACCCTCTCCCTCGCAACTCGCTTTTATCAGGTCCTCTTATCCCAAGGAGTTTGCGTGGGCTTCGGCACTGGTCTCTTACTGGTCCCGTCTGTAGCACTCCCAAGTACATGGTTTCTAAAGCATCGAGGCATTGCCGTTGGCCTTGTCTCCAGTGGAGCATCGGTTGCTGGAGTCGTGCTTCCGATCACGGTCCGAGCTTTAATCAGAACAACGGGATTTTCGTGGGCAGCTCGAGTCTCAGGTTTTGTGTCCCTTGTGACCCTCACCATCAGCCTTCTTCTTGCCAATCAACGTCTGCCTCGGAGGACCGGTGGATCATTCATCGAATACAAGGCGTTAAAGCAACCTGAATTTGCGCTTTATATATTCGGGCTCTTTATTTCAATGTTCGGCCTGTATACTTTCTACGGCTTCGTCGAGATATGGGCCGTTAACCACCCTGCGATTTCGAACACAGGCCTCGAGGCCATCTACATTCTTCCCATACTGAATGCTGCAAGTCTTGTCGGTCGAATTGGACCTCTGTACTGCTCAGATTCCCTAGGTCCACTGAACATTCAAACGCCTGCAATGCTGGTATCCGGCATTCTATGCCTTCTTTGGTCAGAGGTAAGGTCTGCTGGTCCATTTGTTCTAGTGGTCATTTTGTACGGCATATCATCAGGAACTGTGATTGCTATGCCGCCCGTGGTGATATCTAGCATGACGAATGACATGACGACTTTTGGTGGCCGTATGGCCGTGTTCTTTCTCACAATAAGCTGCTCATCTCTCGCCGGACCACCTATCAACGGTGCTATCATCCAAGCTCAATATCTGAGGTATGAGGGATGTCAGATCTTCTCAGGTGCAATCATTATCCTGGCCTCGCTATTCTTGTTTGCGGCACGAATGACCAAGAGCAAGCTGAAATTGTATGTTAAGGTGTAACGATAGATTCGAGTCTGGTATGCGTATGCTCTGCCTCACACTCAACGCAAGGTGAAAAATTCGAATGATGGGGATACCATTTTTTCATGATTAGAATATCACTCTAGAGATTTGGCTGCTTACATCGGCATTATGGCACCTTCGAATCGGAAACAATATAAGCCTGGGATAATTTGATGTCGTGATTCGGGTTCTGTGAAAGGATTGGCTGTGATGGACTCGCTCGCCAGGCGATATTTCTTCCACATTTGTAATCACCCATTGTTCACATGCTTTGTTATATGGCACCTCGCACAATTCGACAACACTAGAAATCAACTTCAAGTTACCGGGTCCCTGTAATTAGAACAGGAAGTCTCTTGCAAACGACACGACACCATGTCCAACTCAAAGTCATTGCACCTCACAGCATTCATGCGCCCGGTAAGTCTCCATACCGGTGCATGGCGATATCCTGGTGCCGCCGCCGAAGCAAACTTCTCCCTTGAGTATCTCAAATCTTTCATCAAGAAGCTTGAGGCAGCCAAGTTCGACGCATTTTTTCTTGCCGACCACCTGGCCGTGTTGAATATGCCCATCGACGCGTTGAAGCGAAGTCATACTGTAACTTCATTCGAGCCATTCACATTATTATCTGCACTTTCAGTGATAACTGAAAAAATTGGGTTAGCCGCCACTGCGACAACAACATATGATGAGCCGTTCCACGTTGCTCGTCGATTTGCATCACTTGACCACATCAGTAATGGACGAGCAGCATGGAATATAGTCACCACAGGGAATCCTGAATCAGCGAAGAACTTTGGGCTAGATGAACATTTGCAACATGGAGAGCGTTACAAGCGTGCTCGTGAGTTCTATGATGTTGTGACCGGGCTATGGGACAGCTTTGCAGATGATGCCTTTATTCGAGATCAAGCTAGTGGCGTTTTCTTCGATCCTGAGAAACTGCACGTCCTCAATCATGAAGGGAACGAGCTCAAGGTTAAAGGTCCGCTTAATATAGCAAGACCTATCCAGGGGTGGCCAGTGATTGTTCAAGCTGGACAATCAGAGCCGGGGAGACAGCTCGCCGCAGAGACCGCCGAAGTAGTGTTCTGCTCCCCCCGCGATCTGGCTGCGGCTCAATCGCTTTACGCAGACATCAAGAGCCGCGCAAAGGCTGCAGGCCGCAATCCTGATCACATAAAGATCTTACCAGCGGCGTTGATCATTCTTGGCGACACAATTGCGGATGCTCGGGCCAAGCGCTTTAAGCTGGATAGTCTTGTACACTATGACAGTGCTATCGCATCACTTTCCGTTGCCTTGGGGTCTGATGCATCTGGATTTGATCCTGATGCGCCTTTACCGAGTCATTTACCAGAAACAAATGCAAGCAAGACAGGGCGAGAGGGAGTTCTGAAACTCGCCGAAGAGGAAAACCTTACAGTCAAGCAGCTTGCACAACGCTATGGAGGTTATTCAGGTCTTGCTTTCGTTGGAACAGCTGCTACTATAGCCGATCAAATGGGTGTATGGCTTTCAAATGAGGGCGCCGATGGCTTCACAATCACTTTTCCATTCCTCCCTGAGGGCTTGGATGATGTTGTTCAACAGTTGATTCCTGAACTGCAGCGTCGCGGTATTTTCCGCACTGACTACGAGGGAACCACACTCCGCGAGCATCTGGGACTTCCTAGACCCAAAAATCGTTTTTTCACTTAGTGAAGATAAATCTCGCCCAATGAATAGTGCAAGGACCATTCTAATAGCCCGTTGGGGGTCATGAAACGGAAAGCCAAGGGCCCTGGAGAAGAGGAACAGTGTCAGGTTCACCATTTATGGATCAAGTGTGTTATTATCTAGCATCAGATCGGATGACACATGGTTTATGGCGCACTTTCGATTCATCCGCGCTTTGGCTCAGAGCTTTGACAGTCGTTTCTCTCCCAATATAGGGTTCTCCTGTGTCCACCGACGGAGAATATCTCGCATGATCTTCCCATTGAGGTTTCTTGGTATTTCAGGGACGAAGGCAACTCCACCCCTCAATTGTTTGAAATTGCTCAACAGGCCTTTAACCCATTCAATAATTTCTTGTTCTGTGCAATTATTTGAGTCTCTGCCTGGAACAACATATGCTCTGGGAAGCTCGTTCCCATCGGCCAATTGTACCCCTGTCACCCCAACGTCAATGACGGCTGGATGCTGGCTAATGATCGCTTCCAGTTCCACGGGCGAAACCTGATTTCCCTTATATTTCATGAGCTCCTGTTTCCATTATTAGTAGTGAAGTTTTAGGAAGCTTTAGATTTCATGGCCCTTTTCTGCACTGCTTACCTTATACCTTCCTTCAATGAAGACTTTCCCGCTCGATTTTATCGTTGCCTTGTCTCCAGTTCGAAACCACCCAGATGAACTAAAAGCTTCGAGCGTTGCGGAGGGGTTCCGATAGTAACCTCGCATAACATTTGGACCTTTGCTAATCAGCTAGAAGACTTTCCATTTTTCTTATCGGATGGTCACCTTTGACGACAAGCTCCCCAGACTGACCACTGGGTAATGCCGCACCACTTTCGCTCACAATCATTGCTTCCATATGAGGAAGGAGAAATCCAACACTACCTTCATTGTCACTCGTATCCGGATCCAACTGAGTAGCTCCGCAGACCAACTCTGTCATTCCCCAATTTGGTAGTAGATAGGTTCCGGGTGTCAGTGCATCATTTACTCGATTCTGGAGCACTAGCGGCAACGGCGAGCCTCCACTCATTGCCCATCGAATGCTTTTGCAATCCTCCACGTCCCACTCATTGATGATTCGGTTCCAAATCGATGGCGCTAGAAAAAAGACAGACAAATTGTACTTGGCGTTATATCTGGTAAGGGTCTCAAAATCATATTTCGCCATCATCACGACTTGCATCCCGTGCAGCAATGCCAACATGTTATGGACGAGGACTCCCACAGCAACGGAGTTCTGTAGCAAGGCTGGCATTCTCGGGGTATTTCCCTCTCGACGGATCTTGTCAGTACGAGGGCCAAAGTGATAGCCCATTTGGCGAAGGTTTGCGACTATATTCGCGTGCGACAACTCCACACCTGCTAGTTTAGTGACTTCAGATAAACCTCGAGAATTTGCTAGTGATGTTACCTTTAGGTGTGCCAGTAGTGCCACTTGAGTAGATCAAACACGCTGTCCTGTTCCGTAAGACATTTGGATCTGTGACGCACTGCAGAGGAAACTGCCCAACGCTCAAAATTGAGTTTCCATTCGATACCAACCTTAGGTCGAGTTGCTTCGAGTCCATCTCAAGCAGTATAGGAGATGCGTTACTTCCATGGTTCCTTAATACTGTCTGTGCAATGTCTTTAGTCTGAGCGGAGCAAATCAATACTTTAGGAGTCGATAATGATATCTGGCGTGCAAGTTCGAATGGTGTTGCGAGACGTGAACATGTCGAGTAGATTCCTTCTGCAGCAAGGATACCGAACAGGATTGGCCCAATGAGGATTTGATTTTCGACAAATGATAGTACAACATCACTAGCTGGATCACTAGCACCAACTCCCAAGTTTCGCAAACTTTGGCCGATTAGACCGATAAGGCTCCTGGCTTGAGAAAGAGTAATGCATAATTCGGGATCTTCTCCATCAATCCACACTGTGTCATTGTCCTTGAACTTGGTATTCAACAATACATGGGTTAGGACATCTTCGTTTGGAATGTCAACCTTGTATGGTGACGAGAATTTCATCCTTGCACAGTGATTGCAGGATGACTTGCACGCAGGGACACTTGAAGGCACTGAAATTTGAATACCTCCGTCTAAATAAATCCCAATGATAGAAATAAATGCACTACCATTTGGTCATTGAACCATCGCCTGCGCCTAGTGTATTTTACTCGGCCAAAGTTGGAGAATGTGGGGTGGGCCATATCAGTGGTTGGGGCTTGTTGACATTTGGAGATCATGCTGTTGGAAACAAACGGTGACCTTCCTATGAGCCAACCCAGCCATATGTGGGGTCAAGAAAGATTTCTAATTTTAATACCCTGTATCGCAATACGATGTTGATATTCGGTCCAAAGTTCTCACAATGACGAGAACACCATTGGAGAATTTGAAAGGTACGTTTCGTGAGCTCGTGTGGTCTGTTGGGTAGGTGAAGCTGAAGCGACATTTCACAGTTTTGGAACTTGCAGGCCCTGCCACGGCCCCATTTGCTGGGTAGGAAGGTTTCTTGCTGAAATCTACCCTTGACTCACAATATATAGGCTGGTGCTAGCAGATTATGGCGCAGATGTTGTCCGAGTCGATCGACCGACAGAGGCTTTTGGTCCACAAGACACCTTATGTCGCGGGAAGCGATCAGTCATCGTTGACTTGAAGGCTGAAGCTTCTCGGAAAGCTTTTATTTGCCTTGCAGATGTGGCAGACATTATCATTGACCCATACCGGCCGGGAGTTATGGACCGTTTGGGCGCTGGTTCGGCGGTTTTATGTCAAAGGAATCCGCGGCTGATCTACGCGCACATATACGGATTCAGACCCGACAATAGCAGCATATATGCCCAGCGAGCAGGGCATGACATCAATTATCTCGCTGTCTCAGGTGTGCTGTCTCTCTTTGGGCGGAAAGACGAGGTTCCCGCCCCTCCAGCCAATATCCTTGCAGATTTTGCGGGTGGTGGGCTTGTTTGCGTCGTTGGAATACTCCTAGCCGTGCTCCAAAGGTCTCTCACAGGCAGGGGCCAGGTTGTCTCTGCTAATATGACAGATGGAACATCATTTCTGGCGACTTTTGCACGACAACAACTAAGCACCCCGAATTGGAATCAACCGCGAGGTCACAACTTATTGGACGGCGGTGCACCATTCTATGAAGTTTATGAAACCCTAGATGGAAGGTATATGGCAGTAGGAGCTCAAGAATCGCGATTTTACAGAACCCTTCTTGAGGGACTTGGACTCGACTACTCGAAGCTCCCCGATCAATGGGACAGGAAAAGCTGGCCAACAATGAAACGGATCTTTGAAGACAAATTTAGGCTGAGAACGCAGGCGGCGTGGAGAACTATCTTTGATCATACAGATTCATGCGTGACACCAGTGCTATCAACATCTGAGATTGAGAAGCCGCTACAGCCACTTGTTGCGCTGTCAGAGTGCTCGAACCCTCGGATTGAGCTTCAAGAGCCGTTCCCTCTACTTCAAAAAGGGAGCGGCGCGGCCATGGTGCTCTCGAGCTGGCTGGGGACCACTGGGGAAGCTTCTGTACGCGTTGACAAACACTCTGGAATTCTTTATCAGTGCCAGGAGCAGTCTGACAACAAGGGCATGAGCCGGTTGTAGCTAAAGATTTCGCACTAATGACGGATTACAGAACAGAATTGTAACCGCTATACGATAGTAACTGTCCGCTTTTACAGACTCATAAATCCTGTCAGAGATCGAAAGCTGACTAGTACCATCACACTCCTGCCAGTGGACCCTTGGTGCCACTCCAATACCGAGGGCCAGGCGGTCCGAATCCCGTTCGAAGTCGCCGACTTTTGGCCAGACCATGTGCTCCCTTTTTCTGCAGATAAGTATTTTAATCATTAGGTCATGCCATTAGACCACCATAGACAGTCTTCGAATTGAGAAATATGTGAAACTTCTAGCCCGTCAAGAAGAAATATCTTCAATATAGGCTCTCGGAACTGAATGCACTGGAAAGACTAGGCTGCTGAATGCTATCACTGAGCACCGCTGGGCTGAAAAGCCAGAATATCGGTTTTATCCCGACTGGGAGGTAGCTCTTCCAGCTCTAGTAACAGCAACTACATCCAGAGATGATATAAGCAGGCGGAAAAGGACAAGGGACTTCAAATACAGCTTCTACAGACTCCGCTGGAAGACGAGCTCAAATACCAACCTCCAGAAACTCCCATATGAGATCGCTCCGACATTGATGTTGTCAACCTCGGATGAAACTTGGCACAACGGGGATAAACAGTGCTCCGGAGCGAAACATGGACGAAGCTCAAGGGGAAAATTGTAGCAAGGGAGCGTGGGACCTTGCGACACGGTATCGAGATGGTATAATTCTCTACAGGCAGCAGTTGCAGCTATGAAGGAAAGAGCTTGTCTCCTGGTAGAAATGTGGTATGCAGCTTTGAGAGATTCTGTGTCAGAGCTCCAGGCATGAAGTCGTTAAGGGATCCTCTTGTGTGCCACCTTGCCACATTCACCTCATGGGTATCTTCAACCGTAGATCTCGTAAGAGACTAAACCAATACATCGAAAATGACTTGCGACCTTAAATTCTCTTGGATAAAAAGTCGAAGTGATTCAAAGCGAGGTTGACATTTGGGCAAAGCTCTTTCCCTGTCCTCATGGCGGCAATATGGATGGACTGCGTATTGTCTGAGTTAACACAGCTTCGTCCTAGGGTAACAACATGGTCCTGAAACACCAGACAATCAGTGTCTTTCCTGTGCTGGTTGAGTATTAGAGGGAGTTGAAAACTATATAAACACATATGAGTGTTCGATACCGACGGGGTTCTGGGATCTCCCTCGCTTGAGCCGAAACATACTACTAAGTGCAGCGAACGATTGATCATAGCTACGAAAAAGGTTAACAAGCTCAAACCCCGTCCTTTTAACTGGCCAATAAATATGTGAATATGGAGCTTATACCAAACTCCTGACTAGATTCGCGCGACTTCGGCATTGAAGCGAATCTCGCATCGCAAACCGGAGTCTTTATTTCCCAATTCGGAGTCGTTGCTTCCTACACCAAGCCTAAGTCCACAAACTGGATACCGCTCAGTGGAATTGGTATAGATTCATTTTGCATATCTTCTTAATCAAAGCGAGTCAATACCGACTCCGGTATAACAACATGCCGACCTCGGTAGCCTCCTCGTAGTTAAATGCGTTTAAGAGTACAGATCTTTGTAAATTGTGAACAGGCAAATATCATTGATCATTTCACATATCTATTTTTGTTGACTATTACAGCTCAAATCCAGGATGTCTCCTCCCCCAGTTCTCCTCTTGCTAGGTGCAGGACCCAAACTTGGGACCAAGATCCCGGAAGTCTTCTCCAAGAAGGGCTACAAAGTCGTTCTTGTAGCACGTTCCTTCGAAGAGGGATTACAGGACAATGGATACTATTGTATACGAGCAGATTTCAACAACCCTGAATGCATCCCTGAAGTGTTTGAGAAGGCGAAGAAAAACGTTGGCATCCCAACCGTGGTAGTGTACAACGCTGTTCAATACAAACTTGATGATCCAGAAGACCCTTTTGCTTCTCTTGCCCCGGAGTCGGTCTCACAGTTTCATACTGCAATAGCAGTGAATGGCACCACACCTATGGTTGCTTTGCACCAGGCGATTACTTCTTTCCGGGCTCTGCCTACAGATACCATTGGCAAGACTTTTATTTTCACTGGAAACATCCTCAACCACTCCCAATTCAAGAACAGACTATGCTTTGGGATGGCCAAGACTCTCTGTGCCTACGGTATTAGGTTTGCTTCGGTAGCTTACGAGAAAGAAGGATTCAAGTAAGTTACCTACCTAGTCAAAACCCTCCATTCCATCTGAGCATGATGGACTTCCCCTCTGTTTTGATTTGATATTTTCAACATATGTTTCCCTCAATATACTATCGATCTTACTTACACCTCGCTTATTGTAGATTCTACTACGCTGATGAGCGGACACCCTCAGGACTACCGGTTATGCGAGATATCAGCGGCGATGCAGCAGGAACAGAATATCTCAGCTTGGCTGAGAATATTGCGCAACAGCCTTGGTTGTACACCTATACTACAGAACAAGGGTATGTAGATTTTGGCGAAAAAGATTACCTGAGGACTACAGATAGCGACGAACCCCAATTTTTAAAGGGTGGAAGGTAAATAGATTGTGGCCTATTTGAATTCGGAAGTCGAATAGTCTACTTGCGATCATTTCAGATCGGCCCAAGTCCGGAACTTGGCATTTTGCCGGCCCCTCATTGTGGAGACAAGTAATAAACTGCCCTGGCCCCAAATCGACGACAACAGGTTTCGGACGCGACCATTTGATCAATTATTTGCGTTCAGGATGTAGTCATAGTATCTATATGTGCAGACCACCTGGTCTAGTTTTGCAACTTGATAATCTACATGGTAGAAAGCTATTTCACACAGGTAATGAGGTGCGTTGTCCCTCCCTGTCATGTTGTCCACTCGGTACCGTGGAGCCGAAAGCCAAGCTTGATCTGTTCGGTAAAGTGGAGCCGCAGTAACTGTATCTACCTCTTGTCGATTCCTAAGGCAAACTTCCTTCAGGATAAGATGAAAGCAGAGGTCTTGTATAACTACCTACAAAAAGAGTCGGCGACACAATGCAACAGGAGGACAGTACACAATTCACCTTGGCAAATCTGCCGTTAGGAATCGCCAGAAGAAAAGGACCTGGGCTTCCTCCTGGCATCGTGACCCGCCTGTACGATTTTGTGTACTTCGTATCGGTCCTTCAAAGCAAAGGCCTCCTTCGGCGATTTGATGCCGAGCTGGAAGAAGCACTGCAAAGGGTATAGGATTCACGCACTTGATCATAGATGGCTAACTCTGCGGACAGAGCACATTAAATGACCTGGCTGCTCTAGGTATTGCCGGCCAGCGGCAGCTAAGAGAAGCACTCCGCAAGGTATTTACTACAGCGACGGATGAGCATCTTTCAGCATGTCGAGTGCTGAAGAATGAAGTCGTAATGATGCTTCCTGTTAAGGTCGGCGATTTTTCAGATTTCTCTTGCTCACTCGACCATGTTCTGAATGCGGGTGAAGCAGTCATGGGGGTTCGATCTGTACCACCAGGCTTTCTACACTTCCCGATCGGCTACGGTGGCCGTTCTTCCTCTATCGTGGTGTCCGGTAGCGATGTGACACGGCCACGTGGACACTTTAAAGACAATGGGGATGTCGTTTTCGGCCCTTCACGTGCGGTTGACTTTGAACTTGAAGTTGCATGTGTCGTTGGCAAACCAACAACCGGTCAGCCAGTAAATGCAGGCAACGCCGGGGAGCATATTTTTGGCTTTATACTGCTGAATGACTGGAGTGGTAAGTATAGTAAACTAGATCTATTTTAAGAGCGTTGCTGACCGAACAAAGCGCGTGATATACAGGGATTAGAAATGCCTCCTCTTGGCCCTTTCAATGGAAAAAGCTTTGGTACTACCATTTCCCCTTGGGTTGTCATGGTAGATGCGCTGCGGCCGTTCCTACTCCCTGTTCCGCAACGACAGAAGGCAACGGCAGACCACTTCTCGAAACAGGGTGATCTTGCCCACTATGGGGTAAATCTAACTGCCAGTATCAACAACTCTAATTCCTCAACTATAGTTTGTACTTCACGGCTAGACTGGATATACTGGACGATGAACGACATGATCGCACACCAGACCTCCAATGGTTGTACCATAGTCTCAGGTGATCTCCTGGCAACAGGAACGGTGTCCGGGGCGGAAAAAGGGTCGCATGCATGTTTGCTTGAAATCACAAAGGGTGGTAAGGAGTCGCTCACTCTAGGTGATGGCAGCCAACGAACGTACCTTCACGATGGTGACACGGTAGTTCTGGGTGCATGGGCTGGTGAACTTGGATCAGATAATTGTGTGGGCTTCGGAAACTGTCTTGGTACTTTGCGACCTGCTATCCGTCCCCAAGGTATCCAAACATAAGGGTTTTCTAGCTTAGATGCATCGATCATTAGGCAACAGGGCAGGTTTACCGTAAACCCTATCTAGAAGGACCCAAATAATAGTATACCATTATTGGTGGTGCTAAACTACAATTATCTTCAGTTAGGGTTCAACAATATGTTACGAACTGCCAAGGGCGTAATGGTTCTTGGACTCAGACGTGGTTGGGTTTCGCGGACAGAAGTATAGGTACTTGCGGACAGATGTGGAAGATGTGAGGGCTCAGGGTTCAACAGGTTTAGGTGCAGTAGTAAGATGATTATTAACTACGAGGAGTCTATAAAATGTTGGTGTAATAACCGTAGCTATATACTCGTAAGATTCCTCGTGCTCTCTCGCTCTATCTACTCTATTACTGTAAGGGTTTTGCTATAAATCATACGATTCGTATAGCTACCATATAACTAGGATTCTAAGCT